AATTTTGGTGGAGATGGACAATATATTTGTTTCCTGAAAAAACTACGTGGGTGTTGCTGTTGTTGCTCTGATGATGACGGTTCCCAGTACCGAGAAAATGACAGCGCACTCGATGATGACTTAGTATTTTTTTGATTTAGACAACTGACATTCCGCTCACCATTCGCTTTGCATCATCTTGTTACATTCCTCTACCAATGATTCGTATTCACCACCATCATGATGATGGCAATCAACAAATTCAAAGACAAAACGATCATGGTCGGTAAGACTTTTCAGAGTTCTTTTAGGCATCGGATCACCCGATTCCATTGTATCCTCCCATTGAAAGCCTTCCTCCTCTTGTAATGAAAGCCTGAAATGATGACTTTCTTCTTCCTCTTCTTTGAGCTTTATCAATGATGGCTCTTGTTTTATAACTCCCATACGACTATTGCTTCTGGAAAAGAGAATTTCATCCTCTGGTTCCGTTGAATCCTCTAACCCTTGCTTCTGAATGGTTGTTTTTCGTTTTTTCAAAGCAGAGAGTGATGAAGGAATACCCATGAGAGGACTTTTTGGGTCTGAGCAAGGAGGCTGCATGGATTGAGAAGTGCTTGAGGCTGTTGTTGCACTTTTGCAAGACATGAAAGAATAGTAAGGAAAGAGAATGCAAACGAAAGTTTTTTTTAAGCAGAACATCCAATATGTAAGCCTCACACCTCAAAAAAAGTTGAACAAAGCGCAACTTTAAAAAACTAGCCGTTACAAATATTGAATATTTAAAAATGTTCAATCTTCATTATCGTGGACTCTCTGGCAGTCCTTCCTCTCGACTCTCGGAATCACAACAACAGCTTTCACCACTTTCAATGTCGTTTGGAGAGGATGAGAATTTGTTCGAGTTTTGTGATTCTCCGCTTTTGGATTTCAAAAGTAAAAGCAACACTCTGTTTGATACCACTGATTCATCATCATCAACAAGCTCCTCTCATTCTAAAGAATCAATGAAGAAAGCATCCTCCGAAAATCCAAAGCCTGCAAACCTTCAAACAAAAAAGAAAAAATCAGTAAAAAAGAAATTGAAAGTGGAATTTAAAGATCTCGAAAGCTCATCATCCGAAACAGATGATGAGGAAAAGAAGATCAAAGCACCACTCCCGAAAAAGAAAAAAGTCGAGACAAGTACAGCTGTACCCGAAAAGAAAAGAGTTTATCGAGACAATTGAAAGAAATGATCCAAGAGGTGAAACAAAGAGTGAGGCTTGAGCAACAAGAGACGACCGATGATTTTCAAGTCAGTGAGGACGAACAAGATTATGTACTTCCATCGTTCAGTCAAGAATTAATCAGTAGTGAGGATGAAATGGAGAAGAAAAAGAGAAAAAAGCCTCATAGAAAGAAACAAATGGCCCAGTCATTGATGATATTCTCTGACATTCACTTTGTGGTTTCATCATCTCTTGTAGAGAACGATAAAGAGGCTGTGGATCGAATTATCAAAAAAGAGAATGGTACAATTATGCGACAGTTATCCTCAGAGCTGATGGATACTTATGTGAACAAGAAAATTATATTAATTAGTGAAAAGTCATCAACCAAACCTACTTTCTTAATTGCACTGTTACTTGATATTCCTATTCTAAAGCCACAATGGATATTTGACTGCTCCAATCAAAATAGACTCCTACTTGAAGATCAAGAAATTAAGAAATATCTTGTAGATAGAGGTTCATACCGATTAAGATCTAATCCCTCCATTCAGCATGTTGAAAAACAAACTTTTAACCAATCGCTTTTGTGCTGTAAGACTGAAAACAGAATTTTCTATGGCTGTAAGGTAAAGATTATTGACAACTCTGAGGATCAGTCTCTCACAACAGGTTGGAGTGGAATTTTAAAAGTAGGAGGCGCTCAAGTGGAAGAGTATTTGGAAAATCAAACAAACGAAGGATCTAATTTTATATTTGTGAAGGATGGTAATGAAGTTCCACAAGAAATAATGGAAATGGCAACGCAAAGAAAGTTGCCCATTCTTGACAGAGAGAGTATTTTGAAAATTGTGATAACTTTGGAAAGAGAATTTTCTCCAGAGCAAGTAATTAATTTTAATCAATTATCAAGAACAATCACTCAAACTTCCAACTCAATCAACAGAAACGAGATTGTTGAGTCTATATCTCTTGTTGACTTGCAAGGCTACGATGTGTGTGAAGAATTGATGAACGGTTTGACACATTGTGAGGGATATTTCTTCCTTAAGGAAGAACAAAATTGCTACTTGAAATCAAAATTTATTAGACTCAATAAGAACGGGTCCAATGAAATTTATCATTTACACGATATGATTTTAGTGAATTACCTTAATGATGAGATTTTTTGTAGAATTGACTCTTTGTATTATGATTGCTCATTTCCATCCATGACAGCAACTCAATATATTAAGATACCCAACACAAAAGAGCTTGTAATGACAAGGCGAAGTATTAGATCACCCCTATCCATGATTCAGTACAAAATATGTCTATGTTCAAATCCAGCAAGTCGAGAATGTTGCTTTGTTTCTGACGCTTTTTTCAATACCAAGACGTGTAAAATAGAAGAATTTTCATACTTTCCAAGTGCTCTATCCAAAGAAGAAGCTTTGAATTCAATAGAAAATTTAAAGAACTGCTCCTTTAAGTGGATTGCTCCAGTTAAGGTTTCATTATTTAAGGATTACGTATCAATTTGTGGTTTGAAATGGAGAGGACAAATATTTCAAAAGGGTGATTTTGTTATTGTGAACAGTTTACAAACAACCATTACGGGCAGAATCAAATCATTCAGAGATGATGACATTTCTCATTTTACATACCCTGCTAAAAAGTATCTCGTTTCAGAAGGATCCTTATTCATTGAGGTGTTCGTAAAAGGTAATTCGGAGGGATTGAGTCATCATCAAACTCCTCCAGTGCTCACTCCCACTCACCAGGTCACTTGTGTGAAAATTACTGACATTTGTCACATCCAAGCTGTGATGGTCATTGACTCGAATGTTGCTGAGACAACAACAACTTGTCTTCATTTTCTCATTCGTTGCCACTCTTTTTGTTAGAGTTGTAATGAAAGTTTGTTATGAACGTTGGTGAACATACTTTCCCAGCGCTTGGATTGTAACCATTCATAAAACGACGACTCCAAGTTGTCCCCAACACCTCCAAGTTTTCCAATTTCACGCAACAACAACAAAAATGACACGAATAAGAGAGACAGGTGCGTCGCTGTCATCAACCACATCCGATGGAACCTTTGCACCAACAACAACATCAAAGCGAAATACACTGGACTTGAGAGGTGTCATTGGAAAATTCAACAGACATTCATCCAATAACAACAACAACAACAACAACAATATTGGAAATTCTCCAATTCTCAACCAAATCATTTCGGATGAGCAGAATTTTCATTTACATCTCATTACTGAGCAAGAAGGAACATCTTCGGAAGGAGTCAATGATTTGTGTTTTCCTGTTCCTCCAGGTCGATTCAAAGTTCAAATTTCAAACACAACGGCAGCATTGGGTTTAAAACTATTTTCGTCAGTGATCTTGCGAGCAGATGTATCGTGTCAATCTTCGGGATCTTCCATCATGTCCAAAGAGGATGATCAACTTTGTAGCTCTGATAATATTGACAAAGGAGGTTCATGGAGTACATTAATTTCTACTCCAATGGACTCTCAACAATCCATCATTCGAGTTACATTGTTTTGTGAGCCACCTGATACCAAGTGCAGTTACAAAGTTACCATTCATCAGATCTTTAATGTACTTTCTACGAAGGGCTTTGAACTCGGAAAAGGAGAAGAAAATGATTATCATTTTGATTTAGCAATGGGACAATATCATTTACTTGTACATTCAGTGAATCAAATTCCTTTTCATTGTACTTATAGATTTTCAAATTCAAGTACGAGTTATTCAGAAAAAGATATTACTGAATTGAAAATATTGCCACAACCGATTGTGGTTATTATTGAAGAAGATACAGATCAAACAAATCTCACACAACCATTGAATGTTAAAGTTTCTGCATTTAGTAACAAACCAGTGAAAGGAAGATTATCAATTTTACAATCCATTGGAGCGATGGAACTGAAACGAATGCTTGACAGTGAACAACGTGTCACAATTAATGAATACAAATCTCTCATTGATGACTGTTATAGAGATAAGAATGTTGAGTCTCTCACAGATTTAGAAACAATGTTAGGTGATTTATTAGAGAAAAAGGGACCTCGTTATCAACCTATTCATTCCTATGTTCAAGCAATGAGAAAACATTTAACAGAATCCCAAGAGCTTGAAAAAGAAGTCAAAGATCTTGTGATGAGTAAGAACTTGAAACAATCACAACTCGATCACATGCAAACACAATTCAGAAAATTACGCCATCTAGTAGAAAAACACAAATTGGATCCAAAAATTATTATCAATCTTTCTGAGGAAGAGAAAAAGGTTGCTCACTACAAAGAAATTCTGAAAAGGATAAAAGATTACACAAGTCGTCTGAAAGAATATGTGAACCAATATGATACATCAGTACTTGAAGCACTTTTACATGACATTTTAGAGGACACATATTTAAAAGATGAATGTTGTGCGAGCATGGTTCAGTCCATGATTGAAGAACCAAAATCTATTTTGAAAAAACTTAAAATTGTGGATTCTGTGAAAGAAGAAATTGAAAAGTACATGATGGATGAAGATCTCCAAGCACTAGAGAAGATTAAGCAACAAATTGACACTACCTATGACTCGTATGAACGAAAATATATTGACAAGGAATATATTCAATTAGATGAAGCGATCAAAAAGATAAAAACTCGTTTACATGCTGAGAAAAAGCTACGAGAAGCAATTCTCACAAAACAAACTCATAGAATTGGTGCAGATATCAAAGCATTTGAACCCTATTTGAAAGGTACACAAATCTTACGAGATGCAAAAAGAATCATGGAAGATCTTCTCGACAATGGCGATGCTGACATTTCCAAATATGTGATCGATCAAAAAGAATCTGTAAATATTGGTCACGATGAAGAGCGTCAAGGAATGATTGAAACTACACTCTCTTCAAGTGCCATTATCACTCAAAAAGATCCTTTAACATTGCCTCTCGACCATTTGAAAGAGACAGATGTACTCTCAAAATTACTTCTCGAAGATGATGATTTAAGTGCAAGAGAACCTCAGAGAACAACTTTTTCCTCAACGAATCAAAATTCTTCTTCGACGAGTGTCACTCAAACAAGTCCAACAGTAGAAAAGAAAAAAGATAACCTTATAGATTCCATTCTTGCTGAAGAATATGATGATGATGAGTATGAAGAGCAAAGCACACCTGTCGTGAAGATGCCATCTTCTTCCATAATGACTACTAAAATTGGTAATCCCTCAAAACTCAACAACACAACGACTCGGAAGAATGAATCTGTAGCTACAACCCCTACTAATTCTTCCTTAAATACTCAGACACAAAAAACAAAGTCACCAATTGCTTCTGATTCAAAATCAACAATACTTTCCAAAACTTCAAGCAAAATTTCCATACCGAGAAGTAAGACCAAAAAATCAAATACCACTCCCACTACTACTCCCACTACTCCTATTAATTCAACATCTAATATAATAACAACGGGTGGTAGTTATCAGAGTAATGGCAGTAGTAGTGGTGATCCATCCATTCCAAGTGGAGTCTCCACTCCAAAATCACCTTCATTGTCATCACCTCCTCAAGAGCAATTTGACAAGTCTTTACAAGTCAATAACAATGGAGACAGACTCTCAGACAGTGATATTGAATTGATTTCTGATGATGAAGATGATGATCCAATCCCACTTTCAAAACCAATATCTGTTTCTCAAATCATGGGTGCCATTTATGGTGATGTATTCACTGAAGAAGAACTAAAGAGACGAAATGAAGCTCTTCAAGGAGAGACTAGTATTACAAATGCTACTTCACACACAAGTGGTTTGGAATCAAAGCGCTCTACAACCACCACAGCAACCACCACAGCAACTACACAACAACTTTCATCCAACACCAACTCTGTCACTACCAACCACACGATCGTTGCGAATAATAATAATACTACTGTTTCTGTCACGAGTAATAGTAGCACGAGTGGTAACAATGAACAACAGTCCGATTCCAAACTCACAACCATGCATGCCAACCATCAAAGATCAGTATCATTTTCTCCGAATGTAATTATGTTAAAGCCAAATAAGCAAGCAAAGAAAGCTCCTCCTGCTTTGAATGTATGGGAAACAGAGTTAAAGCAGAAGGAATCAATATTATTGGAAAGATTTCAAAGTATGATATCAAAACCTATTCACAATGTACCAGATATCAACAACAAAGATGTTGTCAAATTAATTGCCAAACAACACAAAATATCTGAACATCCATTACTTAATCAATTACATCATGAAATTTTAATATTAATTAACAGCAATGGTGGTGACATGCAAAACAATGGTGTTATTACAATTTCCAAATTTGATTATCATGTTGAACATGATATTGTATATAGTCCTCTAGTTGCATCAGGTCGAACATTGTCACAACATACAGCACAACACTATGATAATTTCATTAAGACTCTCACAAGTGTTTGCTTAAATCGAGCAAAGAAGAAATATTTTGGAATGTCAGAAAGAACATTCTATAACATTCTACATGACTGTGTTTGTGATGAAAATAGCAATATTCAGGTGATTAATGATCCTAATTTGAGATATATGAATGTTCACAGAATTCATTTACTTTTAGAATATTTTAATTCTAAAAAGTTTGCACAAAAATATCAACAACAATATCAACAAACAAAAGATGTCACTCTCATGGAATTCTTGTTGGACATTGGTGAATTGGTGGATATATTCAATTACTTGTGTAAATATTGTAGCAATTACTTGAAGTCAATCTATGAACCAACATCAATTCTTGTTGACAGCACTCATAGAGATGAATTTCTTTCCATTGTTGAATTACTTTGCCAAATGAGCTTTAAACTTGGATATTCATCCAAACCCAAGGATGTGTACAATATCAATACGTATATTTTGGGAAGTGCCGAAAAGGTTCAACAATTCATCAAAATCTCAAGTGAAATTTCAAAGTTTGTAGATTCTAAAAAGGTACTCATGATTGAAGACAGAGTCTATTTAGCCAAATTTGCTAGAGGAAGTATCTGCCCAGCATTGGAAAACTTTTTCAAGCAAGGAGTCAAATTTCAATCAGTCATGAAAGGATATTACCATGTTTGGAACGTCATTTTGGAGATGTATTACTACTGTAAGTAATTAATTACTATTAAGGATTACCCTACCACAATGTTCAAATTTGATTGAAAATTAGTACAACTTCAATTGCCAGATTTTGTGAAATTTAGACTTAACCAAGCCATTGAAGAGCAACGAGCAGTAGACGTTTCCTCATTGACCAACGAACAAGTTCACTATTTTGACTTTGTTCAGTACACTCTCATGATTTCCAAGTCCATACATAGTGATGAATTATTGTTTGATCGTCATATTCAATTCAGGACATGGATTTGCCTCGCACTCAATCATCACAAGTTATACAGCTTCATTCGTTTATTATTTAAGAATCACCAGATCCTTAAAAGATATTATCATGCTGAGGCCTCTGTATTTAACCCGCATGTTCAGGAAGTCATCTTGTCTCATGTGAATTCCCTTTGCGAAATTGATTTTGATATTAAGCTCGATCATCAAGAAATGTTTGTAAATTTATAATGATACAGAATGGTTCTTAATATTGAATCTACTAATTTTCTTTGAAACAAACATGGTCAAGTAATTGATGTCTCTGCAGCTGACCAAAGATTCTATTTCAAATTTAAATGTTTTCATCTTTTCAAGTTCTGCACAAATCTGAGGTGCTTTTCTTCCACCTCTACTTTTAATGTCTTGTATGTGTCGGCCAATCAATTTACGTTCTTGCTCTGTTACGCTCTGGCAGTAAAACATGGGGAGATCTTTAACGTCATCAAACAACAAGCCTATCCAGTCAATTCTGTCTCCTAACGTTGTTCTTTGCTGGACTGAGTGCTTACTGAGCTCAATGCTTCCATACTTGAACGTTGTCATGATTTGATATCCATGAATATTGAAGTCGCAAAGGGCATAGATTTTGGCGTCTGGAAATTTGGTTGCTATTTCATGCAAAATGAACCTTGCTACAATACTTGGATACCCACAACCAGTAATTATGCAAATGTTTCTAACGAATTTAAATATCTTGTCTTCAACAATCCTTCTGAATATTGCATCTTTCTCAACAATTAAGATCGTTTCTACTTGACCAAAGAATTTAATTTTAGGGAAATCTCCAGGAATTTGCTCTACCATGGACATCGTATGATCATGACAAGAAACTATGGCGTTACCTCTCCCATCATTGCTGTACAAAAAACCCTTGCTCATACAAATGATGTTTAGCACTGATCTGTCCACGTTCAGAATATCCCCAACACAACTTAAATATCTATTGCATTGATTCTGATCTTTGAATGTCATCACATTCATATAAAACAACTCTCTTTGAGTGATCTTAATCCCTTTCTGTAGCAGCTTAAAAACATTGCTCATCAACAACCAAATCAAGTGGCTTTTTTTGATGGAAGGTTTATAGTTCTGTCGGAATGAAAATGTTCCCGTTGTGGTTTTCAATAAACCAATGGGGAGATTTTGATCAGTAGTAGGTTGATCATCTTTTTCAACCTCAGATCGGAATTTGTATTTGAAAAGCAAGTCTTCCAAGGTCTTATCCTCTTGAATGAGTTGTAAGAGAAATTCAACGGTGTGTGCTTCAATGAGTGCTATAAGCTCTTCTCTTGATAGAATGTAATGAATTTCGCAAAGCCTTTCAATATCAAACAAATTCCAAGTAATTCCATCGGTAGCATTGAGGCTTGAGGTTTCGTCCATTTTTTTATACATTAATTGTCATAGATTTATTCATTTTGGAATTTATAAACTATTGAAATAGGTAAAATTTTCAAAAGCATTATACTAAAAAACAACTTACAGTGAGGATTATTTCGAAGTTTCGTTAAAAACTTTTGTAACCAAGTGTCTATACAATTCGTTGGTATTATTAACATGTCTTTCATCTCTCCAGTTTGGAATTGAATTGGCTTTGTAAAACTAGCCATATAGTTAAATAAATCTTTTGCAATAAATTGAACTAATTGTTGGACTTGATTTTGTTCTCGTTGTTGTTTTTCTTGAGCATTAAACGATAAATTATTGATGGTATCCATTGACTCGAGCGATATTCCGATAAACACGGCATTAGTATCGGTTTGCTGAAAATTGAAATCTTGAAACAGTCCACCCGAAGAGCTAAATGACAATGGCATGTGAATATGAGTACTTTGCTTTTCCAACGATAGAAAATCTACATATTCCCAATTTTGAGCATCTTTTGAAATGTAAATTGTAAAGCCGAACGGTTGGTAAGGTGGAGGAGCCATGGAAGCATTTGGTAAAATAAAAAGACTCATTTCCGATACGGATTGACCATTGATCTTATCGACCACTTGAGCCATCCAACGATGTTCTCCAACCATTTGAAAGTCTGCAAAGCAAGGTCGACCAGGAATGATGAGTCCAAACATTTTTTTGTGTAGTATTATTAATAAGCCAAGAAGGAAGGAATACTTTTAGATCAAATCGGAAGGGAAATTCCGTTAATTCCGAGTCCCACATGACATATTCTATTTGCAACATGCTTTCACTAATGCTTTCTAGACATCTATTGTTCATGATTAAATGCGCATGTGAAATACAAGATGAATCTATCAACGGAGAGAAAATAAACAAAAGGCAAAGGAGCAGAAACTTTAACTAAAAGCCATTCAAAAAAAAATGTCCTCCAGCAATAATGATACCACTGAAAAATTCACAGATGAAGAACGAGAAGAATATGTGACCAAATATCTCTCTCTCATTGATCAGTACATGAATATTTATAAAAATGATTTAATTCCAAATATTAAAAGTGGACATTTCAACATGGCTGCAACCCGATTGAATATGGGAGCTGAATATTTAGGTTTGGAACGAATTCCGAATCAAGAAGATATTTTAAAATCAAAAATTCATTTAAATCCACAAACATTGGAAGTGATGGACTTTGAAAATGTTTCAAGTCACTTTCAAACATCTTCACAACAACAATCTAATAATTCGGAAGATGTAAAACAAGACGATTCTTCGTCTGGTGTTAGGAAAAGAAAACCCAATACTCTGATTTCAACCACAGCTGAATCAACCGATTCAGATTTATCATCAATTTCTGCCTCAAAATTAAGTGCAAGCGTTGAAGAGAATTTAAAAAGAAAAAATCCAATTTATTGGTTCGGAACACTTCAACTATCAGAAGATCTAGTTCAAGCTCAATTACATTTTGTCAATGCAGTCAAAAGTATTTTAGAATTAGGAAAAATTGTAAAGGAAATGAATGAGTTAGAACAACAAAAGCATAGATATTGAAACAGGATACATTATGGAAAAATCTGCACAAGTGTTTCATTTCCAGTTTTGCTGTCAATGACCATCTCATAAAACTCGTTTGCAATATCCCCATCTTGATCCATATAATAAGGATGCTTGCCAATTCTGTATTCTTTCATCTCCTGCCAAGTGAGTGAAGTATTGTGATACTTTTGTAATAATTGTTCCAATTGATCCATTGTTTTAATTTCTCGAAATGTTTCCTTTCGTGTCGAGTGACGTTTCTTAATTGAAAATTTTGTGGAAGGCCGAAGTATTGAAGAATCAAGCGTCGGAAATAAATGTAGTATGAGAGAGTGCAATCTTGAAATGTGCTTTGATGAAACCCAATTAAAACTAGACGGCCATGTTGATAAATTGGTTCTAATTTCATCATGATGCATCAATGCAGAATCAAATGACGTCCTCGCACACATGCCTTTTATAAACATTTTTTTAATAATCAAAAAATCATAAATTCGTGATGATATCACTACTCCATTGGATTGAGAATATTACGATATAATTTTCCATCTCTCTCGTTTCTTTCTGATTGCACTACTATGGAACATTTAAACAATTCTGAGTCGTCATTGTAATTTCTAAGAGAGGCCACAAGTAAGCCTACGTTATTCAGTAAGATCATCGGAACGTTCTCTATCGGAAGTTTGTTGATGGAATATTTGAATTGTTCAAACGTTGTTGATGATGGTGATGATGCTTCATAATTGAGCACATCACTTTTTCCGACAGGAATTATTTGCTTGCTGTTGGCTAAATCTACAATATAATAAATATTCCAGTACACTTGATGCAAATTCTGCAACACTCGGAATTTGAATATCAAATCGAATTTATCCTCGAGCAAGGATTGAAAAGGAATGTGTGATGAAGCGGAAGGATCTTCAATTTGAACAGAATGTAGCTCAAGGACGTGCATCAATTTTTTTGTTTTCCAAATACTGAACCTTACGATTTCAACAAGAATGTTTTCTCCTGCATGTCATTCAAGCACACATTTAGCTCTTAACAGGCCGTTCAGTGGTGTTGGTCATCCAAGCGCTACGAATGATCTGAACAATCGACTGTGGGAATTTCTTTGCCTCCTCTTTTTTGTGTAACGGTCAAAAATTTAAATTTTCAAAAAATTGTATTACAACCAATGACCAAAGTCATAAGAACTACCCCGATCGATCGGTCAAAGAGAACTGCTGTCAAGGGAGATGTCGTAGGTGAAATCAACATTATACATGGAAAGAGAAAAAGAAAATTGAGTTCCAATTTCGCAGAATATGTGTCCTCATCGGAGATGATCATCAAGCCTAAATCTCCAAAACAAAACAAGAGCAAAACAAAGAAAAATAAGAAGGAATTGTCGGACAGTGATGATGTGGACGAAGATGGTACCAGTATGGAAGAGAACCCAGTTATTTATTTAAATACCGGAAAGAGCAAGTTTGAAGTGGTGGATATGGATGAAACTAAAGAAGAGAGAGAAGAAGATGCTGATGAAACCACAAGTTTATTCAGTCAAGAAATTGTACAAGACCAAAGTCGCTCCTCAAAAAACAAAAAGAAATCAAAAGATCAGAAGAAGAACAAACAACACGTCAAAGAAACAAGCCCTAAAAAGAAGGAAAAGCCAATCTTTGTTGAAGAATTACCGCCCTCAACACATTCTGAATTACCTTTCGATCCTTTGCAATACTTTTCTGAACGCATTGTCGAGTGTGTAAAGAAATTAGGAGGCACTTTCCCAGCAACTTACAACCGAAATCTTCCCTTTGTTTATGGAAGCCAAACATATGAACGATTTGATGAGTCAATGAGGTTATTCACTTGTATTAATTGGAACAACCATTTATGTAAGTATCAAGTCCTTCAAATCCAAATGTTGAATCTGTAATGGCCACACACAGTCAAGAGTTCCTTATCTAATGCAATCTTTGGCTTAGAATTTTTGCCATTTATCTTGGAAGAGCAAGACATGACCCATTATGATTTTATTTCAGACCGCAATGGTAAAATTGCTCTCATTGGTGATGCAACTGATACAATTATTGCAGCAGATATCTTCCCCACAGTTCCTTGCAGAAGTAGTGAGAAGGGGGACTTTTTACTGTATCTGATTTTCGATGACAATAAGCATAGCCCTCCTAAAGGTATTTTCCTCTCAACGTTTTTGGATTCTTTGAGTATTGACACCACTGAGTATTCAGAGACAGAACGAGATAACTTCACACAAAATTAACAAATATTTTCGTAAATTTCATAAATTATATATTTCATAAATTATAATACAGCAGCAACGTTATTCATATCATTTTGGAAAATGTCAAAGTAGTGACTACATCCATGATCTTTGAGATAATTTTTGATAGATTCCTCGTCTTCAAATTGTTGAAATTTAAAATATTGGAAGTTTCGTTTGAGAATTGTTCCTTTCCATAATAATTTAGCGGTATCAGGTTCAGCTCTATCAATGTTTGATTCCTCTTCAGGATTTTCCTTTTTCGTCCAATCAATTCTATTCAACAAAACGTGATCATATGCTTTGAGACTTTTTTTGCCTCCCTCAGCTATCAATAAAATCCTCGTCTTGTTATTGGTCTGATTTGCACATGAAAGTACTGCTCCTGTGACGCCCTTCTCCTTTGCTGTATTAACTTTAAACCTGGTTTGAGGATGTGCCAAGTTGGGTATTGAATAAAGGGCGACCAGTAATTCTGATTCTGCATCTTCATTGATTTTTCTAATTTTTTTCTCTCGTTTCTCTTCCTTTGTTAGTTTTTGAGCTTCCATTCGTTCTTCGTGTGACTTTATCCTCTCCGCAATTTCCCTCTTAATACGCATTTCCAGTTCAGTGGGATCCTCTCCAGAGGCTAGAAGAGCTTTCATATAATTTCCCATGTTCGCTTTTGGAGGAGGTGGTGGGATCAGACCTAATTTAATTTTTCTCTGTTTTTCCTTTTCTCTTTGAATTCTTTGCTGTGTTCGCATTTTCTTTTGTTCCTTTTTAGTTAACATTAAAGGTAATGGTCCAACTTCGACTTTCTTCTTGAGCGGTTCAACAAGAACAGGATGTTCCACAAAATTATGTTTGACCATTTTTTCCTTAATTTTAAATGAGCTTGTTTCTGTGTCGTAATCTCTCTCATATGGATCAATGTTTGGATCTACTCTTGAATCGTCTCCTTTTTTAAAGCTTTTCAATATTCTTTTATCCCACCAAAAAGCATCAGGTATTGTTGATTCATAATCTTCCACTCGTCTACATCCCAACATTAAATGTAACTCTCCAATTTCTTTTTCTTCCTGAATGAGCCGTTCTCTTTCTTGTTCTTTTTGTATTCGTTCTTGTTCTCTTTTTTCTGCTTCTAGTTGTTGTTTAAGAAGGGCTTTTTGGCGTTCTTCTTCCTCTAACTCTCTCATAAGTTTTGCTTTTTCAATAAATTCTCCTTTTTCATGAAATTGAAGACCTCTTTTTCGTTTTTTTCGGTCTGCAGTAGGTAATCCTAATGAAGGATCATAAATTTCTTGTTTTTTGATGCTTGGAGGTTTTTCAATTTTCAATGCATTTTCTTTTTTTTCCTTTTGTCGTCTTTGATTAATCTTTGTTGTTACCACAGTTTTTCGTGATTGAATAATTTTACCTGTTTCATCTACTAAATTACCAAATTCATCCATGATTACTGCTGAATACGAGCTTGCAGCAGGTGTGTTTGATGATGCTGAATCCCGAGATGATATTTCTCTATCAGCTTGATCGTTTGTTGTTATTACGGAAGTAGATTTTGAACCACCTTGATATGTTTTGCCGTCGGATGGTTCGGAGGAGGCTCCTACTGGTTTACCTCTCCCTGCACGTCCACCAAGAAACATTTTTTTTAATTGTTTTTTGCTTGGTTCAGGTTCAACTTTAGCCAAGTGCCTTACCAATGAAAGACTCCTCCACCTTGTTATTGTAGCAGTGTGTCTCTCAGAAACAATTGATCTCTAACAATAGGAACTTTTCAAAATAAACACCCCAAAAGTCGCTATCTGCAACGTTCATCTCTACTTTCCAACCACAATCCAAAACGCGAACGTTCTCTCTCATTCATAGTTATTACCTATTCCTAAAAAAATACTCCAACAACACCTTGTGTTGATATTTACAACAACAACACACCTTCATCATCACCACCAACGGTTGTTGTCTCTTTTTTTAAAAAACACATTCCTAATGCCTATCAAATACTTTCTCGTAACCGATGGTGCTGATGTTCTTGCTGAATCACCAACTCAGCAAAAACTCAGAATGATCCTCATGGATAAAGTGGTACCCAAGTTGGAGAGAACAAACCATAAGAGAGTTTTGACCAATGATGAGTATGTGTTGTAGTTTAAATTTTGCAACAGTGATGATATATTTTGTTGTTGATGAATGCGTGTTTTTGTTTTTGGATGTTATACTGGTCGTTACCTATTAATTTCTTGTCAACCCGATCTTCAATGTATTCTCTTATATTTATCAATCAAATTATGACCATTTGCAATTGTCAAATGACATGTCAAACCAATACATCATCGATCTACATGATCGCAAATGACCAAATTGGCCAATCACTTCATCAACGTTGTCATATTCATCTTCTCGGAATATAGCAACAACATTTATGTAAAATACAGTGGAAGATATTATTACTTTTGCATTGCAACTCAAGAAATCAAACAAAGAGTTTGTTGGAACTTGATTGACGAAGTTGAAAATGAAACATTGAAAAATAATTTGGACAAGAGTCTTTTGAAGGAGAAGCTAAAGTTCTACAACAATCCCGATAATGACAAAATTCAAAAGTTACAAAATGAGATTGATAGGGGTATGTTTTTATTTAAATAGAATGATCGATTTGTCTAAATTTATTGAAACATTCTTTGAAAACAGTTCGTGATGTCATGGTAGAGAACGTTGACAAAATCTTGGCAAACCAAGAAACAATGAATGGTTTAATTGAAACCACAGAAGAACTCGCTCAACAAGGTGAAGAGTAAGTAGTCCTTTTGTTTTTTCGTTTTGGTCTTTTGAACTGTCACACTTTATAGATTCCAAAGAGGAGGAAGAAAGTTGAAGTGGAGCATGAGAAAACGTTTAATTATCATCATTGTTATTATCATCATGGTGGTTTCAATCATCCTTGCAATTATCATTATTATTTTGATCGCCTATTTCGCTCCAAAAGCAAACAGTGGTAACAACAAATAAACACACAGCAGTATCTCTTGTTTCTTATATTATTATTTGAATCAGAATGTTAGTACACGATCAATTGTGTCATCAGTTGTTCTTATATTCATCTTTGGTTGGGTATAATGTTCTCAGTTGATTGATCCAACTCTTGGAGAATTAACCGTACGACATCCTTGATTTTACTCACCACCGTGTAATCCACACATTCTTTGTTCATGTTTTCCAATACTTTTCGCAGTTCCAGTTGCTCATGCAGAGATGAGATATCTTGAGCTCTTGCTCCAAGATTAGGGAATCTTTGGCACAAATCGTTGTGGTGAACTAGGAAAGCCATCAACTCGTTAAGCAGAATGTCAAGTACTGCCAAACAATTCACCGTTTTTGCCTCCTGCAAATAATTTTCTTCCTTAGACTTTTGAATTTCAGATGCCAAGTGGTGAATTTCAAGCGAAAATTGAACATTTCTTGATTCAGTCTCTCGACGAGAACATTCACACTCTTCTAACAATTTGCGCAAAGATTCCATTTCCGTTGCATGTGATTCTGTCAAGTCTTTAACTTTAACTTGAGCCATTTCTAATTTTTGATTCAAAGTTTCAACCTTTTTTTCAAGAATAAGTCGTTCAGACTCTTCGTTTGCAGAGGTAATCTCGTGTTTGTGGACAATTTCTCTATTTTCATATTCGAGTACATCTAATTTCTTTTTAAAGTTAACAATTTCTTCGTTTTGGGAGGACATTGTAGATTCGAGTTGTTTCTTGTGTTCTTCGTACTTCTTTGTGAGGGATTGATTTTCATTTTGCAAGTCAGAGATTTGCTTTTTCAACTGTGATTCATGCTCCAGCATGTCTGAAGCTTTTTTTTCCAAGTCAGAGACGTTATTGCGTAATTTTTCTATATCATCTTGATGTTTGTTTTGTAACTTGTCATAATTCTCAGACACTTGTTTACATTTTTCAGTCATTTGTTCATTTTCATGTTGGAGTGATTGGTATTGTTCTTGCAATAAAGAATATTTCTCTGTCATTGATGAGACCTGTGTTCTTAGTATGGCCAATTGATTTTCAGAATCTACAATTTTAGTTCTAAAGGATTCATTTTCGTTGAGTGCTGAATGATGCTCCTTCTCAATGCTCGTGATCTTTGTTTTTAGTTTTTGAATTTCCATCTCCAATTCATGTTTGTTTCGTAATTCTAATTGCAAGTTGTGGTTGTATTGTTTGAATCGGTCAATTTCAGATTTTAAAGAATCAATTTCCATGGTTAAATTTTGAATTTCTGTCACGCTCTCCAAGTAATCTTGTTCGAAATTCTTTTTCATACTATTCTCTTCAAAATTATCTTTGCTTGATTTTATCTGCTCAATGGAGGATAGTGTTTTAAAAGTGAGCATGGAATAGCATGACGCTTCTTCTATCTCTGGAAACGAGTATTTGATCTTATATTGTTCATAGAGGGAGTTATATTTTACAAGAATAGAATTGAATTCTGACTCTGAGAGTTCAATGTCAGGTGTTTGATTCAATTGTTGTTCAATTTCTTGCACTCGATGATTCATTCGAGGCACTAGAGAGCACAGATATCGATAGGCATGAGTTTTTTCAAAATCTTTGATCATGGTTGTGAATGAGATCCTTCTTTCATTTTCCTGTTTGATGAGTTTATTCAGCTCATCAATGGTTGTTTGGAGTCTTCCACAAAATACGTTTCGTTGAAATAATTCGAGGCGAGTCAGTTCATATATTTCATCCATATGATCCATAGCCTTAGGATCAACCAAACATTATGTTGTCATCGTATATAATTATAATTAAATTATTTATCATTAAATATTTAAAGACATGTATTGATAATTGAAAAAAAAAGAAATTATTGACATACCTTAAATCGTGGATAAAAGTGTCCTAAAATACTTTGAGTGTTGCTCAGCTTGGATAAATTCGAAAATTGTTGATAAATATCTGACCGGAGTATAGAGTTCAGTATGTGTCGCAATTCTATGATACAATTCATCCATTTGGAAGGATCATCTTTACCAGCAGCAATTTCTAAAAACAAATTCTCAATCTTGTCCTTATTTAAGGAAATGCCAATAGAGGTCTTGTTCAATTCTTCCAGTCTTGTATTAAATTTTTCTATAAATGCTTTCATTTGCTCTTCTACATTATTGAAATGTTCATTCAGTGATTTTGGTTTTCCTAAATTGTTATTCACATAAATATTTTTCAGTTTAGAGAGATTCATGTGCTGCAATTCAGGAGTTCTCTTCTTGATGGTCTCAATGATACATTGAGATTTGTCTTTCATTGAATTAAAATATTTAACAATGGATTGAATTGCATCGTATTGTTTCATGCAACCATCCAACAAATCTTGAAATAATTGTTGAGCGCTATTTGTGATACTCTCTTTTGATTGTTGTTCTTTGATTTCAAGACATGCTTTGAGAATATTGTCTCGCCAAGTCTTGGCAATAAAGACAAACAACTGATCACTATTTTTAAACTGTTTGTTTGAATCAATGAATGACAATGAACTGCTCATCATCATCGTCACAACAACTTACAATTTCCGAACAAATCGAGTCGTTTTTCAGTTTCTTTCCATTTCTATCAATGACTAACACCTCATCAGCATGAACCTGTAAAGTCCTTGATATAAATTCAATGACATCAATTCCTCTAAAGAAAAAGAGTGAGCGACTCTCAAATGTTTCAAATTCAATTAATCCTACCTCTTGAAAATCAATGATGATGATTCAACAGAGCTCTGATCGTCATGTATGAGTGATCCTGAATTTGCCAAATATATTCCAAATCGATTTGAAGAATCACTTTCAGTCAAATCACAACAACAAGTACTACTACTACTATTGGAACTATTACTCATCACTGATGAATCACAGGAGTGAGAAGGATCACTCTCGGGTGATTTGAATCGCATCGAGGATGGACGATTTGATGAAGGTGTTCCGGTGGTGGTGCGTCTGTTACTGCCATTGTTATTATTGGTTGGAACACTGCTAATTGCCAACTCATGATGATCTTGAATCATAATGATGATATTTATAAACACAACTCAATTTCAAATAAAAGGCTTCAACGAAGGAATGATGAGCAGCGAGGAGTGGAGGATATAATGACGGTAGTGGTGGTGTCGAATTCGAAAAAGAAAAGGCTTTTTGTTTTTTTTAAAGTCAAGATTCAACCTCCCAATTCGAATTCACGTTGTTTCAGTCGACTTGTTGACAACATTCGTGTTTCATCATGATCCTTCATACGGAGAGTTCTCGAGTCGAGGTGGTCGATAGTGAGTAGTGAACATTGTGATGAATTCTGTCCTCGTTTGTAAAGAACATGAATGCATTCACATCCATCATCCAGATGTTATTAGCACGATGGAAATAGAAAATCCCACCAACAAAAAATACAGGAATGGGTTTATTGAAAAATAAACAAATTATAGGTACTCAATTGTCCGACGATAGTGTGTCTAATGGGTGTGTAGGTGTGAGGTGTAGATGTTGTTGGGGTTGAGTTCGCCAAGCTGACTGCTAAATGTTTCCCAAGCAGTTATCCCACCAACAAAAAATGAAAGCAACAACAACACACATGCAAAGGCTTTTTTGTCCGTCATTCCATCGTTCATTTGGTGTTACAATCCACCAATCAACATCCTCATTCCTATCACAAAAGTGTAAAAATCAACAAACACTTGCTGCATGGTTGTCTCAATGTATTTCTCTCCAGAGAAAACCTGTTCGGATCATTGTTTCAAATTCCAATGATCCCTTTTTCAATTTAGCTACTGAAGATTATTTGTTTATTGATGAAAAGAGTAAACAGGTTGAAACTTTGTTTTTGTGGAGAAATGATAAGACTGTAGTGATCGGAAAACATCAAAATCCCTATAAAGAATGTAACATTTCAAAGATGACCCAAGATGGAGTCAATCTCGTACGAAGAAGATCGGGAGGTGGAGCAGTTTATCAAGATTTAGTAAGTATTCTTGTGGTCTAAGACTTTATTGCAATTCGAAACGTTATACCTATCAAACTACTTTGCAATTCGAAACGTTTGCTTACGGAATTCTCTCCAATAGGGAAATAGTATTTTTACTTTCATTTCTCCAAAAGAGTACTATTCAAAGGAACAGAATTTTGAAATTTTAATTAACGCTCTCAAAAATGGATTTAACATTCAAAGTGAACTCAGTGGAAGAAATGATTTAATTTTGTCTGAATGTAAGAGAAAAATTAGTGGGTCTGCTTTCAAGCAAGGAAAAGATGTTTGTGTTCATCATGGAACCATGTTGCTCAATCTTGATGTTAATGCACTACAAAATTATTTAACTCCACACAAACTGAAATTATTGAGCAAGGGAGTGGCGAGTGTTGCAAGTAGAGTTTGCAATTTAACAACAATATCTCCTATCATTTCTCATGAAACTCTGAACAAATGTATTATTACTGAATTTTGTAAGAGGCATGGATTTAATTCAAGTCAAGTAGAAATCGAGAACATTGATCAGAGTTCTTTTGCTAATAACAATGAATGGCAAGATTTTTACAAACAATTAAGCGATCTAGAATGGAATTATGGCATGACACCAGATTTTACTTACAATATCGAAACTAAATTTGAGTGGGGACTTGTTGACCTTCATATTGATTACAAAGCAGGGAAAATTTCGTCTGTAAAAATGTTTAGCGATTCTCTCTTTCCAGTTCTTGTAGAGTCAGTTGAAGAAGGGCTTGTTTCTCAAGAATTTTCAAAGAATGGAATTAATTTATTCGAATCGTGGATGCTCAATGTGAAAATACCTTCTCTACCCAACATTGATGATGCCTCAAAGCAATTACTTCAAACTTACACCACTCAACTTTGTGCATGGATGTCTGTTGCTCTATTTCAATAGTCTGAATGTCTCATTCCTCACAGTAGATCAACAACAAAGGCCTCTCACCAAATAAATTTGCTCCAATGTCACTTGTCATATTGTATACCAACAAAAAATTTTTTACTCTCTCATCATGAGCATTGGTACACAAGCCGTCGAGTCCAAGCACCACAAGAGTGGACAACGGCTCAATATCATGAAAGAAATCCTCGATACCGAAAAGAATTATTTAACGGAATTGGAGGTTTGTATTGAATATCGATCGACATCAATAACATTCTTCTAAAATACAAAACAACCACAACACCACAATAATGGATTGAAAATTAACCATCATCATCTTCATCATCACTATTAATATCAAACGAATGGATGGACACATGAAATACCGATTGATGGTGTTAATGGTATTATTCACTACTCTCTCATCACATCCTCTCATTCCATTGAACTCTCAGCTGTTAGAAGAATATTATGCCAAACCTCTCAAAGAATTAATTGGTAAACAGAAATTCATCACTCAACCACTCTACAACAAGATATTCAAAGGAGATTTGGTCATTATTAGAAAAACCAATTCGGAATTGTACCATGAATTAATAGAAAATTTTGAAATGGAGAGAGCCAACAAAGTGCGTATGTATTGTTGTTGTGTTTAAATGATTTGGAGATCATCATGTCTTTTATCATGGATGTGTGACTCAATTCGTGAACACACACTTGACACCTTTCATATGAAACTCTTCAACCATGATGATGATGATGTGAATCACGTGAATCACTTCACACAAATGACCATTCATTCACTGCTCGACTAACAAACACCACCAAATACCACTATCAAATACCACCACTTCATCCAACATCATCCATCATGAAACATCCCACTCAACCACCACTCAATAGCCAACAAAACATTTGGACAAATCTTTCTTCAATATGCTCCTTTCATTAAGGGATATACTCGATATTTCAATGAATTTGATAACATCAATTCCACTCTCGAGGACATTCGTAAAAACAACAAACCTCTTCAACTCTGGTTAGATGCACAAAGAAAAGAAGCTCGAAACAAACCATTGGGTGGTCTCTTAATCACTCCAGTTCAACGTGTTCCTCGATATAAATTATTATTAACAGAATTAGTGAAATATACTTCTCCCATATCACAAAGATTATCCAATGTTGACCAATGCACTCACACAAATTTCAGAAGTTGCAACTGAATTGAATTCGAAAATGCGTGAAAGTCAAAATCGATCTCGAATGTATGCCATTGATTCATATCTTAAAGGAAGAGAAAAATTAATTGAAATGGAACCTAACAAACAAATTGTTCAACCTGGAAGACTCTATTTACAAGAAATTCCTCTTTATGGAGTGTATAGTAAGAAATTTAATGTGAATATTACTCATGCAGTATTAATCCTATTTAATAACATGTTTATCTTTTGTAAGAATTTGGAACCAGAAAAATCGACCACACTTGAAGAAGTTGATGGACGTACGATTTATAATTATGAAATTTTTGAATTTGTTTTTGAACCAGTCATGTGTGACGCTCGATTGGTCGAAAAACAAGGAGATTTATATCCATTCCCTTGGATAATTGACATTCCATCGGAAGAAGAAAATCGAATTGAGGATTTGAGTGAATCAAGTGCAACCAATACTCCAACTGCCATCTCAACAACGACAACACTAATCCCGTCAACACCAACCCTGACAACCTCAAACAATCAACAGAGATCATCATCCATTGTAACATCATCTTCTCAGGATTCAAATGTAGAGAAAAAAACCAAACACAACATGAATGATTTATACATTTTTAAAAAACCTCTCTTTCAATTGGTTTCACAACATGATGTCTATACTTTACAATTTAACTCAGTCACAGAGAAATTAGATACTTTGAGAACAATCTATGACATTATTGATGAACAATTCAAAGATTGTAAATCTAAAGAAAAAGATCAAAAGAGATGTCTTTTCTTGAGTTATGAAAAGGAAAGAATTCAACTCTATTCAGAAAAGAAAGTATCATTACCAAAAGAATTAAACAACGGTGGAGACACTGCTAATCAATTAATCTCAACATGGAACTATCTCACACAGAAAGACTTTCCAAAAATTAAATCTAAAAAGAAAATAGAGGAATTATTGGCCATTGTGAATGAAAAAGTGATTGAAGAATACAAACAAAAATTGAATTATATTCCAACAGTTGAAGAACAAGCATTGGGTGCATATTATGCCATTGCTGATTGTGTGGATACAGACAAATCTCTCTTTCAATTGGATTTTCACATTGGAGATATTTTTATACTTTGGCAAAAAGTGAAAAATGGAAAGAAGTGGTTTTTGGTGGTAAGTACTTTGGAAGAATTTTATTGTATGACCACACAAATGGTTGAATCAACATTCTTACTACTATCCTTACCACTACGACCAACAACAACACTACTACTACTACTACTATTACTACTATTACTACTACCATTCACAACAACAATAACAGCAAAAAACAGGTTTAAATTTCAGTCCTATGCGTAAAATTCAACTCCTTGATGAACTCTTACCCAATAACTTGAAAGATATGAAATCAGTGATGAGAAAACAACAATTGGCCAAAAAAAAGAAACCAAAAACACCCAAACAAATCATTTCCATCTCCGATCACTACTGTAAAATAGAAAAAGAATTAGAAGCAGACAAAATGTTAGAAGAAATTGCTCTCGAATTGAACTTTTTGTCTCTTCTCAATTCGGATACGAACTTGTTTGAGACGAGTGGAAAGAAAACATCCGAGAAGGATCGTGCAGAATTCAAAAACCAAATTCGAAAGTCAGTGAGCCCAGCACTCATTGGAGCGAACAAGGATGAATACAAACAACACGCAGATACTCTCTTTTACAAGCATATCTTCAATGTGAGTTCTGAAAAAGGCCAAGTAGGTCTAGTACCAACAAAAGCACTTGCAGAGTTGCCCTATCAGACGTTTAAAACTTTATTGACGCTCATGGAGAAGAGAGATTCCATTGAGAACAAAAAAGTGAGAAACTTTTCTGTCCTTAAGAAGGCGCCTTCCAACTCATCTTCTACGGAGAGGTTGGGAGCCTCAAGCAATGGCAGTAATAGTAATAATAGTAACAACACGACTGCCACATCACCACCCACTCCTCAAGATCAACCTAGCAATAGTACTTCCAATGGAGGAAACTCGGAACCAACGCAAGAGAAAAAGAGCAAATTGTTTGGTCTATTCAAAAAGTAATCATTCCGTTATTTCTTCTCCAAGCAACATACCGTCGTTATGAATTTCTTCTCCAAGAAACATCAATTTCATCAGAATATTCTTAATAAACCTTAACTGATATATTTTGGAATAACACTATAGAGTACAAGAAATCCTACTACTAGTGCTATGAGCGGAGGTAGTAATACAACTACACCTATGCAACCCCAACAAAACATAACTGCCACTGTTTCACAAGGATTTCTCTTATAGGAGTATCTAATGTAGGCGATTAGACTTTTTTCTGCTTTTGCTCTCTCTTTAATATCCTTATTGATCATGGAGTGGGTCGCTTTAATGTTGGGGCCTGGATAGCATATTATAAACCTTCTCCAAAGAAAATCTTGATTGCCAAGCTTATTCCACCTCTGATTCACCTCCGATAATGCATTAAGGGTGGATCTATCCAAAAACGAGAAGATATTAATCAACATTTCATCAGGAAGATCGTTAATGTTATTGTTGTTTTTGATATCAACAACAGTAGTGAAATAATTGGTTGAAGAACACAAGTCGCAAAGCCTTGAACGGCATTGTTGGCAATACAACATTTTTTAGTCAAAGGCTTTTGCCACAAAATTCAGGAAGAAAAAAATGTCTGAAAAACAAACCGCCACTTCGTCCTCCACGGCACACCCTCTGCCCACGGTCTGCACACAGAGCGGCAATATGTGCACGGAGGAAGAAGAAGAAAAGAGACTTCAGCAGTACTTTCAGAAATTTTACAAGACAGACAAAAGACATCGCATTGATTTACAGTGGTTTGGACATCCGATAAGGTACGTAGCAATATACTCATCATCACGAACAATCCTCATCATCATGATTCAGTAATGATATGAACCGTCCGGTATTGGTAGATATTCTGGTCTCCAGTCGAAAATTAAAAAACGAAGAAACATCACCAACTGAAGTTCTTTTTAAAACTCATTCTTACGAAATCAAATTGATTCCAAACGAGCATTTCTTTGAGTGGAACGGAGGGAGAAAAAGTGGATACACTGTCGAATTGAAATTATTCAAAAAAGTTGTGAACACAAGAAAGAAAAAAGACGACGACTCTCAGGACTCTTTCGCAGAACACACTGATTGTGGAGTGCCTCTTATTAGCTACAGTTTTACTGAAGACGTGTTCTCTAACACATGGATTTTAAATCTTATTTGGCCTGACGAGAAAACAAAGATCTCGTTTAGGGGTGATTTTTTCTTTTCTGTTTCAGTGTTCAGAAAAGTGGATGCTGATACATCAAGAAGAATATTCACACGAGTTTCGAGTCGATTTAAGATTGTATCCAAGCCAGGTGTTTACTTAAACAAGAAGAGAAAAAAGACAGATGAAGAGGAAGATGTGGAAGGTGAATCTGACCTCTTTAAAAAGTTGCCACCACCATCACACCTTATTCCAACAAATCCTTCCACTACCTTATTTGCAAATCCTGTAGTCAACTTAATGCCAAACTTAGATGCCTCACACAATTCATCTCTTGTAAATCAATACTATCAACAGGTAGTGTTCGAACAAGTCGCACAATCCAATCAACACCCAGTAATTTCATTCTTCCCTCCACCCGCATCAGCTTCAAACAGTGCTCTTCCATTTCCACCAAAATCGGCAACACAAACGAACCAATTATTTGGCGAGCAGCAATCAAATCAAAATGTTAAATTTTCACTGGAGAAAACTCAAGATTTATTCTCATTCACTCAAGCATCTCAATTAGCTGCTTCACAGCACAACACACTGCTTCCATCATTATCAGATCTAGGCAATTTGGTAACGCCAATGAAAACTGAACAAGATGAGAATCCTTTCTCTCCAATTACGCCCAACTCTCCCATTACACCCTCTGGTATCTTTGGAACTCATCAACCAACACCACAAAAAGGGGTGTTGAGTTTGAACTTTTCACAAGAGGTTCCAACAACAAGCAACACTCAAGATCCTTGGAGTTTCTTTAATTCTCAAGAAGAGGCAATGCAAGACTCGAAAAAGGATGATTTCTATTACAAAATGTTAGCAGATGAGAAACGTGTATAAATTTAACTTATTTTGCATATCAAGTCTCTTTATTTTGTGTGGAAATGACCAAATAGATACATTTTGGTCTAAGGATTAGAGAAAAAGTGGTCAAAATCGTGACAAAATTGTGATCTCGTTATGTGGAAGGTTAATCAAAATTGTTGGCTGCATTCACATGGTTGGTGTGAATAGCGTTTTGTGGTCAGAATGTTCATTGAGTGCAAACTGATTTTCGCACAGGTTTGGTGGAGTAAGGTTAGCGAATTGAAAATCTGAAACGGAGTTGCCAAAGAGGCTGTTACTACCAAAGGAATAACTCGCTTCATCACAAGAAGAGGTCGAGATTCGTGCAGGATCTGTTTTCGTTAGGTTTTTTTCATCTTGAGCATTTCCAGAAATGGTGAAATGGTGTCCACAATTAGCACTCTCATGGGATCTTGGAGCACTACTACTAGTACTACTCGTACTGTTGTTGTATTTCATACATTTCACTTCTCTCCATTGTATATATTCCTTTGTTTGAATGAAACGAGAGAATGCGTCAAATAAATTAGTACAGACATCTCTTTTCAGAAAATCCACAAGTGTCAGTGTGGATTCGACATCAATTTTCTTTGAATGTCTCTCTTTTTCAATGAGTTGTCTTGCATGATGAGAGACATTCACCTCCAATTCACTCTCCATGCTTAAAAACTTCTCATGAATGGATTTGATATGTTTCACCCTTGATGTCGAAGACAAATTGGGAATTCTATTTTCCAACCATTCCAATTCTTTGAATAGTTCAATATTTTCACTGCACATTTGTTTGGAACAATAATCGTAAAAAAGTTCCAATCCAATTGGATCTCTCAGTAATGAAATAACTTCTTTTGCATTGATGGATGGATACATGGTTGAGAAGAGTGTATTCTCTTCGTCCGTAAGAGAGTCAGGTGGATATAGTTGGTAAGAGGGATGAGAGGAAAGACAACTGGAGACTTGATTGGAGTCTGAAATAATTGAATGAGTGGTTGTGGTGAGAGTGCTCGGTTGTGAGGATGATCGTTTGGATCTTCTCTTGAGTAGACCTGATAAATAACCTTGTCGATGAGCAGAAGGAGAAAGTGATTTGATTTTGCCATCCAAAGCACCCATTGATGGATTCGTAGTTGGAATTACGAGTAAGCTTGGTTGTTGTTGTCCACCACTACCACTACTACAAGTACTACTATTACTACTTGATCCATGACTGCTGCTGGCCGAGAAGGAAGAAGAGAGAAGTGTTGTTGGAGAGCAGCCTGAGGAGTGAAGTTGTCCTTGTCTTCCTCCTCCTCGGATAAGGACTCGAGATTTCTGATTGGGAGAAGAGGGTTCACTCAGGCTTTGAGTAGTAGTGATAGCACTGCTTTTTGACTTGTTACCACTGCTACTACTCTTCATCACCATCTGCGCAGAAGAATCTTCTTCATAGAAATTCGAGGTTGGTGATTTGGAGGAAGAGGAGGATCTTGTGAATAATGAAATGGTGAAACGTTTCTTTTCATTGTTGTTGTTGTTTGAAGTGCCATGATCACTACTGCTGCCAACAGTAGCACGATGGAGGTGATTTTCATGAAAACCTCGGTGAATTAATAATCCAATGGATGCTCTGTTTCGAGAGAAGCCATTCTTTTGCGATGGTTGTTGTTGCTGTGGAAGGCAACTTGGAATGGAAGAAGGTGGAGGATGGTCAAGAGAACCGACATGATTCAATGTGGTGGTGGTTGAGGTTGTGGTGGTAGAATGGGTGACATTGGTGGTCATGGTAGTAATGGATGATGCATCTTCACCACCATGATAGAGCAATTCTCTCTTTCGCGCAAGAGAGGATGATGATTGATTCACTCCCATTCTCTTTCTCTCTGAGAGATGATATTCCACAACAATGTGTGCTTGTTCTGAGTGTGTGTGAAGGAATGAATGAAAATGAATGGATGATAAAAGAGCTCTTCTCTTGTGTTCGTGCGTGTGTGTGGCTAATCCAAATCGAAGAATTGTTTTTCGACGTCGAAACAAACGACTCTTCGTTTTTCCCGTGCACGTGTGTGGATGTCATTCATTGTGCGACTCCTTTCTTGATTCTGACAGTTAATGGTTCAACGCCAATTTCAACCTCACGCACGCAAAAAAATAATTCATGGATTTTGAGGTCAGGATCCTTAATACAGACCTGTGCAATCTATTGCAAGTATGGTTCTTATCATATTTGTCAATAAATTTATCATCATTAGATTCATGGATGAAGGATCCTGAAAGAAGTTCAACTTTTGCATTTCCATTTTCATCCTCAATTGGTTATATCCGATTTGGAAACGTAGAATACCAGATATATTGCAAAAAAAAATCAAAAAAAAATGTCGATTGCAGTAAGTTTTATTGAGTACTTCTTTTCAGCACTAATCATGATTAGAATGTTGTTGATCAAGAAGACATGTTGGATATTTACGATGATGTTCTTAGTGCTTCAGTAGTGGCTTCAACCACTTCCGATGCACATCCATCATCATCATCATCAAATAATAATAATAATAACATGGGATCAACAACAAGTACATCCATCGTTGGAAATTTTGACGGAGGATTGGATCAAATCAATAGCCAAATTAATGATAGACTCAATGATTCGACCTATGAAGATGATTCTAATGCAACACCTTCCATTAAAATTAGCAATTTACAATGGGTGAGTATATAATCGGAAGGTGGACAGAATATTATTGATAATATTATCATCTTTTACATTTTGAAAAATATATTTTGTATTTTCATTGATTCTTCTCTACTACAGTGGACAACCGATGTGTTTATGGAAAATATTCTTCAAAAATTTGGAATGATAAAAACATTAAAATTTGAAGAGGAAAAAAACAATGGTAAAAGCAAAGGAATTTTGAATTGTGAATTTGATGATAAATTTCAAGCAATGAAAGCCAAAGAAACTCTTAATGGAATGAATATTCATGATAATGTAATTCAAGTCGAATATATATCAAAAATTCCAACTTCAAGGTATTCTGTAAATACTCAACAACAAAATAGAAGACAAGATTACAACAGTGGAGATACAAATGACATGGATGACCATGAATTTTCTGGAAGCTCATCTCATAGCTCAATGATGAATAATGTCAACAATCAACAGCAACAACAACAACAGGACCACTATTCGAGTAGAGATTATGATGATCGACAAGGCACGAGCAAAGGATATTACACGAGTGGAGGTGGAATTCAGAGCTCGAGTAGTGGAAGTAGAGGATCATCGAGTAGTGAACGTTCTTCCTATCGAGGAAGTGATAGCAGAGGTGGTGGTGGAAGTGATTATTATCGATCGTCATCATCGTCCAGCTCCTATCCAGACAAGAAGAGAGATCGTAAAAATTATGAAACTCACACAAGCGATGGAGGCAGACGAGATAGATATGATTCTCATGGCTCTCGCTCTCAAAAATCACCAAGAAGATATGGAAAATCATCCTATTATTGAAAAGTTTAAAATACAGAATTCACTAGGATCTTGAACAATAATTTAATCATTTCTCTTTCTTTTTCCAACACCTTCATCCACAGTCTGTGTAGGATCGAATGAATCGTCAGATCTTTTCTTGAGTTTGATTTTTCTTCTAACCTTCTGAACAGCCGATGTTGTCTTTGAATTTTGTTTTCCAGATAATTCATTTCTTTGAGTTGTCTTTGAACCTTGTTGTGAAGTGTGATGTGGTGGTTGTTGAATAGATGCCATCTTGTTGCGCAAATGCAATTGAATACTTGCTAAAGGATTTGACTGAAACACAGGATGATTTACAACATTAGTAAATTGTAGAATTTCACTTTTCATATTCTTATTCTTCTTTTTGATAACATTTGTCGTTGTTTTATGTTGTTGTTGAGATTGTTGATGGACATCATTGGTGGTCTCTTCTGCCAATAATTTACTAAACGGTTCAAAATTAAATGTCACAGTCTCCTTATTCTTGTTTGTTGATTTCTTCTTCTTGTCGTCATCTTTGGCGTGTACTTCATTTATTTTCTCAACTAATTTCATTCTCCGATCTCTCTTTTCTTGCTTTTTGAGAGTTTTTCGTTTTCTTCTTGAGAGTCCTCGTTCAAACTCTAAACGATCTGTTGCAGTAATTGTTTCTTCATCATTCACATTATTTTGAGATGAAGGAGTTGTAGGATGTTCATCGGACTTTTCAATTCTTTCAACAAGAGTGGAATGTGATGCATCTTCACTCTCTGCAAAGAAACGTCTTCTTTTGAGTGTGGGTTGTTTGATTACGAGTTGTTGTTGAGAGGAAGTTTCATCAATCCTCATGGATGAATCGTTGTTTTTTGATGTCATTTTTTTTCTTGAAGAATGCACTTCATCACAAGCACCACCTCAGAGTTGAAGTGCACGTAAATCATCATCATCGGGAGAAAAGAGTGATTTCTTTTTCCATTTCTCTCTAAATGCCATATTCTCTGAGAGCTTTAAATTATGATTGTATTGAAATTTAGGAACATGAGGAATTTTAAATTTACGTAACAAGAAATAAAACAACCACTCTCCGGTTCGACTGCACCGACAGTGAAACATACAAAATAGGAACATCATTGGTGATAAGTTGACTCGATTGTCACAAACTTACTAAATAAACCAACCCCACATTAAGGTGTTAAACACAAATTTCGGAATATCCAGTGCAGTTGAAGAAGCTTGATCTCTTGCAACCAACGATGACATTTTTTTGCAGCCCTTTTTCGAATCAAGGATATCAGTCCGAGTTGTCCAACCCTTTTCGAATTAGAAATCAAGGATCTCACTCTGCTCCTCCTCCTACTTAAGTGCGACTTTGTCACATGAATTAAAAATTGCAATCTCTCTCTGGACAACTTACGACAAGTTTATTGTCACATTGTAAGATGGTTTTAACCATGTTTGTGTTAAATCATATGAACCTGGACCCAAATGATGGTTATGACCTTGTTCTACCAGTGTGGAGTGCCCTAAAGACTTGGCAATGTTAATACCTCTCGGTTTTTTACTGGACATTCCTGGAGGTAAATAATTTGGACCTAGTAATGTAGCTCGATCAAGTATTTTCGTGTCGCTAAATCTCTTACTAGAGGAAATAAAGCCATGCATTTTAGGATCAGAAACATTGAAACTTTTTTTCGACCAATTTTCTGTAATATTGTACTGCCCTACTGCAGGAAATACCTCTTTGTCTCGTTTCTTTTCTGTCTGCGTCGTGCGTTTGGTTCTAGATTGAAAAACAAAGGATCTCTGATCTGGTTTTCTAATATCATATTGGGAAGTATCAGTAGGATTGTAAGATCCAGGTGGAGGAGCTGTTGGCTTGAGTTCTCGATAGGTGAACCGAGCTGCAGTACTTCCAAACACTCCATAGCTGCCTTTAGTTTTCTTTGATAGCTCAGTGATAAGGCTGTTCGAGTCGTGACTGATGTATGAGCCTGGACCAAGCTCAGTATTTTCTGGTTTGTGTGTAAATCTCTCAGATTTTGAATTAAAAGCTCCATGAACTTTTGAAATATCTGTATTGATTGGTAGATCATGGTGTACGTCCTTTTTAAAGTATTCACCTGGACCTGGATTGTTAGATGTTGTGGGGGTTGATTCCAAAGATCTTGGGGTAGTACTTCCAAAAGGAAACTGTTTTTTCTTCTCCTTCATATATTTGGGTTCTTTTGGCTCATATGATCCAGGACCTATATTCTCAAACTTTAACTTGTCAGGAGGAATCAAAGAAGATCGTTTTGTTTTGGAGTGGAATACTGAGACGTAATTTCGAAGATCAGAGTGGGAAGAGGTGGTTATATCAGCCGAATACGTTCCAGGACCTGGTGTATCTTGAACTTTAAATAATTGTCTTTTTGTATTGCTACTGAATATTCCATGATTTTTAAGAACTTTAGAATTTGAGTTTTCGTCCACAAAGTATGCACCTGGGCCAATGGAATCTTGTTGTGTTCCCATATGCCTTCGAACTGGCGGAGATTGCCTTATTAATTCACCATTAGGGCCTTCTTCATAGCCATGGGATTGAGAGTTGGCTGGAATCGAAGGTGCCGTTGAAAGATTACGAGGAGGAGAGCTCGTTCTCTTATTCTTGGGTGAAAATGTTTTGCGTTTTAAATATTGTTCTTGATCTTGATTAAAGTAAGATCCTGGTCCTGTATATACATTTTGAACCATCATATATTTTCGTATTATAATTTGAAATAAATCACTGATTTGAAAGACCATCATTACGCAACGAACACATACCTGGCAACTCTTGGCTTTGAATGAGCGATGACTGATTAAACCTGGATGTTGTTGACCTGAATACACTGGATGTATCTTTTTTGTTCGATTCGGAGGGTGATTCCAATGGTTGGTGATAATATGATCCAGGACCTGGTGTTTGAAATTTCTCTACTGAAGTGATTGTCTTTCTCTTTTCTGTTGATAAGAACGGTGCAGAGGCATATCGGGGCGTCCTTCCGATCGGACCATGTGTTAGATAGGAGCCAGGCCCAAGATTTTCTCCTGTAGTGGTCGGGTTGGTGATTATTGATGTTTCACGTATGGACCTGGACACCCATGCCATTTGTTTGTGATAGGATGCGACAATCTTCAAAATAACAACTTTGGATCTGCTGTTGCTTACAGCGCTGACTCTTGCAACTTTTTTTTATGGAATTCAAAAAACTGTTGGTTTGAGCGGGTAGAGAGCGATCGTAAATTTGCTCTCAAAACTTATTTCTTGGGAAAGATTCGAAACCAACCAATCGTACGATGCGCGTCAAGTCTCGTTGCAACAAATATATGTAAACGGAGAGATCTCTCGATATAGAGTGAAGGCCTTCAAAATGTGGTAAAAGCATGCTGATGAGATTCAATGGTCATTTCGAAGACTTGGAACAATAAATCTTACCAAATCAAAATATTGAGCTCGCACCAGAATCAATCTCAGCAAAGTCATAATTTTGAATTTGATCTTCGTGACCAAAGAATGGAACAATGAACTGTTTCATACACTCCTCTTCATTCATTCACTTGTCTCCATAAATAAACAAGTGCTTGATTGAGTGATTTTTGTATGAAGGTAATCCATTAGTTTCAGAGAGAACTTGTTCTAAAAAGTCTATCAGTGGCATATTTCGAGTCGAGATAAAGGAGTCTTGATCAACATTCACAAAAGTATCTATATCACTCGTTTCTTGTAAACTATTATTTGAAATTAAATGTTCAATACATAGATACTCCAAATGGAGAGCATGGCAAAGAGAAATGAAAAATTTACCATCCAGTAGAGTATGACCCTTAATGTCAAGAAATTCCAAACAATGAAATTCTTTCAACATGAATGTCACATCATCATCTTGTAATTTAAATATTTTACAATTTGCATGTACAATTAATGTTTTCAAATTTTGTGATAAATATTTCATACTCTCTGAAATATTCATTTCATGCATTCCAATACAATCAATAATTTCTAAATATTGCAATGAAGGAAGAAATGTAATCTTGTTTGGTAATTTACATTGAATGAGTTGACAAGTATGAAGAGAATGATATGACATTTGATTGGATAGGATTGATGAAGGATTGATGAAATGAGTCATTGAAGAAGATGCAAGACTCGAGGATTGATGAAATGAGTCGCCATGTGATATGTAATTCATGTTGTGATAGTTGTTCATGTTACAATTGTTATAGTTGTTCATGTTATAGTTGTTTGACACACTCTCAAGACATTCAACAATAATGTTTGAATTATCCACTCTTGTCAATGAAATATATTCTAATTGATGAAATGATGGTGATACAACATTCAAAGAAGGAGTATGTTCTTCATCATTTGTAAATGAAGAATTTTCAATCATTAACTTTTTCAATGATCGATATACTTTTCCTCGAATGATATGAAATAGATAATGATTAAACAAATTACATTGAAGAGATAATTCTTCCAAGCGAGGTGTTAAGAGGAATAAATTGGACAAGTCATAGGCATCTGAAAGGTACAATTTTTGAATGCTTAATGAGATTAAATTTTCATAAATGACAACACCATCATCATCATCAACACCATCATCATTATGGATGGATGATGGTAAGGATGATGTTGTTGTTGAGGTCGTGGTTGAGGTGGTGTTATTCTTATTCCTATTGTTGTTGTTGTTGTTGTTGTTAGTGGTGCTGTTCTTATTTCTGTTCTTCTTCTTGTTGTGTGTTGTTCTTTGATGTATTAATAAATCAATCAAGATTTGATTCACTTGGACTCCATTCAAACGAATATTCAAACCTTTCCATAAAGTTCCAAAATTTTATGTGAATCATTTGATGGAGTGTGAATGTGATCATATTCAGTCGTCTCCTCTTACCATTTCCATAACCATTAAATTGAACTTGATAGAGATCGAAAGGATCACATCATCATTACAGGATGATCTTGACATGATGGAATTTTGGATGAAAACTTTTTTGTTGTTGGAGAACTTCCTCTTTCACAAGTTTAGCAGAACATTGTAATTTATACACGCGTGTGCCACACACATTTCGCGAAACATTTTTGCACATCAGGATGATGTTATTTATTTCTCCTCCTCCTTTTTGAGTTCTACTAATCTTTTTCTTGTCTCTTGCAATGCTTGTTTCAAATCTCCACATTCTATTAACAAGTGAATAATTTTGATCAATGCATCACAACAATTGCATTGGAGTGCTTGAAAGTGATGGCAGTAGTGGTCATTATGAATCATGATCTTCTTCATTTCAGATTCATCCAAAATCTTACCCATTGCACATTGTAACAGAATGTGACCAATAGATGTGGCATTCTTTGATTTCAATTGAATCTTCATGTCATCAAAAAGATCTTCTTCTTCCTTCATGAACACCATACCTGAATGATCCATCCCTAAGCTTTTGTTCAAAAAAGTCGTCATGACATTTGATGGGTCATTCGTTGGTGAGGTGATTGGTGAGGTGATGATTGAACTGGGAATGGGTTGTTCTGGTTGAATGAATTTGTTTCTTGAAGTGAATAATTTGAAGACAGTGGAGGGAGAATGTTCCTTATTACTACTACTATTCTTATTATTACTACTATTCTTATTATTACTACTATTCTTATTATTACTACTATTCTTATTATTACTACTATTCTTATTATTACTACTATTCTTATTATTACTACTATTCTTATTATTACTACTATTCTTATTACTACTTCTACTACTAACATGATCAATATCTTGAATATATTCCATACCTGACAAGACAATATCATAATAGCGAGGAGTAGTAGTAATATTATTATTATCATTATTATCACAAATGTATAATAATACATGATCGAGTGTGAGTTGTGTATGAATATATTGTCGATCATGCAAATATTGAATGACTTGCATGATTTTATAAATCAAATTCAATAATTCATATTCAGAGAAGAGAACCATGGTGGTGGTATGAGTGGTATGAGGAGAATGTGTTGTAGTGATATCATTTTGAGTGTTCAGAAGATGAGCAGAAGAAGTGGTTGTTGATGTGTTCATAGTAGTACTAGTAGTAGTAGTAGTATTCATAGTAGTAGTACTAGTTCTAGCAGTCAATGACATTCTTGTTGTGTTGTGAAGAGAATAATCATTCAATAAGAGTGTTCGAAGTGAAATGGGATAGTATTTGGTTACAATACAATAGTAGAATGGATCTTCATTCTTAGTAGTAGTATTATTATTGGTATTATTATTATTATTGGTATTATTATTATTATTGGTATTAAATCCAACATGACCAATAAATTCTTCTATTTTCCCAACAAGATATTTGTGTTTGAATAGAGTAAATTTGGCAGACTGAGAAATTTCATGACAATCATTATGATTGTATTGATCAATCACAATAATTGATTCATTTAACATTGTTGTTGTCGTACATTTTTATGCACCATTTTCATAAAATATTTATGGAATTGTGTGAATTCAGAAAATTTGAAATGTCATTTCATACCTACCATTTCTGTAAAATCTTTCAAATTTGTATATTTTCGAACATGATACATTGTACCTAGATTGGGTTCTACTAAATCCATGACTTTGAATAATTGACAATTATTATTATTATTGGAATGTTCATCTTGAGAATGACATATTTTAAATCTTGTACCTCTACTGTCATTGATATATTGTTCATGATATTTCTGAATATATAAAAGATTAAATCATCATATATTTCAATAAGGTCATTACGATAGAGTTTAAAAAGAACACGAAATGTTGTTGTACCTACCTTCAAATATTCTCTTATTAAATATTCTTGTCTCTTCAGAGTGGTGGTGGTGAGAGTAGTGGAGAAATTCAAGTGACTTCTACTACCATCACTAGCAATATATTGTCGTCCTCTTCTACGTTTTGGTAATTTCAATAACAACTTGTCATATTTTCTAATACATTCCTGTACAAGAGGAGGAGTATTTGAATTTCCAACAACAACAACAACAACAGGATGATGATATTGATTAAATACATTTAAAATATCCACAACAACATCAATCGTGGGTCGACTTGGTGGATGTAATCTTAACATGCTCAATACCAATCGAATAATAAAATCATGAATTTTAGAATTTTTCAATTTACGATAAATTATATACTGTGTTTCAGATTCATTGGTTTTGATGGCTTCATTAATGAGAAATTTTGTGTAAATCCTTTGAGTGGAACTTGATGTTGAGGAAGAGTTCAAAGTTGTTGTTGTTGTTGTTGTTGTTGTTGTTGTGTTAGGAGTACCAGAGCTAGAACCAGAAGTAGTACCAGAGGTAGTCGCCGTCGTCGTCGTCGTCGTGTTCGTATTGGAGTTGTTGTTATGATTGCTAGTGACCAATCGATTCACTTTCATTTCAATTTGAATATCCAATGTTAATAATTCAAAGAATACACATCCCAACGAGAAGATATCTGAACTCTGATCTACTTTAAATTCACCTGTGACAGCTTCAGGTGAGATGGTGATGGGAGTTCCTTTCATGAAACTCATTTCCATGTCATTATGGACTGGTTTCAATAACCCAAAATCACTAATGACCACTCTCATGAATTGTTGTTGACAGTGTTGTTGATTGTTGTTATTGTTGTTGAGATGAGACGAGCTTGTTGACCATCTAATAAATTCACTACTACTATTACTACTACTATTATGGTACTTATTAGAATTCATCATATGTTGTAGATCAAATAGTATATTTCCAACAGTTGTAGATGTCGTCCTAGTCGTCGTCGTCATCGTCGTAGTATTCAACCATGATGATGCTAAAGATGATAAGGATGATGAACAATGAGGATGACGATGGGGTGATGATGAGGAATGACCACCACTTTGACCACCATTGTGATTATTATTAGTGAATTCAATCAAAATATTTTCAGTCTTTAAATCTCTAAAAATCAAATGATGTTTGTGAATGTTCTGTAGTCCTAAACTAATTTGAAGTGCAACATTTAACCAATTTGGTAAATATTTCAAATTGAGTTTCTTACAATCTAATATTCTTTGATGAAGAGTTGATTTGTAGAAGGGCATAATAATACAACATGAATATTCATCCTCTTCTTTCTTTTCAATGTATGTATCTAAATATGGAATGATATTGGGATGAGATAATTGTCTCACTTGTTCGACATGCCATTTGAATTCTTCTAATTTGATTCGATCCAATGTTTCTGATAATTTCTTAATTGCTACATGTTGTACTGTTGTTGTATTACTGAACATATTATTACTAGTACTACTACTCATACTAACTCTACTACTACCACTATTACTACTACTCATACTAACTCTACTACTACTACTATTACTACTACCACTACCACCACTAATACTAACTCTATTACTAATACCACTTGTCACAGGCACACACTGAAAAACAGTTCCTTCACTTCCTGATGCCAATCTCTTCAACACCAAATATTTTCCATTGCATAGAGTATGAGCAGATATTTCACGTGCCCACATGGGTTCAGGTTGCAATACATTTAAAATTAAATATTTCAATAAAACAGAGACATGATTGCCTTTTGTAAATTCAGGTAAATGTCCAATAATTTGTTTACCAATGAGCCACATTTGTTTCATGGTGTAGAGAATGAGTCGAAATTCTTTGGCATAATGATTGTTATTCTTTTTTGTTGTCGAGTTGGTGAATGAATAATGAAATTCCAAATTCATTTGATCCATGAGAGAATCACGAATGGCATTCATCGATGTTTGAAATTCAATTAATTCATCTTTGGATATTTTAGAATCAGGTGATTGAACTCGATCACTTTTCAATAATAATTTGATGGCTGCTAAAATTCCACAAACAAATACAAAGGTAGAAGGTTCTACTGGTCGTTGTGAAATGTAGGAATAATACTTGTCATTGATCATTCCAATAGATCCAAATTCCTCACAATCATCCACATGTTGTGAATCCATAGCAGATCCAAATCCCAACAATCGACCATCACCACTCCAAATGTTGTTATTGTTGTTGTTGTTGGAAGAGACTTTTTTTCTTCCAAAGGTTGCAGGTGGTGGTAATTGTCGACGATCGACAAAACCAAAAGCATCAATGACCATTTTATGAAGTTCATCGTAATTGGATGGAACAGATGAAAAGTAGAGATTGTTAGAGGTGGTGGTGGTGGTGGTGGTGGTAGGAGTGTTAGAGGTGGTAGTACTAGTTTGGGTGATAGGAGTGTTTGTGGTGGTGTTAGAGCTGTTGGCATTTGAAACCATCATGAGGACTTGTTGAGAAGATAGAGATCGATCATTTCTCTCTTCATTCACACTCTGCAAGATGGTATCTTGTAAATTCTGAATCAATGCTTCAATTCCAACAGTAATATTCTTTTCAAAACAAATCATTAAGGTAAACATTAATTCATTAATCATTGTTGCATTTTGAAAGAATTTCTTAATATTAATATAATGTACATAGAATTGATGATGAGAAGAAATTAAATGGACATGATGAGTGGTGAGAAAGTCTTTGAGTCGTTGCTTCACTCCACGCATGAATGCATCATCTTGAACAAGTGATGATGAGGATGATGAGGTTGAGCATGTTGATGAGGATTGATGTAGTAGTAGTGATGGTGATGGTCGTGATTGTGATGATGATTTGAAATTCGAGTAATCATTGATGGACTCATGATGATGATTCTTTGTGTGTTCACCTTTGACCATCTTTTGACTTCTGTGATGACTACTACTACTACTACTCCAATGAAACACATACTTGTCAATCCATAATTTTTGTAATTGAATTTGTTGTGCATTGTAGGCATCTGAACAAGTGGATTTAAAATTCATTTCAAAATGTTTCAAATCATAATCTCCTAGAATCATATCATAGAGTGAAATGGAATTAAAAAAATCAAGTAATTTCTTGTAAGTAATTTCAGAGAGTTTGGATCGATTTGCACTACTACTACCACTACTACTACTATGATTCGTTGTTTGCATGACTGAATTCGAGATGTCTTGTTTGAACTCTTGAAAAACATTCTTTTTAGTCACAATGGAATATGACACAAAATAAGGATCCAATAATTGTGATTTACCAAATATATCCATTGGATAAATGGCACTTTTCAATACAGTCACTATTTTTCCATCAATTAAAAAATCAAAATGATCCATTCGATAAAAGATTTCATTGAAATATTTAGAGACATATCGAGAAACAATACTTCCATTTCTTCTCATAATTTTACCTCGATCTGCAATAAATAAATCATTATGAAGCAATTCAGTCACATAGTGTGTGAGAAGTATCTTGACAGGTGTTTGAGAGAATACAAATTCACCACTACAATACACTGTTCCAAAATTAGTTAAAAAATAACAATTACGATCTGAACATTCAATATCAATAATTGGAATTTGAAGCATTTGGAAATAGTCTTGTCTAGTTAATGTATCAATAAATTCGAGTTTTGATGATTGAGATTGTTGTTGTTGTGATTGTGATTGAGATTGTGATTGTTGTGATTTAGAAAATATTTGTGCGCACATCATGGATGAGATTGATCGTTGTGGATTCAACAACTTTTGAGAAGAACGTCTACCAATAGTACCTCCATGTGAATGCATCTGACAAGATTCATCAAGATTCATCCATGCCAATCCAAATTTACCACACGTATTTTCTCCATAAACATAAATATTACCTAAATTGGTTAAAATCATCAAACTACGATGATCACAGGATATTTTGATAATAAATTCGTTTGGTAGTGTTGTACATGTTCCAAAATGAATAGGTAGAATATCATTGATCTTAGTTCTACTCTTCAATGTGTCATCCTTTGAATCCTGTGGTTGTTGTTGTTGTTGTTTGAATGATTCACTTCCTGGAAATTGAATGGGTCGAGTGTGTATCATTCTCAATTTGATAGGAGAAGGTAGTGTATGAGAAGAAGTAGTAGTAGTGGTGGTGGTGGTGGTGCTAGTAGTAGTAGTAGTACTGGTGGTAGAGCAGCTATGATTACCGAGTAGTAGTAGTAGTAGTTGTTGTTGTTGTTGTTGTTGTTGTTGAGGTGTTAGGAATATTCTTCCACAAATCATACATTCAAAATCTTTGGTAAGCATGACCAAATAATCCTGTGTATGAGAAGAGATGGAATGAATATTCGTAAAGATGAGAGTTGGAGAGGTAAATACATCATGATGATGATGGAAGGACGATGAAGGATCCACCAATTCATATCCCCATTCATCATGAATGGATTCATTGTTGGTTGTTGTTGTTGTTGTTGTTGTCAATGATGTTCTTGTATAATAATCAATACCACATGCATAGACACTTCCATTTTCTATCATTGAAGAACGTGTGTACACAAGTCAGCCAATAAACAACAACATCAAATAGACACGCACATACACACAAATGACACTTACCTGTTAGAAATACAGTACTCTTCTCAAGTATGGAAATCTTTTTGATCTTTTCCGAAGTGAATGATGGAATTGGTGATGGTATTTGTGTGAGTGGTTGATTATGACCTAGTCCTAATTGATAATTCGAATTGTTATTACCTGAGACCCAAAGAGAGTCATCCTCTATGAAGAGATGATTCATAGTATATTATGATATTGTTGTATGATTATTATTGTCATTAATTCATTGTATGATTATTATTATTGTCATTAATTCATTATATGATTCATTATATGATTATTATTGTCATTGTCGTCATATGATTCATTTTCGTTATTCATTATGTTTGTTGTCATTATTAATATTGTATGAATAATAATTGCATGATATCGATCATCATTGTTGTCATCATCATGATGATTGACATACCCATCACAATAAAAGTACAATCATTCTCTGAGAATATGTTTTTAATTCTTGAGACATCGATCAAATCTCTATATTCATTTTTCACACCAATGAGTAATAATTGATGAGAATCGACATCGTCATCATTGGGATCAGAATCCATAGCGATGTCACCACCTCCATCTCCATCATTGTAAAGAATATAATCATCATATTCATAATCAATAGGAACAAGAAAATGTTTGGAGGGATGATGATGATGATCGGAAAAGGAGGAAGATGGTAGTGTGACCACCAACGTCGAGGAACCACTTAATTGACTGAGATGATTGATTTTATAGAATAAATATTTGGGAGATGATGTCTCTTGCTTCATGGAACACGAAGCAGCAGCAGTGGATGACATTTTTTCATGTCATTCAGAAGAAGAAGAAACCTTTTTTCGTGCATGATCATTAATCATAAATCTCTTAATTGCGATGTTTGTATTTCAGAAAGATTTTGATCAAACGAGTTTGTTTGAAAAAAAAATTCATGCTGCAAAAGCCTTTCTTCTCTTCCGAAGGTATTGCAGAGTTGATCGTGATTAGCAGCAGCGATGAAGAACAAGACGAGAATTTTAATAAGGATGTTGAGCCTAATCAACACCATCCTCTGAAAGAAATTCATCTGAAGGATGGATTTCATGATGGTACTGATTTTCAGGATGCTTTTTTATCTTCACCAATCCTATTATCGACTAGGAGCACCACCTCCTTGAAAAACAATTCCAACCAAAAACAAATCCTCCAAACATCCTCTCTTGTTCATAGTCCAACACAACATTTATTAGAAAAATCAATTCTAATTCGGAATGGGTCTGAAACAACGATTCAAAAAGAAAAGTTTCAAAATCATGACTCTGATGAGAGTGATGAGGGTGTTCGAATTATTCATTCCATGATTTATTCTCATACAGGTGGTGATGAGAATGATGAAACATTTCTATTACATCAATTTGTGATTCGAAATGAACATGATGATACATTTATTGATTTGATGGACTTGACAATGCAAGACAATTTCTCTATGAACAATAGAAAAATTAATGCAGTCGTCTATGGACATGTCATACAAGTGAACCATCAATTACCATCTCATATTTGCATTGACATGGATACAACGGATGGATTTGATGCATTGGATGAATGGATTTCTACAAAACAAGATCAGAAAGAATTAGAAAAAATTGGATATTTACTTGACATTCAAGTGAAATATGAAATTTGTACTCGACCTATTATTTGTTTGTCCATTGATAGGAGTAGTCTTCGTAATCGCCATCCTTCCAAATCCAATAACATTATTGAATGTGAATGTCTTGAACCATCCAATGAATATTTTGAAATCTATGAAAAGCTTTATCAACGATCATGTGTTTGTCATTCTCTTTTTGAGAGTATCCTTAATTATCCCTCAGGAAGTTATATGAAAGTACTGAATGAAGTAGGTATTAGCGATATTTGATATTCTTATTAACATCACTATGATGATATTGTGAAGACAAAAGAATTAGCTCAATCATTGGGCCTCTTCATTAATAATGGAATTTTATTAAGTCATTTTCCATTTATTGTGAATCAAGCATATCGATTGAATGATCCAATCATTCTCAATAGCAAATTTATGAGTGAGCTAACTGCAAGACATGTCATTCGAGAAGATTCATACTTGATGACAAGTAGTCAAAGTGACATGAATGACGAACTCTATGATGATAGCGACATGAATGACGAACTCTATGAGGAGGAAGTGAAAAAAAATCAAAAGCTCAAAACGGAAAAAGCATTTCACTACTCAAAGAAACGAAAACATCACTCGAGCACAAAAAACAAAAGAAAAAAGCAAATGACAAACAAAAACTCTTCTCCAAGCATTAATGTTACCATTCCATCCACAACTCAACTCATTTCATTTCTCTATGACTCATCTCAAAGTAAAATCATTGGATTTGAGTATAATGGTCAAGAAATATATGAAGGTGAATCTATCTATCTTTTACCTCATGAGGATTTATTTCCCAATCATATAAGAGGCAAAATGGATTTGAAGAGTTATCCCTATCTCATTTATAGAGTTGAATTTAAAGAAAAATCAATCTATGGAAGAAGACTCTATCGACATTATGACATGGCCTTCTTGTGTATGGAAAGTGAAAAGAATATTCTCACAACAGATGTACATCAATTGTTTATTGATAGAAGTAGTGAGACTATCATCATTGAGGTTTGTATAGAGGAGTATTGTTGTGTGTGAATCATTTATTACTTTGGAATTCACATATGATATACCAAATGGTTCATGCCATTCTTCACCATTGATTACAATATGCGCACACCATCACATGAACACCCACACACACCGATGCATCGGTGACACTATAGTTACCCATCCTTGACTATTTTGTTCGAAAATGTTTTGTATTTTATTTAACAAGTGTTGAAGAATTTGAAGAAATTTCAAACAATATTCGACAGCATAGAGATGTCTTTTATTGTACGAGCTCTGTGACCATATCCAATTCATACAAATTCTATCAAATTCAATCACCTATTGATCATGTCTATATTAAGAGAATGTTTGAATTAATGAATCGATATTCTGAATATCTTTATGAAAATTTAATCATTGAACACTCAAAAAAACCACTCAAAGGAATGGATGTGGAGGACTTTCTTATGGGTTGTATAAGGCTGGTATTCAAATCTGTTATGCTATTGACAGTTCCATCGATGCTATTAACAACTATCAATTGAATTTTAAATCATCCAATACATTTCAAAAAAAAGCATCTCAATTCTTACGTAAAGTTAAGATGATTAACAAATTGAGAGAAATTTGTGGAATCACTTATCGGAACACAACAGATGAAACCACCACTGCAGATACCACTGATCAAACTACTTGTGATACAATAGATCATCATATCACAAACACAATGGGTAGTAGTACAACCAGTGGTGATGATACTCAAAGCAATCAGTCATCGTTGTCAATTTTAAAAATTAAGAAATTTAGAGTTCATGAGGATCGCATGGAATTTAAAGTCATTTGGGATAATACCATTTTGAGAGACAAAAAATGGATTTATTTTTCTCAATTACAACAATTAGCACCCAACTACAAGTCATTACTTGAAAAATTTCTAGAGAAGGTAAGGTGTTCTTATAATAATTCTTCTTTTCATACCTTTCTTTTAATAATACCTAAATAATACCTAAATAATACCTAAACTATTTAGAAATACCATGATTATCCTCATCAAAATGAAATTGATGTATTGGTTGGTGGTCCTCCTTGTCAAGGGTTTTCTATTCTCAATAGAAAGAAAGATAAAACTACTTCAATCATGTCTCAAGAAAAGAACCAACAAATTCTAACTTTTATTGATTTTGTAGATTATTTTAAACCTAAATATGTATTAATGGAGAATGTAACTGGAATGTTAATGAACAGTAATGTATTTGGTAGGTTTGAATAATGAAATTGAATTAACTTGAATTAATACGTTTTAAATAATACCTTTCAATTGAATAATTAAAAAATACCTTTGAATTATTAAATAATACCTTTGCATTTACGATGATGAATAACACTAATTGAATATCTAAATAATTATTTAACGAATTGTACTGATGAATGGATCTCAATCACAACCTTTAGATGTTCCACAATTCATCATTTCTAAATTCAAAGACATTGGCTATGATATTCGAATATCTGTATTCAATACCATTCACTTTGGAATACCTCAATCTAGATTATTCTTTTTGGGTCAAAAAACAAACACCACCCAACACAACTCTAGTCTTGTACAATTTCCAATTCCTACTCATGCTGGAAAAGTTCATTCTTCTATTCCAAATATATTTAAAAATGTATTATTTTCATATCCAAAGCGAATTCAAAGTGGATCCATGCCACCTGTGAATTTGAGAGATTATATTTGTGATTTAAAACCATTAGAAGAATCCATGAATTTATCTAGAAGGAGAAGGACGACGACGACAACCCCACTTGACACTTCTCAGAACAACACGACACAAGTGTGCAGTCTGTCATCATATCCAAGAGATGCCATGACTGTGTATCAAAAAATTGCCAGAAGAGGATGCAATACATTAACAAATATGGAATATAGAGAATATAATCACTCATTTCTCACTACATCAGTCATTCGGTGTCTACCAAGACGATCTGGAGCAACCATTGAAGATTTGGAATTTGTTGAATTAAGGAAATCAATTTCAAAAAAAAAGAAGTCAAAGAAATCATTCAAGAGATTGGAATGGTCTAAACCTAGTGCATGTATTGTGACAAATATGGACGTGAACCATTTTGAATTTATTCATCCAACAGGTAGGTTGTTGTATACATCTTAAATAGAGAACTGTTTTTCACGTGAAAATTCAAGAAAATCGAATTCTAACTATTAGAGAGTGTGCAAGAATTCAGGGCTTTCCTGATACTTTTGTGTTTGTGGATGATAGAGCTCCTCTTTGTCGCTCCCAAAAATTGAAAGAAAAATACACTCAAATAGGAAATGCTGTTCCTGTGGTGTTTGGTTTTAAGTTTGGAATTGAAATTAGAAAAGCATTTATGAAGAGTATACAAGAATCTTCAGCAACGTCACAAAATCAAATATCAATCATCACTACACAACTGCAACGAATATTTAAGGAAACAAGAAATACCCTAAATAATCAAACAACATTATCAGGTATAAACATGGTCACTCAGTGGACAGAACAAGATTTTAAAATTTCTGACGAGTTTCGTGAAGGAGTGACATTGGAATTCAGAAAGGCTGAAAAGGAATTCCATGTCAGTGATGAGTTTGTTTCTCATTATAACGATGACATTGAGCAAACAATCGAAAGCGAAACACATGAGGAGGAAGAATCATCCATTAATGATGATATGACTCTATCTGATAACTCTAGTGAAGCATCCCCGCTGATGTAAAGAATAAAAATACAATTTTATAAAACTTCATCATCTGAATCAATCAATATTGTTGGTTTGTGTGTGTTTACGTGTGAGATGATTTCTATTGGATCATCAGGTATTGAAATGATATTTTGCATAGAGTTTGTGGATGACTGTTGTTGTTGAGGTGATGATCGTGTGCTAATAATAGATATCTCACTTTCGATATCATCAGCAACAACAAGTGAAACCACAGGTACAGTGCGTTGTTGAGGAGAGGAGGAAGAGGGAGTATTGACACGTTGTTGTGGAGGTAACATGTTCGTTGAGTTTGTATAAGCGTTTGAATTGAAAAAGAACGAAGGAAATGATGACTGTTGCGGTAACCCACTACTACCAAGATTACTTGCAAGATTCCCACTACTACCTAGACTACTACCTAGACTACTACCTAGACTACTACTACCAACAAGATTCATGTTGTTTGTCATGATTGATGGTACAACAGAATCAGAAACCGCTGATTGAGGTGATAATTGTGAATTTGCAAATGGCAATGATGGTTGATTGGAAGGTTGAGAAATTGTTGGTGAAGATGAAATATGATGTATGATATTTGCCGAGTTGCCAAGTCTAGACCAAATATCTGTCAGAGTGGATGTAGCTCTTCGGTCTTCCATACTGTACAGGGATTCATCCTCTCGAGCTTGCATGAATCGTTGTAATCTTGCCAATAAGGATAATGGAGTCGTATGAGTGTCAGGTGTTGTTGGTGTTGTTGTTGAGGTGATGTTGCTACTACTACTACTACTACTATTACTAGCACTCACACCTTGAAGAAAACTACTATTACTACTATTACTACTAGAAACTTGATGATTCATGTTGGAGAGTAATCCATTTCGAATGATCATCATCATCATGTTTGAATCAACATCCTCATTTCCATTCACGTCAACATCATTCATTAACATTGTATTAGTTCGAAGTGCATTCAACAAGACACTTGGATTTTCACGAACTTGTTTTCTCTTCTCTTCATAGGCATTCACTGTTTGTTCTTGTTCATTTTCTTGTAATCTCAATTCATCATTTTCAACAAAGAGTGAATCATAGGGATAGACAGATTTGATTTTCTTTTCAACATTGAATTCTCCTGTGAGTGATTCTTCTTCTAACAACAAATTCCTTGTTGAAGAGTCATCGAGTTGTTCTTCTTCTTCTTCTTTCTTCAGTAGTAGTGGATGAACATTGGAATCATCATGTTGTTCCACATGAACAGGTCTCAATGGATCAATTTCTTCTTCACACTTTTCATAAGTCCAATGAGTTCCTAATAATTCTTTTAAAATTTCATCTTGTTGATATCTTTTTGGATTTAACAGTAACTTGTCTGTGAGTGTCTCTTCAATTCTTTTCGCTTGTTTTATAATTTCCAAATCATCCTTTTTTAGAAATAAATGAGGTGTCTGATCATCCACTACTCTCCTTGCAAGCCATGCTTTGGCTGCTGAGAGATTAAAAATCTTTTCTTCAGCACTTCCATAAGTCACAAATCGATAGACATAGACTGGTTTGGTTTGTCCAAATCGATAGGTTCTAAATAAAGCTTGTTTATCCCAAGTATCATTCCATGAAACATCATAAATAACCACTCTAGTAGCAGCTGTTAAATTAATTCCTAATCCTCCTGCTCTGGTACTAATTAAAAAGACATGTGCTTGTGATTCAGGTGTAAAAGCATCAATCATCATTTGTCTCTTTTTAGTATTGACACTTCCATCCAATCGAAAATAATCTTCTCCTTTCTTTAACACTTTTAAAATGGGTTGTTGTGAGACATGATCAGTTCCAATCAAGAGAGGTGTATTTACAAATACTTTTTCAATCACACTCAATGTTTCTGTATATTGTGAAAAGACAAGAATCTTTTCATCATGTAAATAACACTTTTCAATGAGTCTCATTAGAAATTCCATTTTAGAACTCTTTTTAGCATCACCTTGTTTATAGTCTTTTGAAAGAACAGGTGCTGCCCAGAATAGAGATTGTGCATCAAAATGATTTTCAGCTTGTTCCATCCATTGATCAAATTCTTGTTCCATTTGTGCATCTTCATCAAGATCGAGAGAACTCTTGTGTTTCTTTTTTTTAGAATGTAATTCACGAGTGTAAATGTCATTCTTGTTGTCATTTCTATTAATACTATTACCAACAGTGGTATTACTATTACTACTACTACCAATAGTAGTACTATTATTTTCAACAGTGGTATTACTATTATTTTCAATAGTGGTATGACTACTATTACTCGAAGGTGGATGGATTGGAGATGGTTCTTCAACATTCTCTTCCAGAATTTCTTCAAGTGCACTCTTTTTTTGTGTGCTTGTTGTTGTGGGGGTGGTCCTACTACTACTACTACTACTCGAAGTGTTTCTTTTCAATGAAGGTGGAGTGATTGGACTTAATAAATCCATATTCAATAATTCATCATCATCAATCACTGTGATGGGTGTTGAGAGAGTACTACAAGAAGAAGAGGATGATGATAACGACACACGTGGTGGTGGTGGTGGTGGTGGTGGAGTGAAGGAAGAAGAAGAAGAAGAAGATTCCTTCTTATTCATGATGTCATCCATGTTGTTGTTGTTGTTGTTGTTGTAAGAATCTCTTCGACACGTGGATCCAAGTGAGGATAATGTGAGGAGAGGTGTTCTTGGTGTGAATGTTGATGATAATGGATGATGACTATTCTGTTCATCCTCATCCTCATGTGGTTGTTGTTTCAATCGTTGTTGTTTCAATCGTTGTTTCAATCGTTCTGTATCTTCATGAGTGAGAAATACATTGAGATGACGACGAGATGAATCTATTCGATCCTCCTCCTCCTCCAAATCACTCACATCCACTAGTCCTTTTTTATGACAATAGAGAAGAACCAAATCAGGATGATTGGTAATCTTATTCATGAGAACAGACAAGTAGAATAATGTTTTGGATTGTTTTGCAAGTTCTTGAGTGGTCAATGGACGTGACAAGAGAGTGGGATTGAAAAAACAAGAACCAAATCCGTTACCATTCCCACCATTACCAAATCCATTACCAAATCCATTACCATTACCAAATCCATTACCATTACCATTCCCACCATTACCAAATCCACCATTACCAATTCCTCTCTTCACTTCTTCTGCTAATCTAGCCTCTGCAAATGCTTGATATAATTTCGCTTGAAATGGAGTGACACGAAATGAAATGACAAACTCATATTTGGGTGGTAAACTCTCTCTCAATACACTTTGATCTTTTCGATGTACAAAACTCTCCAATTCATGAACCAATAAGAAACTACTCTTTTTCATTTCTTCAATTTGAGAGTTGTCTGAATCTTTTCTCATTCCTGATTGAATGGGTTGTGAAAAGAAATGATGGAATTCTTCACGTGTCCAATGAAATTCTCTTACCCAATTAATCATTGAATGAAATTCCATTAAATTATTTTGAATAGGAGTACCTGTGAGTGCAATACGTTGTTTGGTTTTCATTAACACAAGTGCTTGATTCAAATAAATATCAGCATTGGAACACATTCGATGTGCTTCATCAACAATAATTAAATCACAATGTGTGGTAATTAATTCAGTCACTGCTTGTTCAAAATCTTGACGTTCCTTCAATTTCTTTTCTTGTTTTTGAATATTTTGAGAAAGATCTTTAATGGTTGCATGGAGAGAGGAGAGAGTGTTTCTGTGAAGGGTGGTGATATTCATGTTGGTAGTATTGATCATGATTGGAATGGTATTCATATGGATACTACTATCAGTATTGTTAGTATTGATACTACTATCGATAGCATAGGTACCATTGTTCGTATTGATATTCATACTATTGATAGTATTGTTAGTATTGCTACTAGTATTGCTACTATTGCTACTAGTATTGATAGTATTGCTAGTATTGGTATTCATATTGATACTATTAAATGTTTGAGGAGAATTATTTAAAAGTGTCAATAGTTGAGAATACTTTTCCTTGTACTGTCGAAGAGATTCTTTTTGATGGATCAAAGCATCTCGTTCTTTTGCTTTTCCATATTTTCCTAAAAATCGATGAAATAAATTAAAAGATAAAATTAACACTCCACCATGATCACTCCAATCTTTCACAATTTCTAATCTCTTTTCATGAGTTCGATGACAATCATCAATCAAATGAATGGGTAATTCAGAATTCACACATAGTGTTAACCATTTCTCATATTCTAATTTCCAATTCAAAATGACACTTTTTGGACATACAATAAGAATTTTTGTACCCAACTTTTGTGTCACATATAAATATGTTAGTGCTACCATTTGAAGAGTTTTTCCAAGACCCATCGAATGAGCAAGAATACAACCCTTATTTTGAGAAATTAATTTCCAACAAAATCGAATACCTTCCATTTGGTGAGGTTTGAGATATTTTAAAAATCCACCATGAATGAGAACAGGTTGTTCTAGTCCATTTTGTTGTGTGACATTAATAATTCTTTCAAATTCAGAGAAACCACAACTTTCATCTTCTTCCATTGATTTTTTCTTTTTTCTTTTTTTGGATTGTTTGTAAGTTGGCGTTTCCATTTTGGGTGTGGTGGAATTGGTATTGGAATTGGAATTGGGTGCAACAATTGATTGGGTTGTGCTGGTGGTGGAATTGGTGGTGATAGTATTGGTGCAAGTTGGTGTTTCCATTTTGGTAGGAGTGTTTAGAGACGATCCAAGAGTACTTATTTCAGAGTTTGAAAGGTTTGTTGTTGTTGATGATTGTTGACAGACAGTTGTTGTTTCATTCATTTCAGTTTTCATGTGTAGTTCATCATGTTTTCTTTTTAATGCCTCCAACGTTTGTTTTTCAATTTCTTTACTTTGTTCTAATTCAATGCGAGCTTCTTCTCTATTTTTAGCAGCAATTCTACGTTCTTCTTCAATCTCTTTCTTTGTTTTTCTTTTCTTTTTTTGTTTGGTTGTATTGTGACGTAAAGTTGATTGACGATCATCTTCATGAACAATAAATTCCGATAGCATGTTTTGTTGTTCATCTTCAATATTGTCGGAACTGGATGATGGATTGTTTTTTCTCTTTCTATTATTATTATTTGATGAAGATCCGACACCAGGATCATCATAAATAAAATCATCACCTAAATTGGTCTTGGTTCTCCTTCTCGAAGAGCGGCGAGGTTCATTCGATTCGCTCATTTTTTCTGGCTAAAAATAACGCTTGTTGGTCATAGAACGAACCATGATGCATCATTGTTTTTGGCTTCTTTTCAATTTATGATAAATATTATTCCCGAATTAATTTCCAACTCTACTATCAAAATTATGGACCATTGTGGAAGGCTTTGTTCGTTGACTCTCATCCAGGTCAAGTGGGAGTCTGGATAGGCTGCAATCTGTATAAACAAATTATTGACTTATCAAAGAAATTTTTGTGCCTCGCAAGTTTGTTAATGTATAATTTTAGTGAAATTTTTAATCTTTAAGTAACCTAATTAAAACCTATTCGAGAAATCTGAGTTTATTCTACCACACTCGCGAAGGATACTTCAAATGTCATAACTGCAATTTATAAACTCATATCTCTCAAGCACATTCTGAGATTTAAACTAGTAGTGCCATGAAAAATTTACATATATGCTACAACTAGAAATTAAACGACAATTAAGACAATAAAATTGGTGTTTCTACACAACCTTCAGGAATCCACCATCTGGTAAAACTTCTATTGTTCTGCAAATATTTGGATTTCTCTCGTCTTTTAAATAATAGAGTTATCGTCAGATAATATTCTTAAGTTATTGTCAAAAAGAATAAAACTTGGTTATTGTTTATAAATGAAGTGATGTGCGTTGATAATTTACTTCGGTTGATAATTTACGGAAATAATATTTTCAGATATTTACCAAACAAATATCTGATAAATTAAATATTGCTTTAGTGAACACTTATTTTAATTTATTAACAATAACTTTAATCTTTATTTATTGGAAGTTATTATTGTTAAATTAGTGGAAGTATGGAATAAATGAGAGTGAAAAGAGCGAGTTTGAAATTTAGTTGTAATAACTCCAATTACAGAAGGAAAGATGGATTTTATTAATATATAACCAAAAGAGAAGAAAACGAATTAAATTCAAAATATTGGATAAATCACTTGACCTGATGATCTGTTCTATTCCGCGAAGAATTCTCGGTTTATCAAGCCAATTCCCAAAGGGACTGGTAATCTCTAGTGTCACAAAACTTTTACAATCCATCATCAGTCCATTGTGTGGACTCTTTGCAACAAAATTCAAGATTTAATTTCTTGTCAAATATGGGATGATAATGGTCTCAGATGAACCAGACTGTTGGTATTCATGGTTTTTAAACAAATCTACACATCTTTTCCATGTCATTCCACTGTTTGGAGAAGGATTTGAGAAAGTCAAATGTTTGTAAAATTTGTAGGCCCATGTTGTGCAACATTCAATCAATGCAGTAGCAAAGATATTCACTAACATGACTCCCAAAATGATGAGTTTGAGAATGACATAATAAGATTTTTCCAAATCTCTATGATCTGTGTACACATAATCATGACCACCAGTTCTGACATAGGCTTCATTGTTGGCAACATCATCCACAAATAAATTAGTCATTTTGAATAGTCTGTTCATATTCATTTCAAAGGAAAAGGGTGCAGGGAATGGAATTAAAATTAAAAAATCTAAAATAAACAACAAACACCAAACAACCCAAAATGTATAATTTCTAAATGATTTCCTAATTGAGGCAAGTAATGAATTTGTTCTAAAATAGTAAGTCAACTGATAGGACATGGCAACACTCATGTATTGGAAATTAGAAAATTGGAATATTAGTGATTGTTGCATTTGTATATAGGGTGAATGTAACACAAATATGACTATAAAAAATACAATAGACTGATAAAGTATTTGTAAGGATACTGTAAATAATAACTGAAATCTAATGATGGATTTGGATGGTCTATATTTGATGTTACTCTCACAATCAGAGACTACTGGATTCAATGATAATAAAATTGGTAATAATAAGCCTTTGAATATATGAGTATAGATGATCATACTTTCACTCATATCATATCCATAAATAATCACATCATGACATGTTATAATAAATTGTACATAAATGAATACGAGGATGAATTTGCTGTTGATATGAATCTTGTCAAGCATTAATTGTGCAATGGAGATGAGATGTGTCATGATATGAGAGGTAGAACCACTATTACTACTACTACTACGATCTCCAGAGCGAATATTGTTCTTCTTGCTGATGTTGATATTACTAGTAGTAGTATTGTTATTAAGAGTAGAGTAGTCATGTTTGTTCTTCATGAATGTATTGTTGTCATCATCCTCAAATTGGATATAATGACTTTCTTGGAGAGCATCATCATCATCTTGCTGAGTGAGTGGAGGAGCACTAAGTGATGAACTCGTTGTTTTTGGTAAAAGTCTTGTCAAGTTGATTTGATGAATTTCTTCTTCTTCTTCTTCTAAGGGTACTGTAAATTGTGCAGCATAGGAATGTTCATAATTTCCACCACCACCACCACCACCACCACCACCACCACTCCTACTACTACTACTACTACTACCACCACTCCTACTACTACTACTCCTTTTTGAAATAAACACAGAGGCATCACTACAATTCATGGCAATCGAATCATTACTTCCATCTCCAATCATACATACAATATGATCTAAGTAACTCTTAAAATCACTCACAAGATATCCTTTTTGATTGGGAGACATTTCTGTATAAATATGACATAGACACAACAATTGAGAATAGAATGGTAATAATTCATAAAATGAATGATAGGGATTGGATAGTAATTGATTTCTAAAATATTGAAATGCTTCACCAGTCATTGCAAGTGCAATCTTTTTCTCTGGATTTGAATCATTGTTCATCATACTCACACTATGAAGTAATAAATTTTTAAAAGATCTTTTCATGTGATGATGATTCATGTTGAAGGAAGAGTTAGAGGTATTGATGCCTGAGGTGTCACGATGTTGTTGTTGATCGTGTCCTCTTCTTCTTGTTTGATGAGAAGATGAGTTAGATTGTTGTTGTTGATTCAGATCATAGTCATCTGAGGAGTCATCTTCTTCTTGAGAAACAGATGCAACAGGTGAAATTAACATTCTGAGTGTTGTACTATTATCATCCATGTCACTTTGACTTGTTGACAAGTGATGAGATGAAGGAAGAGGAGGAGATGGAACAGAATCAATACCACCATTATTACCACTACCACCAATACCAATACCACTACCACTACCAATACTACCACCAATACCTATGGGTTCAACAAGATGCTCATCTTGTTGTGAAGGAGGAGTGATTGTAGCTCTATTCCCATATTTGGAAAGATCATGATAGTGGCTACCACCACTCTTCGCACCACCATCACCACCACCACTCTTCGTCTTGAATAATTGAATAACATTCACACTCTTCCATTCAATGGTATGATTTTCATAGAATGCACAATACACTTGTTCAGTATCACGATCAATCATTCCACATTCAATAGCACTATAAATACTTGAATAGATATTATCACCAGTAATCATTTTAGTTTTCACATGATTAATACTCTCTAAATGTTTGATTTCATGTTTCACATGTGGATACATTCGATTCTTTAACAAAATAAATCCAATAAATGTCAAATCCTTTTCAATCACTTGTCTTTGATCTTGATGTAGATCAGAAATATTCTTCATTCCCATGGCTAATATTTTAAATCCTTGTAATCCATAGTGTTGTACAATTTGATCATAATTAGAAGGTAGAGTATGAGGTGCACATATGGATTTGATACTCGATGGACTACCTTTAGAATAGACTACCATTTTAGGAAAGGTCATGAGTACAGATTGTCGTTTAAGAGTGGAAGAGAAGGGATAATTTCTAGCAATATGAATGGAACCTCTCTCACTGAATTGAGGAGGAGGAATGAGATTGAAACCACCACCACCACCACTAACTCCATCACCACTAGCACTACTACTATCAGTACCATCACCACTAGCACCATCACTAGCACCACATGAAGGATGAGAATTGAAGGTTGAGTCGTACATGACACTACATGGAGGTGTCGTACGATTTGATGAAGGTGGCCACCATTGTTGTCGTCGTTGTGAGGAACTCCGTTTAGTTGTACTATCACCACTTCTATTGGAAGTACTACCTTTACTACTCATTGCAGGAGTGTAGATATCACAAGAGTGATTCATTCCATCTCTCTTCAATTCATAGTTGGTAAATTCTAATAAGGCTTGATCAATGGTATCACCTATTAATACACGACGATTAGTATCCTTATCATATTTAGAGAATAAATTATGACAGCAAGCTAATAAATTAGTAACATCCTCACTTAACTGAGTAATATCATCTGTTGGATGTAACAAGTCATTGCATGTCAATATTCCATATAAGGACATATTGGATTCACACAAAGTACCAGTCTTATCATAACACACCAAATCAATTAATCCAAATTTAAATAAACTACTGTCAATACTTTGAATAGATTTGATATTTTTCTTAAATAATAATCGATTAGTTAATATCATTGGTAGTGTTACTACAATAAATATCAAATAAGGTGGAACACTATTAATGAAAATAAATACAATAGAAATATATCCAATCCATGAAGCATCATCTTCTAAAAATAAATTAAATGTCTTGTCATCAATATTATTGAAAATATTGGCATAATTGTGATAAGGTAATGTACCAAAATAGAGAGATAGAATGATGAGAGAAATAAAAGCTAATGCTACCAATGTGTAGATGAGATAGTATAAATCATTCATGTAGTTATTCATTCTTTTTTTAGATTTAAAAGTATTATTATGGTTGAAAAGAGAAGGAGTAGGATTGATTTGGTGATGTTGGTGATGGGAGTGATGATGATCAGTAGTATAGTAGTAATAGTTGGAGGAAGGTGGTGATGTGCCATTACTATTACCACCACTATTACCACCATTATTACCAACACCATTATTACCACCAACACCTCTACTGCTATCATTACTACTGGTCCCAGAAAGACTAGTACTAGTCGTAGTACTACTCATAGTACTACTCATTGAAGAATCTCCATGAGCATCTAATAGAATATTTCTAATCATTGATCCTTTCACAGTATGAAAACCTGTTCGAATGACAAGTGCCTTAATGAGATTTGAGGTGTTTGATGGAGTTGTTGTTGTTTGATGTCTTGTATCCTCCTCCTCCTCTGTGATTTCATCCTTCTCTGGAAGGAGGAGGAGGTCTTTTCGTTGTTCTCTCACAATTCTTGTACCTCCAATCAATACATGGTATTGATCAATGAGAATGGAATGATCTTCTTTTAAAGAAGTGGTGGTGGTGGTACTACTACTAGTAGTAGTAGTAGTAGTTGGACCAGTAGTAGCAGTATTACTACTAGTAGGTGTCATAGTAGAACTAGTAGTAGGTGTCATTGTAGTAGTCTTCAAATCATTCCAATTGAGAGGTGTCTTGTGAGAGAGTTCAGTATCTCCTGTCAATGTCGATTCATCACATAATAAAACACGTTGTGATTTTGGTGTAGATAATAAAATACAATCACATGGTACAGTAGTGACATTATTCAATATAATAATATCACCTGGTACTAGATTTGAAGTTCCAACCATGTATATTTGTGAATCTCTCAATACTCTAATTTCACTTGTGTATTCATAGGATAATGCAAGTTCTTTTTTGACTTTTTTAGCAATAGTCCGATGTGGATGGACTTTGATGGCACAAATCAATGAAAATAATAAACACATGCCATGAATGGCACTATAGAAATAATATCCTCGAATAAAAATTAAAAATAATAGAGTAATGAATTGAAAAGGATAGAAAATATTGGACAGCTCATTCACAATGACTTTGATAAATTTGGTACTTGTGATGTGAATGAAATTATTTCCAAATAAAAACAATCGTGAAAGATGAGTGTATGAATCCAAACCTGTATGCATGGTTTTTGTTTTGTATTCGTGTAATAAATATGAAAGAGGCATGGAATCAATGAGAGCAAATTGTTGAGAGTCATGTAAATACATGTATCTTTGATATTGATATTGAAAGTGAATAAATAAATGTGAATTCAGAGATGATGAGTTTTGTCTTGTTGAAAGTGGTGAGTTTTGTCTTGAAAGTGATGATGACAAGTTTTGTGTGGTTGTTGTTGTTGGTGTTGAGGAGGAAGATAGAGTTGTCTTGTGGTTATTCTTCTTTGGTAATAGAATCTTTTTCAATGGACATGTGGTATATTCATTGTTATGAAAGATCAAGACATATTTTGCATTCTTGACATGATTTGTTTTTTTAAATCTCAAAGTACATTTCACTCGATCATTGAACATGAAATGAACCATTCCGAGTGTCAATAGATTTAATAAAATGTAGAGAATGTAACGAATGGTGCTGTATTCATACATGGTGATGGATGTACTTTGAATCATTTGAGGAGTGTGGTGGAGGTGGTGAGAGAATGGTTGATGTGGTTGGTCATGTTGTGAGGAGGAGGAGGAGGAGGATGAAAAGGTTGGTGGTGGTGATGAGGTCATGGAGGGAGTGAAATTCTTCTGGTCGTGATGATGATGAAGAGAATAGGATGAATGGTCGACCAAGCATCCACCACCACTATCATCATCATCATGAGAGTAGTCCAATAATGGAACAGAGAGAGTTTGTTGATGAGAAGAATCTCCACCTGTTGCAGTCGTCGTAGTAGCTCCATGCTTCTTCCGATGCAAAAAAGTCGTCGTCTTCTTGGATCGTTTGAACATTTTTCTTTGCAAGGTGATTCAAACAAGTCTAGCTCGTGCTCATAAAATTTCTAGATCGATTATAATCTCTCTTCACGATGAATCATTTGGATTATAGAGTTAAGTGTAATTGTATGAATATGCATTCATTTCATCTATTGTCAATGATACCTTCAATCATGTCGTTGATGAGACCTCTGCGCAAGAATAAACCCTAACAACAACGTTGGTTGACTTGATTGCGCAGAAAAACAAAAATAAGGTTCAATTCCTTTCGTACAACTCTCTCGACGCGCGTGATCCTCCCCACACACCCAGCCAGCCATAATCCAACGAGACAGACCACAAGAAAAAAAAAGAACCGTTGTTGTTTCTGTTGTCTGCGATCGCACTATCATCCTTATCACTTGAAACAAAACCAAATCTTTTTTCAATCCGTCATCCGATCACCATCATCCGATCACCATCATCCGATCACCATCATCCTCCTTTATCAAACCAACACAACAACAACCCTTTCAAAGAAACATAACAACAATGACCCATAAAGTAGAACTCTATGTCTATGATCTTTCAATGGGACTCGCGTCAGCCTTCTCTCAACAATTCACTGGTAAACACTTTCCTGGCATTTGGCACACCAGTATTGTGGTCTATGGAAAGGAATACTTCTTTGGTGGAGGTGTTCAATGCATGACTCCACTCACCACACCCTATGGACAACCTGTCCGTGTCATTCATTTGGGTGATACTCAAATTGATCAGTCACTCTTTGAAGACTTTGTTCATACCATTGGCCAAACTCGATTCCGAATGGATCAATACAATCTCTTTGAGAATAATTGTAATAATTTTACCAATGAATGTTCCAATTTCTTATTGGGTGTGGGTATTCCAGATGATATTCTTGGATTACCACGTGAATTCTTTCAGACACCATTGGGACAAATGGTGAAACCCATGATTGATCAAATGATGGGTGGAAGTGCACATCCAGAACAATCTCCAAATTTGGGTGCCTTTGGTGGTGGTGGTATGGGTAGTGGTATGGGTGGTATGAATAATTTAGCTCAAATGATGAACAATCCACTCGTTTCACAAATGATGAATCAAATGATGATGATGAATATGGGAGGAGGAGGCTATGGTAATACTACTACTACTACTACTACTACTAATAACTACAGTACCTATGGCAGCAGCAGCAGCACTACAAGCTCTACCTCATCATCATCTTCTTTTAAAGATCCACTTGAAATTTATCGATACAACAAATCCAATGTTCCACAAGTCATGACCAAATTGAAAACAACCAATGCTCAATTCATTGATGACATGAATGGAGATACAAGAGTGTTAAATCAATTAGAACAATATTTACAATTACCTCATCAAGAACATGACAAATCGACTCTCATTTCAGATCAAACATTTATTGTACTAGAAAAATTATTGAAACACACCAAGGAAAGTGATGCATTTCCAATTTTAGATTTATTACGATTACTGGTCTTAACATCTAAATATGCAAGAGAAATTACAATTGGATCACACAAGAATATTATTCAAATAATTGAAGAGAGATTTGTATCACAATTTTCATCTTGTTCAATGCCCACCCAATTAATGGTGATGCGATTGTATTGTAATTTATTTGATCGACACTATCAACAACATTCAAAGAATCTACCAGAAATGGTACAATTCATCATTGGAGCACAGAATGGAACAGAGATGAGATTGACCAAACTTGTAGACATGATCTCCACTTCACTTTCATCTGAATTGGAAGGACTTCGTTTAACGGCAACTTCACTCTCATGTAATTTATCCTTGTATTTACCACAACAGAATTCAGATGAAGAGATTCAATTGTTGTCTTCCATGTTGGAATTTCTTCCTAATGAGAAGAGTAAGGATGTGTCCTTTCGAATGCTGTTGACCATTTATAGACTCATGAAAGATTCGACTGGCAATGATGATGAAAAGAAAGAAATTGCTCGTGCCCTCATGACCGATCCTTCTGCCGTCTTCTCAACAGCGCCTGGAGTGAAATTATTGCAAAGTTCGGACGAGTTGAAATTATTGGCCCAAATCAAGAAGTTACTTTAAAAAAAAATTAGGACCGTTTTGAACTTGGACGTACTTTGTTCCAACCTAAGGAAGCCTTAAAAAGACTTGGTGGTTCAGCTTTATTCCAGCAATATTCCTAATACAAAATTTTATTATCACGATCGTAAATGAAGCAAGATCATGACTACTCTGATCATCATCAGGTGAGTTTCATGAAAGAGCAAATATAATGCCGATCCGACCGATATTATAAATCTTTTTCAACACTCCTTGCATGGATTCGTATGTAATCGATGTTGATGATTGGGCAGAGATGGAACTATTCTCAACAACAACTACAGCCATCATCACCGCTAGATGCACAGGATCCTTCCTCTCCTCTCATGACCTCATCACAAAACGGATTGGATATTAAGGCTATTCTTATTCATCCTCAATTTCGAGACTATTGTAAACAATCATCCTATTCGTGTGAGGAATTGGTGGATTTGTGGTTGGATTTAAATCGATGGTTGGAATTATCTCAAGAAGGGAGTAGTATTTCTCATAGTCCTTCTCCAACCAATTCCACGACAAGCATCATCACCGCCAATACCAGCTCAATACTTAAATCATCAGCAAATGAAATGTTGAATCGATATTTTATTGAGGGTTCTGTAGAATTACCTCCACAGTTATTTGAACAAGTAGTTCAATCGGTGGTGACTTTGAATCACATCACATCCATCGCTCAAGTATTTTCTCAGATCAAAGAGATGATAGAGAGTGAGTTTAGGGTGAGTCGGCCAGATGTATTGAACGGATTTAGTAACATGGCCGTGCACGGACATGTCATGAAGCAACACTCTAGTTTTGGCGGTGATGATGAAACAACAAGTCCTTCAAAAAACAGTGAAAATGTGGGAACAGTAGATTCTTCCAACACTGAGTACCGCCACAATCATCATCATGACAACAGTTCACAACTGGAACGTCATCAATGTTTCATTATTGGAAATATCAAGTACAGAAATAATACCCTCCACTCTCCTCAGGAGGTTGTTGATCAAAAATCTCAACAACCAATCATTATTCATGAATCCAATCAACAACAAGTTACTTACAATGAAAGTGGTGTCATGACACAAGTCGTGAATCCTTCCATCCCTGCTGAATCAACAACTCAAAAGAAATCACATTCACCATCCACTCGAAGAGTTGAAAGAACAGGTTCATGCATTCATGTGTATGGAAGATCTCCTCACAAAACAACAACAAATATAACAATATCATCACCACTACAACCATATGCACATTCTCAACCCTACTACTACTACTTTGATGAATATGATCTTATTAAGCAGACACTCTTTGTATCCAATGAGGCTGGTGGCTCAAAGGAATTCGATTCGACAACACTCTCACCACCACCACCACCACCTACTACTCCTATAGGGAGAAATGAAACTGAGATGAATCATCTATCAGAGGATATTCGTGCCATTGTTGCTGACATTGATCCTAATTATATTCGATCGCAAGGAGAAAAGGAACAATTGGTTCAAGTTCTTTGCTGTGAAGTTTCAATCAATTTATTGTATCAAAGAATTCCAATCATTTCTCAAATGAGTATTGAGGGAATATTTGAAATGTCAAAGAAATTGTATCATTTAAAAGATTATAGCAACAATGAAAATTCATTCTCCATGGATATTTGTAGTATTGTGAATAGATGTGATCGATATTCAGTTCATTTAAATATGGATATTGTTATTTCATCGACTCAATGGGATGAAGAACTTTCTCTCTTTAAAGAACGAGAAACCTCCACCTGTTGGTTTATTAAGGCCTACAAAAGAGAAGCCTTAAATGAACATGACAATGCCCCTATGGACAATTTCACACATTCCTCTCCTTCAAAGAACTTTGAATTTTTAATTCTTTTCTATGATGGTCATGAAAGTTATTGTCTATTTCATACCTATGAAAGACAATACAAGAAGGGAATGAGATGTTGTGTGACCTATTTCCATGATTTTAATACAATGAAAACATTCTTTGAAAAGAATAATATTATATTTGAAAAGAAGAAAGAGGATCAAACTTCCAATGAACTCGATGCAGTCAACCCTGAAAAGATGAACCACTCAAATGCCATCATCATTCATAAGGTACTATCATTCACAAAAAAAGTACCAAATATTATTCCAAAATATTTAAATTACAGAGTATCCCTTCAAGAGGAAGATCATGACAAACATTTGGATGAAAAATTACAATTAATGGAACTTGCTCAAAAGAATAGAATGAATGATTTCATTGAACAAGTGAAAGATATCATTCAAGAGCAACAATCAATGCATTTCTCTCACTTGGTAGAGAGATTGAATCTTGTTGAGAAGGAATTGAAAGAATTACGGACCTTACATGAATCCACCACCACCACCACCACCACCACGATTCAGTCATCATCCACCACTAGTTGTACAACACAAGAACCATCCATTGAGAATTCTCAAGTGATCGCTTCTGGTCAGGGCAGTCCACTTGTCAATGAAAATTCAACAAGTATTCAAGAAGAATCAAAAGAGGAAGATGAAGAGAAAACAATCCATTCACCTTCTACCAATTCCATTGTACAACAAACAACAACAACAACAACCAATCATCATTCATCATCCAACAGTACTAGTACTACTTGCAATACGATCATGAACTCTACAATTCAATCTTCTTCCTCAAATATTCTCTTTCATGAAAAGATTGCCAATTCGATTCGAATGGAAGAAGAACTTATGGATCGAATGAACACTCTTGAGAGTTATTCATTTGAAAACATGTCCAACATCAAACAAATCATTCAAAAGGAGCAACAAGATCGATCTTTAATGTTTCAACAGGTTCAACATGAATTGTCTAATTTGGATAAACAAATGAAACAATTATTAGAAATGATTCATGAAAAATCACAGAGAAATGATGAAAGACATTCTCCATCCACTCCTCTTCAACTCTCAACAAAGACTGATCAAGTACCTGCCCATCAGAACAATGAAGTGAATGAAATTGTCACACCCACGAACAACAAAACAGATGGAGTTGATCCAATATTGTCCATCACCAATCTGACCACCACCACCACCACCACCACCACTCTTGAACCAAGTACTTTGAATGATCCCTCAGAGCAACAGAAACAGCAACAGAAACAACAGCAGCATCACTCTGACCACCACTCTCTCACACCGACATTTCCATTTGATCTCTATGAACGAACACTACAAGATATTCAAAGAAGGCTATCATGGATTGAGAATCAGCAAATTGAGAATGATAGTAGTAGTAGCAGTAGTGCTGAGGAGGAAACTCATTCACCATTATGGTGTTTTAAACAAGAATTCGTGAATTCTTTAATGAATAATACTGAGGAAACTTTGAAACAATTTGAAAACAAATTCAATGAAACAATTCATCACATACATGAAGAATTGATTATGAAAATAATGAACATTGAGCATGGCAATATTCAATCCTCTCAGAACCTATTGAAGATTGTTGGAGATTTGGAACATAGTTTGTTACAACAAATGAAAAACAATAGTACACATCAAGAACATCCAATGAATTCTACCAAACAAGATCAAAGTAATGTCACTGCTGGCACCACTTCAATAGAATCATCATCCACACTTTCACTCATTCCTGTACATTCAAGAATGAGTGATTTAACAATGTTGAGTAACTTTATGAGTGATGTGATGAACGTAATAGAGTTATTTAAGAAGGAAATGAATGACAAAATTATTCTTCTCTCATCCAATCAAGTGAACGAACAAGAATTGCATGAAAAGATGATGAAAAACCTTTTACAACAATGTCAACAATATTGCGATCAATTTCATCGACAGACCAGTGATATTATTGATTCAAAGATTGATCAGAAAGTGTCCCATAGTTTTTTGAATGAACAAATTCGTTCCATATTTGCATACTCCGAACAGAAAGAAAACGAAATGTATCACAAAATATGTGATTTCATAACGATGAGAGAAAGAGAGTTCATAAAGAACATTCAACAGGAAGAGATGAACCATCCGATAACTCAACTTAAAAGTGAGAAGGAGGAAGAGAACATGAAGAGTGAAAATGAGAAAGAGAACATGGATGGAATTGCAATGAATCAGCACAATGACACTGCAACAGTCGCATGTGCAACCATCACCACCACCACAAGTAGTTCTCAAACAACCACTTCGAATATCACCACTACTGCTAACACTACCAATAGTTTTACTCAAACAATTGATGGAACTTTTGATACCACCACACCTGAATCAAATTCAGAAACAGTATCACTCTCCTATTCCCAGGATCCTAATGATTTTCTATTAAGGATCGATAAGCATCATCATTTGCTTGAAGAGAATTTATTATTGGAATCTATTGAAGAGTCAAACGTGAAAAAATTTGATGACAGCTTTACAAAATCATTCCTTCTAAGAACTCCAATCTCGTTAATTGGGAGAGAAGAAGAAGAGATGACTCCCAACAAAAGCCCATCATCGTTCACGATATCACCATTGACTGAACGTAAGACCTTGGAGCCAAAAGCAAGTGGCCATGATATCATTCCATCTCCGTTCCGAAAATATATTGCTAAAAGTTCAATTGCAAAAAACAATGACAACATTAATTAAAACGACTGAATTTTATTGCCAAGCAAAGGCTTCTTCTCGCAATAAGACCCTTGAAAAAAATGTCTCAACAACAACAACCAGACACCACTCCTATCATCCCCCTGTTAACGACCATGCATGGTCAATTGAAGCAAGCCTTGACAAAACCGATGACGGAAACGATCATTCACCAGAATGCTCATTCATGCGACCTGTTTGCTGAGGATCTTGGTAAGTAATGATGTCTGGAATAAAGATTTTGAACATGCCCATTAGATTTACAAGGTCCCCTTCTTCTATTTGAGGATATTGCTCCAAGCCAACCTTCATCTTCCTTACTCAACTACCTCACTCTTCTTGAGAGTTTTAAATCCAATCTTCAACAATTGTTTCCTTCCCAAATATCATCCGTCCCTCACCCTTCCTCTACATTGCAAGCAACGAACAAAGAAAAATTGACAACTGAAAATGACGCCAAGCCTTTCTTTCACACCGGACCTTGCGGAAATTTCCATGACTTGTTCATTGTTTTTCAAGAAGAAACAACACCAATCACGAATCGTTCATTCAATCCAAGGATGAACAATGATAGTGGTCCTATCAATGACATGAATGTAATAACGAATAGAACTTCAGCAAAGCTAAACACTGCGAGAAGTGGTCACGACGACGATCCAAAGTATCTTTTTTCTTCAAATCATCACCAACCACCAATTAGAAAATCCATCATTCAAATTGAGCAAGTGCTTTCACTCTCGGATGTACAAATCAAATTTAATTCAAATCCTTCAACAAGTGATCATTCAGACAATGTGTGCATTGACATCAACTCTGATTGTGGAATTTGTTTATTACCTCTCTATGATTCCACTCCTGTTTACAAATTAGAGAAATGTGATCATGTATTTCATCTCACATGTGTATATCGATGTCTAGAGAGTAGAAACATTCCAAATAATTGTGTCAAGTGCTATTCATGTATTTCTAGAGAAGAAGAGAAGAAAATTAAATTAATTTACAAAGATGAAATTCGATCAAGAAGATTGGAGAAACGAGCTGCTAAACATTTTGAATCTTCACATGAACTCAATCATCACGAAATTGAGAATTCCAACACTCCTCCTGTCATACAGACCATAGAAAACAACAACAACAACAACAATAATAATAACTGTTTCCCCTTCTCTCTTCCTCACAAGATCAATGACAAACTGACCATTACAAATTATGGATACTTTTTAAGTGTGGATACAAGATATCCTATTTCTTACATGTGCACGTCCATGTTGAATGACACCTATGAATTACATTGTGAAATTCAATCCAATCAAACCTACCAACAAGATGGTGATCCTGTCTATGTATTTAAGGTTCGATGTGAATCTCCACCTTTCCAAGTCGAAGCATTCACACAAAGTGAATTATCCAAGAAAATTGAAGAACATCTTCCACACTCGACAAGTCGTCGACGAAAGAAAACATTGATTAATGTATCACAATTATTTGGACTTCAGAATAGAAAGGTTAGAACAATTCTGGAACAACTGAGACTATCTCCTGTGGTTGGTCCTTCTTGTTGTGAGGATAATGATCATAACAAGGATGATGACCAAGTGGTAGAAATGATAATGAACAACAAACAAGAAGATACTGGAATGAGTGAATTAGTGGCAACAACAACATCTATCACTGAAAATTTCTCGAAAAATGATCAAAAATGTTCGACTCCTTGTGAGTCTCCAACAAACAAACCATTCATTCTCGACACGACGTTGAACCACCAACACCACCAACACCACCTGAATTCAACAACAAGGTGTTTGAGACAAGAATTACCTTCAACGCATAAGGAGGATGTTAAATTTCTTAATTCAAGTTTGAAAAGAAAAAGTCCATTATTGGATAATCCTACTAAAGATGATGACACACATGGTATGTTGCAGAAGGAAAAGACAAGTGTAGGTGGTGGTGATCTTCAATCCTCAACAAGAAAGAAAAAGAGAAAGATACAACAACATGAAACCATATTTAACAATCCTTTCCATCTACCATTTAGTGACATTTCTTTCAAGTATCGATTCGACATAAGTCCAACTTGTTTTACTCGTGTCAAGAACTTTTTGATGGACAAGTTCAATTCAAGTACTTTTTGGCCCATCTTTGTGGACTCTCGTTACAAGTTCATGATCAATTCACTATCAAGTGAAGAAGAGGAAGAGGAGGAAGAGGACATTTCACAGAGTTACAAGACCATTGCTTACATTTACATGTATACATGTCATGAGATTGTTCCTTGGACAAGTCATTGTTGTACCTTGTATGACATTTATTGTTCTGAAAATTGCTCCATGTCCCTCAATGGAATCATGCGTGTGTATGAATGTTTTTGTTCTCTCTCTCAAAAGAATGCACTCCAAAGTGATATTATTTATTGTTGTATGAAAACAAATCCATGTTGTGATTCGATTCTATTGAGTATGTTGAATGTGTTCTACAAGATATTCTTTCAAAGGAAATTCTATTCCAATGAAGAACTTGTACAAGCATGTAGTTCTATTGTTTCATGGTCACACCAATTCTTTAGAAATGATCAAAGGATGAGAATCACTACTACTAGTAGTAATAATAGTAATAGTGGTAGTAGTAATAATAGTAATAGTAGTAGTAATGAACTCTTAATGATGGATCCAATAATGAATCATCACTCCATGCATCCAACAGAAAATTGTACGATCAAGAGGGAGGATGAAACTATTTCGAATCGGTGGTGGTACAAGATGAATAATAGTATACTTTTGAATCGATGCATTGGAAGAGAAATAAGCGCATGTGAGAATCATGTATTGTATGGACTGTATCTGATTGCCAAAAGTATTGATTATTTTGTGATGGAAAATTTGGATATTCAAACGATATTGTTGAATCTTTCTGTGATCATTCAACATGCTGAACATGTTGTGGACTTGGAAGAAATTGGAACAGTGATCAGAAGAGATCCTCATCATTGTGAAGAGAGAATGCCAATCAATCACTCAATCCTTGAACAACATCAAGTTGATGAAAATCAACAACAACCACCATCGACAGTGATGATGAATTCAAACTTTTCAGAACCTTTACCACAAGAGAATCAATTCGAAAATACTTTGAAGAGCCACACCACTCTCTCACAGACATTGTCACAAAGCTCCAACAGGGAATTAACACCTCAAGAAACTAAGAGCTCTTTGACTCATCGTTCAACAAGTTCGAAACAACACAACCGAACAAGAACTCTACAAGAAACGCAAAACAACTCTAATCAGTCGCATCAGCACCTCCATTCTTCAAGTCAATCGAGTCATTCCAAACATCAACCCACTCAAATAAGGAGTATCATGTCTCAAATCGACAAACATCACGAGAGCCAGAATTTGCTAATTGTAAACACCAACAACAGCAGTTCCACCAGTACACCTTTAGAGGTACACTCCAAAAGGGAAAGCTTTTCTGGCACAAGTGGTTATCATTTGGACCTGACATTCAATCATGAAAAGTCCCAACTAACCTCCTTTTCGTCTGCATTTTCACCTGCAACAAAGTCTCCCAGTTTTATGGCTGATAACCGTACTCTATCTTCTGAAGAAGAGAACAAAGATTTCATGATCAATTGCAGTGAACATAATGATCCAATGGAAGAAGGTGAAGATGAAATTGTGAGCTTCAATTTTAGTTCTTCCTCTGGCTCTCTTATGTCAGGTTTGAAATATAATGCAAAGACCAACAGTAGTATTCCAATATTTCCATATTTCGAGTGATTGTTGAATTCGTTGAGGAATAAACAGGCACGTGAATCCTTTTCAAATGAAGCTTTCGATACAACAGAGATTTTTCAATGCTCCCAATATTACAAGCTCGATTTACTTTTCATTTAATTTAGTTGCAATCCAAAACAAGTCTTCCTCACTCTCTGGAAGATCCAAGTCCATCCGTTCCATACATTTCTTCTTAATAAGTTGATAGGAAGCTTTTTCTTTTGATTCTGACATGTAGCTCAATATATCTTCATTGGTCTCAATGAATTCAATGGCCTCTTCAAAACGCAAATTTAAAAACATTTCACGAAGGGCTTGATAGGCAGCACACATTTTGATGGCTTCCGATGATGCATGTTCCTTCTTTTCAATCACACTGTAGATATTGATGGGAATTGCTTTGCCTTTCACACAAACCACATCGACCCATTTACACAAGAATTTTCTGTGTACTTTAGCATAGACATTTTCACTAATCATTATTGAAGTTCCATACATGGAATTGAGTGATTCTAACCTTGAACTGGTGTTCACTGCGTCACCAATGCAAGTGTAATTCATTCGATCCACACTTCCAATATTTCCTGATATTTTGGAAAAGGCCATAGAGTTAGTTCGATCACATCAAATTCATGGACCATCCGAAAATGAGTGAGAAATGAATGAATTCAAAACCATAACATACCAATAAAGCACTCTCCAGTGTGCAATCCAATTCTCACTTTCAAAGTAAAGTTACTATAATCCACATTGTAACGATTCTTCTGACTACACAACTTTTCTCTCCATCTGTTATTAAATGGCACTAGGGCTTGTTGACAGAGATAAGCACTTTCGACAGCAGCTAATTCATGGTCACGAATAGGAATGGGATCATTCCAGAAGGCCATAATTGAGTCTGAAATGAACACCGCACACACGTGAATCATTCAAAAGAGATTCGACCATTTGAAAAGAATTGCAGTGGTTCCACATTCCAAGTTTTCATTAAAAATTCCATCATGATCCCAAGTTTCCGTTAAATGACCAAGTGTCAAATAAACAACTGAATATATCTTTGAAGTTCACAATTAAAATCACATACCTCCAATAAACTTGTCAATCGTTCCTTTAGTACTCATAATAATATCAGTCTGATGAGTGAAAAAATCACACATGAGCTCAACCAACAGATCAGGTGACATCTTTTCAGTCATATTCGTAAAACTAGCAATATCAGAAAAATACAATGTAATCACTTTCCATTGTACTCCAAGTGCTGCTGGTTGATTGGACTGAACGATGGATGCAACAATTTCCGATGGAACATATTTTGAAAAACTTCGAAGTCCTTTTCCCATATTGTTCACAGAAGTAATAATGGAACGAACTTCTGAAAATGTCATCACAGGTACACTTTCATCCTTTGTTTTAAAATTCAATTGTGCCATTCGATCGACTCTTCTCTTGAGTGATCCTAATGGTCTTGAAATGAGAGCACTCACCAAGAGTGAGACACCTGAAGATATTACAATTAACACCAAAGTAACAATTAATATAATCACATTGGATAATCCAAGATAGGTAGAAACAATATCTTTGGGTGTCGAATGAATAATGATCCAATCCAGAGAAGAGTAGTGAGATGTGGATATCGAATGAGGATCACCACTACCACCGTCATCATCTGAAAGGGATTCAACAGTGACATAATGTCCTGATCCTGTTGTTAAATCTCTTAGAAACATGGATCGAGGTAGATGGCTCACATTGAGAACCTTTGATTGATACATGGGATCATAGGTGCCATACAATTTGAATAATTGTTGTGTGATGGAGGAAACGACACTATCTTGAACATGATGATCATCCTCATCATGTAAGGATCCAGTATCAGCAGTACTTGTAGAAAGACCATGACTACTTCCCAACACGACACCATCTTTTCGAATGATAAATGCTCGATGACCCTTATCAAGTTGTGTTTGAGTTTTGAGTTGATCAGAGAGAGTTCGAATAGAAAATGAAAGTGAAATAAATCCAGAATAGACCTTTCCAGAATAATAAGGAATGATACAAGAGATGGAGTATTCACCAGAACTCTTGATATAATAGATGGAACTCCATACTGAGGTTTCTAAAGGTGCCAATCCATTCTCAAGTCGTTGTAGATCTAATTCTACGAGTTTTTGAAGGGAATGATTCATCATTAAAAAAGTCGAATTGGACGTTGGATCTTCAAAATTGGTAATTTCCATTTCTGTACCTGGTATCAAGTTCCCATCTTGCATGCGAGAGAAATAAATGGATCGATTGTTGGTATTATTGAACATGATGAAACTTTGCATTCCACTTGACAAGTCCATCACTACTCCCACATAACTTCCAGATAAATCGACAGCAAAGATTTGATTAAACATCATGGATCGTGATAGCATTTGAGCAAATAATTTTCTCTGAATGTTTAAATGATTATTATTGGAATTAGAAATGACCTCTTTTATGGTCAAATTTCCATGCAATCCAGTCATGACCGATCGTGTATTCGTTAAAATATAGGGAGCAAAATGAATCAGTGAAGTCCAACTATATTTCAAAAGGGAGGTAATGTCTTCATTGGAACTTGTGGCCATGACTGGAATGACTTGAAATTCTAACATGAGATAACTTGATAACCAAATAATGAGTCCACTCATCGCTATGGTTGCAATAAACAAAATACAAAGTACCACCTTGACACTACAGAACAAATCAAACATGAAACACTTGTTGTGAAATTCACCACTTTGAGGAGTAAGAAAATTCTCAAATTCAGAATAGGGTTCTGTGGTGACTGATTTGTTGGATACGACACTATTCCGATGAATGGATCTCATTCTTACTGTTGGTTCCTTCGTGTTGTTGTTGGTGTTGTTGATGGTTGAATGGGTGTTGTTCATTCTGGTATTCTTGGTAGTGGTATAATTGTTGATACTTGCATTGAGGTTCGAAACTGTGTTGAATGTGAGAGAGAGAGAATTGGGTCGATTGGTGGTGGTGGTGGTGGTGGTGTAACCTAGTTTTCTCTTTGAACTGGTGGATGGTATTCTTCGAGGTTTTTTTGTGACAATATTATAAGCAGAAGGAAGACCATCAAGGACAAGATCATCTTTCAATGTTCTGTTTTTTTGATCATTGCAACTAGTTTGTTGTTCAGAGTGAATTCTTTCTTGTAGAGTCTTACACGTCTCAGCAGCAGCGGTGGCGGTGTTGATGGTGTTGATGGTGTTTGTATCACTCGATGATGAGGGTGAAATGGTTGGTGGTGTTGATGGTGGTGGTGGTGAATGAATGATTTCACTGTTATTACTACTCAAGCATAGAGGTTTGGTTCCTTCTTCATCGGTTGGAGAATTCAATGGTGACATGGAGACCATGGGATGAATGATGACTTCAGGTGAAGATGATGTCTCAACAGTAATAGCACTTTGTCCATGACTAGTATTGCTAATACTACTATTACAACTATTGCTATTACTTCTAAGTGGCATTGCTGTAGTTAGAAGATGAACAGGATCCGTAGTACTTCTTTTTCGAGTCAATGTTGTTGTTGTGGTTGCTCCTGATGAGGTCGTTGTTGTTGTGATAGAAGGTGTCAGAGTATTCTTCTTATTTGAAGTATTTGGAAATTTGTATTCATGTCCATTCTCTGAGAGAGACATTTTCGTAAGATCAACTTGTTCCAATGCTTGTTGTTTCCTTTCAATTTGTTGCTCAATTAATTTTGGATCTAAACGAATGGTCACATTTGAAGTTGGTTGTGTCAAAGTTTGCCAACTTGTTGCTAGTTGTTTTCTTCGATTTGAATTGGCTTTAAAACGATCATCTCCATCATCTTGTAAATCATCTCCAAGTTCTCCATTCACAAACATTTCATAAATGGATCGTGAATGATTCTTCATACATGATGAAGCTCGACTTTTTCTTGAATCGGTGGTGGAAGAGCTTACCTCCGAGATTCGTTTCTCATTATTGTTATCATCATGATTGGAATCCAGAGATGAAGATGCATTATTCATGAATGGTGAGTTGGTAATAGCCATGGCTTCAGAGGTAGTAGTGGCAGATTCTTGTTCCAAGAAGCCTTTCTCAACTTGATCACCATCATTCATTATTACTTCATTGATGTTTATAGAATTCTCTTCATTCTTGTAAGAAGATGTTTGAGGTGTAATTGAGGTGTCCATCCATTCCGACAATGATAAAGGAACACTCGATGAATGTTCATCCACCGTAGTAATTGTAGTAGTTGTAGAAGTTGTCGTTGTGATCACTGCAGGAAGAAGAATTGGATCATTTTTTTCAGGTTGACCTTCGAGACAAGTGTTGTTCGTGATGGGACCATCTCGACAGGTTGTTGTTTTTGAAAAGGTTGTTGGTTTGTTGTTTCTTTGGTTCTTTGGAGAGGATCCTGATTGATTGTTACTCATACGACCTGTTGTCGGCCTATTTTTCTTATCCAAGTTTGGATTGCTATTATTGTTGTGGTTGTTGTGGTGTTGTTGTTGTTGTCGTAGATGATGATTACTTTTAGACTGTTTCATTGTGACTCCATAGGCTACTACTAGTGTGCTACAGCATAAAACGAACGATGGAAATTCTTGTTGTTGAGATTGAATGAGTTGCGCCTCCAATAGAGTGGTGGAGTGGTGGAGTGGTGGTGGCACTAGTGACTATATACTCAGTAGACTACTTCAGTTGAATAGAGTCAGTCGACTGTCTATTGTTGTGTGTCGGTCGCACACAACTGCTGTAGTTTGTTTTTTAAGGGTTTTTTGAGAGGTTTATAATGACATGGAGAGATGGAGATGATGATAATTACGTAATATCATCATCGTGAGGATGACAAGTGAATCATCATTCTCAATCATGAATCACCATCATCATCATGATTGAATGGACAAACAATAATTGCAATGTGGTGGTGGTGGTGGTGTTGTTGTTGTTGTTGTCATACTGAAAATTCCCACCAATTCCACTCGAGTAATAGGACATTCATGATTAGGGACATGAAGTTCTTCAAGGTTATTGTGGTGGTGGTGGTGGTCAGAGTGGTGTTGGTGATGATGATGATGTTGAGATGTTGAATTCAATTCTACTTCTTGTGAGAGTACTCTGGAGAGAGAGATCATTCATCAAACGCATGAAATACCTTCGTACCTTATCCATGACATGTGGTGATGATCTATCTCTTTCAGACCATCATTAAAAAAAAGAACATCAAGAAATGTTTTTTCTGTTCAGCATCTCAGTCATGGACACAATTTACTTTCTTGTTTCATTTCGTGATCATTCAATTTACTTTCTCAATTGAGGTTTCATGATCATTCTAATGAATGAATACTACTTTTAATGAATCTAAAAGGATTATAATAAACCCATGAATGAAACTTTGTACTACTCTTTCAAAGATGATCAAATCTTCAAATTAAAAGACATTTCATACCACTTCTCTTGACCATGTACTACATTAGATTCACCATTCAATTTAAATCCTGCCTTTTCATAGAAATGAATTAAATGTTTCTTTGTAATTAATAATACTTGATCACAAATAGAATTCTCTTTCAAATAATTTAAATATAATTGTAACATATCAAGACCTAATCCACAATTTCTAAATTCTTTTTTAATCACCACTGAATGAATACAAAGTGTTCTACCATTTGGATCATTGATGGACATGCTTTGATGAGTCAGAGAATGAGCATTGGTTTTTGTTCCACACACAAATCCAATCAGTAGTGGTTGTAATAATGATGTATTATGTGATGGTTGTAATGGTGGTTGTAATGATGATGTATTATGTGATGTATTGGGGTCAGTTTCAGTACTGAATTCAATGGCATTCTTTGTTGAGCTCATTTCACCCAATAATAATGGAGTGAATTCATTTGAAGATGGAGAACGATAAAAATATCCTCGAAAGACATCATTGGCATTCAATAATCGATATTTTAATTTTTCAAAAGTGGCTGCTTCATCGGAAGGATATGATTCACTTTCATAGGAATGTATTAAATCTAAATGATCGGAAACATTCACTGGTTGAAGGAAACAATGTTCTTTTGGAATCATTGGAAGAAGAAGATTCGCAATATTGCGAATTGGAACTCTTTGATGAAAGGCTTTGTGGAGAATATTTTTTTTAAAAAAAATTTAAAAAAAAATCCTCTCGTTATTGTTGTTGTGGTGGAAATTCATCACCGCGCGTTTCGAAAACACAAATGATACGAATACAACCCTCACACCAACATTGTCGTTGTTCACTGCCATCATCACCATCAACAACAACAAGAAAATTTCCATTCATCCATATCTTGTTCTTCCTGTTGATCATGAGCAGCATTATGCTTACATCAACACCTTCTCATGCCTCTTCTTCTTCATTCTCTTCTAAAAATATTCATTCCATCTCCACCACTCTTGAATATCAATCTCTTCTTAAAGAATATCGTTCCACTCATCACATCATTACACTTGCTACATTTACCAAAGAACAAGAAACATCTCATAAATGTCTTCATTGTAAACTCTATAGAGATTTACTTGTGAAATATGTTGAATCATTCCCAAATGATATAAAAGGAATTTTAGTAGAATTTACACCTCAATCTCAACAATTTGTCATTGAAACATTACATTTAACACATTTACCAAGTATTAGTATTCAATCTAAATTTAATGATTTAAAACCCTATGAATGTAATTTAAGAGAAACACAAATGTGGGATTGTGTGAAAATTGCATTGAAAGATGATGATGAATTGAGTGAAGAATTGAATCATTTCATTGATTTGGAATTTGTGAAGGAATTGTATACAAAATATCAAGCTGAATTTGAAAAGAGTAGTGATAGTAGTACTGGTGGTGGTGGTTCTTCAAGTCAATCTCTCTTTTCCATTCTCTCTTCCTTATCAAAAATATTTTTAATTGGGTTTGTCATTACTGGATTTATTATTGGAATTTCAACACTACAAAGTTTATTACCATTTGGAAAATATGCTCTATTCATGTTATGTATCTTAATTTATATTGTATGTATGGCTGGAACTGTATTTAATGCCATTCAAAATCCACCACCTTATCAATTTAATCCCTATGAGAAATCCATTACATTTTTCTATCCAAGTATGAGAATGTCTTTTGCATTGGAAGGATATTTTGCAATGGTGGTTGTGGTGGTGTCTGCATTTTATTTTATTGCAATTCCTTATAGTGGAATGAAGAAGAGTGAAACCACAAATGATCAGAAAAACTACTCAACTAGTTCTTCTCTTAATCATGGTGGAGAGACTACTACGAGAGGTAATAATACCACCACTTTGACCACCACCACCACCTCTACTAGGACCAGTAGTACCAAATCTAAAAAGAAGACTGAGAAAGCTACCAGTGTCACCACTACCTCTTCTTCTTCTTCCTCGGTACAGTCTCGATCGAGCAGTGCAAGTTCAATGGAACAGATGGAGGATGAAGATAATCAAGAAAGCAACAATGAGAGTGATACTGCAAGCTATTTATGGCAAATTATCAAAAGAACTTTCTTTATTTGGGGATTCTTTTTCACTTTTTGGGCTGCCATGATCTTTTTCATGATCAAAACTAGTTTTTATCTATCAGAGACTCCTTATCATTTCATTGTTCAATTGCTATTAGATATTTTCAACAAGTAAGAGATTAATGAGCAGCTCATTATATCAATCCTCAGAGCTGAGAATACACACTTTGTCCCCTTATTAAACAACAGTAAAATTCAATAATTTATTTAAAGTTTTCACTTAACTTTTCGTGAACACATCTTGCTGGATCACATTCTCCATTCTGGAAATTTCATTGTCTTGATCATTACCATTTACCATCATCATCCTTGTATTGCACCACACTCAGCAAACCTTGTTGTTGGAATGGATAAGGGTACTGCAATATTCGAAATTAGTAAAAAATAGTTCAATCATAGAAAATTTTGCAAAAAGAAAAAACGTCGAATGCAGATCAAAGAAACACCATGAGTCACGAATATGTAAGATTGTATTCACACAAAATCATTATTCAAATAAATCTATTATCATCCTCCTCTTCACTTACCTTTCCAAATAAATTCTGATGTGCCACCACTCCCAAATCATTCTTTAAAATATGAGCAATTCTTTCAATATCTTGAGGTTTAGCATGAATACAACCATGACTATTAGGCATTGGATTATAACTTGGCCATTCACCAGTATGTAATAAAATTCCACTTCGAATCTTTGGATAAATATAGAAAGCGTTTCCTTTTAGTCCATAAACAGCTCTATTGACATCATAGGGGCCATATTCTTTTGGATCATCTTCAGGTGTATTTAAATCAAATGTATATAATCCAGTAGGTGTGTTACCATCGCTTGTAAATTCATTAAATGTTTGTTGTCCATGTGTTCGACATGTAAAGAAATGTCTCTTATTTCCATTCTTATCAAAAAGTGAACAAGTTGTTTCAATGCTTCGATTTGCATACACTGGAACATGAACATAATACTTGTATGGAGATGGTAATTGAAGAGTTGAATTCATCCATTTACCACCACCATTCTGATTCATTTTTGAATTGAACTTCACATATTCATCTCGATAACCATCATAGGAATAGAGTGAAAGTAATTCCATTGCAGTTTCTGGAGTTAATTCTGGTTTCAATGGGAATAAATGATGAGAGGCCATAAATTGAATCAAACAATCCAGTGTTTGATTAGAGAAGATTCCACTCATAAAACCCTCAGTTGCATGTCCATATCGGGATTGACAATACGAGTCTCTCTGTAAAAATAATTGCAAGAGGAAAACATCATTGCCTTTATCGGAGAGAGTGAGAGGACGAATGAAGGGATAAATTGGAAATGTTGGTGATGATGAAGATGATCGGATCTTCATGGTGGTCATTGCAAGAGTGGTGGTGGTGGTGGTGGTGAGCAACAACAGTTGAATCAACCCAAGCACAACCAACAGCACAAAGGAAAGCCTTTGCATCATTTTTTTGATCGTAATCAACAAACAGAGAGAGGAGTGTGTGAGTTCTGCATCATCAAAGCCTCACTAGGGTCGCCTCAATCTCTTTGTAATCATTGGAATCACAATCAGAGAGATCGCAACTGTCGATACAGTCTGAAGAGATTAAAAAAATGATCAAGCCTCAACATCAAAAGGGAAGAGACATCTCCTCCTCCGAAGAATTATTTACTCATCAGAATTCATCACTAAAAAGAAACAAAAGAAACAGAGAGGATGAGATTGAGGAATTCTCTCCTTTCTCTTCTTCTTCCATTCACCACTGTAATCACACTATTCAACCATTAGAATATGACCATCATCATGAGGAAAATACGAGTGCACCCATGACTCCTCTAAACAATCATTTATTTCATTCCCCTACCTCTCAACGAGATGATCATCACGATTTTATTTCATCTCGTGCTTTGGATCCAGGTGAAGATTTTTATGATCCTTTTTCATCTTCTTCTAAAGAAACAAGAATGAAATTTAAATATGGCCCCTATTTAACACCACAAGAATATCAAGTAGAAGGATTTACAACAACCATTGAAGAATTAAACAAATTACAGAAATATTGTGAACAATCTCCACAAGACACAATTGAAAAAACAAAATATTTAAAAGAATTAGTCATCAATAATAGTAATAATTGTGAAAAGAGAAAATCAAAAAGTTGTCATTCCTCTCCTCTCTCTTCTTCATGTACAACTAGTCTCATGGATGGTGAAGACATTGTTGTCAATAAGTCGGAAAGGAACTCGATGAGTCCTCCCAAGTTAGAAAATACCAATGAATTATTATATTCCACACCCTCATCAAACATGAAATATACACTTGATAATTATTGTCAATTACTCGAGTCCAATGTAAAACACAATTCTCCAAAGAGAACTTCAAAGATGATGAAATATTTGAGGAAGCATCATTATTATTACCAATACTGTGGAGGTCTTAATGAGAATACGATTTTATTTTTAATTGGTTTGATTTTTGTACTATTGTATGTGTTGGTGGTGAAATATTTGTTGAGTGATGGATAGCGACTTGAAAGAATTGCCTACAAGCTTAAAACAATGTTCCTATTCCATATTATGGATTCAAAAATTTTGGATTCAACAACGCTAAAGCTGTTGCACGTCGCACGAGAAGTTGACTTGAATTTGCTGGAATCGTTGAAACCATATTGTGCGTAGAGAGGTGAAAAATGAAGAAGATTCTCAAAGAATGGTCTTAGCTAATCTTTATTCTAACAATGCTTCAAAATCATCATAAGTTTCATTAAACTTCTGAATGGTTGTCTTAATCTTGGATTTGTTCGTCCAGGTAATAAAATCTTCTAAATTTCTAGAAACCAGAAATGCTTCATCCCTCACCACTTCAGGACCAATTCGAATATGTCCATGTTGAATGTACATGTTAGCCAATCGACCACTCTCTGCAAAATGTAGCACCTTTAACAGATATGATATTCTTCTTCGGCACAACCTTCCGACCGTAATTTTGTTTAATGTTTCAATTTCAGCCTCAGAATCTAAAATTCCCATATCAAACAGTTTTTTTCCGAGCATAACCAATTGATTCACTTTGAAATCTCTGTAGAGTTTGTCATCCAATTGTTTAATGTTATTAATGGTGTTGTTGATCTGTGTTGCAATTCGTTGATAATTAAAGAATTCTTTTTGATCACGTAATTGATATTTTTGAATGGTTTTTAAAATATATTCTTTATATTCGGGAGTAACACCATCCGATTTCCAATTCAAAAAATCAACTTTTTTGAGAAGCTTTTGTTCGTGATGTTTTAATTCTCTGACTTTGGGCATTTGGATTCCGATCGGAGTGAGGTGAGTGCGTTGTGTGGTGTGTTGAGAATGTTCTTCAATTTTTTTGAAAGTTTTTTTTATTCAAATTCTTTGACGAAGAGAATGACGAATAAGACATGGAATCAATACATGTTACTGGTTGGTGGTGGCATTCCGTTATTTAAGCTAAAGCCTGCTTGATAAGTCATCATATTGGAGGGCGTTGGCTGCAGCATGTTGTTACTAGTACTCATCATCATTCCACCACTACTACCACCACTTGGAGGAGGTGGCATTGCATGATTGGTTGGAGGAGGTGGTGTCATCGATTGATTCAAGTCTGGAATTTCATAGGAACCTCCAGTTGAAGCTTGTGGACTTGGCATGAAATAGGAAGTCATTGGTGGTGGAGTGGAAGTGTTCATTGAAGAACGATTATTCATCATCATCATCGTGGATGGTGGTGGAGTGGAAGAAGACACACCACCATAGGTCGAAGAGGTCATTGCAGTGGTGGTGGTGGTTACGCCAGCACCAGCACCTCCACTAAACATATTCACATAACGAGAAGCTCCACCACGCAATTGAGAAGCAGCTGATTGCAAGTTATTTGAAGGAATGGCTTCAAGGGTTGGTGGTGGTGCAGTATTTTGTTCAACCACTTCATTCTCTTGTCCTCTTCTGACCCATCTCTTTTTACTTTCATCATAATAGAATTCATTCTTTTTGCCAATGTTGGCTTCTTTTTTGGAAGATGAAGATTTTGAAGAGGATCCTCCAAACCAACCTTTCCACCAAGATGAAACTCCACCACCACCACTTGAGGAGGACCCATTATTGTCCTGAGAAGATGATGAAAGGGGTGGAGGTGGTGTTTGTGAGGTTTGTTGTAAGGATGATGATGAAAGGGGTGGAGGTGGTGTTTGTGTTGGTGGAGGAGTATAGCTGGCTGGTCGTGTTGAGAGCAGCATGTTATTTTGATTCAATGAGAGAGATGACACATGTTGTTGTTGCATCAATGCTGAAGTTGAGGGTATGCCTAAACCACTGTTTCCAGCAATGTTTGGCATGGATGTGGAATGACCAAGAGGTGGTGAAAAGTGAGTGGAGGCAGCCTGAGTGTTGTTGTTGTTGGTACTACTGGGAGATGATTCTTCAGAGTCTGTTCCATGGATAATACTTTCGAGTCCTCTAATGAACCATCCAGTCACACCTCCGCCACTTTGTTTCTTTGAGGACGAAGAGGCTAATGAGGATGATGCAATTGGAGTACCAGTGAGTTTGGATGATTCTTGAATTCTCAATTTCAATTCCTGAAGATGGAGTTTGAATGCAATTCCAAATCGAATCGTTTGTTGTGTCTTTTTGACAATATCGATCAAATAATCACAACATTCATTGGCCTTATCTAAATATCCAAACTCAGCCAAATAATAAGCATAAATTAATTTGTAAGCTAATAGAGTAGAATTCATCAGCAAGGAAACTGGAGGAAATTGTTGTTGTGAATCATTTTGTAAACTTGATAAAATATTTCTTGTCATGAGCGATTTTAAGAGTTCAAAGACTTCGGTCAATTGCATAGTCTCATCAGAAATGTAATGTCTAATATCTCTCTTATTATCACCTGCAATAAGAAGAACTCTTCTGTTTACAATTGAAGAAGAGGCGATCATGCCAGTAATTAATTGTTGATTCACTTGACTCTGAGGTGTGGATCTACCTGGAGATGTTATGGATGATGGTGGTTGTGACATGGCAAAAGCAGAAATCAATGTAGCAAAATCTCCCAATACATAACAAAAATGTGATTGTGGTACTTGATAACAATCTTTCCATAAAACATCTCCTAATTTTTCAATAGCTGCTTGAGACACCTTTCCTTGTCTATTATTAAATAGAATGGACAAGTTTTGAATCCATTGAGAACACAATTTTTCAATTTGTTGTTGCTGATCTTGAGAGGATTGTGAAGAGTATTGATTTCCATATTGATCAGTGCTAACAATAGAATTCGACTCAAATGCATCCAATGGTTTTCCTGCGAATGTACAATAAAGAGTACGAAGCGGTGTTCCTGGATTCAGTGCGCTCAATGCAAAACTTGAAACTACAGATTGATAGGTCTGTTTGTCTACCATACTACTCAAAAGAATTGCATGAGCCCACATTTTGTTACTTTGAGCATATTGGCAAGCTTGTTTGATCTGTCCATTAATTAACATGTTTTGTAATGCAACCACTTGTTCTGGTTGAACATCACCTGATGTTGAGCTAGAGGTAACAAGGTCATCCACTGGAGCTGTTGAGCTTGAACAAAGAACGGTCAAAAGAGCATTAATATCATTTGAAACCATTCCAATGTTTCCATTTACATTCTTGGCAACAATTTTGATTAGTTCCCAAAGCATCTTTTCTCCCACAACTTGATCATCTGCTTGCTGGAATAAAATTTGTTGTTTTTCATAAATCTTTAAATTCATAAACTTGATGAGTTGATCTAAAATGGCACTGTTAGAATCGTTGTCAAACTGTTGAGAGATGTTAGCGATTGGATAATCTTCCAAAGATTTAACCATTGGACATGCAATTTTGAGCACTTGACTCAATTTGTGAACTTTAAAATTGCCTGGATAAAGCACACCTTGCGATTCTTGACTTGTTGGCTGATCGCCACCATGGAAATTTGTTGGTGATCTAGCTCCAGCTAAAAATGTATTGGCACTAGTTTGTACTGGCGTTCTTTGTTGAGTTGTTGGAAATGATGAAATAATTTTACCTCCAAACGTAAAAGTAAAAACTGGTCTTGAATATTTCAAACGCAATTCATGTTCTTGTTGTAATTGTTGCTTTGATAGCATTAAATTTTGTTGATAGCTTGGAGACATGGGTCTTTGTGAATGATACATCATTTGTGGATTATTCATACCCATCATCATGGACATGGTTGGATATTGCGAGTTATTCATCATTCCGAATTGATTCATGTTCATGAGATTGTTATTCACTGCAGATGAATCATAGGATGGAATAAATGTAGAAGTATTCATAGAGTATTGTGAGGAAGGAATGTTAAGTTGTTGATTTGGCAATGCATTCATTCCACTCGTATAATTATTATAATTTGTAAATTGATTATTCATGGAAGGATATCCCGTTGGGCTTCTAATACCCTCCATTACAGCTCCGCTTTGGTTAGTCAATAAATTAGTTGGAGAAACGCTATTACATCCTTGTTGATAAGATGATGAATACATAGCACTTTGAAATTGTGGGTTCATCATGTTGGATGATGGGATGTTGTTATTGAATTGGTTAATATTCATATTGTCTTGAACAGAGTTGTTCACAAATGATGAAGCAGAAGGTGTCGTTCCCATCACAGGAGGAGGTGTCATCATGTTTCTTGTTTGTCCAGTAGTAGCATTCGTAGTGCTGTATGAAGAAGAAGAATTCATCATTGGCATGGAATTGATTGATTGATTTTCGAATTGTTGCAAATGGCCACTGTGATTTGTCAGTGAATTTGTTGATGAAGGAATTCCACTCGTACTAGTGTTGCCTGTTAAATTATGCTGAGAAGTGTTCATCATCATCATGGATGGTGGAGGGGAAGAGATCATTCGTTGATGATGGTGAGAAGGAATTGATGAAGCAGGAGTTACATTGTTCAATGTTGGGGGCATTCCGTTATTTAAGCTAAAGCCTGCTTGATTAGTCATCATATTGGAGGGCGTTGGTTGCAGCATGTTGTTACTAGTACTCATCATCATTCCACCACTATTGTGGATATTCATGGATGAAGTGTGAGTGGTGGTTGCTGTTGTCGGATGGGGAGAAGGGGGAGTGAAAACAGCATTCGACTGAATGGTATTATGACTCTTGGTATTACTACTAACACCAAAACTATTGACGTAACGATTGGCTCCTCTATTCATAGCTACAGAAGGCTTTGATGTTGTGCTGTTTGATGTTGTAGCAAGTGGAGGAGGAGGAGGAGAGGACAAGGGAGGAGGTGTTTTCTCATGATGGTATTGCTGTTGTTGTTGTTGTTGGTTGGAAGTAGTGTCGATACGTGGAGAACGAATTCCCGAAGAAGGACTGGATACCATCATTGAATCATCCCTTTGAGATTGGTTCATCATTGGTGGAGTTGCGGTAGAAGGAGGTGATAAGACTGATGGCAAAGTAGGTATGTCATGGTTTGATGATTTAGTTTCATCATCGAGGAATGAAGTATTTTCGTTCAATGAAATTTCCTTCATAAAAGGGTCATTATCGGATGAAGTTCCGAACAAATTATCATCATCATCATCGGTAGTGTTTGTGTGAGTTGCTAACGATGTTGTTCTATCACTTGTGTTTGAACAAATGTTATGATTGTCCACAATAGGAGTGATACTTTCAAGTGATTGAACTTGTTCATCATTATCCTTCATGATTTGTATGGTATCGGCAGTAGTCGATTTCCTTCCATCATCGTGTTGAGTATCCGATGATGCCTTGTTTTCGTTCAGAGAAAGGTTTTCCAGACCTGAGTTGTTACCCAAAAATGAAGAAAAATCACCACTAGTTGAGTCTCCGAAAAGATCATCATCTTGTTGTGGGTTGGATGATCCAAACAAGTTTTCTTCTTCTTCTTGTGATGCCGAGTTGCTTTGTTTCGGGTCCATTTTCCAATGTTTGTATTTTTTACAATCTTTTTTGACGTCTTGGCCAACGTCATCATGTCTAGCAATTCAACTTCAGTCCTTCGCAAGTTATTCTGCTGTACGCGAATAGAGATGCACCACATCTTTTCATCAATCTTCCAAATCTTCTCAACACCAGTCACATTCTGAATAAGCTCCTTTGACTTTGACACTAGAAACTGGATGGAAAGGGTTTAGAAGCAAATTCGCCACCCTAACTCGTACAAAAAAGCGAGAAGAAATAAAACAATAAAAAATAATAATTTTTCTTGCTCAATTCATTTCAATCCCCAGAAAATGTATTACTCCAACGTGGTGAACCCACAAACTTACCAACCACCTGTATCACCCTACTCGAGCAACACAACCATTTTCGAGGCAATTTCCTCATCCAACTTGAGGTTTGGATCAGAGTCCGCCTCTGAGCTGGTTCTTTCTCAATATTCACTCTCAAAAGCCGACATTGATGGAACACTTTCTCAGCTGAACTCGGTGTTGGCTCCACACTATGAAATCAGCAAATCATACACCCTTGCATATCTGATCATCCTTGGTTTATCCATTGCATTAGCTATTCCAACTATGGGTCTGTCCATGTTTCCCATGATCATCATTATTTTGATGATGCAACCTCTTCAACAGAGTCGAATCACAAATTCTTTGGAGCAAAGGGTAAAGCCATCTTTGAGAGAAATCATCAAAAGGGAGAATGAAACCAAATATTTGAGAAGAAACGTCGAATTGTTTGTCGAACACAAAGGTTTCATGGATATTGTTTCGAATGGCCGATATGTTGTACCAAGAATGGTTCCAACGATCGAGATTTACTTGAAACCACTCCAAACCATTGCTGTTGTTCAGCTTCCACAACAAAATTTAGCTCAAATCTCACCAACAGTGCACCAACAACAATTCATGCAACCATCGGACCATAACTATCCCGTTCAACAAGCGTTGTCAGACGATCATAAATAATTTCAATTAAATTTTATTTCTCTGTAACAACAAAAATCTCTTGAGGCTCTTTATGGAATGTGACATTGGGTCCTTTTTACCAGACCTCAGTATATAGTTCGATCATTTTTCATCTAGTTTGAGCAACCCAGTCCACTCGGACTCACTCCTTTGCAACAAATCTTTGCAAAACTGGATTTTCTGACTTACCAAGTTGTCTTTCCAACTAATTTCTTCAAACTTTGCTAGAGCTCCTCTCACATCAAGCTTATCCAGTAGAAGGTGTATTCCTTGGTTATAGATTGGCAAGTCATGTTCAAAGAAAACCTCTGCCTGTTTTGCAGGAATATCACATCTATCAACCAGTGAATAAATGGGAATGAATGAATCTTTGCCTTTGACTGCAACATTGTCAACTCTCCTAAAAATCATCTCATCCAAAGTGATATCAGCATAGTTCAGGCTCTTAAACAATCCAAATTGGCGCTGCTCGCTCTTTGTGACTTGAAGAGCTCTTCCTTCAATTTCGAACATTTGGAACTGGCTGACAGTTTGGTAAATTGGATCCGAGACAAGTATTTCTGTACCGTATCGCTTGTTTAGTCCTTCTAGCCGAGAAGTTGTGTTGACAACATCACCCAAAATTGTGTATTGGAATCGATTATTGCTTCCAAAGTTTCCTCTCTTAACAGGTCCACAATTCAAACCTATTCTACATTCTAATAAAGGCAAACCCTCCTGACGCCATATTTTCCACATGGATTTCAGAAATCGTACACTAGCAATGGCAACTTGACAAGCTGTCTTCATTTGATTTTGCATGCCTCCAGTACCACATTCATAAAATGACATTACACAATCTCCAATGTACTTGTCAAGTACTGCTCCTCCATCAACAACCAAGTTTGACAATCCTTCAAAAGCATCGCTCATTACTCGAACAAGCTGATTAGGTGTTAGCTTTTCACTGTATGAAGTAAAATCTTTGATGTCCAGAAAAGAAACTACACATAGAATGTCTTCCAGTCCTAGAACAGCTGTTTTCTTGTTCTGAATAACTTCTTGCGACACGCATACTGGTACATATTTCGTAAATGATGATATGTTCGTGTGAATATCTCTGAAGTTATTGCGTATTTCTATGATTTCTGAGCAGAAAGATTTCAATTCTAAAGCTTTCATCACTGTATCAGATTCGAGATCTAGTTTCCTTATGTCAGAAAACCCTTGTGACAGAAGTTTGATGTGCTTGAAGAATGCAAATCTATAACAAAGCCAAACACAAGCTACACATAAAAACGTTAAAATGGGTACAGCTATGATAACTAAAGCCATATAAAAATAATTCCAATCTATAGATGATCCTTTACACAAAATATTCCAGTATATGCCACTTTCATAGCTATTAAGAGCTGTAAAGTCAGCGGTTGAAATAGTGTTCAAATTAAGACGAGCCACTTTTCCAGAATAACTTTCAATAAATGATGTGTCAATCTGCGAATCGTAGGAAGCAATCGGAGACTTGTTCATTAAGACTGTACATCCCTGAATAGTGGAAAATGTTGACGATGGCTTTAGAAGGGATTCTAAATAGCTCTTGCTCAACAATATTCCTACACACCCATAATCAGTTGAGTTGAGAGAAAGCTTCATAGAAATAGCACCAATATTGTCAGAACTGAAATATTCAAAAGCAAATGGTGATGTAAGTTTGGGCTCAAGTGTGCTTGAGGCTTCATAACACATGGCTTCAAGACTTGAAGTTCCAATGTTGGAGTGTATCCTCGATGATTTGGGGGTCATCTCAAAAGTGCTATTACTCAACCAGTAATAAAGATCGGCCTCTGAGTATTCTTTTCCGAAATTTTCTTTTCCACTTAGTGACTGGATGTACATTTCTAACCAAAATAACGATTCTGTTTTTGATGAAGGGGTGATCGAGAGAAGATCTCCTGACTTGTAGAATGAAACATAAATTCCATCCACTAATGCGCCAAGGGTTAGTGTTTTTTGTGTGATTATGGCTTGAATTGATCGAAGTTGAGAATATGAACGCAATGGTCCAACAATATCAATTGTTGAAAGGGATGTTTGTAAGTCTTTTGCCTCACGTGAAAGGCTTTTCAGCATTTCTTGTACGGTCCTTCCTGTGGACAATGTATTGTCAAGCAGCGAGTCATTTCGATCTTTCTGCGTCAAGGAAATATGCACGCCGAAGGTGATTGTCCATATTGAAATGGAGGAAAAAGCCACCATACATAACATGATGAACATAGAAGCCCATTGAAAGGACACTCTTGGCATCCAATGAGTGCGTGGTTTCTTGCTTTCAAGTTCTGTTGGTCTTACTCCTATCGGCGTTATTGGTACAAAGCTTTTGGATGATATAAGACCTCTTCCTGTTACCGTAGTTGATCGTTTCATTTTCGGTTTCTTGTTATTTAGACTTGCTTTGCTAGTTTGTTTGGTTACGTTTGAAAACTTTGGTTGAAAAAGGCTTGATTGTGAGGATGATGAGCAATCAGACTGTAGAGTTCGTTGAGATTCCTTTCTTTGTTTGAGAGGATTGCTTAGAACCTCAATTTGTTTAACTGAATGACAATCCTCATCCTCGTCCGTAAGCTTTCTTGATGAAGTTGAAGTGATCGATGATTGAGTCAATAACTTTGGATGTTGTTGCTGTTGTTGTGGTGGTGAGCCTGGTGTTTGTTCCATGTTGTGTTCGCGTGTAAGAGCGCTCAATATGTGCAAAAAAGCAGTTTTGATTTTTTTTAGACTTGCCGTATATTATGTACCAACCTCAAATGGACGAAAATTCACAGAAAGGGCGCAATACTTGCAGATTCCAAAGCGGAAATGCTTGGTATGGTCGATCAGTAGTACCGTATCAATATTTCGACCATTTCAGCCTCGCACAACAGTAGACGGCTCTAAAAAAATCACAGTAAACTGCTGTTGTTAGTGAGTATATTCAGTGTCCTGTTTAGGCTTTTTTGTAGATTTCTCAAGTCCCATCTCCAAAGTTGATCCTTTTTGTTTCGGTTTGGGAACTGGGGCAGAAGGATTTTCTAAGGGATGTACCATTGTTGGGGTAATATGGAGTGACCATGTACAATTCAAATGCTCGAGCATATAACCACTTCAATTCGAATGTGGATGGGTACTTACCTTGTTCATAAAATCGCTGCAAAATTTCGATCGCTTCCTCCTCAAATAATCCATTGAGACATTCATAGGTATACCAATTTTGGTTGTTGGAGTGGTCTTGGTCCTTCCATATTGGTGATGTCTCGTCATGAAGAAGATGATTATGGTCGACCGTTGCATCATCACCACTGCTAGTATTGGAAATACAGTTCGTATGAGGAATTCCATGCTGGTGAATATTGAGTACGGATCCACAACCTCCAAAACGTTCATTCATACATCCGCAAATGACTTTTCCAATTTTCAATATGAGTAATGCACTTGCACACATCACACACGGCTCAACCGTAACGTAGAGTGTGCATTTTGTAAAGAAAGAAGCATCCGTCAAGAGGTGAGAAAAGTTGTTGAAAATGTCATCAAATGCTTCAAACTCTGCATGTCTTGTTGCCTAACGTTTTGTGAAAAGAACAGTGATACACCAAATTTGTTTCACATGTTTGAGATTTGTTGTGAATTGCAGCAATTAAAAAATTAAAAAATCAAATTTCAATCCGTGTTTTAGCAATAAAATTGCACACACACGACTCTTACATTCTTTGTCTGATTGGTCTTATTGTAACCTCTTCCAATTATATTATTTTCGTAGGTAATGACACAACCAACAGGAACTTCAAATTCATTTAATGCCTTTCTGGCCATATTTAAAGCCTCTTCCATAAATTGTTCATCTTGTGTTGAGAACGTGCTCTTCATTCGGAGAGAGCTTGTCGAGTTTTGGAGAGGTGTTGAAGTATTTGGCTCGTCCATTATCATTGCAAATATTTTTTTTTGAAAAATAAAAACTAATTAAAAATATTCTTGACGTCCACCATTTTGCATCAAAAAAGGTCCGTGCCGCACAACCACAACAACAAAGAGCAGCATCATGGACACCACCCTACGATACACAGGTCAGGTGATGAGTTTTTTCACCCGAAGAAATGAAACCAACGACAAGAAGAGAAAGAGTCTGTTGTCGGGTCTTTTTGAAGACGACGATGATCATCATGAGGCTCATACCAACAATAACAACACAGACGCGATCCATTTGAGAGTTTCAACCAACTCAACGCGTGATAGAAGATCATCAACAGCTGGAAGTGAAGTGGAACATCATGGAATTGGATCTCCCACGTCTATGATCGAAGGAAGCGGAGTGATTGGTGTTAGCGAAGTTAATTTTGATGTAAATGACTTGGATATCACCAATGACGATTTTGAAGAATTGATAAGTGATTTGGATACGATTGATTTGAATGCTTTCCAACAAGACGAACTTGTACAGAAAGCCATTCAAGAAGGAGTTGATTTGAGAGAATATTCAAAACACATCGAAGATGATTTGAGAAAAATTGAAACTCAATCCATTGATGATTGTAAGTATTATTACAATGGTATTTGTGAGTGTTTTGTGACACAAATTTTAGATCTTGAAGAGAGTGAAAGACTTGCTGACCTACACGTTCAATTGCAACAATGTGATTCTGTTTTAGAGGTACGTCTTTAACCGACAAGCATGATAAATTCTGTAATATGTGGCTACTCTATGGATGAACGACAACAATAGAAAATGGAAAACATGTTGCAAAATTTCCAAGGATCGCTTGGAAATATTTCTGAAGAAATTAAAACTTTGAGAGACCAATCATTTACCATGAACATCAAAAAACGTAATAGAGAGTCCGCTCAACAAAAACTTTCTGTATTTGTGGACAAGCTTGTTGTCTCTCCAGATTTGACAAGAAAGATTTGTGACGAACCAGTTAGTGATTCATATTTAGAACATCTTCTCATATTAGATGAAAAGAAAGATTATATTACAGCTATTCAAAATGATGTCAAGAAACCAATCAAGGCTTGTGATGATATGCTTCCTCTTTTAGATAGACTATGTACAAAGGCAGTTTCAAAAGTTAGATCATATCTTTTACAACAATTGAACGAGTTGAAGAAACCAAAAACAAATACTCAATTCATCAAACAGCTTCTTCTCAAGAAAAAGTATTATTATGATTTTGCAGCTAAACATTCCCCACAGACAGGAGAGGAACTTTGTGCCGTTTATGAAGATATAATTGGAAAATACTATTTTAACAGTTTCAAAAACTATGTTGTTTCCCTTCTCAAGTTGGAACAAAAAGTAGGAACGAAACAAAGTCTTCTCGTTGAACCTACTGTATCTCTCTTAAATAATATCACCACGATGACTGTGATTAACCCACTTCAATATACTACCAACATGTTGGCATCCACTGTCGGATTAGGAACTCCAAATAAGAGTGGTGATGCAACAAAGGAAATGAATCGAACAGTTTTTACCCTATCAGATCGTGCTCAAGTATTAGACAATGCTACCGATTTGAATTCTCCCATCGTTGCAAGAGTTGCCATTGAACAAAACAAAAAATTCTTTATGGAAGAAATTTTCAGATCCGTTCACATCCTTTTGATTAACACAGCAACGAGCGAGTATATTTTCTCAGTGGACTTTTTCAATAATGACAAAATGTTTGAATCCCTCTTCAGCAAATCTCTTCAATTTTTAAAGGATACATGGATTGGCTTCATTTCATCGACATTTGATTGCATCGGATTAATGTTAATGATTAGATTGAATTTCATGTTTTCATCACTCATGGAAAAGAGAAACATGAAATGTTTGGACATTTATTTTGATGAAGTACACAAGTTGCTAGTTCCAAAGTTTAATGAAATATTTGAAATGAATTTGAAGTCTGTCACAGACACAAAACCAGAGCAATTAGTCTCAAAAGAAAAGGATTCACATACACTTGCCAAGAGATATGCAGAGCTTGCTTGCTCCATTCATGCTCTCAATAGAGATAATCCTCCAAAATTTAAACAAGAAATTGAACACAAACTTGCGTCCCTTCGTGAGGCTGTTACAAAACAGCTGGCTCTAGTTTCTGAAAAGATGTATGGTACCAAAGCAAAGAAAATTCAAGTATTCCTTATCAATGCATATGATTTGATTCTTAATCACTTTATTCTCTCCAAGATTGATGTGAATGCTGATGGAACAGCAATTTCTAAATTGTTAAACGTTCAAGTGAGTGCATATATTGAAGAAGAGTTAACAGAATGTTATGCTGGTTTGATATCCTTTGTAAAACAAACTGAACCTAAATTAGGAAATGTAAATAGTAAGAATGATGGAGACGCCAACAAGAATTTTATTCAAAACAGAACCAAGGTGGATGTTGCTGAAATGGAGAAACTTGCAAAAGATTTCGACAAGAATTGGAAACAAGGAATTAGTCACATCAACTCCAATATTTTACAAAACTTTTCAAACTTCAACACTGGAAAGGAGATTTTGAATAAGACCTTTACACAACTCTTACTTTATTACAGTAGATTCACAAATATCGTCTCTGCTTGTTACGGAGATAATCCACCATTCCGTTCCAGTCTCATCACACCCACCAAAATACAGTACGAGTACAAGAAGTACATTCAAGATTTTAATAAAGATTGAGTGTTGTTGGTTGACTCTAGAGGATAATTTACCACGACATTTGACATCTTTGCTGAACTCTCTAAAGTTTACGAAAAAAATGTCATTAACACTTCTTAATCATCACCAGGACTGTCTTTCTAAAACCAATTCGAAGAAGGGCATCTTTTCATTCCTATTACAACATGGAATGAAAGATTTCTTTCTGAATTATTTCCTTCCAGATTTTTTCTCACCTCAAGAAATGATTCAAACTTTCTGTTCTCCTCATTCATCGAATCGAGCCTTGCGAAAGCAAATTCTCACTTGTGAATCACTCTGGGATTTGCAATTTAAATACTTGTTTCCAACATTGTATGAAATGAAACATCAACTATTGAACACCAATCAGTGGTGGACGTTACAACGACAAGAACGACTAAATCACTTACTGAATGAATCACAAAGTAGTACACTCACTATTTATTCATCGGATGGTCAATCATTAATTCCGCTCGATCAAAATGAAGAGTACACCAAAGAAATGATTCAAATTAGTTGCAGAAATGAGTTCATGAGTCTGATCGTTGATCATGCTTTTTATGAAACCAATTTCAATGAAAACTCGACACGCTGTGCTTATGCCAAAAATTTCATTCTTTTTCGTTTTTTTTTCTTGATGATCAAAAGTAATCGATCATTGGCCAACACTCAAGCAAGAGAGGAAGGGTTATCAATTCATAAAATCATGCAGAACAATTATTTCAAACAAGAAGAAACTCTGAAACAACCACTACTGTATACAGTTGAAAATTGGCAGACTAAATTGCCTCCCCGAGGAGTGATCATGATGAAGTATGGAAAAATCTACGAGTCCTTACTCGTGGACATGATCTTTAAAACCAATAAGCCTCTTACTGCATATTCTCTTCTGAAATTTGGTTGGAGTCATGCCTGCGATGATGATAAATTGTCCAATGATGATCATGATGATGAAACCAATTCCAAGAACCTCTACTTTCCTTATATTGATTTTTCTTATGGTAATCATCGAAGTTATTACAATCGATTCTTTCAAATTCATCCCTTTGTCAAATTAACTGAATTCCAAACAAAGAAGAAGAGAATGATGGTCATCACCGGAGAGAAGAAATTACTGAACTTTTTTGTTTGATCAAGTATCAGAGTGGTGTCTATTGTACGATCGTCATGGATGAAAATCAAACAGAATTGGTATATCCCAGAGATTTACAGAAAATGATGGACATGTTTGAACTCTATTGCATTCGCACACAGGAAGCTTTTAAAATTGATCTTCCATTCAAAATGGAAAGATTTCATTTGGGTTTTGCTCATTCCTATCCTTATCAGAGGAAGAATCATTTCGGTCAAACAACTACAACTACTACTACTCCAATGTATCACATGCATTACCAGAGAACCAATTGTTTGGACACTCATTATTCCATAAGATTGTATTACCAAAAAAGGGTGGATATTCTTGTTCACAAGTTGATGAAACAATGTTTGAAAATTGAAGCAAACTGATTCGACTATTATTTGTTCTGCACTTTCTCAATATCCTTGCAAAGAGGAAATTTCACACCTTTTATGCAATTCACCGGACTTTGTGGATATTTTCCCATCGTACAATGCTCCACAGAGATCCACAGCATTTGTGGAATTGAAGAAAAAGATTTGGCAAACGTATAGAGATGGTCAATTTAAGACTGAATCATCGCTTGTGAGAGCCATTGACAAGTGCATTCGAAGATATATTCATTTATTTGTAGTCTCTCAACCTCACATGACTCTTCACAATTCATGTATTTTTAGGTGTAAGTGATGATAGTCATAGTAATCGTAGTCAAAGGACCAATTTGTTGAGAGGATGGATCTCTCTTGATCATAGATATTATCATTATTTAACATTTGCCACCACTCTGACCACCACCACTTTGACCACCACTCTGACTTGATAATTGCTATCACCACCACCTCCACTTTGACCACCATGATGATTGAACTTTCAGCTCTTGAACGAGTGATTTACAAAAATTGGTATATTGTACCTTCTTGACATTGTTACCACATGTGTGTTCATTGGTCAAGTATCGAATTGAAACTTGTCAGAATTCTTTAACATTTATGAATTCACAACAACAACAAGATCATGATGGTACATTCATGAATAGGACAAGAAGTTTTGAAAGGTTAAAGCAAGAATTGGACGATATTTTCCATCAACTTAATTTCCTCAATGAACCATTGTTATGTTTCGAATAATAATAAAAAGAAAGACAACGAACTTGATATGGACTACACAAACAAAGAATGTAATCTTCTCACCTGATTCATGCATGTCCAATCAGAGAATCATCACCACAGGATTGTGTCCTCTTGTGTGCACTCAGAGAGAGACGATGATTAGAAAAATCTTGAACCAAAAAATTGAAAAGAATTTCAAAAACGTGTGTTGGTGAAGCCATCAGTCCGTTGAGCTCAACAACTATTCATGAAATTCCAACAACAACTAGTAGTCGTATTCGTCGTATTCGTGTAGTATTAGAGTAGTATATATATATATATATATTGCAATACTTATTGATCCCTTTCGAAAAAGTTTACAGCACACTTCCGATCATTCTATCATCCGATGAAACATGTTGCCACCAAACACGGGAAATAATGGTGAAACATTGACATCACTCATTGGAAAATCAATTGCCACTCTTGGTAGGTATTCATTCATTCCTAGGAATGTGAAATGATTTTGTTTTGGACAACACACAATGGATCAATCTTTAATATGGACACAATGAAATCCTCCTGTAATATCATCATCATTGAATATTCACATGTGAACAATTTTCCATGTTAATTATTTCATTGAATCTATTGAACCTTTTCATTCACACTCACATGGAATGTTAAACATTTTCACACACATTCACTCACACTTTCACACACACTTTCACACAGTGGTCTTTTTATCTGCTTGGTTTGGAGCTCTTCTTCCTTTTGCCATCAAGAAATTTAAATGTTCAACCATTTGCAACGAACACATTCAATCCATCGTGTTGGCTCTCATTAATTGTCTTTCGGGTGGATTTTTCATTTCTGCAAGTTTTTATCACATTTTACCTTCAGCAGCTGAAAGTTTCAAACAATTAAGTGTGATTCTGAATGGAAATGGAATTTCCAAGTATTCTTCATTTCCTTACATGATTGCATCCTTAGGATTTATGATTCCTCTATTAATTCATAACACTTTGAATGTATTTACTGTAAAAGTAGTTAAAAGAGACAAGAGAATCACAAGTTCTTTGAATGAAGGTGAAAGTACACATCTGATCAAGTCACATGATGAACAACAATCAACTTTGGATTCATTCAATGAGGATACTCATGACAACACTCAATCAACACAGAGATTGGCCTCCTATGTTCTCTCAACAGTATTATCATGTCAGAGTATTCTGATTGGAATTACTTCTGGTGTCATTGTTGATATTGCTGATGCCTATGTGTTAATATGTACAATGATCTTACACAAATGGGTGGCTGCATTTTCAATTTCTGTGCAATCTATGAGAGCAAATATGAAATTTTGGAATCGAATCATTCCAACCATGCTCATATTCTCAACCATGACACCTCTTGGAATATTTATTGGAATTTTATTGGTGAGATTTGTAAAGGATAGGATTATCTTTTTAGTGCTTGGAATTATTTTCAAGGGATTAGGTTCAGGATTTTTCATTTATGTTTCCACAATGATTATTTTGAGAAGTGAACTCACTCAAAGTGGATCCAATTCTTGTCATGGTAAGACGAGTTCTAGAATGGAGACTGTCGTGACAATGACCAATACTGAGAGGAATGTATTCCTTTTGAAGTTGGTGTTTGTGGTCCTTGGTTATTTAATCATGACCATTCCTTACTCAACGATCGGAAAAGCAATTGCCTCTCAATAAATTTTAAAGATGCTTTTAAAGATCTTTTAAATTGTGTTTCAAGACCTACAACAACAGCTCAATAACACATTTAATTACTCTTTCTTGCAATGTTCTTGTATCCACTTCCAACACAACTCAACACAACAGTTTGAGTGTCATGTTCTGGAGAAATTTTGAAAACCACACCGAGAAAATCTCTAATGTGTCTCAAGTAGGCAATAGCATATGGATTCAATTTTCCAATTCGAATCTTTGAAACGTCTTCACTCGTGAGTGACATTAAATAAAAGACATAAAATTGATTAATGGAATCCACACAACCACCCTTATGAATTTCTTCAAACAATAACTTGGCAGCATGTTTACCAACATCTTCTGGTATTTTCATCCATTCCTTATCACCATTTAAATCAACGCTGTTTGGAATAATTTCATGCGATTGATCTGGAATATATTCGGTGCATAGTCTACATCCTGTATCTGTTTCTGCTTGCAAATAAATGGACCAACCAGGTGATGAACCACTTGTTTTTCCACTATAATGATCTGTGTGAATCCAAATATCTGGTAAATATAAATTTAACATTGATTTGGCACCATCAACCAAACGATTGCTAATATTTGGAGCAACTCTTGTGCTATATGCAATTCCTCTCACTCTCTTGATCATACCTTCATCGATGATTTGAATGGGATTTAACATTTCTTTAACGATTGGACATTCGAATCGAACTTCACCTCCACCCAATGGAGCAGCACCTCGTTTAAGTATTTGCAAACTTTGTGGTGGAACAGTTTGAGCATGCTTCTTTGTGAAATGCTCAAATAAATGAAGTGTGCAATTACGATACATGTCCACAGATGGATCTAAAGGATGATTAGTAATTCCTTTCAACAAAATGTCACTAGCATTCTTTCCAAAGGGGCACAAACAGATCAATGCTTCTAAATAATAAACAATACCTCTTTCCAATCCACAATCAAACACAAGAGAACCAATTCCACTGCCAACAATTACTCCAGGTTTATAAGTTACTGTTTCACCGTCCTCACTAATTTCAATTTTAGAGCCTTTTGTAATTTTATCAATTAAAAGAAGGAAATTACGTTCAAATTCTCGAATTCCGCCATGTTGTGGTCTTATATTTCTGATTTGTACAGGTCTATTTGAAATGGTAGAGAGAATAATTCTCATTCGGAATGATTTGGCACCCGAATAGACAAGAGCGTTGGATTGCGGTTGAGAAGAAGCAACAACACTGCTCTTATCTTGTATAAATGATGAATTTTTCAATGATGACGATGATGACTCGGAGTGAACGTTCGTACTTTGTTTTTGCAACCATTCTTGCCGAGCTTGTTGTTGTACTTTTCGTTCTTGTTCCTTCTTTTCTCGTTGCGAGGCTAAGAATTGTTTCATTTTTTTGGAATCAACGATTTATTTGAATTTTGAGAAGACGTTATGGTTGAAACAGGAGGGTTATTGAATTCAATTCCACGTCTTGTATTTGCTCTGAATGAGAACTTTTGCCCAAATTTTGAGTTTTCATGATTGAATATGCAGAATTTGAGAAGGTGATGCTTTGCTTCTTAAAGATGTTGTTGTTGAAATCATTTCTTCAAGCCAATAAAAATGGGCTCAAAGGGATCAAAAGGCTCCAACACGGGGCGAAGACCATCCGAGAAATCATCCACAACACAAACAACAGCACCAAACACTAACACGGCAACAACAAACACTAATACCACCGCTACAACAACTGTTTCAATTAATCCTTCTGTAAATGGCGGAACTGAAAGTACAACTACCGTCAAGAGCAAGGAAATGTATGAAAAAGTATGTTATTGTTTTATAAAATCTATTTTCGACTGTGATGATATCGGAATGATGATGAACTTGTAAATATTCACTAATCTTGATCTTAATATTATCCGATCATTGATTATCATGAAAACACGGTTTTATATGCATCGTGATTGTGCTTCTTCTTCTTCTTTACATTCATGAACACGAATGATACACAATGATGATGTCCATTCTTGATGAAACGTTTTCAATGCAACATGTTGATCCAAATGATAACTCTTATGTTATTCATATATTACGAATCCGAAACAATTAATACAGGGAATTGAACACATTATGGAAAAACTCAAAAACAATGATATTTACAGAGCAAGGCTCCAAGATATTAACATTATGAGGCAATTTGCTGAAGTGTTGGGCACAGAAGAAAAACTTAAAGCAACCTACCTCACCACAAAATGGCTGGACACAGTAGAACTTGCTCGGAAAATGTTGCAACAATCGAAAGGTTTTGATGAAGAGCACCTCTCAACAAGTGGTGGAAGTAGTAGTAGCGGAATGAAATCAATGGTACCAGCAAGCGTTGATAATGAACTCAACCAAATGAAACAAACTAACACAAACCAAGTTGAAGAGGATGATGATATTCTGAATGAGCAAGATATTATCATTGGTACCAAAGATCCTAATTTGAATAAGATTCTCGAGCAAAATACTGTCAAAGTGAAGATTGTGATTTCAGAGATTGCCCGAACAAAGGGAAGAAAAGCTTTCCGAAGAATGATGTCACCAATTCTTAGTAGACTGGATTTATTACCAGAGTTGGGAATGTTTCATTCTGCTATTCAAATAGGGTATGTTTAATTCAACTTGCAAATGGCTTTTTTGAACATTTCCATTCAATATTCACTTTGTGGTAATTTTTATGTCCCATAGACCCTGGCTTATTGAATGGAATAACAGCGCAATTTGTGTGCCAAGAAAATGTGTCAGTTCTGCAGCCATGTTATCCGCAGATATTGAACAATTACAAACAAATGAAGATGTTCGCAAAGTTGTCGAAAAGCTTAGTGCAGTAATTGTGAAATGGAATACAACAATGCAATATAAAGAACGAGACACTGAACCTGGAAAAAGTGGAAATTGTCAAGACTTTGTGGATGATGTACTTCAAAACATTGGTTTATCAAGAGATAAATTATCTGAGGGACCACTTGGAGAATTTCTGAAAAAGCTCAAAACAAAAGGACAAAGTGATTTGGTATTCAAAATGAGTGATAGCTTTAAGAAAGCTTTCAACTTGGAAGAAAACAAAAAGAAATTTAAAACTCACAAAGAACTCGATGATTTCGTAAACAGTCTCGTCGCAATTGATCACAACTTTGAAAATAATTATCGATATGAATGGCTATTCCTCAAGTCCATGGATCGTGCATTTTGGCTCAAACATATCAAATTTGAGGATCTAGAAGAATACAAACCAGCCTCCAAAGAAACGGTTGATGAAGATGGAGATGTTATCTTTATTCCTGATTGTCCCTTCAAAGACCCAAGAGATACTTATTCTTTCATTTATGATGAAGAGCAGTAAAGTTTCTTGTGATGATGTCTTTGTAAATTTGACTTGGTGTTCACAACATCAAATTTCCTTTTAAAAAAACGTTCACAATTTATACGTTTGGCAGAAAGGTGATTCAGTTCACAATAAAGAGAGACTCAACAAAAAAGAGCGAACAACAAAATGAATCAACAACGACCTCTCAACCTCTTCTCTTCTGTTGTGTTGACTCTTGCAGTGGTAACAACCTTCACTCTCCTCATTCAAACTTTAATGACTTCCTTTGTCACAGCTGCTTTCCCAGCATCCAACATTTACATCGCAGGAGGTGGTTCTTCGTTATCGGAAGGAGTACAGTAGGTATTTCTTTTTTTTGTTTTGGGAATACATCAATGGGTTCCCATAACTGCATCTACACTACTGGTCATCATTGATGATGACAAAACCACATTTAATATGGTCTTTGTTTCAACAAATCAAACAACATTCTCACATTGATATTCCAGTAAATCTCTGAGTCAACAATTTTCCATCAATCACTTTAAAAACAACATTGAACTCACTTACAATCCAGTAGGAAGTGGAACTGGAGTTACCAATTTACTTCCATTCACAAGTAATCCATTTGATTATGCGGGAAGTGAGGTCATTCCTTCCAACAATCAATACAATCAAGTACCAGGTCTTCAAGTCATTCCATTCATTGGAGTGAATGTGTTGGTGGTTTACAATTTACCAGAATTATCAAGTTCTGAAAGATTGATTTTGGATCGAAAGTTATTGGTAGACATCTTTTCAGGAAGAATTTCGTAAGTATGAGTGCATATTTGTTGTTTTTATTTTTGAAAATGATCGAATGAACAATGGTATTATTCGATTGTCAAATGGTTTGTGAATATTAATTGATCTTCCGTTCACTTACAAAAACCTCTATTCATGATTCAAGTAATTGGAACGATCCATCCATTGCTGCATTAAATCCATCGATCGCCTCTAAATTACCAAATCAACCCATTAAGCGTGTGGTGAGATCGGACTCTTCGGGTACCACTGAATTATTCACCAGTGCATTGACCGCTTTTGCAGCAGCATCGAATGGAGCCACCACATGGTACCTCGGAACTGTCCGTAAGTGATCGTGTTTCATGTTGATGCAATATATGTGAATGATGATGAATCTATCAATCATGGACACTATGAAAACCTTATAATATGTGTGTTGTATATACATTCTATTATTGTATTGAATGGATGTGTTGTATATATATATACTAATCTCTCGTTTCAATAATAATAACAATCACAAATACTTAACAATAACAACAATAACAGCACTTCCCTCAGCATGGCCCAATGAAACTCCCATCAACATTTCCAAACAGAAAGGAAGTTCTTCATTAGGAAATTATGTCCTTCTCAATCCCTATACCATTGGTTACAATACACCAGATGCTATCATTGAACAAACTTCTGCCTTAATCATTAATGCTGCTGGAAAGGCTGTTGCTGCTACGGAAGAAACATGTAAAAGTGCCATGTCTGATTTCAAAGATGCATTCGATAGTCGTTTTACTGCAAATATTGTCAATGCACCAGGTGAGAACAGTTATCCTATAGCTGGTTACTCTTATTTGATTTATAAGAGCAAGTCGATGGAAGAGTAAGTTGTTCATGTCAATCATTAGTGTTGAAATGTGTGTACATGTTCTTGAAATTCACACAATTCGATCTGTTGTGTGTTTTTTTAACATTTGAATTCATTGAATGACATGAACCGAATGAATGACAACAGATGCAATGCGGCCAAAGTTCTCTATCGATATTTTATGTTCTTGTACTCTTCTGATGCTGAGAATGTTATAATTTCCTCTACTTTTGTTCCATTACCTTCTGATTTACAGAGTAGAATTAGAAATGAATATTTGAGCAAGTGGATTTGTTCTTCTTCAGAAAGTGTCGTCACCACAGACTCTGATTTAGTGGCTCCCATTTTGTTGGCTGTTTTCGGTGGATTCATTGCTTTGACCAGTCTGGGCATTGTGGCATATATTGGAATTAATTCGTACGTTAAAAAGAGAAAAGCATTGGGTGAACCCATTTCAGAGGAGTAAGGTGATGTGTGGATGTAATTTAAAGATAAAAATTTTGATTCAAGTTTGATAATTTGTTACTAAAAAGTTACACACCTAAAAATTGTCGCACACAAAAATCGAAAATATTGATGTTGACAATAATTCTTGCCCTAAAAAATGAAAATTAGGAGCCAGCGTGAATCGAACACGCGACCACAGGATAATAGCTGCAAACCATTATTGCAATCCTATGCTCTAACCCCTGAGCTATGGCTCCTTACATAATATTTTTAAGTATCCTAATCAAAAGTAAACACATTCCCAACAATTTCATACGCGTCTCTCTATTTCCCTATCGAATGAAGATTAAAAATGGATGCACAAATAACCATAATAGGATCAATAGCTTGGGTAGGGTTGATCAATTCCTTCTCTAATGCTTGTCAACGTTGCATGACGACAATGGAGAAAAAGATCATATTCGTTAAGATTCTCAGTTGATTTTGGTTTCCAAATTCTGATTAAAAAGTTCGAAATGAGGAAAATATTCGTCTTCATGACCACTCGAGTTGAATTGATTTTATTCTTGTCGTTTTTCTGCACAGCTTCTTGGCTCGGGCAATCTCATTTCGTGGGCTGATCTGACACGACAAGGGTCGATGATTCAATCCCTCCTCAAAGAAAAAATACATGAAGAACAACACCATCAATTTTTTTTCAATCACGGATTCCAACCACCACCACAACACTCAAAACAAGCAAGCTCAAACTCTGTTCAAAACCCCCTCAACTTGTTCCACTTCTTCAGTATCAACACTATTCAATTCAAAAATGAATCATCAGCATGCTTTTTTTGATGATCCGACAAGACCTAATTTCGTTCAGGAAAGTAGCGGAGCATCCTACTATCATCAAACCATTCCGAATATATCACCACCAGTAATAATAGGATCCGATCAAGAGGAATTACCAATTATAATCAATAATTTTCAGCAATCGTTGACCAAGAACCCTTTAGCCGGTACTAATTTCACAACAACCCATAGAGCAGGACTTGAACAAATTTCAAATCAGCATCATCATGCATCATCATCACTGGTAGTACCACAACTCGGCGATTCAATAGGTTCCACATTTTTGAACTTTAGATCCTCAAATTCCTCTTCAACAGCCAATACAAGCAGTAGTAGCGAAGATGGTACTTCTGCTCAAGCACATATTTGCTCTTCTTCATCAACACCACCATCAACACCTCCCAATAGTGATTCAAATTGCTTTAGAACGATCACAAATGATGGTTTTCCTTCAACAACATCCTGTAACAACAACATCATTATTGGTAATCTACCGACTGCTCAATCGACCACAAATAATCCCGTTGCTCTTGTCACATCAAGCGCTACCAACTCAAAGCCTTCAAAACGAAAACATTCCACAACGAATAGTAACTCTCCTCGCCATCACCAACAACAAACAAGCACGCTCATATTTAAACCATATCCTGCCTCAACATCTCAATCTCACAACTCATCTAAAACAAATGAACATTCTCGTCAATTATTATTTATTGAGGAAAATGGTCAAACAAAATCTTCCAATTCTACAACTGATCCCAGCCATTTTGAAATTTCTTGTGTCTCTTGTCGAGTCAAGCATAGAAAATGCGACAAAAAACTTCCAACATGTTCCTACTGTGCTCTAAGAGGTATAGAATGTGTATATAGAAAACCAAGAAAAAAAGGACGACAGGGAAAGTCCTTTCTGCATGAGGATTATGAAGATCAATTCGAATTGGATGATCAAAAAACAAAAGAGGATATCATTGAGGATCAGCAAGTGTCAAATACTACTATCAATAATAACATTACCAACACTGGTTTGCTGAATCAGCAACAACAACAACAAGAATTAATATTGCAGCAGCAACAACAACAACTTCTCATGCAACAACCGACCAGCGGTGCTTTCAACAATGTGCTCAACAATTTTGGACTTTTTTCTTTGAATCCTCCTCAACTAGAATCTCAATTGCAACCTTCTTTACAATCTCAACTAGAATCTCAATTATTTTCCCTACTGAATCAACCTCCTCAACCACAACAATTCTTAATTCCATCCAACACCTCATTGCTGGACGTAAATCAATTTTCTATGAATGCTAACCCATTACCAACATATAATCCAGAGGATTGGCTTTATCAAATTCGATCATCTTTGCGAAACAATGACGAAACAAACAATGTCAACACTCTGCACTCGTTACTGACCTCTGACTCTATAAGTACTCTATTTCAATTATCGAATATGGTTGAAGATCCAAACACGAATAATGTTCGTACTACCAACACCAACATCACCACAACTTCCTCTAGTGCCACAACTATAGCCAATGATCCAAACGTTTCTATCGATGTCATTACAGAACAATTAATGAAACGTTTAACATTAGAAGATTATTGTAAATCAACAAGTTTTCCCCTCATTGATGAACAGTCTGTTTCTCATCTGCTACGAAATGAAAAGAAACAAGCAGAGGCAAGTGCCTTACTGTATAGTATTCACTCATTAATGTGTCAAAGAAAAGGTCTCAAAGCAGAAGCTGAATCTGCTCATCAAAAAGCCAAATCCATACTATCTACCGTATTTAATACCTATGAAAATTTCCTAGTTGCTTGTTCATATTGTAATCTGTCCATGTACTGCAGTGGAGAAGGCAATTTAGAAGATGCCAGATTTTTCTTACATTTTGTAGATTATTATTTTGATCAGGCAGAACAAAATACAGCCACAGATCATATCGTTCATGTGAATACCTATCATTTGAAAATGTTGAAACATGTTGCCGAAATGGCATGTGGAATGGCTGTAAAAGATTCAGAATCTAGCTCTCGATCACTTCTAGATTCTTCCACAAATGAAGAGCATTCAGATAAGAATGATATTGGAAATTTATTGATTGGATTTTACAAAATGTGTTCTGGAGCTAAGCAAGCACCAAAACCTCTACTTGAAATCGTTTCTAAAACAATTACAACAGATACTGTGAAATTATATCTTACCCTTTTAGAATTGGTTTCTAAATTGTTTTATCAGCACGAAACCAATAGAAATTTGAAAGATGAACAAGGCCAAATGTCGAGTCGGGTACGGATGGCCTTAAATCATGGTATTAGGTTACTCGTTTTACAGGAATGTGGAATCACTTCAGATCCAATGCTTGAAGAGTCAGCAAATGCTTTAATTGATATCGCATGTGAAGATAAATTTGGAGCAGCTTACCCAATCATGCTCAGTGCTGTCGCTGCTGCTTGTAGGGTACATTTAAAAGTCATTAAGGAAATTGAACAAGGCAAACGACAAAATTTGGGTGGTGATGGAGTCGATTATTATGAAATGATCAAAAAAGGACTTAAGGTACTCACCATATTTAGCACAAGGTTTGGAAGAGTGAACAAATTGTACAGCCCATTAATATTAGAATTACAAGAGGTAGAGAGAAACCATATCAAAGCCAAATTATGTCTATTGGTTGGCAGTGAAATTGAACGTCTGAAATTATTGAAGGCACAACCATCAAGTATGACCATGTCATCAGATTCACAACAACACCTATTATCCTTCTTAACCAAAGAAGATATTCTTACCATTTACTACCTCGTACCTCCCTCCATTCAGGACTCTCCACACAAATAAATTGCGAAAGCACCTCGCTGTGTTTGAAGCTTGATGCTGAGTAACTTTTTCAACGAAATGTTCAATCTCGTTGGTAAAATTTTGACAAAATCTCGTTTTCAGAACGCTGCATACATTCATAAGTCAAGTTTGGAAGAATAAGATACCATTCGAATGGAAAAGTTCCAGTGTCGAAACTTTCCGACTGAGCCAATTCAATATTCAAAAAAATGATTCCTTCGCACTCGCAAGATGACTCCAGTCTCTCCAATTCTCCCAACCGTGGAGAGAAGGGCGCCACACTTCATCACATGAATAACATTAAAAAAGCAGCGGAAATCCTATCAAAAGCTTCCTTTCTTCTGATTACTTGTGGAGCTGGCTTTTCACAAGATTCTGGCCTCGCTGTTTATAAAGATATTGCGAGTCATCAAGTGTACAAAAAAAAGAACTTGGAATATCATGATCTTGCAAGACCTGTTTCATGCTGTGATGATATGTTATTAGAGTATTATGGATTTTGGATTCATTGTGTTCAAACTTATTTCAAAACACCCTCTCACTCCGGATATCAAATATTGCAAAAATGGAAAGAAAAAATGTTTGAGAAGAAAATAATACCAAATGAATTTTTTGAAAAACAAAAATCTTTACTCTCTGATTCGGAATGGTTTAATGAAGAAAATAATCACAAAATAGCTAAGAATGTTTTTATTTATTCTTCCAATGTTGACAATCATTTTAGTCGATATTTTAATCGGGAAGAAATTTATAACATTCATGGTCATGTTTTTAATTGGCAATGTGGAAAACCATGCTCTGAAAAATCTGTATGGAAAGTGTCTAATTTAGATGAGTTTGAAATTGATGAAAATACTATGGAAATTAATTCAAAAGATCTACAAAAACTGACTTGTCCACACTGCGAAGAACATTCAATGCCTAATGTATTAATGTTTGGTGATTTGGGACAATATATTAGAAATAAGGAGGAAGAGGATAGATATATTGCATGGGAGTGCTCTGTGGAGACATTTTCAAGAGAAATGCAATGCCTATCCGAATATGGAAATACGAAATATCCCTTTGTAATTATTGAACTTGGATGTGGATTGAGGGTTCCATCCGTGAGACTTGAAAATGAATGTGTATTACTGGATTGTGACCAAAGTTTTCTCATTAGAATTAATGTTGGTCAAGAAGAATTGGACACGATTCACAACGAAGAATTGAAGCCCTTGAAAAACGAAAGAATTCTTTGTCTTCAAGGAGGATGTGAAAAGGTTCTGAAAGAAATTGATCATGAACTCGAAGAAAGATTTAAATTAGATTAAATTCATCAACACACGAGGATTCACTCTCTCTCAGTATGATAGGTTCTGTTTTTTCTGTTCAAAAAAATGATTTCAAAGAACTCATTCAATCTTCATGATGAACTAGCAGCAGCTGGTTCGGTGATACATCCCTCTCACTATGAATTGTCTATTACTCTTTCCGATGATTTTTATAATGACAAAACAAATGGAAATGATGTGTTGTTCAATGGAAGTTTGACCATTCATTGCAATATTTCCAATTCGGATGATGTTGAACATGACACTATTTTATCAAGCATTGAACTCGATTGCAACTCGGACAGAGTTGAAATTTTAGGAGTGAGTATTGAAAAGAATAAGAACAAATTAAAAGGAGTTGTATTTGAACAATTGAAAAGGACGATAGCTGTTGCATCATCATCGGATAGTGGAAAAAAGAAAAACAAAGAAAAAAGAAATGAAACGAAATCAAGTAATTCTTCTCAACATTCTTTATCGGAACAGAATTTAAAAAGAAAAGGCTTGATGATAACATCTCCAATCGAACCTCTCAATGTTGGAAAATATGAAATCAAAATATCGTTTAAAGGATTGGTTGTACCTGCTAAGAAAGCCATGTCAGGCTTGTTCTATTCAGTTCATCCAAAAATCGGAAGCAAGATTTTGTGCTCTCATTTTGAGGCTCAATTTGCTCATTATGTATTTCCTTGTTTTGATGATTGGGAGGAGAAGGCTACTTTCCAGCTTTCAGTAAGCAATTTACATTCAAATTTCAAATGTATTTCAAACACAACACCCAAAACGAAAAACGATTCCAAAAAGACAATCACCTTCAATACTACTCCTAAAATGTCAATATATCTAGTAGGACTATTTATTGGGCAATTTGAATGTATAGAAACAGAATTTACATCCAATTTAGATGGTATTGAAATTCCGATTAGCGTCAATTATTTGGAATCAACATCGCTTATTGTTGAGAATGCCAAAACTGTACTTGGCATGTCATGTAAAATTTTACCAATTCTGGAAAACTATTTCGACAGCGCCCTCTCAAAACAACAAATCTCTAAAATTGATTGGATTATTATTCCTGATTTGATTATTGGTGGAGGTATGGAAAACTGGGGTTGCATTACCTTACTCGAAAAACATACAGCTAATAGTGCTATGGATATGAAAAAGTTGGGCCCATTTGTTGAAATACTTTCTCATGAACTGTCACATTTTTGGGTAGGAAATCTGGTTGGATTCCCATTCCATATTAAAGAAGGGTTAGCTCTCTATCTAGAACAAATTGTTACGGACGAAGTGCTGAAGCGTCCTTCATCTCTTTCCACAAAGAAAAATTCGACAGAGAAAAGAAAGGATTTGGTGAGTGAAATTAAGCAAGGAAATGAACATTTATCTGTTGAACAGGCATTTTCGAAAATGTTTTCTGGAGTTGCATACACTCAATGTTTTGATTGGATATGTACAGAATGTGTTGGAACATTGGGATCTACCACCTTTAGAGATAGACTTCGACAGCTCATTTCAGAAAATGAATTTGGATTTGTTAATGAAAAGGACTTTAAGAAAGTCTTTAAGTAAATTTCAAGAATTGTGTTGGAATTTTTGCTTTGACACCATATCCAAACTCTAAACCAGTGGTTGATGAAATTACTGTATCGACAATGGCTTGATTTGTTGGCTTGTAAACCACTTTGAGATGTGTAGAAACACCCAATGCCTCAAAATCTGAGAACAGCTCATGATTCAAAGGGAACAGCAATCGGTTGTAGTCAGTCTCTTTCGATTTGAAATTCATGGTTACTAAATAGGTATCTGTTTCCATGGTGCAAAGTTGTGTCAATGGAATATCAGCTGATCCAAAGTTGTCCGAGATGGTCGTCCAATCACTTCTATCCACAGAGAATTTGTGAACTATTCCATCATTGGTGTAGTAGAAAGTTTCATCGTACATGATCAGCTCAGTCAATTCAATATGATGTGTGCTGTTTAAACGAATATCAGCAAACCTGGCATCCATTGCGAATAATGGAAAACCTGCAAATGTTCTTCCAGTACCTGTAAAAGCAAGGTGATGGTGCACCGTTTCAAATGTCGTTCGAAGAAAAAACACATATACAGAAAGTGTGTGTGTAAAAAAGAAAACTCCTTTAAGGAATGTGTAAAATTCTTTTCAAAAACAAACCTGCAATGATGGACAACTCATTTTCATAATTGACACTCGGAATATTAGCATAGTACCAACCCCAAGCATACTTTCTATCTCCATTATCATTGTTTGGAGCTGTTGGCAAGTATTCTCCAAAATTCATATCACAATAACTAGTTAGGATTCAAATGTCATGGAATAAGTCCAAATGTGAACCACAAAACTTACAATCGAAATCTCTTCTCATGACTGGCTTGAACAATGGTACTCGTAATATCCTTAGATCCATAATTTAATACTCCCTTCACTTGACTATTATGTGAATAAGTATTCCACATGATAATTCCTTTAAATCGCTCATCAGGCATTTCAAAAATTTTTTGACCATAATATCCATAAATTCGATCAATAGTAAAATTGTAATGGACTTTAAGAGAATTATCCACCTTGTCAGAAAAGAATAAATTTGGAGAGTTTGCTCTCATATTTCCATAAATTTGATATTGTCCATCTTTTAAAGGTTTGAGTTCATAGAGTGTTTCATTTTGTTGTGATGGATTCATCACTTTAATGTGGAAATAAGTGCCATCATGAACGACCTGCAAATGTTCATAATTGAAATGTTCAACTTTTTGAAAGGTTTTTCCAGTGGAATGATCCACTGTAGCAAACATCATAAATACTCCATCGAAGAGACATGAATTGGATCTTCCTCTACAAAGTGATAGTGAATAGGTGAAAGCATGATGACGATTTAATGTTTCATCTCGCAACCAAAAATACCACCACTGCCATCACCAATGAGTAGTGATTTAACAGAAGGAGGAGTATATTGAGAGCGAGCGTATCATGTCATCATCGGAAATGATTGAAATTGAACCGAGTCATCGCACACGAAATCATTTCAAGATAGCAACAAGAATTGATGTAATTATATACTGACACCTACCTGATAGAAGGGTTTGGTCAAAGAGTATTCATGCACTCGAATTCTTTGATGAACATTGGATGGTTGGAGTATGGCAGAATAGAAAGGAATGGGTATCGATGCAAAAACAAAAGTCTGAGACGACAACGAGAGAATGAAAAACAACAAGATGACTCGGGCAATTTGTTCACCTCCTTTCTGCGACATCTGGCTCAAGATTTTTTGAAATCAATTTCAGACAAGAATAATAATCGACCGATTCAAAGGATTACGATCATCAGCAAATAAGAAGACGAATTTGAAATTTTTAGTTTTAATGAGAGGATGGTATGATTTACAAAGGAGATACAAAATTAATTCTTGTGTTGAATTTCTTCACAGAGCTCAATGATTCTCTTTGATTGAACCATTTCGGCAATCTTCTTGATCTCTTCTACGTTGTCCTTTGTAATGTTCTTCATGATCATACTTTCACATTCAACTTGCAAATCTTCCAACAAGAATTTGTGAGCGGCGATCCAAACACCAACGACATCATCAACTTCAACTTCGAATTCACGGGTATAAATGTACTTGAGAATGGCCAACATTTGCTTTTCTGTGGCATCTTCAATTTCAATTCTCATGGTCTTCTTTTGTTCGTTATCAACATCACCCAAAAGCATACCATGGAAGTACTTGCAAGCACTGGTCAAGATAACCGCATGGCAAGGAACTTCAACATCTCTGTCTTCTTCCTTGCAAACCAAGGTCAAATCAGACAAATTCCACTTTCCGGTTCTCAAGTTTTCAAAAGCCCACTTCATATTCTTCCACCATGTGGATTCTGGAACTGCAACATTCTTGGTCTTATCCAAGTATGTTTCGGCAATAATTTCCAATCGATCAAGGTGCAAGTACTTGGCAGCTTCTTGTGTTTCCTTGATCAAATCCTTTTCGGTATCTTTGTCCCAGCTGACTTTGTCGGTATAGAGGTATTCGAGAACTTCTTTGAAGGCCTTGTGGGTAACCTTTTTGTCCAAAATGATTTGTTGCTTTCCGTCAATAACAGTGAGAGTTGTGCCAGTAGTATCAATTGATCTCCATGATTCTTCGTCAGACATTTTTGTTGTTGATGTGTGCGTGATGATATTTTTTTTGCAAGTGCTTGAAGGCTTTATTTTGGGCGATGAACAGGCCGATTACAACACGCGCAAAGTCGGTTGATTGGACGAGCTATTGTAAGGGGACAAAAAACCTGTCTTGTTCCTCTTCAACAAGGAACTTTGGTGTAACCCATTCTTTTGTTATCCACCTGCAATCTCGCTTTGAAGTGCAAAAGGCATCAAGGTAGTATAACTCCCTTTTATTCACTGGGTGGCGAAACAACAGCGGTGATCTCTTGATGATGGCCTTCAACCAACAATGACAAATTGAAACGTTTTTTGTATTGACGAACAAATTTCCAAACAGAAAAAAATGCCACCACGATCAACAAGAAAGAAAAAACCAGTTGAAGAAGAGGAACCTGAAGCTGATGACTTGATGGAAGACGAAGAAAGTGAAGAGGAAGATAATGACAAAAGTGGTAATTATAGAGAAGACGGAGAAGAGTCTTCCGAAGAAGAAGAGGAAGAACCTCAAGAAAAATACCAATTCATCTCCGAGCAAACGAGTAAACATTTAGAGAAAATCCGAAAGGAACAAAAGACACTTCTTAACAAATTGAAGGAAAAACAAAAAAAAGAACTTGCAAAGGTTGAAGACGCCCAAGAAAAAGTGAAAACTTCTTTCAAACATCTTCTCGAACAAACAGAAATTTATTCTAATTTTATTCCTTCCTTATCAATGCACACAATCAATGAAGGAAATGATTCATCAGCAAAAACAGGCGGATCAAGAAGAAAACATTCCGAAAAAGAGGAAGATGAAGAAATCATTCGTGAAGTGCTGGAAGAAGAAGAGGATGACTATCAAAGCGTTTTACTAACTTCTTCTCCCAAGTTCATTGAAAATACAACCTTGAGAAGCTACCAAATTGATGGAGTTAATTGGCTTATTAGACTTCACGATAGAGGTGTAAATGGTATTCTTGCTGATGAAATGGGGTTAGGTAAAACAGTACAAACATTGACCTGGATAGCCTATTTAAAGTTCATTAGAAGAATTAGAGGACCACATTTGGTAGTAGTACCAAAGAGCGTTATTCCTAACTGGGTTAACCAAGCTGCTCAATGGTGTCCTTCTTTATCTGTTCTTAAATTCCATGGTGACAGAGATACTAGAAAAAAACTGAAAGAAACTCAGTTAATTGGAGGAAAGTTTGAAGTGCTCGTTACATCTTATGAAATTGCAATCAAAGAAAAGGCTGCTTTGAATAAGTTTAAGTGGTACAGCATTATTATTGATGAAGCTCATCGTATCAAGAATGAGAATTCTATCCTCTCTCAATGCGTAAGAGTATTTGACTGCCAGTATAGATTACTGTTAACAGGTACTCCGCTTCAGAATAACTTGCACGAGTTATGGAGTTTGTTAAACTTTTTGCTACCAGAAGTTTTCAACTCTGCCGATGATTTTGATACGTGGTTCAATCTCAAAGAGGGACAAGCGGAGACTGACATCATCGAACAACTTCACAAAGTGTTAAAACCTTTCATGTTGAGAAGATTGAAAACTGAGGTTAAAACAGAAATTCCTCCTAAAAAAGAAATTTATGTCGAGTGTGGTCTTTCCAAATTACAAAAGGAATGGTACCGCAGTATTCTCACGAAAGATTTGAATGCTATCAAGGGAGGAGAAAAGGTTCGGCTTTTAAACGTTGTTATGCAACTCAGAAAATGTTGTAACCATCCATATCTCTTCGACGGAGCTGAACCTGGGCCACCATATACATTGGGGGATCACTTGATCAACAATTCTGGAAAAATGGTGTTAATGGACAAGCTACTTAAAAGATTGAAGGAACAAGGATCCAGAGTTTTGATTTTTACTCAAATGACAAGAGTTTTAGATATTTTAGAGGATTATTGCTACTACAAAAGCTATGAATATTGTAGAATTGATGGTCAAACATCAAGTGAAGTGAGAGAACAATATTTAGATGAATTCAACAAAGAAGGTAGCACCAAATTCATTTTCTTACTTTCTACCAGGGCTGGTGGTTTAGGTATTAACCTCGCCACAGCAGATACTGTAATTATTTTTGATAGTGACTGGAACCCTCAGGCCGATTTACAAGCTCAAGACAGATGCCATAGAATTGGTCAGAAGAAACCAGTCAATGTATATAGATTAATATCAAAGGACTCCATTGAGGAAAAGATTTACCAAAGAGCAGTCAAGAAATTATATCTCGACGCGGTTGTAATTCAACAAGGTAGACTTGCTGAGCAGCATAACAAACTGTCAAAAACAGAACTCATGTCTATGATCAAGTTTGGCGCTGAGGAAGTCTTCAAAAGCACAGAATCAACAATTACAGATGAAGATTTGGATTCTATTTTATCTAGAGGTGAAAAGAAGATTCAAGAGATTGACCAACAATACAAACAAGTCTGCCAAAACAATTTGCTTAACTTTTCTCTTACGGGAGAGAGCAATCTGTACGAATTTGAGGGCTTGGATTACTCCAAAAAGGCTACCCCTATGATTGTGATTGAGGAACTCTCAGACGATGTTACCGAAGACACCCTTGTTCAAGATATTGGAGAGGAAGAAAAGCTTCTTGACGAAGTGATCATTTCTAGAGAGAAAAAGAGTTGTATACTTTACTTTGATACAAAGAGTGCATCAGCAAAGGCCTTAGAAAAATTAGTTTCCAAGAATTACAAAGCAAAGTTTTGCAAGAAGAATGACAAGTTTATTCTACAATTAGAGGAAGAGGCTATGAAAGATGAATCTCACACATCTAGAAGCGAAAGGCTTGGACGAAGAAACAAACAATCAGAACAGATTGCCATAGAAGAGGCCCAAACAAGACGTGGTCCAAAAGAGCCAAAATACTATGATTTCCAATTTTTGAATACAACAAGATTGCTCGAGCTATGGCAGAAAGAATCTCAATATGACCAAGATAAAAAAACTTCAAAGAAGAAAAACAAAGAGGCTGAGGAAAGCGCTGACGAGGGAGAAGATAAAAAGGAAGGACTCACTCCTGAAGAAAAACAAGAAAGAAAAAAACTTTTACAGGAAGGGTTTAATACTTGGAGCAAAAAGGATTTCCAAAATTATATTCGTGGCTGCGAAAAATATGGTCGAAACGATATTGAAAATATTGCTAAAGAGGTTGAGGGCAAATCTGTAGCTCAGGTAAAGAAGTACTCCAAAGTATTCTGGAAGCGATACAAAGAAATCAAGGACTACGACAAAATCATTAAGAGAATTGAAAAAGGAGAATCTCAACTTCAGAAAATTGACAACAATAATTTAATGCTTCGATACAAAACTCAGAAATATATTAACCCTTGGTTGGAAATGCAGTTCAACTATGGACAAAATCAGGCCAAAGAATTCACACCAGAAGAAGATAGTTTTATTTGTTGTATGACAGCAAAATTAGGATATGGTTACTGGGAGGAGGTCAAAGCACAAATAAGAAAAGCTTGGGAATTCAGATTTGATTGGTTTATCAAAACAAGAACAGCCAGTGAAATTCAAAAACGTTGCGATACGTTAATCAAGCTTATTGAAAAAGAGTACCAAGATGATCTTAAAGCCCAAGAGCGAGAAAAAGCCAAGAGAAAATTAGAAAATATGGGCTCTTCATCAAGCACAGGAAGCTCGAGTAAGAAGGTCAAAAAATAAATTGTTATTGTATCCTCAAGGAACTTCGAGCTCTTCTTCTGAATCCTGATCAATAATTCGACCTATTTCCAAAGCACTCAAGTCTCTCCATTGAACTACTAAACGTTTGTACATGATCACCACAAAGGCGAATAAAACAAGGATCAAAACAACACACATCACCAAACTGAAAGCAAAATGTAAATTAATCATCAAAATGAAGTCATACAATCCATGAAACAACACTGGTTGGTAAATAACAAAGCAAAAAAACTCAACGTTCACCCATATTTTCCGCCAAATTGTCATTGAATTTTCCTGATATCTGCTGCTGATGAAAATTGGAACCTCCGTCAAATGCTGGGTTTCCATTCTTATCTTGTACTGAACGATTCTTAATCCGATTAAGCAACCTGTCAGCGTGTGCAAGGGTAGAGCTAATAAAATTCTACCAACTACAGTTAATGCTCCAAATTGTAAAATAATCAATTCTTGTGAAGGCATGTTGGCAGTTAAAAAATATACTCTCACTGAAACAACTAGAATATATCCTAAATTTTCAATTGTTGAGAGACCAAGGGCTGTTAATGAACTATAGAGCATTGGAGGTAACGGATGATAATTGTCAAAGTAGAAAAGTCTTTGTGAATAATCCCCTAATTTACAACAAAGAGAGAAAATGCTTCCTCCGCTGCTTGTTTTAAGAGCCAATAATACTTTAGCTAGTTCCTCAAAGAATGAAGAAACCACAAAGGATTGAAACAATGCGAAAATAATTTTCCAAATAAATGAGAGGCTCTCTACTTGTTTTTCGATAGATCCTATAATGTTATTCTCATCTATTGATAAAACATTGACTCCATAAAGAAATAGTATAAACAGCAGGGAAACACCAATCTCCACGATAAACACGGGTATTACAGAAACTGCACCACTCCACAGAACGTGAAAACTAAGTTCTAAATTAATTTTGTCCCGAAATAAGCAATAAATAATTATAAATATCAGTAGACATGGAAGTAATGCAGTGAACATTAGCAGAGAGATCGCTGGGCTAAATATCAGTGATACCAACAACAAGGAAACAACAGATATTCCGGTAAAGTATAGACAAGGTCCTAATTTTTGATTTTCCAAATAGTCTTCATGTTGTTGTTGTACCTCCGATGTGTTAGAATCGTCATGGTGATGTATATCGGATCGTGATGGAGAAGCTCCAAATCCTCCTCCTCCACCTCTCGGCGAGTGATTTTCTTCATTAAATTGATTGTTGTCTTTCAATTCGGTTTCAATAGGTTCATTGGGATCATTCCCGTGTGGTGGTGGAGACAAAGTGGCCATTTTTTGTTTGGATTCTCGACATGGTCATATGGTGTCATAGAAGTCTCATTCAAACTTCAATAATCATTGTTGTGAGCAATCAACCAGTTTTTATATCTTTTCAACTAAAACATGCAAACTCTGTGAAGGTTTTCCGAACTACGATATTGAATCATTGGTGTTTGCTTGAGACCTTTGTTTGTTGGACTGACTTCGCGTTGTAAAAAAATAGTTTGGGTTGACTAAGATTCAGAAAAAATTTGTTGAAAAAAAATACGCCACAACATCCCGATTGTACGTTTCACTCTGTCGTTTCTGATTTTAATTTTTCGATTTGTTGGATTGATTGAATTCTTTTTCAATAGAACAATGACAAGAGCTGCTCGCCAAAGATATAGTGTTGACGTCCAAACCTCCAAGCACGCCAAGGCTAAGGTTGAAGGTGTCAGAGTCCACTTCAAGAACACTGTTGAAACAGTCAATGCCATCAAGGGTATGTCATTGAGAAGAGCCAAGAAGTACTTGCACAATGTTTTGAGACACACCGAATCTGTGCCATTCAAGATCTTCAACGGTGGTCCAGGTAGACATGCTAACGGAAAGCAACACCACGTTGCTAACAGCAGATACCCAACAAAGTCAATCTTTGCTGTGCTTAAGCTCTTGAAGAATGCTGAAAACAATGCCAGAGTCAAGGGTTTGAACGTCAGAGATTTGGTTATTGCTCACACTCAAGCCAACAGAGCTCCTAAGATGAGAAGAAGAACTTTCAGAGCTCACGGAAGAATTAACCCATTCATGGCTAACCCATCACACATTGAAATCATTTTGACTGAAAAGCCAACTGCTGTCTCCAAGGCTCCAGCTGCTGTTGTTCAAGAATAAATTAACACATCAAAAAGAAAATTATATATCAACTTGGCGAACGATGTTCTTTTGACTAAGAGGCTCAAATTTAAGGCAATGACGGATGTAAGGTATCATGCTGACTTTATCGTTTATTGCTGGTGTTTGAAATCGTAGGTTTATGCTTGTTGTTTGGAGGGCTTGTGGATGTTGGTTTGGGTGGATGGAGTGGCGACTGGAAAGTTTGTTTGAGTGGATAACTGACAGCCTCTCTCACAACTCTTATTTGAGGTTGTGGGTTCCTTACTTGTGTGGCTTCCAAGGGAGATGTCACAAATCGAGTGGATGTGCCTTGTGGTGGTGTGTTAGCCAGGTACGATTGAATTTGGGGAGGTGGGACGTACGTTTGGCTATCTGGGGTATAATTTGGATAAGGTCGTGGGATTGGAGGTTGTTGACTTTGCATGGCTTGAATGAACTCGGATTCATCTTGATCCTCATTAAGAACATCCTCCAATTCTTGTTGTACATTGAAAGACTGAGTTGGCTTAATATTTGTATCCTTGATAATTTCTAAGAACTTGTTGTTCATTGCACAAACTCCTCGCATGAGTGCCTTCTTCAAATTCTCTTGAAGAACGAGTTTGTCGCTTTGCTCCCTCTCTAGAGCTTGATTTAACTTGAGAAGTTCCTCCTTCAATTTCTCAATTTTCATTTCATAATCATTCCTCATTTCAGTTTTTTCATTGTCGAGTCTGTTTTGCCATATTCTTTCTGTGGTGTTTTGCTTTGCATTGAGAATCCACATGTACCATCCTTGAAGAATTTTTCTTGCTTGATTTCTTCGATAGTTTCGCAACAGCATTGCGCCTAAATTCTTTTTCATTTTCTTTGTTTCAGTGTATTCCTTCCATTTACTTAAAATATTTCTCAATAATGTCTTTTCTCTTTCAACTCTTCTTGCATGAGCGATTTGATCTGCCATTCGGAACGTCAATGTTTTGAATCGTGCCAAATAGTAATCTCTCTTTGCAATACTATCTCGTAACTTCTCTTCTTTTAATTTATGTTGATACAATAAATCGTCTCGATCGTCATTGTTTCGTTGATGGAGTTCGTTAAGTTTCTGTACACTTCTTTTCTTCAAATCAAATAAATTATTCTATTGAAGGATAAGTAAAACCAGATGAAGAACGTCAACAAACATACCATGACTTCTGTTCTAAGAGCTGAGCACCACTCATTCATCTTTTCTGCTAAATTTTGTATTTCCTTTTCTTCTTCTGTTTCGGTCTCTTGAATTCTATCAAAGGTTATTCTCAATTTTATCAAATAGAGCAAAATGAGCAACATACATTTTCTCGGGAGTCTTTAAATCCTTAACCTCAGATATCTTTTGAACCTTCTTCATATCATTTAGGATATCACCGCTGTCTTCATCGATATAATCATCTGATGAGTAGACTTGATCTTCGGCAATTTGTTTCGATATTGGTGAAGCAATGGCGGATGATGCTTGATTTTGAGGTTGTTGCATTTTTTTAAAATGTAGTTTTGCAAGCAAAATTCCCGCCCGCACAACAAATTTTTGGAGGGAAAAATAGTGCCATTGCGTATTTGGCTTATTCCTCGTTCAGCAAATTCTTCCATGCCAATGACTGACCCAAAGCGCATACTCTTCCACTTCCTCAAGTACGAATTCCAGAGTCACAATCAATCCTCAGGTCACTTTACCACTGAAAATAAACCAATCAATGCATTATATCTGTACATAGGGATCCAACTATTTATTAACGTAGTGGTGTCACTTTAGAATTTCTTCTTCTTTTTCGAAGTCACGCTCTGAGCAGGTTCTTTGGATTGTTTTTTCTTTGCAGTTCTGGGAGCAAATGTTGTTTCCTCTTCTTCAGATTCATTACTTTCTTCCTTATCACTTTCTTGTTCACTTTCTTCTTCTTCCTCATGCTCGCTCTCCTCTTCACTTTCTTCAATCTTCTTTCTATTTTGTTTAGCTGATCGACTTGGAAGAGATCGTTTACTTGGCTCTTCTTCTTTTTCTGTCTTCTTTTTCTTTGTACTAGTTGACGATTTGGTGGTGTTGCGCTTTCTCTTCTTTTCTCCCTCAACAGGCGTTGTCTTCTTTTGCTTTGATTGTTTTTCTGTTGGTTGCACTTGTCTTGCAAGCTTTTCGTTCAATTTGAATCCACTTGGTAAATAAAGTGTCTTTATCGTATCAATGTTAGAACCATCTTCCTCTCCTTCAGATATTTTGAAGAATGAAGGAACAAAGATCTTTCCAGGAAAAGGAACAGAGGATGCGGCAATGCCAGAATTTTCAGCACATCTGTTTACAATTGAAATGGCCATGTCACAAATTACCAAATGATTGACTGATTTTGGATTAATGACATCCTTTCTTTGTTTCAACTTGGTAATTAATTGATGGAAAAATGATAGGTTATCAATATCGTGAGTGACCTCATCAAAATATGCATATAAAATTCTGTTAAAAACAAAGTTAAAACAAGAATGAATCATCAAAAGAATATTCAAAAACGTACTTTTGGAAAGTTAAAAATTGAGGCTCTTCAGATGCAAATAATGGATGTCTAGAGAGTAAAAATACGAGATATGGAAGAATATATTCTGGGAAGATATCGTATGCAGAGCGAGATGTTAGTGTAAGCCCCTTTGTTCTTGCAATCAGAGCTCTCTTGAGAGGAACTAACTTGGAGAAATACTTTTTGGCTCTAACTGCCAAGTCAGAATTCTTGTCACCAACAAATAGCAAAAGTATCGCAGAAAAAGCATTTCCTAGTTGGGCTTTTCTAAGCTCCTTGAAGAGTTTTTCGAGTAAACCCTTTCTAACTTCCAAAATTGGATCTAAAGAAGTGAATGCAAGTTGCAAAAAGCGTTCCATCTTCAATTTGAAATCAGAAGATTTCGTCAAAGTAATGATTGATTTTACAGCAATGAGTCTAAGAGCAGCTCTATCTATTTCTATTTTCTTTTCATTGGAATCTTTCTTCTTAGCTTCTTCAGTATCTTCCTCTTCAGTGGTGTCCATTTTGTCTGACTTTTCTAGATCCTTTTCTAAGATTGCCTTGATGGAACCTTTGTAGATGAGGAGATCAAAAAGAATTCCAACGAGCTTTGAGCTAACAGATTCAGATTCGCTCGTTACTCCTTCTTTGGCACAAGCAATGGTATAATCGACAAGTAATTTTAGTGCTTGGATCTTGGTCTCTGTATCTAACGAAAGAGAGCTCCATTCAGTGCTTCGTTCTTCTCTATCCCAAAGAACAACATGATTGAGAACAAAGTCCATAATTTCTTCTTCATGTGTTCTAAACATTTCAGTGGTGTGAATAATTACTTGTCTGATTGCAGCCAATGCGGTCAACAATTGTTCTCCATAGTCCAAGTTATCCTTTGCATGAAGGAGTATCTTGGAAAATATATTCTCTGGAGCTATAAAGGCCTTTGTGATAACAGTTGCTGCTCTTTTGACCTCCTTTGGTTTACCTTTTGTACAGAATGAAACTAATTTCTCTTCAAGATCACTAGCCAAAGAAAACTTCGTCTTTTCCAAACCGACAGCAGTATAAGACAGTACCTTGAGAGTGATGAGATTGATTTCATAGTCTTCTTCCTTTTCCATCAATTCAATAGATGCTACAATAGTATCCTTTCCAAGAGAAGGATAGAATTGAACAATTACATTCAAAAGATGCATAGTTGATAAAGCCATTGAATGTTGTGATGAATTAGAGAATTTCTGTGCCAATTCTATCATGTCATTAGCTTGCTCTTTGGTAAATATAGTCATTGCAAGTCTTTGAATGACAGATTTCATATAATCCTTCTCTTCCTTCTTGTCTCCTACTAGTTTGTCGTCACCTTTCTTTTTGAGTTTGGTTACGTCCTTAAATGAAGAATTAATGTTTAGGCAAGACTTTAAGACTTTGATGGTATCATCACTCTGTTTGTTTCTACGAGAGGATATCTCTTTCCAAATTCTCTTTCCAAGAGATTCATCTGAAAGTAATGATGAAAGTGTTGAAATGATTTGTGAATCATTATTCTCGGTGTCAAGTTCAAGCAAATTCGTCACCAAAGTTTGGAATACTTTCTTCTGCGAGATGATTGATTCGAGAACCTGCTTTGCCATATCATCAAGCTTTCTATATATGTCCAACAACGTCTTGGATCTAAGTGCTCCTTGATCTAACAAAGTTTCATCAATAAGTTTTTCAATAAATAGTCTGTGAGGGATTACTTGTTCATGTTGTTCTGCATAGTATTTGATTACATTATTTGGGATCCATGCGAGTCTATCACTTGTGGTATTTTCCCAAGAGTCAGACGTCTTCAAAACTTCTGTCGCATGATGATTATACAGCTGTGCACACAAACTTAATGTATGCAATCTCAAAACGGACTTCTTATCACGTGTTCTTTCTTGAAGCTTTTGCATAGTTTCATCTGATATCAACGCTGGGCTATCCATGGCTACATTGACAACGGTTTCAACAACATTTCTTCTCACTTTTTCGTCTGGGTCCATCATTCTTTCGGCTAATTTTTCGTTGAGTACTTTGCTGCTAACGGGATGGTTCTTAATCATTCCATTCGCAAATTTGCTCATGTAAATTCGAACACGACTATCTTTGTCGTTAAATCTTGACAAAAAGTCTGTTTCGAAAATGTTGGGATACTCTCTGAAGAGCTCAGAGTCTTTTGCTTTGAACATGTTTCCAAGTAATTGAATAACAGCAGATCTCACTTGAACATCTTCGTCCTTCAATTGAATACAAAGGTTAGGGATAACCGTCAACAATAATCTTGATGAGACAAGGTTAATTTCATAAATCAAGCTGAAAACTCTTGCTCGTTTTTTTTTGAAGGAAGATTTGGTCTTGTCTTTTGTATTTTCAAGCTCTTTTAGGATGTCATTCAGATAATCGTTCAGTTGAGTAGAAATGTGCTCTTGAGTCTTATCTAGAACATTTTTAGCAATATGTTTTGCAGAGAAATGGGATTCTTCGTCATTTTGTTCATTCTTCTCCTCAGCTTCTTCTTCCTCAGAGGGTAGCTTGGATCTGTTTTCTAATAGTGGTTGAATCAGTACTTCAATCAACTTGGCATCGATGGTGTCCACAGACTCAATTACTGAGATCATAATATCACAAATATATGAAATAATCTTTTGAGGTTGATTTGTTTCACATTCGGTGACAATTCTAAACAGAGATTCAAATAATGGAATAATAAGAGCTTCACATTCGTCGTAGTTTGCCAACATGATGAAAATTTTGACTGTAGATAACCTTTCCAACAGGTAAAATCTTTGTGAGAATAGTGATCCTGATCCTTGACTTAATGCTTCGATTTGATCAATAATAAATCTGAATATTTTTGGTAAATCTTCTTCATCAAAAGGGCAGTCTGGTGCTGTCACTCTTAAAACATCCACAATGGCACGAGCAGCATATACTTTCACAGCTTCGGACTTGTTAGAAATAATCTTTTTATCAATTAAATTGGCCAGAAATAGCTCATCCCAAGGGGCATCCTCTGGAGTGGCTAATTGACCCATTCCTTTCAGAATATCAGCAACTTTCTAATGAAAAATCAATAATCAATAAAAAACAATCGATTTCGTCAGACATCAACATACCTTCATTCTTTCAGTAAAATCTGTACTTGCAATACTTTCAGAAATATATGCTCCTGACAAGACATCGGAAACCTCTTCCCCTTCATCTAAAAATTGAGACAATTGTGCTTGACTTGCTGACAAACTAAACAATGATTCAGAGAGCGATTGACTTGGAGTACCAGCAGGAGTGAAGGAAGTTTCTTCTTCATTTCTGGATTTTCTTTTTGGTGTTTGTGGAGCAGATTCCTTCGAAGAGGAAGCCTTCTTTTTGCTGGTTCGTGGAGGCATAATAATATTTCAATATGTAAACCTAGAGCGATGAGATGATGATGATCGTTAAACAATCACAGAAAAAGATATCCACACGGATGAAAAATTAATATGGTAGCAGAATAATTTAAGAGTTGGTGTAACGGACTGATGGTAAACACGAGTTTGGCTGATGGAACAGACACAATGAAGAGTGTGTGGAAAGAAAAGGCTTTTTTTTGAATTTTAAAATTGAAAATTGGCGGGTTAGGTTTCCAGCAGGGGCGGGAATAGTCACACCCTGCCAATTTCTTTCCCCAAGTCAACTTTGCAAAAAGGATCTGTACTGGAAAATAATTCATGTTTATAACAATGATACTGTTTATATACAAGTACAAAAGCGTGAAAGATGGAGTGTGTGATGAAGGAAACGATTTGCCTCAGGTCAAAAACATTGTGGTGTTAAAAAATATATAAAACGATTCTCTTTCTCGGCTTCAACAAAGGAGGTCTGGATCAAAGTGTCAGTGATTGTAGAATGGATGATGTTTTTGGGTATTTAGAAGACAGAGCTAAATCAAGGTAGTAGAGTAAATACTGATCCACCATTTGTGGTCATTCATTTGTTGTGCTTGTCACTATTCACCAATATTCCAAATCAAAATATAAATTAAAAAGATCCACACTACTGGCTGTGTGTACACTACAGAAAGAGAATCCATTCATATATATAATTCACCAAACAGAGGAAAGGAAGAAGAGAAGGAAAGAACAAATAAAGAGAGAGAGAGAGAAGGAGATTCATGGGTATTGTTCTTGTTTAGATGGTTATTTCATTCACGTTCTCTCTCTCTTATTGGTTCTTACAAGGTCCACCATTTTGTGTCTTGTTTTGTGGTGTCTTGCTCACTTCTCTTCTCGTTGGAATTTTATCTTCAAGAAAGTCCTCAGCACTCAATATTATCACATCATATTCCTGTCCGACTTTCTCCGAGAGTTCTATGGCTTTCTTTTTTCCTTTTTGTTTGTTAAATTCAACAAAAGCAGCTGAGAAAACAAGAGCTCCAGATCGAATAATTTCCAGTCGTTTCACTCCTCCATCACACTTTTTGAAAAAGTTACCCACTTGTTGTTCATCCACAACGAATGGAAGTTCTAAAACACAGATGGCTCTTTTCAGAAACTATAATATTGTCAATGATGATGAAGTTGTTGTTGTAAAAGACACGAGGTGTGTCGAGAAAGACATTTGGTAGAGAGTGTTTAAAGGCAGACAAACAAATGGCGCGAGTCATTGTGTGAGAGGGAAGAGACATCATCGAGAACACGATGAATCAATAATCAAATGTGAATCACAAGATTCCGTAGTAATGTTGTTGATAATGATGCGGTTGATTGCAAGTGTAGGATGTTGTTGGATCCAGAGTGTGTGTTCAAACATTGACAGGCAGTCATTCACCACAAATAATGTTTTGAAGAGAAGTGTATCAGCCGACCACAAGTGATCCAAAAGTTCCATTTGTCACCACACACACGTGATATTTGTGGATGATGGGAGACAGCAACAACAACAAGATGATCATCATACATGGAATGAATCAAACAATAAACCACACCAACAACAATGAGAAATTCATAGGAATATGAAGGTCATTATCATCATTAAATGATGATAGTACAGTTATTATTCGTAACAACCAAACACACACACAACAAGACGTTTCAACATCATCATGGAATTTGTCATTGTTCATTCACAATTTCAAAAATGAAATACGTGTATTCATGATGATGATCGTAAGATATTGTCATTTGATTTCGATATGTAACATTTAGCAGTTCATAAAGTTATCATCATCATCATCATCAACATATGACTTGTCATTATCAACTCACCTCTGGATCCTTCTCCTTCTCTTCATTGAGACGGGCTTTCATAATTGATGTATTGTTTTGCATTTTATGATCAAGTTGTTATTGTTGTTGTTCAGATGAGTGGTTTGTTAAATGATGAGTGGCTGAAGTGATGGAGGGTGTGCCTGTTGCAACTCGAAAGAGTGTTGTCGATAGAACTGGAATTTTTTTGTTCGGTTTCGTTTGATGATTGACATGTTGAATGGTTCTTGCGTGGGAGTGTTGGTTTGTGGAAGAGAGAAGAGAGAAGGGAAGCCCTATTCCAATTTTATACAAATATTCATCCCTGAGGCGCTTTTGTTTATGGTTGGATGATTAAGGTATCGCATGAAATTCTCAGTTGGATTTTTTTTCCTACACGAAGCGATGAATTGCATCTACAAGTATACTTGTATCGCAACAATATAATGGAACACTTGAGTACCACGGACAATCAATTAGTGTTTGTCCTTTACTGTCCCCACCTGGCAACAGATTTCTGAGACTCCATCTTGCTAGGATTCATCTATGAGAAAGGATTGTATGATAACATATGAAAGAAGCTGAATTCAATTCTCTTGAACCTGAACAATAGTGGGTTGACTCTTTTTTGACGGTTAATTACAATGACAATAATAACGCAGAAATTCTTCGTCAAGTGATGGTTACAAAGTGCCTCTCTTCTTCATTCTCCAAAACAATTCTTCCTCTTCAAACCAATACTCCACATTATCCTCTTACTCTCTCCGGCCGCCAGTGTGGTCACCATCTCCGGGCGCCATCCAATTTCCTATGCTTTTACTAAAAGAGTTTGACAAATAATAATAATTTAAAATTTTTAAAAATTAAAAATTTGCAACAAAAAAATATCTCAACTCAACAGCAAATTAAAACAACGTCATGTTCACTCCACTCCTCGACCTCACTGTTGGTGATCCTTTCTGCTCTGCTTCTGCTGCTTTCTTCGGTATGATGGGTTGCGCTTCTGCTCTCATCTTTGCTAACTTGGGTTCTGCCTACGGTTCAGCAAAGGCTGGTGTTGGTGTTGCTCACTTGGGTATTATGGACCACAGACTCGTAATGAAGGGTATCGTCCCAGTTATTATGGCTGGTATCTTGGGTATTTACGGTTTGATCGTTTCTATCATTATTGCTGGTTCCATTAACGTTAAGAGCGGATACAGCTCATACTCTGGTTATTCCCACTTGGCTTCTGGTTTGGCTTGTGGTTTGTCTTCCTTGGCTGCTGGTCTTTCTATTGGTGTTGTTGGTGATGCTGGTGTTCGTGCTTATGGTAAACAACAAAGAGTATTCGTTGGTTTGATTTTGATTCTCATTTTCGGTGAGGCTCTTGGACTTTATGGTCTTATCGTTGCTCTCGTCGTTTCCATGATTGGTCAAGGACCAAAATGCCCTGCCGTTCAATAACCGGTTATTTTCCTTGATTTCATCATCTAAATGATTAATTAATGATGAAAATTAATTTACTAATTTAGAAGATAATAAATTTTGACAGTTTTAAAACAACCCGAAGAACAATTCACTGTGAAGTGTTGATATGATGATGGTTAGAGAGGAATCGATCATTCCTTTTCATGAGTAGTGGTATCTAAGATCGTTATTGAGCTTAAAACATTTTACTGCAAGATTAGTCTCAGTCTTTTGGACAATACAAAATCATCGTCAATGATGACACTACATTTTGGACACTCGTTCCTCCTGTTCCACCTCCTCAAAAGACAACAAGACTCTTCCAGTTGTCTTTCTTTGAAGCATATCATTCATTGCTTTCACAACTTGCTGCACTGGATACACACGACTAATAAATGGATCAATTTCACCTCTCATCATCATTCCAAATAACTCCTTCATACTTTGTTGAATCACATTCGGTTCATGTTTCATATAACTTCCCCAATACACACCAGAAGCACTACAATTCTTCACGAGTAAAATATTTGAGGGAATTTGAGGAATGTGTGAAGTTGCAAAACCAATCACCAACCAAACACCTCCCCACGCAATACATTTCAAACTTTGAATGGCCAAATCTCCTCCAACTGGATCATAAATAATATCACATCCTTTTCCATTTGTAAAATCATTGAGAATTATTTTGAACCAATCCTTTTTGTGAGTTTCATAATTAATGACATGATCAACATGTGCCTTTTCTTTGCATATTTGACACTTGTCATCGGAGCTACAAGCAGCAATCACAATGGCGCCGAGAGCCTTTGCAACTTGACAAGCAGCAAGACCAACACCTCCACTAGCACCTAATACCAGAACAATTTTTCTCTTATTCTTTAATTGTTGTGAGGAAGGTTGCAACTGTTGTGAATGTTGTTGTAATTCAAATTTTTGTAAATTTCCATGTCGTGGATGAGTGAGTGCCACATGTGAAGTGGAAAAAGCGACCAATAATCCAGATGCCTTTTTTAAATCCATTGATTTTGGAACTTTAATCATGGCAGGATATTGAATGGGAATGTCAATAAAAGATTGCCATCCATCTTTTTGAGCTAACAAGAGGACTTGATCTCCAATTTGAAAGGACAAGTTGTTGTTTCTTTCATTTAAAGAATGATGATGGTTTTGAGAAGAAGAAGAATTAATTTCACACACCACTCCTGAAATTTCATTTCCTGGAATGAAAGGAGGCAATCGTTTTTCTTGATATTTACCTCCGACTTGTAAAACATCGGCAAAATTGAGAGCTCCATATTTGACACGAATTCTCAAGTGATCTTTTGCAAGAGGTGGAAGTGGATGTGATTGTGGAGTGACAGTTACAGACTCTGTATTCGGAGGGAATAATAATTCATGACAAGTGACTTGAATGGACATTTTTTTGTGAATGGGGAAGAGATTCTTCACAAATTTTCAATTTTAATATCTCAAAAGGATCTTCATCAACCAATACAATGTGAAATTTGTGTTTGCTTTTACAACTCAATGACAATGACTGAAATATTATCTGTACTTCCAGCAGAATGAGCAAAATCTCGAATCACTGCAGATACCTTATTTGTGGAATGAGTTGTTATTGATGATGACAATGGAATTGAGGAAGTGTTGTTGTTGTTAATAGTCATACTATGATTGGAATGAAACCATGTGAAAGCTGTCATTTCAAACACATCCTGATCACTCAACACATCCCACACACCATCACATCCAAGAATGATCATTTGTTTTTCCAGAGTCCATGTTCTTGGTGTGGAAAGTGTTGTTGTTGTCAACAGTTGTTCACAATTATTGGAATCATGATTCCCTTCACATGTGGTGGCACAAGTGGTGGTGATTGGACATGTCAAGACACATCCATTCACATGTGGTTCATTGGAAAGAAAAGGTCGACTCTCCCAATCACCAAGTGCTCTTGCAACACCATAGGTACCCATTGTTCGAGAATTAATGACATATCCTCCACAATTTCGAATTCGAATGACTTCTGAAGGATCATGATCGGAGGTGACAGTAGGTTTGTGATCTTGAGTCATTCGATGGACTTCAAATTCAATAATAGGAGGATGATTTTTTTTGGAAAGAGTGTTCAAGGAGTGTCCATTATTGGTTTCATCATCATCATTGAAGGAAATGAAAACAGTTCCCATAATGGCTCTTGCATCACCAACATTTCCAAATATGGCAAAACGTTTGGCTTCACAATAAGAAAGTGTCAGAAATGCAAAAATCACAGCAGTGCAGCCATCCTTAAAGAGATGCGAATTCTTCTCTCTACATGTTTCATCGGCAAGTAACAAGGACTGTGTCATCCATTTCTTCAACAGTTGCAACATGAAATCATCATCTCCTACAACTTGTGACTATGGATTCAAATCAAACAATTCATTCTTGAGAGTATCCTTACAAATGGAGACAAAATTTTGTGCCATCCAATCGGAAACATTGTGACCTGCATGTCCATCGAAAATACCATATATGGAAAGTAAGCATTCGAGATGATCTGAAATTTTCACTTTCTCTCCTTCTGCCATGAGATGAGCATCTTCCATATCTGGACGGAAGGTGCCATTGCAATAGGACAATTGTTGTGAAATGAGGGCATCTTTTTGTTGAATTGTGTTCTTAATGTTGAATTGAGGAAGAATTTTGAGTTCTTTGAAAGATGAGTTCGTGATGTGGTGATTGTTGTTGTTTTCTTTCGTATGGTTATTGTTGTTTTTGAATAATTGGGATCTAAATTGTGAAATTTTACGATTCAGAGAGTCATTCAAGGAATTATGAATTGGTGTTGTGGAATTTGTTGTTTGTAATTTCACTTCTTCTTCGTCATTCCATTCCAAATAATTTCCTTCCAAATCCAAATATTGAAGTGAAGGAGTTGAGAATAGTTTTGGTAACACATGTTCAAATGGTTCATGAATGGAATTGTAACACAGATTCAAAAGTACAAGTGAGGTACATGATGTGAAATCAATTGTTTGAGAAATGTTGTTATGACCTAAATAAAGAACTCGTAATTTGGTTTTAACTGCATCAATAAAGTTTTTGGGAAATTCTTCAATTCGATTACCAGAGAGAATGAGTTGGCTCAATGCACAATGTGTGGTTGTGACCATTTCATTCATTTCAAAAATATCAAAGGATGAAAGTTGATTAAATCCACAATTCAATTTCTGTAAATTCCAAAGACATTTTTCACTGATCCAATTCTTTGGTAATTCCTTGATACGATTGCAAGCGAGAGAGAGTTGATTCAACTTCTTAAGTTTGCTCCACTTGTTATGATCCAAAGGAATTTCACTCAATAAATTGCTTGAGAGATCGAGAGTGTGCAATGTTTCTAATTCTAATACTCCTTCAGGAAAGAATGAAATTCTATTATGATTGAGATCCAATTCTGTCAAATGTTTGAGTTTTGAAATGGAGGAATTTGTGAAATGTGATTATTATCAAGAATGAGACATTTCAAGAGTGGTAATTCACACAATGAATCAGGAAGTTCAGTAATGAAATTATGAGAGAGGAATAAATCTTGTAAATGATTCAATACAGATGCATTAAAAATGGATGCAGGAAGAGTAGCGATTTTGTTCCAATGTAAATTCATTTCCTTAATCTTGGGAAATTGTAAAGAAGGTGATGTTAAATTTTCTTCATTCCACTCTTCAAATCCTTCAATAGAATTTCTTGCTAAATCCAAAGTGATTAACTCATTCATGTGAATAAATAATTCTTTGGGAATAAGACCTTCCACTTGACATTCATACATTTTGAGTGTTTGAACATTCTTTTGATAACACACCCATTGTGGAAATGTTTTAAGATAAATATTGTTATGAAGATGAAGTGAAGTCAAGTTTGGAAAAACAATTTTTTCAATATTCGAGGCAGTCACATCCAAGTCTTAAAGAGAATTTCCACTCAAAGTGAATCTTTTGAGTTTTGAAGTGCCATTTCTTGACAATTTCATTAGCCATGACTCATCGACTTTTCCAAAATGATTGGCACTGAAATCCAACTCTTCTATTTGATCTAATAAATTGAATCGATCCAAAGCATGAAAGATTTGTAAATTCTCTCCAGGGAATGTACCTGATAAGTTCATATTAAAAAACGTCAATTCTTTGAGTACGATTTTGTTCTTTTCAATAAATATTGGCATGACGACGTTCAATAATTTCATTACAATTTCTTTGCATTCATTCGAAAAGTAGGAATTCTTGGATTCATCAAATTTCTGGAAAATCTTTTCAAAATTGGCCAGTGTCAATTTAGAAATGTCTAATCGATGATACTTGAGTGCATCATGAAAGAGTTTACTCATCCATTCACACAATGCATACTCGTGATGTTTCTCGTTATAGTTCAAATAATTCGATGTTCCTAAAATGGAAATGATTGAAGTCGATAGTGTTTCGTATTTGGTGTCTTTGAGCTTGTATTGTTGAGAGAGCCATTTGAAGTTCTTGTTAGAGGTTGTTGGTTGAGAAGAAGAAGAGGTTGCCAATTTTTTTAATCTTGTCAACAGAGTGTTATTAAAATGGAAGTTGACCGTTGACCTGTCATATTCTGAAAGGTTAGTTATGGTCACCGAAAGGATGAAAAACCTTACGTGGTTCGCTCTCAAATTGCTCAGCACACATCTTGTAATTAAAGTGAACACACTTTCTTGATGCAATCGAACAATAATCATTGCATAGGACCACCAGTCGTAGTGGTCGTATTCTGCATCTACGATCGAATACGATACCAGCAAACACTGGAAAAAATGTTAGCCTCATCACCATCGGTAGGCCATGATGTATCATCATCGGACGGTAAAATAAAACCACTCTCGGAGGAAGTGATTGCGAAAATTGCTGCTGGAGAAGTGATTGTTGCTCCATCCAATGCAATCAAAGAGTTATTAGAAAATTCATTGGATGCTGGTGCTGATTCTATAACCGTTGAAGTCTCCGATGATGCAGGATTGAAATGTTTTAAAATTAAAGATAATGGATGTGGTATTGGAGTATGTATATTTGGATTTGGTTTATAACAATGAATGTTATATATGTATAATCATGAATGTTCGTTTTTGTTGAATCAATCCGAAATATTTCAACAATTCCGAAAACCCTAAATTTTGATGAAAATTAGGCAAAAGATTTAGAGATTGTGTGTATGCGGCACACGACAAGTAAACTTTCATCCTATGACGATTTAAAAACAATTTCCACGTTCGGTTTTAGAGGAGAGGCTCTCAGTAGTGTGAGTCAATGTGCTCACGTGACAATAATATCAAAAACACAAGAACAAGAGTGTGCTATTAGGTATGTGAACATCAATAGACAGTAGATTCAATCACAATCTTGAATGCAATTTTAACAAGAGCTTCATATAAGAACGGTCGTCTGGATGGAGCTTTGAAAAAGAGTGCCGGTATAAAAGGAACATGTATTACAGTGGAAAATCTATTTTACGACAACAAAACAAGAAGAGAGGCGATCAACAAGAGCACTGAGATGAAAAAGATTACAGAAATTACTCGAAATTATGCTCTATTCAATACAGGAGTCAGTATTACGTTGAAAAAGGTAAGACTTTATACTCTTAAGTCATTGATTATTTCATCAATTCAATATATAGTTGGATGGAAAGCCAATTTTCCATACTGATACAAAAAGCACGGTAAAGCAAAATATAAAAACATTATTCAACAGTAAAATAGAAAAAGAAATAATGGATGTGGATATAAAGAACGACAAGCTTGAATTGACAGGAAAGGGATATTTCACAAACGTCAATTTCAGCTCAAAAGAAAAAGAGTTCATTATTTTTGTCAACAGTAAGTTGAAAGCAAGTTTATTCAAACGCAGAAATGACAATGATTCAATAGAACGTTTAATCTCTCACAGAGACCTCAAGAAGGCTGTTCTAAGTGTTTTTGAGCCTTACTTACCAAAAGGTGGCCACCCTTTTGTATTTTTAAGCCTCATGTTAAACCCCAGAAAAGTAGATGTCAACTTGCATCCTACTAAAAAGGAGATCCTCTTTTTGGATCAAGAAGCAATAATAGAGGAAGTGAAAGAGACAATTAGAAAGAAGTTGTTAGGCTCAAACGAGTCAAGAGTATTTGATATTGCTCAAAAAATAGCCTCGCCACGCCCATCCACTCAATCTTCCTCACGTTCCAAACCATCAACACTGCTGTCGAATGAAGATGAGGATGGAGACTACGTTGTAGTACCTGCTTCCTCTAGCTCTTTCACACAAAAGGAACAACCCAAAAATAAGGTCAGAACATCATCTTCAGATCAAACAGGACAAATGGAACGATATATCAATCCCCATAAAAGAGCTGTTGCTGAAGACAATCCACCAGCTGACACAGAACCATCTGTGAAAAAGTAAGTAGATGAGTCACACTGAATGCCTTCAATATTTATGAAAATGTTTTTACAAATTGTTTAAGACGAAAGGAAACTGCTGCTGAAAACACTGACTCACAGCATGATGATTCAAACGAAGAGGACGTACACAAATTGGACAGTGTCATTCGATTAAAAGCAGAAATCAATGCAGATACGCACACAGAGCTGAAAGCTCTATTGAAAAAAAAGTACTTTTGTTGGATGGATTAATCCAAGGTTTTCTCTAATTCAATTTAATGACAAACTTATCTTATTGGACATGATCGCTTCAACCAAACACCTGATATATCAGAGAATTATTCACAAACTTAGCAAATTTAAGTATATTAATTTACCACAAAGGCTTGACATTAGAGAGCTTGTTAAGGCAACAGAAATTGATAGCTTAGCCGTGACTGAAGTAGTTTCTCAAATATCCACTCACAGAGAACTATTGAAAGCATATTTTGGAATTGTAATAACTGTAGATGATAAGTTACAAGCATTGCCACACATTCTCGAAAACTATATTCCTCCACTTCATAGACTTCCAGACTTTTTTTACAATCTCGCCACAAAAGTTGATTGGAATGAAGAGCAAGCTTGTATTAAGGGTATTTCGATACAATTGAGCAATTTTTATGGCTTGTGCGAAAGTTATGAACTCGAAGAACTGCAGGAAAACTCCGACAGCCAAATGAGTAATGAGTCATCAACCGGTGCAACATCTTGTATTTACACAAAAGAGAGACTACAATGGATCACAGAACATGTCATTTTCCCTTCCATTAAGTTGACTTTCAATCCACCAAATGAAATGGTGAACGATGGTTCTGTGATTGAAATAGCAAACTTGCCTGACTTGTTCAAGATATTTGAGAGATGTTAATTTATTGATGAATAATGAATTGGTTTTCATACACAAACACGTGTACATGATCGCCAATACATGATTTTGAAGCAGCTAAACACCTGTATACTTATTTTTTTGTTGCATTCTCTTAATATAGTGAACAAGAGATGCAACAACAAGTGTCAATAATCCAAGTACAATTAAACCACCAACAATAGAGCCAACCACAATCAAAATTTGAGTGTTATCTCTTGGAACAGAGGATGAAGTTGGGAAGTGAGATGGAAGGGGTGGAGGATTGCTTTCCTTAAAATTGGCTGAACTCAAAGTATTCACATTCCATGAAGTGCAATCATCATTTGTCTTCAACAAACCATAAATCACGTTAAGCATGTCATCTTGACACAAGCTTGTGCATTTTCCTGGATTTGGAGAATAGTCATAACAATATTGTTTTCTTGTTAAAATGGTGGAGTAATTGGAAAGAATTTGGAATTGTCCACTGGAATAAGCTCTAGTGAGTGTGCCATTACACCCTTTAGGAGCATTGTTTTCCAAGACCAATTTATAACTTCCCAAAACATAACTTCCCAAAATGATTGGTGAACGCATCATGTCAGTATTAAAGTTAACATAATAATTGTAATTTTGAATGGAACCCTTCCACCAAACCGATGAATTTCTGGTTGCAAAACCAGTACAAACTTGAGTATCAATAGAAGGAGATGGAACAACATCCAACACAAATTGTGAATTCTTTGTGTTCGTCAACACAATTTCTGAACAGTTTGAGCCATTCACAAAATCAACTCGATACACAGCTCCACGTCCAAGTAAATTCATCCAATAATCACAATATTTGTTTGCTGAGTCGATGCTATATGGTGTAAAATTGCCAGGTGCCCATCCACATGGATTAATGACATTGATGTTACCCAATGTGATGAGGCGTTCTGCTTCATTCACGGAGTAGGCACTATTGAGTTGGATTGTGTAAGCAATAGGAGATGCACTTGCAGCGTTACCTTCCATACTCATGATATTGGTTTTGACATTATTACTGGATGAAAATTGGAACTTCACAGTAAAGGTTGATGAGGAAGAGGAAATGTTCACAGCAAGCCATGCCTCTTGGGAGATGAGCGCTGATTGAATTGTTGATGAACAATTTTCCAATGGTGATGATGTGATCGCTCCGAGAGAAGATGCCATCAAAGCCAATAAAAGGAAAATTAAAGTCCGACAAGTGGGATTCATTTTTTTTGGGTTGTGAAATGTTATCCATGTTGTCTTTCTTTATAAAAATCTTCATTTTGTAAAAAGATGACAGGAACGAGTTCAATTAAAAATTGCTTTGGGCCATCTTTTTAATGAGAGCTTTCTTGAAAAATTGTTGTCTACTCAGTTCTCTAATTTGCTCAAGCCAATCTTGGAGAGAAATTTGTTTGGCATGTAATTTCTTTTCTAAATAATAAATAGCATCATCGATGGCATTGTCCTCACTTGTGAGATCAAGAATTTGTTTGCTTTGCATGTCTTGTGGATTAATTATTGTGTCCACATCTATTGGCTTGTTTTCATTGTTGTTAATCCATTCCTCTAACGAAGCTTTCTTTTGTAATAAGTTTTCTTTATCTTTCTCAATTTGTTCAAGCTCTGCTTTCATACGTTGCTCAAATGTCTCCAATTGTTTTTCCCTTGCACTCAACTGATTTTGAGTTTTAAATTCTGCTTCTATTTTAGCTCCATATTCTTTGAGAGTGACGTTTTGCAAATGCTGTCTTACTTTTGCCACAAGTTTTTCTCTGAGCTCACTTTCAGTTGGAGGTCTTGGAACAGGAGGTAAATTATACATAGATGAGGACATTGGATTTACTCCATATACTGTGGTTCCACCTATATATGATGTTCCAAATGATGGAGGAGTTGTTGTTGGGCCATACGTTGTTGGATTTGTTGTGGAAGTAGAGCCATACGTGGAGGATGACATTCCAATGGGAGGATGAAATGGAGGAGGATAATTAGTGACACTACTTAACATTGGATTAGAGACAGAACCTGAGGGTGTGGTCGTATGTGTTGTTCCTGATTTTTGATAGACAGGAGGATCTGATCCGAAAATTGCACTCAACTGATTGACCAACTCGTATAAATCAGATGATGCTGGATTCCATTCCGAAAGATATGGAAGATAACATTGTCCGGTTTCGCTTACATGTTTATGTTTTTGTTTGATCACCATGTTGGGCGTTGGAGAAACAAAACACAAAGGAGGATGGTAGGGATACATTTCAACAATCCAGAATGTCATTGGAATATTATATTTGGATCCCTTATAATACATTGGGATTGTTCCTATCGAGAGAGTAAAATTAATATTTTAAATATTAATATCACCGGAAAGATATATCATGATGAATATTGTTAATCCTCATAATAATCACACGGAAAACCCTACCTGTTAATTGCATGGTGTCTTTACCATTTAATTTTGCAACATTTACAATTAATGGAATGTTAGAAAGTAAGTTGTAGACATCATTCCGAACACGAGGGGCATAGGGATAGTTGATTCTCGAAAGCACAGCCTCAACGGATTGAGTGACCGATGAGGAAGACATTTTTTAATATCTAAACCTAAAAATAACGAGGAATTGGCACGTGTTGGACATGTATTGGAAACTCAAACCAATTCAACAGCAACACCAATCACAACAACGTTGCGTCTTGTCTAACGTATTCACAAGCAAATGTAGCAACATTCGCTTTTGCAGAATAGAAATCGAACAAGACCCTTGCTTGTTCTCAGATCACCCAGAAACACTTTAAAAAAAAGATATTTACCTGGCCAGACCTCTGCCGCTTGAAAAGAATTGAACCACCACAACGGCTTCTTGGAGCTCATCAAACGACGATATCTGATCATCCGACTCGGTCAAATCACTGTTAATTTGTTGTGAGGATATTTTGTTATTTCGGATATCATCATCATTAGTGCAAATCAACAAAAAGGAAAAATATCTGTTGTAATTCTTTCATCATCTCAATCAAAACTCTGATATAAATTCTAATTAGAAAATGAGTGAATTATTTCGTAGCTATGAAGAAGAATATTTTGAAGCATCTAACTCAATTAAACGTTCGTTGGCTGCTTTGAAAAATCAAACAGGAGATGCCAAAAAGCAAACCGCCCGCAAGATTGAAAAGGATCTTGATACAGCCAACAAACACATCAAACAAATGAATCTTGAAATGCAAAGCACAGTAAATGTTCAAGAAAAGGAAAACTTAAAAAAGAAGTTAAAAACATACAAACAAGACTTGTCGAATCTTCAAAAAGAATTGGAGTCATCAAAATCCGAAAATGCTAGAAACAGAGACGTCCTATTTTCGGGATATGAGGATGAGCTCCCTGCAGCTAGTGAAGATTATAGACAGAGAATGGTTGAGTCCACAAAAGTTTTAGAAAGATCCAATGAATCACTTGCTCGTGCTTCACAAATTCTTGATGAAACCGAACAAATCGGAATTGACTCTGCAGCCACGTTGAGAGAACAAGGTGAAAGAATGAAGAAGACTCGTGACAAGCTCTATGATGTGGACTCTGAAATTAAACAAGGTGGAAGAATTCTTGGCAGAATGTCGAGACGTGAGATTTTAAACAAGCTCATCATCATTGGAGTTATCGTCTTTTTATTGATCATCATTGGAGTAATTCTATTCTTTATTTTGAGACCACTCTTTACACCCAAGAGCAATTAAAGTTTTGAATTTGGACGATGATCAATTTGTGAATTGAGGTCTTCTTTCCGATTTCAAAAACACTTCAAATAAAAACAAAATGCGTGAAGTGGGTAGGTAGATGACTTCCTTTTGGTGGATAATTCCCATCGGAATTTATAACAAGGAATTGTATTTGAGTGTTTTAATTGCGGAACATATTTCGTTAATACTGTCAAGGTAAGAGACTTTCCATCGAACATTTTCTGATGTTCCTGATCATTATTATCATCACCAGCTAATTGACCTCGCCGATAACAGAGGAAAAAAATGAAAGGATATTCTGAATGAAACCTACATCTTTGTTCAGAAATATTACGAACAATTCAACAACAGATATCAATTATGTGTTTGCCCAACATGCAACGAGTTGATTTATAATGTAAAATATCAAGACATGCTCGTCTCTGTCGATCATCCATGTATTTTGAGTCTTTGCAGAGCGTTTAAATTTCTCCAGGAAGAAGAAGAACCATCATCCACAAACACCACACTCTTACAAGGAAATGTCTCGAGTGTTGGAAGCTCGAGTGGTAGCAGTAGTAGTAGTAGTAGCAGTGATAGCGATACTCTTCATCCAAACAACATTCAGCCAAGTGATTTAATTGAACTGTTCGAACAAAAACCAATTCATGACGTCACGAAAGAAAAGGCTAAGAAGCAACATGCAAAAAAGAAAGATCAAACTGAGGATGAATCTTTACTAAATTACGATCCTGGTAAAGGTGTACCACTCTTCATGGATGTGAGCACAGGTCAATCCACAAAACAAAAATGGGAATTGGTGTTTGGAGTTGGACCTCAACGCCTTGAGCTTGATTCTTCACGTTCTGGACGATTGTATATGGCTTCTTTGAAAGCCCTTAATTTACCTTACATTTCTACTCATCTCTACAAGATGAAAGAGAATCAAACATCAAAACAGCTCGAAGAAATTTGCAACAAGATTTCAAAACTATGTTTAATGCAAGAATCTCAACTTTCAAATGTTATGAATCAAGTACTCATTCCCAATATTCCACTCTTCGATCATTATGAAAAAGTCTCTGAGACATTAGATCGCTATTTACAAGAAATTGATCACCATATTGAATTAGAGGAACAACAAGAAGCAATGCAACAAAAGGCCTTTTCAAAGAAATCATTGCGAGAAGTCATGGATACCAAAAAAAAGTGAAAGTTTGTTGTCCAAGGAACTCTTTGTTTCTGAAGAATGGTTTTTCAGTGTTTCATGTGGAGTGGCCAAATCATTTTGATTTCCAATCAAACACGTGTTGTCCCGGGTTGCTCCTTATTCCTTTCCGCTTTTATTCTGGCAGAAAGCAACTGAAGTTCAACATGAAATCGATATCTCTTCAACAAATTTCTAATAAAAGATTTCAAAAAAATTTTAAAGTGTATTCTGCAACACACACGTATCCTCTTTCGGCATGCAACAAGGCTCTTTTATTCCACCATACATGTATGATGACAATGATCATCATGCGATGAAACCATCACAAATATCATCAGCTCCACCCATGAGTGATTTGAGTGATCATCATGATGATGATTTGAGCATGGATCAATCGAATCAGTTTATGGGTTTAAGTATGAAGTTATCGGAATCCATAAATACAGCATCGCAATCGGCATCCATCCATGTACATACAATGCCTATAACTCCACCTTCATCTTCGTTAAAATATAACATAATTCATGCAAGTGCAGAAAATCAAAATGATGTTTTGGATATTCGAAGTAAACTTGACAAGGAGCGTGCATATGTCGGACGGGTAGATGTCAGTGGCAGTCACGGGCAACATGCTACGAATGGAAGAGTTGGTAGAGCTGGTAGACATGGAAGAAATGGCCAATCAAGATCAACAAACGTTGGAGAACGAGGAGAAAACGGTAAGTGTGTCAAGAAGTTGTAATTATCGAATTGTTGATTTGCCAAATCAAAATAGGAGAGAATGGTAGTGCTGGAGAAGAAGCCGTTCCTGCTCAAAACGGTTTTTCAGCGGATAATTTGAACATTCTTATTGACAGATCTTCACATCCAAAAGAGTTGGTCATTAAATATTCAAGAGATTCTCATAAAGGAGCTTATTCACAATCTAATAGATATGGATACAACAGCTCAATCATTGACGAATATCAATTTACTTCTTGCTCACGATTTCCACTACATTCGAATAATGAATACGTGCTATTTAAAGCATGTGGTGGTAATGGAGGTAAGTTGGAGTAGTGACAGAATTTCTGAAGTAATAACAACATGTTTAAGGGAATGGAGGTAAGTTTATGACTTGAGATAATGTTAAGATTGTTACAATGCTGTTAAAAAGGAAATGGAGGTGAGTAGCATATTTTGAATGATATTTGTTAAATATTCTAATGGTTTTCAAAATATTGTCAAAAGGTCATGGCGGTCCTGGTGGTAATGGAGGTGAGTACAATATTTGTCACACATTATGATTCATACTAAAATAATAATCTATTTTAGGAAATGGTGGAAATGGAATTCAAGAAGGTGGAAGTGGTGGTAAGTTTTTAATTTATTGATCCCCGGTTGACAAATTGTTTATAAAAAAACGAATAGGTGATGGAGGTCTTGGAGGAGATGGAGGAAGACCTTCCTACGGTGGTCATGGAGGCAATGGAGGAATTATTTTTATTAATGTATGTAGAAACTAGTAAGGGTTCACAAAATGCTCAACTTTGTTTTATTGTAAATTAAAATTCGATCATGGTAGACCTATGATCCAAGATTATTGGTGCTTGTAAAGACCAGAGACCCAAGGAGGACGAGCTGGATATAATGTAAGTTAAGTGACAGGAAGCTTCTTTATATTTTACTTCTAAATATCATTGACACTTTTTCATAGGGTGTCCCTGGTGAACCTGGAGAGGGTGGAAAGGGAGGTAAAGGAGGACATGGAAATGTGAAGAGCGGAACAAATGGGCGAAATGGAAATCCTGGTACAAAAGCCATTCAAAACATTTCCTTTGATCCACAATATGGAAATGATGGGTTCACAATTTATAGGGTTTTGGATTTTCGAACGAATCAAGTCATGTATGAAGGTCAAAAATGTTATTCTGCAAGACTACTCTCCTTCGATGTTGTGGCAGCAGATGATGATGGAATTTACGAACCTGGTGAGGAGATATTCTTGACTTCATTCAAGGTTCACAATGACGGTGACATTCCTCTTCCAGCAGGAGCAATTTTAAAGATTTCACCAGATCCCAATAGTTTTATTTTGAGTGATGATCAGTATATACTGCCAGAGATTGGACCCAAGCAAACCATTACGCTCACAAATGCCAAACTTTCGGCCAGAATTTCTTCCGACTTGTTGTTAAAAAGTCGTGAACTGTCCAAGATGATATCTGTTAAGGTTCAGATCGATCTCTTTGATCGTGTGTTTTCTGAATCCATTCTTGGTTGCAATATCAACGTTCAATATCCACTATCTATTTCTGACATTGCATATTTGAAGCAAATGGGAAGAGGGGATTCATCGGATTTGGTTCTTACCATATCCAATCTGAGCAAAAATCACTATCCTTTCATGTACCGAATTACAACAAAAGATCAACTTTTCTTCGTGGAAACAGAATTAAGGCAAATCATGAATCAAGCAAGTGTCAATTCTGAAGGTTTCACATTTCACACACATCCAATTATTGTCGGCTATTGCACAGAGTTTTATCAAAATCAATCGTTTGAAGTGGAATTAATCTACAAAGACAAGACAATTCAGAAAATTGAAAAATATGTGCAGGCAGTTCCTCATTTTAATCCTTCAATGATTGAAACCACCGATTTATTGTTAATCACAAACAGTAATTTTAGAAAAGAGGATTTCAAAGCATTCTCAGAGATTTTCCAATTACTTAATTTAAGACCTAATTATTGGGACTTGGATTTTTATAAGGGAATATCTTTCCAAGAAGATTGTGGGCAACGACACACTGTCTCTTGTGTCGACAAGTATCGAGGAAAGCCTATCATATTTTGCGCAAAGAATAAGGATGATATTAGAAAGTTTTATGCAATGGATATTGCTCATCACTTTGGCGTTTATGGACCTATTTTGGAGAACATGTATGAATACAAGAGTAGTGTGCTAATTCTAACTCCAACACTTCCAAGTAAGGATGAAATGAAGAATTACTTTAGTGATCCTAGTGTTGCCACAAAAGTGGAGTTTGATGAAAATGCATTTTCAGGATATTACAAACTTCTCTATCCTAAAGCTGCCGACGCTGATAACAGGTGTTTAGAGCTTGAGAATGAAAAAGAAAAAGATAGCATTTACCGATTTAAATTTAAAATAGATTTACTTGATATCAAGCAAGTGAAAAGCGATTCGTGGGTCTCTTGGAAATACTCCTATGGAAAATGCAGCTGTTACAAATTGCCCTTAAACATCCTTCATTCATTTATTGGATTCTCATTTGACAGCAAATCAGATTACTTGGACTTTGGTCAAGTGGTGGATCAAGTGACAGGAGAACGTTTGGAAAATCTCAAAATCATTGATATTCTTCGTAACAAGAACCATTCTATCAACTTTAAACTTCTCTTTGCTGTTATTTACAGCATGAATTTACAGTCCAAGTTTAGAATCATTAAGGAGCTTGGAAAAACAGAGACAGAAAAATTAATTGCAGAATTAATTCGATGGGTTATATTTGAAAGTGTGAAACGAGAATTGAGAATGGCAGACACATTCCCAACTTTAGAAGGTATTGCCAACGTATTACAAGAAGACTCGTCATTAATTTGTGAAGCTACTGTTTATTCAGTAATGAATCTCTTGAATCGAGCAACTGGATTTACCTATTGGAGAAGTTGGTTACCATTCTCATCTTTATCCTATGGTTTCAAGACAAAACGAACAAAAATCCAAAATCTTTATGACCTTGTCGAGGGTGAAATACGAAGATGGTCTCTTGAATCCATTCAACGTAAGGAAGTGGAGTACTTTGATGTCGATACCACAATTCTCAATGCTCAAAGAGATGTTCAATCTTCAACAAACACGAGCTTCCTCAAACTTCGTGATGTTCCACTCGTCTATTTATTGGAGTGAATACAAGTTGTTGTTGTCGTCGTGTGTGCTCGTTGTCAGGAACGAGAGAGACGGCGTCGAGCATTCAGTTGTTGTGTTTTCTTTCATCACTAAATAATTTCAAAAAATATTTTCACATTCTTGGCGGCATCTCCATTATGTTTTCTTCATCGGCCTCTAAGAGCTTGTTTGTCGAGCCCAATCTTGATTCCATCATTCATGATTCATTTGAACAATTCGAAAAGTATGGATTCTCATTGATGGAACATGGAGATTATGAAATTTTAGAGAAGGAACTCGAAGGTGAGTTTGGCATGAAACAATTTTTAAATTGAATATCGAGATGTCAATATCTAAAAGATCCCGAAGGAAATTATGAGCTCTTGTTTGAAGACAACAATGCAACTATTATCATGTGGAAGAAAATGAATGGCGAAGGTGGAAAAAATTGTTTATCTGAAATGCATTCCCATGATACTGTTCGTCACAAGTACAAGTACGTATAAAAGTTGTCATGAATTGTGTGATGAACTTTTGTAAAGAATGATTGTGAATCATCCAGTTCAAGTATTTTATGATTTATTGAAAGATTATGACAGACGGTATTTGTGGGATAAAAGAGATGGCGGAAGGTGAGTGAATACTTAATTAATTAATTATTCAATTTTTTTACATTTCATAATATTTAATGAATAATTTTATTATTGAACTCTTTAGAGAAATTTTAGCAATATTTAATGTCGATGGAAAGGTAAGCAGCCATTTACAGTGACACCTTTGAATCATTACTCATAATTTCAACTTAGCCTCAAAATCAAGTTGTGGGTATGTAAATCAACAAGATCTTAATGATGATTTTAAATACTCATGTATATGATTTATAGAATATCTCGTAAAGAAAGGAAACTTAATTGTAAGCTCTAGAGACTTTGTGACCATCAATACTGAAAGATATTGTGAAAAAACAAATTCATATTTAATGATCGGAAAGTCGGTAAATGAATTCCCTAAGGAATCCCTAAGTTCATACATTAGAGGAAATATTTTATATTTGGGAATGAAAATAGCACCAATTGATGATAAGGTATGTACTCTTGAGAACACGATATTTCATCGAGACATGTCGAAAAGAGTTGTGAATTTTACTGTGTCACACAAACAAATATGAGTGGATATATTCCAAACTTTGTTTATGAATGGGCGCTTAAGAGTTTGCCTTCTGAGTTTCAAGCAATCACCTATGAGGGGTGCCAGCAAAGAATTAGAGAGGGATGTTCAACTTTCACAAATTACTACAAATTGGCGAGCAAGTAATTGTGAGGTAGTAGTTTGAAGGCACAGCCTCTCTAGTAAGCTCGCAAATCCTTTATCCATTCCATATATATAGAACAATCTTCCAATAGACCCACATTATGCTGATGTATAAACTCATTTAGAATCACGCCTTTTCTTAGATTTACAATGTAGGTTCGAGGAACTGAATTATTTGGGTTGAACAGGTTGGAGAGAGATAGTTTTGCTTTTACGTTTGTGTAAGGGACAACCAGAAAACCCATTTGTTTCTTTTTCATATAGTCAAACAGACGACCCTCACTTTGTTCTCCATCCACCATAATCATCTCGAAAGAATCCAATCCATACACTTCTTTTGTTTCATAGTGAAAATTTACGACTTTCTCGATATATTCCTGCTGATTTTGCAATTTTATGCCAACGCACCATGAGGGTGCAAACACTAAACCAATGATTGGCTTATTTTTCAAAATCTCCATGGCGTCATATTCCTTTCTATCTCTCGTAACGAGTGTTCGTGTTTTGAAGAGAGTTTTGACATTATGCTCAATTTGATCCTCGACGGTTCCCTCAATTTTTTTGTATTCAACTCGATCACCAAGAATGTTTCTCCACTCCTGAAACATGCTTATGACTGGCTCGATCATCGTTTGAGAGTTTTCGTCCGTTAAACAATCCATAGCTTCCAATTCCTTCAAACAAGGTCCTCTGCATGAAATCATGTTTTCATTTGTATTGGATTTCCAACAATGCAAAAGTATCAAGGATGGCTCATCTTCGTCCTTGTCCTCAAATCCAAGGTTCTTTAAAATTTCAATTAATAGTTTTACATTGGGACCCGATGAATGAATGCGATAGAATGGGCTTTTTCTTTCATTTCTGAAGGGTTCTCGAAGAAGCTTCACGTAATCAGCTGGCACCTCTAAAATGCTTAAAGCACGATTTGAAAACTCTCTCCGAATGATTGTGTATGCTTTTTCCATCAGGTTGAAATATCGTTGATGAGCTGGCTTTTCAAAATCAATTCTTTTCAATTTAGCGTGATAATAATACCACAATGAAGCCAAATCATATTTACCTCAATATTCCAATCATTCTCGTAAATTTTAATTCCTCCTCAATTTCAATAGGTGATAGATCAACACTCCCTGCGGATCCGCTTCCTTTTTGTCGCCTCAATAACAATCCATCAAAAACGTTTTTCAGTCCAACCTGAGACTGCAGAACCACATTGGGTTGTGTTCTTTTCCGTGCTAATTCTTCGTAATCCACCTCAACGACGGGTTTTTTCTCGTTGATCCAAAGGTCTCTCATTCGGGTCTTTTTTTTTAATTTGTGCCTACAATTTTTACAACCATCACTAGAGCTCATTCCCGACCAGTTATGGATTTCGAATGATCTTTGTAGATTCATCATTGAAAGACCAACTTCTGTAAATTTAAGCACATTTCGATTGTTTTTTCAAGTCTTGAGGATAAACAATCCTTGGATTAGTATTTGGTTTTCTCCAATTTTTCCTCAAGCAAGGCTGCTTTGGTTCACCTTGGATGACTTGATCTGTTGGAAACGAAGGAAGTGGAATTTTCGGATACTAATTTTGTTTTTGTTGTTGAACACCTTTCGCCACGGACACAAGTTTCTTGCAATAACTTGAAAAAAATGCCAGTAAGTACTGCAACACAATTCCTTTCTCTTGTCAACTCCGGTTGGTCGCACCAATAAATTTAACTGTGATCGCACCAATATAATAGTTAAACGAAATTCAAGAAAAGGAATTACGCAAAGCGTTCATGCTTGCGGATACAGACGGTAACAACTCGTTGGATGTCAATGAAGTTAAACATTTGCTAGCTCAACTCAAACATCATTCCACAAACATTTTCATTCAACCCCCTTCGGATCAAGAAGTATTTCAATTAATGAAATTACTTGATGAGAATGGAGATGGTCAAGTGGAATGGGAAGAATTTAAACATGCCATGGAGAAGTGGATGGACGAAGATAAATCCTCAACCTCTCGGGGTTCCAGCAGTGGAAGAGCAGTTATGAATGACAATTCAGAGTTGAAAAAGAGAAAACAACGCGACTATTCTGTTGAGAGAGAACAAGTACACGACAAGGTATGTAGATTCTGCATCATTCAGCATGAAGAGCTAATTTTGAAATTATTGATGATGATCATCATCAAAATAATAATGAATCATTCAACAATGTGCATGATTGTGTGAATTATCATCAATGCTCGGAACAGGTCCAAAAATTTTTCTTGCAATTCCGAGTGAGAGATCCAGCTATGAACTCGCCATCATCTCCACAAATGACATCCTCTCTATCGAAACGAAAAGGTATTCATGATCATCATTACAGAGACTCACTATTTTCTGTAGGAATGAGTGGTGTTGTATCACAAGACGAACACTTATTGAAAGCTCAATCAATTTCTCTCAACAATCTCAAATCTCAATTGTTGGAGTTTCCAAAACTTCCTTTTATCATTGATTTACATTCTAAAAACATTCAACATAGTAATGTTCTTGCTGAAGTTGCCATGTCTAAACAACAATTGGACATTGTATACAATCAAATTAAGAATGTACTTGCTCAATGCATTGTGTTTTGTGATTTGTTTGTGATTCACTACTCAACTCCATACGATAGAATTGAAATCAGTGACATGATACTCGATACTTATCAACATATTTTTGATGAATGTTTTAGCGTTTTTAACTTATTGTTAGATATGTCTATTTACTACAAACTTTATGATATCCAACATCAGGTGCTCTATATTTTTAATTGCATTTGTAATGGACCAAGAATTGCAAATCTAGATCAAAATCACAAATACCATTTGCAAAACATGTACTTCAAAAAGTTGATTGCAGAGTATGACATTCTCAACAAAGTATATCAACAAATTTTGAAGCAACCCATGACTCCCATGGAGATTTCGAAGCAATCCATTTCTCTTATTGCTCGATTTGCTAGTTTCAACAAGGAATGCAGAGATAAGATTTATGAAATCAATGGTCTTCTGCCTGACTTGCTCAAGACATTAGGAGGTGTTCTTTCCAAATACAAAATCGGGTTACTGAAAATCATAACATTTGCATTAGCAATCTTAATGGGAGATTTGACACATACTCAATCTAGTACGGTGAAACCAACTACCGAGTCTACATTTATAGCTCTTAACTTACTTTCACAACTACTTTTCCATTGGCGTGTTCAATTTGAAGATCAGGATACATTAGTTTACATTCTACATGCTCTTATTGGAATTTTGAATGGTGTTCGACAAGACGACTTGTTCAAGAAATTTGTCGATCTTCTCAACGACAAAAACCAATACGTGGTTGAGAGTGTCCTTTCAATTGTGATTTCCAAGCTAATTCAAGACAAATTTAATGTATACATCTTGGTTGAAAAGTGTCAACTCCTTGAGACGTTTAAAAAAGTTTTTACCACCACAAGCAGCAACATGGTGAGATATTATATCATGCTCTGCGTTACTGATACTGTAAAGACTTATCCATTTAGTATTATGAAATTGGATCGTTTGAATTTAATCAGTGATCTTATCGCGGAATTAGAAAAAGATACTGAATTTAATGACAAGATTATTAGATGTTTGAGACATATTTGCAAACACATGCCAATGTCCATGCTTTTGAAGTATTTAGACGGATACAATTTTATTCATTCACTCATTAGATACTGTCTCAATCACTATTATACTCCAAAGGATGACGTGTTGGAAAAGTTTTACAATAATAGCAAAGCTTCAAGTTCCATAGGTGGCTCCACTTCCAATAGTTTAAACTCATATAACTTTGAGCTTATTTATCACACAGTTCATTGTTTACTTTCCATTATTCACAATCATAATGGAGAATTATTAGCCAATATTGAAAATGGCAGCTCTCTCTATACACCAGTTAACGCTAACCAAATCGCAATCTATCAAACGAACTGTTTATCTAAATTCACTTTTGAAGACATTGCTGATATTGGAACCCTTTTGAAAGGAATTGTACAGTCTCCACTTCGCGAGTCAATTAATAATTGGAAGTATTCTGACCAACAACAACGCTCTTTGGAAGAATATGTGAGAGTTTTGCTTGTGTACATCAAGACTATTTGTGACAAGATTAATGGTAACGTATTTTTGAGAGAAATGTCACAAAAGGTTCAACTGCTCATTGAGCAAATATTACAGCAATCTTATGCTCAAATTGAATTACAAACAAACCCCATACTTGAAGCATACAAGACATTGGTAAGTAGTTTACACTAAATTTGAAAATCAAAAAGTGAATATGTTCCATGTGATCTAGTATTCCAAACAAAAAGATAGGGTACTACAGCTTACACGTGTGTTAAACTCCATGATTACCCATGACCAATCCAAAGTTACTGACGATTTGTATTACAAAACTCTCACAATTTCATCTAAATCACTTGTTGACTTAGAAAATGAGGAAAAGGAATTGAAATATAGAACTTTCCAACAATTATTGGCAACCTGTAACAACCTTAATACTCAAATATCAGATGACACGTTGGAAAAACTATTAGAATATTTCACCAGTATTTGTGACAAAAACACAGGATTGCTCTCAAAAGATCAATTCATTGAAGGAATGATGAACATTTTAAATATTAGAGATCGATTACTGATTGAAAACAATTATCAGTTATTTGATATTGACAACTCGGGAAAGATTGATTTCAGAGAATTTGTCGTAGGAATTGTTGTTGTGAATAATGAAATTGCAAAGAATGCAGCTGCAACACTCACAGATAGAGAGAAAGTTGTTTTGTATCAATTATTTTCTGTTTATGATTTAAATAAGGATAATATGATTACCTTTGATGAATTGCTGCAAATGAGACGATCTGGACAGATGGAAGGTATGAACAAAGCAATCCTCACCGAAGAAGAATTAATTCAAGACACAAAGGCTGTTTTTGAAAAGATCGATGCTGACCATAATGGCATTATTGATTTTAATGAGTTTGTTCATGCCGTAAAGAGTGGAATTTTGAATTTGTAAAGATCCATTCGATTTTTTGAAAGATTTTTTGTAAAACTGCATCTTACGGAATGCATGTAATTCTTTTGTCCCCATCATTGCCGTCTCACTGTTGGTTTGTGGTGTTGTAACTCTTAATTTCATTCCAAAAAATGTTAACTCAACCAGCAATAATCGCGTCCTATGGATCTTGGGAGTCTCCAATCTCGTCTGGTTTTATTGTGAGTACAGGCATTGGTTTCTCCGATCTACTGGCACATCCAACTGATCCAAACACTTTGGTATGGACGGAATCAAGACCACAAGAAAGTGGCCGTTGCGCTCTTGTTTGTTGCAAGCTTTCCGAAGGGGGGAGTGAATTCAGAGAAATATTACCTCCTCCTGACAGCAAATTGGGATTCTTCTCCTCACGCACTCGAGTTCACGAATACGGAGGTTCTGCATCCTTGATCACCTCCAAGTCGGAACTCTTCTTTACCAATTTTAAAGATCAATCTCTAAGGAAGATTCCAACTCTCTCCAGTAGTGGCAGCATTGAACAATCTCCTCCCGAACAAGTTTCATGTAAAGCAAATACGAGACACGCCGATGGAGTTTATGATGAGAAGCGTGCACGTCTCGTTTTCGTTCGAGAGGATCATTCCGTAATTAATTCTCACCACCATGAACCACAAAATTTAATTGTTTCACTGTTGGACTCAACAACTGATCGTGATCATGAAATCATTCTTGCTCAAGGCATGGATTTTTACGCCTTTCCACGTCTTTCAAATGATAGTTCTCGTTTGTGTTACCTTGCTTGGAATCATCCAAATATGCAATGGAACAATAGCAGTGTCTTTGTGGTTGATTTGGACCAAGATGGAAGACCCATTGAAAATACTCGAAAAAGAATCACTCATGAAGACAATGAAAGTTGCTCACAACCAAGTTTTTCACCCGATGGAGAATATGTCTATTTCATCAGCGATTATCCAACACAATATTGGACGTTACAAAGATATCACTTGAACAGTGATGCCGTAGAGAATTTAATGTCTCATACCAATAAGGTTGAAATTGGAGGTCCACTCTGGCAATTTGGTGCAAGTTCGTATGTGATCATTGATCATTCGAATTGGGTTTGTGCCTTTGATGGAAAGCTCTTTGTTGTGAAGAATAATCAATGGCAAACTGTCACTGACACTTCCTATACAGGTTTTAGATCCCTTCGCTTGTCTGCAGATCACAAAAAAGTATTTTTCATTGGCTTTTCTCCATCCTTGCCTACTGCTGTTTGTTGTTTGGATATTGAGTCTATGAAAGTTCGAGTAATTAAGGAATCTTCTAAACGTGACATTTCACATGACTTTTTGTCCATTCCTGAAAGAATTGAATTTCCAACCACAATGAATAGAACTGCATTTGCATATTATTTCCCTCAAAAGAATGGTCGATTTGTGGGACCAGAGAATGAGAAGCCTCCTTGTATTGTTTTCATTCATGGTGGACCCACTTCAAGTGTGCTCCTTGCTCTCAATTACAAGATTCAATATTTCACAAGTCGTGGCTTTGGCGTCTTGGATGTGGATTACTCTGGAAGCACAGGTTATGGCCGTGAGTATCGATTTAGACTTCACAAGAATTGGGGAATTGCAGATGTCGATGATGCATGTGCGAGTGTGGAATACTTGGTGAATAAGGGCCTAGCAGACGCCAATAAGCTCTGTATTAGTGGCGGTAGCGCAGGAGGATACACTGTTCTCGCTTGTCTCACTAAGAGAGACAAACAAGTATTCAAAGCAGGAGCATCATATTATGGTGTGGCAGATTTGGAGGCTTTGGCAAAGGAGACTCACAAATTTGAGTCGAGATATTTAGACAATTTGATTGGTAAATATCCAGAAGAGAAAGATCTTTATATTGAAAGGTCTCCCATTACTCATGTGGATCATTTGAAGGTTCCTCTTGCAATTTTCCAAGGTAAGTGTATGGTAATATAATTTTGTTGAAATGTAATGGTTCATCCTTATTGTTCATGATAATATTCTTATTATTAATGAATGGTGATGTCAATCTAAAATTGAATGCATACATTCCATCCAAAACTGTATAGGCGATGAAGATCAAGTTGTTCCTCCAAATCAAAGTGAAATGATGTACAAGGCCGTCAAGGAGAAAGGTATCCCTGTGAGTTATACTTTATTCCAAGGAGAGCAACACGGATTCAGAAAAGCAGAGAACATTAAGACTGCCATCGATGGAGAGTTCTTCTTTTACAGCAAAGTGTTCTCATTTCCACTTCCTTCAAGTCATCCACAAACACCTCTCACGATTGAAAATTTAAAGATTTAAAATGTGTGCGTTTGCATGTGTATGAATTTTTAAATGGTTTGAATGAAAGAATCTTGAATAGTGCATGCCAAATTTACCAATAATTTGGTTTGTCAAGTTCATGAGCATGCGGCCATACAACCAAAAAAAAATAAGAACCTGTTTCTCCTCGTATCCAATGGCTGTAAATAGAAGGCGCCAAACTGATCTTGCTAAGTGGTGGTGGCTCCAGTCCTCCTTATTATTAGTGATGATCATGGTGATGATGATCCTATTCGCAAATGTAAGTGCCAAATTATTCCGAATGGTGTACATCCATCATGATAACCATGCATGAACTTAGACATTGGTAAATGGTCAAAACAATTGCAAAACAGACATCTACTCGATTCCATATACTTCCTTTGTCAGCAAAGTGGTGGTTAATAAGGACAAGGATTTGCAATACAAAGTTCATGTGATCAAGAAAGAGGCTTCTCATGGACGATCAGCGGATCAAACTCCGATGGTAGAGGTTCAAGTTTCCTATGATCCCTCCTTACCGAATGGTGGTGTGGGCTACGTGGGTTACAAACTAGATTTTGTGAGTGGTGTCATGTCGCTTCAACTGCAAAAAGCCAACCAATCGAATTCGACTCCACTCGCATCGGGAAGTGTTCCAATCCATCCAAGCTTGTCCTTCAACAATAATTCTACTACTCGACCTAAACCCTCCAAATCAAAGCTCGTCTCAGCTGCATCTTCAGTGATGAGAGAAGGTGGAAAAATGTTCTGGTTGTTTGTGATCGTGTTTCTCTCGAGTGGAATGTACATGTTATTAGCGAAATTTAATAACCCAATCTATCCAACTTTGACTCTCACTTTGTTTGTTTTGGCATTGTCTGTGATCTTGACGAGCTTCTCACATGCAGATAGAGATGAGTTTACAGAAATCAAAAATGGTAAACTGGTGTGTGCCATTCCAACCATCACTGTTCTAATGCCACAAATATTTGAATTTGATGTCAATCAAGAAGATCCCTCATTGTCTCCACAATTCAAGACTGAAGTTAGTTTTTCGCCACAGCAATACACAACCTCATTTCAAAATGGCCGAGATGGATATAACGATGAAGAAGCCATAACTATCTCCACCATGTATATTGACACTTGGAATGAAATGAATGGCCAAACATTCTATGAGGATGATGTTGTATTTGTAGGTCACAATTCACAATATGAATCTCGTGTGCTGATGCGATTCTCAAAATTGCAAGGCAGACTCCCTCAAGGAGCTGTGGTGAGCTCAGCTTCTCTTGATTTAACATATATTGCATGGGTGAAAGGGTGTAAAATTCAAGTGAATTATCTCAACACTTCATGGATGGTGGCCCAAAAAACTGGATGGAGATTTAAAAACTATGCAAAACGAGAAGAGTGGAGCTCCCCAGGAGCTGCTGGAGATACTGTGTCTGATTCATATTCGAGAATGGAAAATCCGATGAGTGATATTGGAAATCAAATCAAATCAATTGCTCTTGATCCTTATATTGTCCAAAAATGGTTTGATAATAATACGGAAAACTATGGCGTCTTGTTGAGAGAGGTCCCTGGAACTTTTGTTAGACCAACCATATTTGGTGGAAATTCATCCATCGCCTACCGACCCAGATTGACAGTGACCTATCAATTTCAACCAATGAAACCACCTCAATATCCTATGGTGTTAAAAGAGATCCCCGTTAAATTCTTTGTTCAATCGAACACTTCTAATTGTAATGTCACGGCATGTGGAAATGATGACACAGGCTCTGGAACTATTACTGCACCATTCCGCTCTGTTGCTAAGGCCTTAACTTTAGCACAAAATGGTGATATCATTTTACTGAGAGAAGGGGTTCATGCAGGTGGTTTAACTATTGATCGAGAAAATATCACAATTCAAGCGTATGGCTTGGAAAAAGCTGTAATTGCAAGTCCTGTCAACAACCCTCAACAAGCCATTAACATTTTCTTGAGGAGAGGTTCTTCTGGAAGCGTATTAAGAAATTTAGAACTCATTGGAGGATTTGATTACAATATTAGAATAGAGTCATCAATCGATTGGGGAGGTAACAATGCAAAATTTGGAGCTTCTAATATTGTTATTGAGAGATGTAAAATTCATGACAGTGGATATCACTTGATCAAGATAGACTCTCTTTGTAACAATATTATCATTCGTAATAGTGAACTGTACAACAGTGGAGTACGTGTGAGAACTGGAGGCTCAGCAATTGTTCTCTATGACACCTATTTGACACGAATTCAAGATAACATGATACATGATACCATGGGGTCAGCGATCATGATAAAATCTGGTGCTAGAAATTCAATTGTGGAAAGAAATTATATTTTGAATAGTTACGGAGCTGGTGTGTTGGTCGGATTCTATGAAACAAGCGAATACTTTTCTGATCCTACTCAAAACCCACTTTACTACCAAGCTATCGATTCCATTGTTAGAAATAATATCATTGCCAACACTTCAGGAGCTGGTATTGGGTTATACTCTGCTAAAAACCCACAAATTGTTTTTAACACAATTTGGGCAGCAGCAAAAGACAATCAAGCAGCAATTCTCATCAATTTAGTACAAACATGGGTATCTAATTCCTATTCACCAATTACTCCTTGTATGAATGTCACAATTTCTAACAATGTTATTGCTACAGCAACAGATAGAATTATTGAAATTCGAACACTGACAAGTTATGTCGACGATTCCATCGTTGGTGGTCTTGAAGGACAATCTCTCAATGTATCTTACAACAGGTATTACTCTCTTCATCTTGGAAGCAGTGGTGGAGTTTTTTCTGATCAGAGAAACACCATTGGTTATGTGGGAGGCTTTTCAGGATGGCAATTTAAATACAATGATATTGGAAGTAGTGAAGGGAATCCACTCATCGATACGGTTGCCTTTTATCCTCAATACTCATCCCCTCTCATCTATAATGGTGTTGAAATTCCTGGGATCATCTCTGATTATTTTGGAAGACCCATGATCAAGGGGAAAATATCGATTGGAGCTTTACAATTCATGAATGATGGTTTTAGTGACGATCCAACCATGAAATATTGCATCACAAACATTATTTACAGAGAACCTTATCGCGGTTTTGCTCCCCCAAAGGACATGTTACCTACATGGACCCCACCAACCACGTATCGAGTGATTTATGTTTCTCCGACAGGAAGCGACTCCACAGGAAATGGAACGATTGAAAATCCTTACAAAACAATTCGTAAGGTGACTGATGTTGTTTTCATGAAAGACAATGATATTATCATTTTAAGAGGAGGTACTTACAACGAGGGAGGAATCACAATTTCATCCAACAATGTGACCATTAAGGCATTTGCAAACGAAGTGCCAGTCATCACAAGTCCAATGAATGATGCTACTCAAATGAATATCTTTAAGATTTACTCCAAATTTGTCACTTTAGAGGGTCTGGAAATAATTGGAGGCTTTTATTATGGTGTCATGGTTGAACTATCCGATGTGGTGATTTACAAATCACGAATTCATCACACAGGTTCCGATTGTATCAAGCTGTCTCCCTTCTCCAAACGAATAACCATTTCAAAGAGTGAAATTTACAGTTGTGGTAAAAGAACAACCTACCAACAAGGAAATCCAAACCAAGGTGCTGCCTCTACCGATGCCATTCGAGCGGTTAATGTTGATGATTTAGTGGTTTCAAAAAATTATATTCACGATATTACTGGAAGTGCTGTCAAAACGCAAGGAGGAGGGCAAAGAGCTCTCATTGAGAGAAATTTAATTCTCAATGTTCAAGGATTGGGGATTACAGTTGGATTTTACGAAGAAACTCAATATATGGATCCAACTCAAAATCCAGACTACTACGAAGCCATTGATGCTGTTGTAAAGAATAACATTATGGTCAATGTTCAGGGCGCTGGTATTGGTTTGTATGCTTCTAAAAACAGTAAGGTCCTTCACAACACTTTGGTAAATGTAGCCCTCTCGATGCAAGTACCAATCTTAATTGTTGCAAGCTCTCATACCATGAATTCTGTGCAGTCGAGAGGTCAGTCGAATCATGCTCCTGTCATCCTTAATAATATTATTCAACTCTCTGAAGCTGGAATTTCTCAATTAATTTATGAAGTGAGAGTTCAAGATGGAGATGGGCTTGACAATTCTCAACTGTTATCCAACTTCAACATGTATTTCAGCAATTACAATAATTACCATGGAAATTCTCAAGCTTCTATTGGCTTTCTTGACAGAAGATTATCATCCTTCATTGCCACGTCCGATTTAGATTCATGGAGAGAACATATCCATGGTGACTACAACTCTTCCATTACAGATCCATTCCTTGATTCCAATTTGAAGATTAGTTCTAATAGCCCCGCTCGAGGAAGTGCATGGTACTTGCCAGAGGTGACAGAAGATTTTTATGGAAATGTAAGAACGCCACTCAGCAATGATATCGGAGCATTGATGTATTCAACAGACATGGCCAATTCATCAACCTCTGCATTTCCTCCTCCATTATCTAGCATTATTCAAACCACCTCGTCGAATCAGTGTACCAATTACTCGTTTACAAATCCTGGTACATTCTACGTGGATAATGTCAATGGAAGAGATGGAGACTGCATGGGAACCTTCTCGAATCCTTTCAAAACCATTAATCAAGCCTTAACTGTTGCACCTCCGGGTTCAAATATTACTCTTCGATATACTGGTGTTTCGTATAATGAAAGTCTTTCTGTTCGTACCCCTGCATTAAGAATTTCCACTTATGAGAATGATCCGAAAGAAGCTTTAATTGTTTCATCCATTTATAACTCATTCATTCTTCATACGATTCGATTTGAATCGACTGCCATTGGAGGTTCTCTAGAAAGACTTGAAATTCAAGGAGGATTCTTCTACACAGTGAAAATTGATGCACACCAAGTGAGAGTGAAAAATTGTATCATTCACAATTGTGGTACCAAATGTGTATTCGTTTTGAAAGCCAATAACGTGACTCTTACCTCAAGTGAAGTCTATGACTCGGGATCAAGACTTCCAGCAGAAGGTGAAGGAGTGCATGCCTTGGCTTCCCACCAATTCACATGTTCTGATAATTACATTCATGATATTGCTGCGGATGGAGTCAAAATTGAGGGAGGATGTAGGGAGAGCTCTATTGAAAGAAATGCAATTTCTAATGCAGATCGAGGAATTTTAGTAGGAGGAAGAACGGATGCCATTCATTTGTTTGATGCCACTAATTCTGAGCTATTCGAAAGTATTGATGCTGTTGTGAGTAATAACATCTTAATGTCTCTGTTTGGCGTGGGAATTGGAGTGTATGGCTCAAAGAATGCACTTGTGATTCACAATACCATTGTGGATGCATCACAATCGAATCAAGTGAGTGCCCCTCTTCATGTGACAAGCACGCTTCATCGAAATGGTGTTCTCACACCTGTTGAAAATCCTGCGATCGAGAACAATCTTGTGTACAATTCAGAGACGTTCTCATCTCCATTGTTTAGAATTGATGAAGGGTTCACCTACGAATGCGTCCGTTACTGGCAGTTCCATCACAATTAACAATAATTTGTATTTTAACAAGAACAAGACTGGTGTCTTTCAGGATGGAAGGAAAAACACTGCATTCGTTGCAGGTTTGGCAACTTGGAAAATCAAAATTCAATCCTATTTTTCGGGAAATAATGAAGCAAACAGTGTAGAAGGAGACCCTCAGCTCAATGCACAAAATTTGTCACCATCTTTAAGTTCAATTGCTACCCATGCAGGCCGATCTTCATTTATTGATGTAGATTTTTATGGACATGTAAGAAATCCAAGCTCCATCGACATTGGTGCTGTCATTTCCACTAACAACGGTGTGCCTTTATCAAAGACTTCTCCTCGAACTCTGCCTTTTAATATTTCACAAATTGCAATCGTAAAGAGTTCTTCCGTTCGATATCCTCCAACAGGAAATCAAAAAACCTGGTCAGTTCCTGGATACACAACCGACGACTCTGCTGTGTTTGATCTTTCTTCATGTCCAATATTCCTTCCTGACCATCCATTTAATCAGGACATTTCCAATCTACCAGTTCATCCTCGATCGGATGCGTTCATTAACAATGTTGCAAGAAAGTATTTACATGCTGATTTTGGAACGACCTACAATGGAGCCCTTAATGGAATTCCTTATGTGATTGTGACAAAAGATCAACCTAAAGTTGAAATTCAAATGACATCCTATGCATCAGAAAGCGACGTTGGTCCTTATCCTTTCCCTGAGGGTGCGCCAATTGAGGGTGGTCCAAATTCAAATGGAGATCGTCACATCCTTGCAGTTGATAAGGATAATTGCAAACTTTATGAAACATGGAGAACATTCATCATTGATAAGCAATATCGTGACACCACTGGAGGTGGAAATGTCTTCACTGCCGAAAGTGGCGCCATTTTCAATTTGAACACAAGTAAGGCCTATCAAAGGCCCTTAGGATGGACGAGTGCTGATGCAGCAGGTCTCCCAATTTTCCCCTTGTTGGTCCGATATGATGAAGTAGTTGAGAAAAAGGAAATTATGCATGCCATTCGATTCACAGTGGTGAAATCTCAGAAGGCCTACATTTCCCCAGCTTCACACTTTGCCTCTTCTCTCACAGATCCCAACCTCTTACCTATGGGAGCAAGAATACGAATGAAAGCATCCTATGATTGTTCGAGTTATTCTGAGGAGGTACAAGTCATTTGTACAGCACTGAAAAAGTATGGTGCAATTTTGGCTGATAATGGACAAGACTGGTACTTGAGTGGAGCACCACATCCATTGTGGAATGACAATCATTTGAATGATATGAAAAAGATTCCTTCGAGTGCTTTGGAGGTTGTGTACACAGATAAAACTTGTTTGGACGCTGCGTGCACGAGTTGGAGAGATGAGCTACAAGGATGAACACATGCATGATGAACTTATCATGATGTTATTGTGCCGATTCATGATCAAAAGACTTGTCCATTGATTCTATTTTATGAATTGTGATTACAAGAGATTAGTCCAATCAATGGTATTAAGGACATCATCAATTTCATCCATTTCTGATATGTTTAGATCTTGGGCCTCTTGACAATTTGTGTGAGTGGTAGTGAGACGACAATGTATTTCTCTAAGTTGTCTTATTAATGGACACTGCCCTTTTGGAAACAAGTCAGAAAGCTTGCAAGATTCTGTACAGAACGAAACCACGCGAGTTTTTTGCATTCTTTTGAAGAAGATTCTTCCTTTCTTCTAAATTCATCAATCCAAACAAGGCAAAAAATTCGAACTTTTCTTTTGTGAGATCACACTGTGCTTTCAATACAGCTACAATTAATTTTCTATTGCTTCCACAGTTAGCTCCAATATTCGGAAATTGAAGTTTGACCGAATGAGCAGAGAGAGGATCATGTCTTCCCACGTGCAATACAGGATCAATGAATTGTTTGAATTTTATCTTGTACCCGTCTGTGGCGTCAATCAGCAACACACATGATAGATGTTTCACCACTCGAATCTTCATGTCTTGAGAATGAATTTGCGCAAAACTATTTCTCAAGTCATGAACCTCTTTAAACAGGGTCAATGTTGCTTTCTGAGGAACTATCATTCTCGTTTTTTTTAATTTGATGTTATTCGAAATACATTATTATACAAACTGCAACGTCCAATGAAATGTAAAAACCGTGAAATCGCACGTCTCATTGTTCAAACAATGAATAGTTCGAATTTTTTGCCAATAGTGTTCCTTCCAAGTATACTTTTAAGGGCACCCTTAAAAAAATGAGTTCCAACTCCACCTCTGGCCATCCTCATTTGTTGTCCAGAAGCGAATATGCCTCTTCACCTCCACGAAGGTATTCCTCACTGTATGGTGAGAGTCATAGAAAGGAAAAGAACACCTCAAAAGTATCGGAAATGGTTGTTCATAGCAGGGAGGAATGGAAATCGGTTAGAGAACCTTCTAGTTCCGATGAAAAATTGTCGTCCCCTCCAACTACTTCTCCGTCTTCAAAGAAATCGACCCCTTGTCGGAACCCTTCCACCGCAAATTTCGTTACCAAAATCACACTCCGGAAGAGGATTCCAGACAACCAAAATCCTCCAAAACGGAAAGGGCATACATTGACAGAATGGAAAAACAAAATATATTTATTTGGAGGATATCAAGGATTCCATTCAAATGATTTGTGGTGTCTTGAATCCAATAAGTGGAAGAAGATCGAGGTTGCGGGAGTTCTTCCTCACAAACGATCTAGTCATTCAGCTGTAATTTACAAAAATCATTTAGTAATATTCGGTGGAGATAAAGGTGATGAGCTTCTAAATGACATTTGGATTTTGGATTTAACAAAGGAAGTCGAAGAAATGAGGTGGAAAAAAATTGTATCAAAAAACATACCTCCAAAACCAAGATACGCACATAGTGCTGTGGTAATGAATGAGAAAATGATAGTATTTGCAGGATATGGAGGAGAGTATTTGAATGACATGTTTGAATTTGATTTTAAAACATTATTGTGGTCACAAATTCATAATTTCCTTTCACCTCCTGCTAGGTGTCACTTTACTTCGGTGGTTCTCCCCGAGCATAACCTATTGGTCGTGTACGGAGGTTCTAATGGAGAGTCATTAAACGATGTGTGGGTGTATGATGGAAAATGGACTTGCATTCAAGAGTCCAAAGACACCTCGTGGTTAAACAATGCATGCATTCCAAGCCCAAGATCTAAGCATGCTGCTGTAAAAATAAGCTCCAACACACTTTTGGTGTATGGAGGAATGACAGGATTATTTAAGGACAATGTGATTTGGACATTAACAATTTTTTTTGAAAGTGAAGGACAGAAATATTCACCAATTTGGAAACGGGTGGATCTTTTGGTACCTGAAAACTTTTCTCCAAGAGACTCTCATGCTATTTGCATGTCGGGAAAAGAGCTCATTATTTTCGGAGGATATGGAGAAACATCCTACCTGAATGACATTTGGGGAGGAGAAGTAGTCATCTCTGACTCAACGAACTCTAGTTTTTCATCACTACAAGAGCTCAATCTTTCTCGAATATCTGAGCCATCCATAACAGTTGATGATGAATTGGCAAATGAAATAATTCAAAGATTAAACGGAATGACTGCAAGAGAGAGCAGCATCTCACCCATTAAAGCAACAATGGAATCTGCTTATTCAGAAAATTTGACTCCAACAAGGAAGGCAGAAGAGGAAGCAGAAAAAAGCAAACAGGAATCTCTTGAACAAGCATTTCAAAAGATACAACTCCTAGAAGAAACTGTCATTGAACTAAGTGATATGGTGCAGCAGCTCGCAGTTTCCTTAGCCAATGAATCAAAGAAGAGGTCCAACCTTCAGAAAGAAGTTTCAACTTTAAAGCAAGCTCTGCATAACCTCACCTACTCGATCAATATTTGACCAATTCCTTTTAATAATGGAAAATTCAATAAAAAATCAAAAAATGAGTTCCTTCTCTTTTGGTGGTGGTGCTTCTGCATCATCATCATTCGTACCAACAAAGAAATCAACCCGAACAAAGCCTAAATTTACTCCCACAAATGAGAAAGATCCTTCTAATCATCAAAATTATGATTTTCAATCCATCACCAAAATGCCCTTCTATGCAAATTCTTCTTTCGAACAATTACGATATGAAAATTTGATCGAGAAGAGAAAGAAGCAAAAAACCAATGATGTCAAATCCGATGCTCAACTTGTATGGAATTTGTTTGAAAAAAAGATGGTGCGTGGAGAAGAGAGGATCAAATCAAATGGATCAGCTCTAAATTTTAATTCCATTGCATCATCGTCGTCAAAAACCAATTACATGGCCATAGACATTGCTTCATTGTTTATGAATTGTGAAAAAACCAATTGTGATGAAATTGAGTCGAAAATGGCTGATTGCAAAATTGTGTTTGATTCATCTCTCACCGACGTTTTTAATTGTCACAAAATTATTTTGATTTGTAGATCTCCTTTTTTCAAAAGGTATGAAAATTTTATGGTATTTTGACAACTTTTAACCGCTGGGTTGATTCCCTGTTTGACTATATTGATACTGACACTACTGGGAATACAGATTATTTGAGGCTCATCCAAAGTGCGAAAGTCTTTCCTTTCCATCAATTTCGAAAAGTGTTATGAAATCAATTTTACAATGGATCTACTGCGACATGATAGATTCAGAAATTCCTGACGAGATTTTTATGGATTTGGTTCATGGATCTCTAATCTTTCATCAAAAACCTCTGTTTAGACATTTAATAGATTCGATTCCTGATCATTCATCCAAGATTTGGGAGTTGCCTGAACAAATTGAAAATCAACCTCTTAATATTGAAGTGATAATAGACAATCAGCCAGTAACTATTTCTTATGCATCATCCTATACAGAAGATATTAAGAAAATAATTATCGAGCACAATACCAAGTCTAAAAAGGCATTTGTTTACAACCTCGAGAGCGACCTTAAATCAGGAAAAATTGCTGATTGTAACCAAAAAATGTTCTTCCAGTCAGTCCTTCCCTCTATTGAATGTGAATCAATCACTCTTTCACCTGTTGCAACTGCAGGTCTCTTGAAAATGGCCAAAGATTTCGCAATGGAGACATCCCAAAAAAGAAAGTTATTGAATGTTGTGTTTTCACGTGGCACCTGTTTTCAGCAAAAGAAGTGGCAAAACTTTGGAAAAGAACTTGTGGATGAAGATACAAGCGACAAGGCTGTCGATTTGCTTTTTGAGTGCATGATTGCTGATGGACCAATTAAATAAAGAAAATTTATGTAGGATATTTACACCGATCTGGTTGTTTTGAAGAATTGACGCAAAACAAACACTTGTCCAACAGCCATCACTACAATACCAATCATTTCAGCAATACCCCAAAACATAACCTTTGTGTTGGTGGTTTCAGCTAAATCTCTGTGACTTTCTTCTCTCGTACGATAGAATTTTTGCTCCTGTTGAATTTCTGATAGACCCTCTGTAAGTCTTAAAACTGATTTTACAATAGGATCCTTTTCATCAAGCTTTGTAAGATTTGGGTCGAAGAGATCTCCGACATGAATTTCAAATGTAACTGTCTTTGATGTCAATTTTGACATTCGATTAGAAAAAACAAAACTTGTATCGTCCGACTTCTACAGCTGTGAATGTATATTTTCCTTCTGTCTCTCCTTTACTCTCATGGACTAAAACACCGTTTGGTGATGAAATAGTTAAATCAATATCCAAGTAGCCTCCGCTTGACACTTGGAATTGTAAAAGTACTTTTGCCTGATGGAGGATTAATGGATTATTCATTTGCGTTCATCAAAATTCCGAAATTTGAACAATATAATAAATTATCATTTTGTATCATAACACACAAAATAATACATGTAAATTTCATCAAAACATCAAAACATCAAATTTCGTTCACGATCACTCGTTTCCGAATCATTCAACAGCACTTACATTGGGCTTTTTAACCTCCTCCCAAAAACATTGTTCACTCAACGGATCAATCTTTACCGATAAAGCATCAACAAAAACTGACGAGTTCATCATCAAAATAACCATCACAACAGCACCAAATGCAATCCACAAAGCCAAAGATTCTCTTGCACGTGGCATTTTTTTTTATTTGTTTTTATTTTTCGATTCATTAATATAGATTTTAATTCGACTAATGAATTGGACAATAGTGAAGGGTGTGAATGATTTTGACACAAAACCAATCATGTTGTTGCAACCAAATAAATGATATTGTTTTTTGAGGTTTTTTTGTATGTATTGTATTTATTGTAAAAAAATGCTCAAAGACAGCAGCCAGCTTTTGCATCATCACGGAGGTGGCGGCCTGATTCAAACGAGCCATTTGGTAGGAAGGACTATCACTAGCCATCATCACGAAAATTTAAAACCGTGTTATTATACATTCTTTTCCGATGATGGGACTTCTCCTCTTCAAAACTTAGCAACGGCTTCAAAACAGTCTAAATTTTCTTCTCCGAATTTGGGTTCTGGTGGTCCAACAGCTGGAGGAGGTACTTCATCCATTCCACATTTTATTAGTAAACAAGAAAAGGATCGATTGAAGCTAAACTCTAAAAAGACTGTTAGCTTGGCGTTTATAGGAATGGGAAATGAAAATGCAATGGAAATTACAAATCAAATTCTGAGAAATCCAATCTTTTCTGAAAAAAGAAAAGAAAGTTTCGGCACAGGTCATCATCAGCAATCTGGCTCTGATGGGTCAAGCTCTTTTCCACCAGATCATTCCAAAAAGCATCATCAAATTTCGATAGATTCCTATCATGATGTCGATCAAGAACGAGTTTATTTATTTGCTGACCTTATGCAAAAATCGGAACATTGCAAAACTTTTGTAGAACAGTTTCTTCCAAGCAAAATATCGCATGCAAGCCAAACTAATAATGGTTATCAAAATATTTTGGCACCAAACACCAATCATGCTTATGATTTGGAACATTATGATGACTATGAACGTGTGCTTCAAACTTTGTTGTTTTTATTCCAAACTTGTCACATGATATTCTTTATTTTCCCAACATCACAGGTGAATGGAAGTGTTTGCTCTAATCTACATCAAAACCTTCTCTCTTTATTTAGAACTCTGCAAATCAGCAAGCAACATATTAACTCTAAGATTATAGACATCCATCAAGAGAAGACAGCTTCTAGCGAGAATCCAACAATGAATATGATAACTACAATTCTTGGAAGCGGTGTTATGTCCTCCTTGTATAGTCCTGGAAGAGTATTACCCGTAATTTCTTTCATATTTGTTCAGGAAAAAAGCCAATGGGATAAAATGGTATTGGAATGCCAAAACAAAAAAGAAAGCTCTTTCGAAGATGTTGGAGAATACATGATTAATAGAATGCAAACAAGTCTAGAAAATCAAGTGAGAAATCATATCTTGAAAAAAGGAAAGTTTTCTGGCACAGATATGATCAAAACTCCATTATTCATGCTTGATCCTCAGACATGCACATTTGTAATAGTCGACAAAGAAGCATCTGAAACCTCGAGTTTTAGCACGAAGGTATCATTGGATCAATCAAGAAAGGTACTATTTTCGTTGAGTGAAGTTTCAGATATTGAAACAAAAAAGACCAAAACTGCGTCAAACAAACCCAAAAAGCAACATGATTCTCAATCTGAAAGTTACATTGGAACCATCAAAATAGTCAACTTTATTCAAAAACAAATTGACTATTTTATCAAACAAATGCAGGCTGGAAAACGGTTTATTTTACCGACATCCTTAAATTGGTATCAAGCCACATTTGCCTTTGAAGAACTTTTTTCGCTTAACAATGATGAATTGCAGAAGGTGTTGGTGGAGAAAACCAAGGATATTATACACCCTACCTTTTTCTTCTCTGATAAGCGCTGTTCTCATGCACTCAAGCTAGCCACAGAAAACTTTGCCCAAAAGTTGCCATCAGCTCAATCCAATAATGCAAAAATTCTTGAGATTGTGAATGATTCTATCACCAAGTATAACACTTTTGCGTGTGGCTATTTTACTCAACATTATTATCAACAATTGCAAGCATTCCTTCAGTCCAATACTCCAAAAGCGGTTTCAACTCAACAGTCCAATTTGATTTCCTATCAATTTTATCCAAATTGTCCTGTCTCACAAATTACTGTTCAAAAAATTGGAGATTTTGCATCTATGAACGGTAGAAATGGAGCCTTTAGACGTGGAAATCAAATTATCAACTTTATCCAGGTTCATACTATGCTTTCAAGAGAAAGGTACAAACGAAAAAAGAAGAAACTGGCTCATGAGCAAGACAATGAAGGCAATGACACATTTTTGGTAGCCCTCGAATATGAAACTCCAAGAAAAGACTATGTATTGACTCTAGATCAACTTTGTCAGCTCTATAAGCAATCATATCCTCAAGAGGCTGCTAGCGCATTAGAAATGGTTCAAAAAACCAATATTCCACTATTTTTACCTTCGAATTGGTTCTTGACTGAAAAGAAGAGCTCTATTGCAAGACTTAAACAAGTTACAATTGGAATACCTGACGTGGATTTAACAAGTACTTTCACTTTCTCACCAAAAATTTTTGTCACACCAAAGCCACAAGATGCCACTTCAGCACCAAGTGCCTCAACTAATCCACCCAATGTCCAACCAAAGATTTATCCTCTTTATCACGTTAAGCAAGGCATTGTTTTTGGGAGAAATCAATTTGTTAGCATAGTCTTGGATTACGATAGCTTGCAAATGAACAACTTTGAAGATCCCACTCAAATTTTACTGCAAGCTGGATCCATTCAAATTAATTAAGGATATAATTTTCTGCGTTGCATTTCCCAGTTGAGAAATTGATCAATATGTGAATTTCTTTGGAGCTTTATGCCCATTGCTTAGTCTTGAATTTGTGCTAAAGCTCATCGAAATTTGATTATCTTTTTATATTTCCATACAGTTCGTCAGACATTTAGGAATAACCGTTTTCCTGTTCATCCATTGAGAATGGTGTTTGGAATTAAGAATGGAGTGGTTTAATTGACATGCAATAAATTTGTTTGACAGTAATGTCAATACCTCTTTATTGTACACGACGGCTATTTCTAATGCTATTCAATACATTGCGAGCATCTTGATAACCAATATCAATCATTTCTTCAGAATGGTCGAATCCAAGGAACCATCCAGGCAACCATTTAGAGGGCTGTCGAAAAGTGTTATTGGAGGAGTTGTGTAAAGTTAACAAAATATGACATGTCGTCGATGACAACTACTCTCTACTTACTTTGAAAATTCTAAAAGTGACCTTGTTGCCAAAAGCAATTTGAGCATTAGTAATATCCTTGGTAAAGATATCATCCACCACATTGAACAAAGTTCTCAACAAGATGAAAGGAGTTGTTTGAATGTTTTCCAAATAATTGGCAAACTGAAAATCTCCAATAGCCAAAATGACATCCACATTGACATGTGAAGCATTGGTAAACTTGAAACATTCAGCAATGACATCTATGGCAAACCATGAATGAGTTGAGTATTTGAATTTCATTACAAACTTACCAGAAATAGGAGTCATGTATTTGGCTCCACCATCCACATACAATGAACCTTTCATTGAAACTGCTTCCAACACTCCAGGCACAGCAGAAGATGCTCTTGTTGCCTCCACAAGATCATCTTCATTCAATTGAATAAATATTTACAAATTTGAATTCACATGTGTGAAATTTTGAAAAGTTGAATACAACATCATTAAATATTCCACCAGCATTTTCAAAATCAACAATATCACAACCATTATATGCAAACACACTCAAAAATTCACTCACACTTTCTACTTACCAGTATATTGATCAAATTGTTCATACTTGTTCGTATTCAAATTAGTTGCACCCATCAATATTCTTCTTCCTGAGTTTCTAATGCTTGTCAAATTCACATTTCTAGTGAGAAACTTGTGAAGTGGATCTGTATTGAAAAGAGCTGTCTTGAATAAGAAACCTTGAGCAATTCCAAGTGGCCAATTTTTGTAAACATCTGAAGCAGTGAGAGAAGTCCAATGACGAAGGAGAAAATCCAATCCTTGTCTCTCTTGTCCAATGGGGAATTGTCCAAATCCAACACTTTTTAATGGTTGTTATGAGTGAGAGGATGTGACATTTGACAATGTTGGACTTACCTGTTGATCGAACCAGCACTAATACCACCAATGACTTGATATTTCACTTGATCAGCTGGTAAATTCTCAACTGTCGTGTTATGTGAATCAAATGTTCAATACATCATCATGATCAATTGAATCATAAAGTTGATCAATCAGTTGTTATCAGTCATCATCATGACAGAACCAAATCAACACACAAACAAAACCTACCCAAATACTTTAACACACCAGCTTCATAGGCTATTATAGGTGCGTGCACAATATCAATTGGTATTATTATATTTCATCATTTGAAAATATGTATTTCATCACCACAACATCATCGTGACAAAGGTTGAATTTTCAAGAAGTTCAGTAAAAACAAACGAAATCAAATCACACACTCACCTCCACGATCGCCACCTCCTCCCAATGCCAAAGCTCTACAAACGGATCCATTCTCATTGTTGGCCAACGTGTTTGTTGTTGTTCTTGCTTTAATATTTCCCTTCAAGAGTGTTGGAATGCCTTTCACGAGATCAACCGAAAAGAAGAATAGAAAAGAAGAGATGGCAAGAAAGAAGGCAAGGAAGAACACTGATGATGTAGCGGCACACAAGGAAGATGTTTTCATCATCTGTTGTTGTGGTTGTGGTTGTTGTGGAGACGGAATGGAGTGATTCTTTTTGTAATGATGAGTTCTGAACCACTCTGGAGGATACTCATTTGAAAATGAATAATGCCATGCGGAGGGTTCAACGATTGCCGGAATTCATTCATTGTGAGATGGAGTTCATGTTGAACCTCTCGGAAATCGAATCCTTTGATTTCTGAAGGTGGTAGTAGAGGTTGTGGAATATCGGGAGTCCTCTCATGAAAACTTTTGAAAACAATAAGAATGAGTTTTGAAATGGGCTGAAAGAAGCTTCTTTTTCGTTTTTACAAAAACTCATCAAAATCCACAAAAAAAATGAAGTCTTTTCTTCCTTGTCAGTCTCATCGTTGTTGTGTAAAGCCTTCTTCTTTTTCTTCGGGATTGTTCCAATGTGCAGGCTTGATGAATGGAAAATTAACCTCCTCGTTGAAGATTGTATTTCCGTCAAATGAAAAATGGACAAGTAGCCATCAAATGGCAATGAGAGAATATTCGTCTGATTCTCGGAAAGTTATCGGCAATACGAATGTAGGGAATGTTTCAAATGCTATCCATAGGAATATTTCTTCTCAAAATTTTCACATCAATTTACGAGTGAATGAGTCGGCTCATGACTCTTCTGGAGCATCATTTGAAAGTTTAATTGACCAAGTGAAAAGTATCATTCCTCAAAATGCTCGGGAGCTTAAATATGAACCATCAAAAGAGAAGCAAGATTATATTTATTCTATTGTTCAAAAGATTCAATCTTTGATTAACGAAAAAAGAAATTTGTCAAGTGAAATAGAATGGAATAACAAGCTGAAAGAGTTAAACCTTGCTAATTGGGAAAAAGAGCTGTACGGATTGAAACTTGAAAATACTATTGATATTTTGTTAGCCATATTTTACTATCATCAGTTTGGTGGAAATTTAAGAAACAAACCACTCTACAATAACATTTTTTCTAGCATTGATCATGCAATTCAAACGAATGGACAAGATACTTGCCCCTTGTTATATCACTTGAAAGGAATGTTCCTACAAAAATACGCAAGAGATATCTCACTTCCAACATTTAAACAGGACGAAGCAATGCAGAAGTGTAAAGAAGGCATACAATGTTTTGAAAACGCACTCAACATTTATGAAAAAAAAGGAATTACCAATAAGGATATACCTCATAGCGAAAACGATTTGCTTCATTACTATACCATTCACAGTGATGTTGCAATTTTAAATTTATGGCTTTCTAACATGTACAAATCATTGGCATATGTGAAACCAAACATCCCTCAAGAATTGGGTGACCTTAGTGAAGTGGAGAAGGAATTCCGAAAAATGATGGGCCAACAAATGTCGCAACAAGCCATTCAGGAGTTTGTGGAAAGCAAAATGAACAGAGTAACGAACACCCCTCCAGTTACAGTAGCTGACATGGAAAAGGCCTATTTAACAACAGGAGAAAAGGCGCTCCAGCATTTTAGAAAATCTTTCGAGTATGTGAAAGAAGCAAAGGCTGTTTTTGCATATGCAGGAGCCTTATTCCTGATGGAAAACCCTGTCGAAGCTGCGGAGGGATATGCCATGCTGCTCGAGAATGACAAAAAGCTCTATAATGAGCTGAAAGAAGAAGCTCTTCAAAAAGAAGCTATTTGCAATTATGCGTTATGCCTGTTTCATTTAGAGAATTTTAACAAAGCGATTGAGGTATTGCAAGATGCTGTTTCTCACCAATTTGCAAACGAAGCCCCACTGCAGGTGCTCCTTCTTCACCTTAAGGTACAACAAGATCCTCAACAAATCTCTGCCGAGAACTTCCCTAAAATACTTGAGCAAATGAAGCAGTATTTCTATGCACTTGAACAATTAGAACGCGAGATTCTGAGGGGAGACATGAAAAAACCTGGTTACGACCCCAAGCACATTCAATTTTTTAAGCAAATATGCACCATTTACTTGTCAAATAATAATAAATAATGTTGTTATTTCTTCTCGGATTTCTTTTCAGGTTTCTTCACATCTGGAATTGCAACCTCACCGCCAAATGAAATAGCGTCGATTTCTTTTTGTGAGAGTTTCTTTCTTCTATATTGAGCTGGTATGTCGCTCAAAGATTCATAGTAAAAAGTAGTGCCACTAACTGTTGGTGCAGAAGGAGTAGAAGGTTTTGTTGTTGGTTGTGATGAAGGTTGTGGAGTAGCAACAGTTGTTTTTGGTTGTGATGATGTTGCTTTGGATTTCATTTCTTGCTCGATGAGATCTCTCTTTCCGTATCTAAACTTAATCATTGGTTCTCTCTTATGATGTTCCGAACGAGGTGTTGTTGAAGTTGTTGTTGCAGGTGAAGCAGGCTGAGAAGGTTTTGCTTCGGATGTGGCTGCTGAGGAAGATGCTGCTCCAGCTGTATCAAGAACAAATAGGTCACTTCCAACTTCAACTTTTTCTCCAACCTTTGGAACCAAAATCTTTGTAATGGCACCACTTTGAGGAGCTTTCACTTCGGCCTGCACCTTGTCGGTATCGATGGCTACAACAACTTCATCTTCTTTACAAGAATCTCCTTCCTTTTTAAACCAAACAGCAATTTCACCATCACGAATCGATTCACCAAGAGGAGGAACTTTCACAGTTATGCTTTCAAATCTCATATTGTTTACATCTGATACAGTCATCGTACCAGTGCGTCCGATCAAAGATTTCGATGGAGAAGCTTTTAATCCGAAATTATTTGTCCATGATGATGATACAATCTTGTTATTATTCTTATGATGGATTGAATACGAACGCAAGCCAACAACACTGCGACCTGTTGTAGCAAGGATTTTGTTTGAGCGTGAAGCAACCAGTCTGGTTGAAAACAACATTTTTTTGTCGCTTAATTTCCGTTCAATTTTCCATATCCAACATTTATGCTCTGACAATCAATTTTCAAAAGTGTACGAGTATTTAATCAGTTAATTAGTCGAACTGAATAATTATTATTTATTATTGGGCGAGATTAGATGTCATTATTATTGCAAAAAAGGTTTCACTTGCTCATACCCTGGATGATCAACTGTCAATTCTCCTTCATAATATCGCGAAACAACAGATTCATTCAAAAGCTTCATTTCCACAAATAAATTCAGTAGAGGTTTTAACTTGTCAAACTTTGCACGTGTACAGCATGCATGTTGGGCAATACCAATCAATGAACGTTCATAGTCCTCCTCTAACTTTTCTCGCACTTCCTCTAACAAAATTTCTCTAAACTCTTCAACGTTTGCAACAGGGTCCTCATTACATTTTGCATGCAAAATTCCTGATAGTATTTGTTCGTCTGATAGAACTGCAATAAAGTCGGTTAGTTGAGACTTTTCCTTTTCGTTAACACATTTGTTGTAATAAATGGATGGCTCAAAGCATCCGTAACCTTTGTCTTCGATAAATGAGCAGAATTTTGCATATGTTTCTCCGGTAGGATTGAATATGCTCATCAAATCCATAGCATTGTTCAAAAGATGCTTTCCATCCTCAATCTCTGCCAAAAATAAGTGATCGACAAGCTCTTCTTGATAAGTTTGTATTGGCTTCTTCAAAGCATCGTTATATTCACATTCAGAGCAGACGGTTTCATATAAGTTTTGAAGTATCTCCAAGGCATATGACTCTTGCAAAGGACTTTCTTCATCGAGCACCACAGTCATTAATATGTCATAAAAACCATCAAATGACAGAGCCTTTTCAAAAATGAGCCTTCCCAAAAATTTGCCGCTATGTTGGAAAATTTCTGGAATATCAATATATATTTCTTCTTCGACGAGGAGTGTAAAGTATCTAATGAATCCGTCAACCAAAGTGTCTATATCCACGGCTACGGGGCCTTCTTTGAGCTTCTTCAACAATTTGACAGCGTCGTTAATTTCATTTTCTCTGCTGTTTTCGCATGCAGCCAATGCAACACCACGGATAAAGTATTTAGTTTTGTGCAAGTTGTCTTTTTCTATTGACTCTAATGTTTCGTCAATCTCTCCTTCCTCGAAATAGCATGACATTATCGTCTTTGTTCTTTCGGTAATTGTCTTAATTTGTTCTTCAGTTTCTTCTTCCTCTTCAGCTGATGCAACTTGTTGAGAATCTTCTACAGGCTCTTCTTCAATGATTTCTTCTTCCTTTTCCTCTTCTTCAAGTAGTGCAAACGTGTTTGCATCGGTCTTACCTTGAGTAGATGTTTGAGCTTGTTTAACAATACCACCTCCAGGTGCAAGAGTCTTCTTGGAATCCATCTTTCTATATCTCTCAGCTTGAAGGGCTCCAGATTGCTTGGTAACATAGGATGTCTTTGTCTTGTTATTTGGCTTCCTTAGGTGGTGATGTTTTTCAAGTTTTTTGATTTGATCCATTTGTTGCTTAACAGCTTCTTCTCTTGCCTCTTGTCTTGTCTTTGTTGCCTTTGTTTTTTCAATTCTTGCCACCCAATTATTAGTTCTCATTTCAATAACGTCCTTCAGCATAAATCTAAGTCTTGAAGCTATAGTTGGTTCTTGTGATAGTGTTTCCATTCTTGCAAAATAAAAATTGACATATTTCTTCGACTTTTCATGATCTAACTTCTTGCCGATTGTTGTCAGCAATTTACATAAAAGTTCAATGTCGTCAGATGAAGGATAAGGGATGGGGTTAATCAAAAGTCTCTTGATGACTTCATGCATAATTTTTTCACTGAGCATTTCTTGTAAATAAAGCTCTCCGATGAAGATCATGTTTCCGACCTTCTTCTTTCTCAGTAAAAATTCTTTTTCCTCTAGCTCCTCTGGAGATAACTTTTCTGAAGCGTTTTTAAGCTCTTCTTCCTTTTCTTTCTCAAATTCTCGTTGGCACTTGTTAAGTAGCAATCTCTTGAATTGCTTAGTGTTTTCTTCACCAATCTTCGACTTGAGTTCAGAGCTCAAATCAGCGCAAAGTCTTGCATAAAGAGCAGAAAAGTTTTGAAGATTGATTGCATAGCTGAAAATTTGGTCAATTATAGCATTCAAAACGCCTTCATCACCAGGCATGCTTGTACATGCTCCCAAAAACTCAACTTTCAGTTTTTCATAATTCTCTGGTGTCAATCTGTTAAGAATGAATTTAACTTCATCAACGATCATCTCCTCCTTTGATTTTTCCTTTGTTAGCTTCAAAGCATTTTGAGATTTTTGAAGCTTTTCAGGAGCCTTCTTTGTGGATTGTTTCAAATCTTTACCTCCTCTTCCACCACCTCTTGCTGCACCAGATGCTCCTCTCTGTATGGTCGCTCCTCCTCTACTTGTACCTCTAGGAGTACTAAATGGGCGAGTAGTGAGAGCACCTCCTCTGCCACCGCCTCTGCTTGTTGTGCCTGTGGACTTCAAACTTTGGAAAATCTCGAGAGATTTCAACTTTTCAGGAGGTTCAGTACAGCTGTCCTTGAAACGAAGAAGTTGTTCTCTTGAATAAATCTTGGTTTTGTCAGATTCATCCTCAGGTTCTTCTTCTGAGTCCTCGAAACCTTCAATTTCGTTTGGATTCTCCTTCACGACCTTATCCTCGTCAATTTTGTCTTGAGAACTTTCAAAAGTGGCAGACGATTCTTCTGCAGTTGGTGTTTGCTCACTATACTCAGACATGGGAGTTAATGGTTCCGATACCTTTTGGTCAGATACTTGTTCAGCTCTGTTTTCTGCGCTTTCAACATTATCGTGTGGTGTTGTTGTTGTTTCGGGTTTGTTTTCCAGCTCTTCTTCCTCAGGTTTTTTAGACTCAGGTTGAACAGGTGTTTGTTCTACTGTCTCCTCTTTTTTGCTTGTCGTTTCTACGCTAGTTGGTTCCTCCGGTTTCGTAATTTCATTCTTCGATACTGATGATGGAGGTTGTTGCTTGGATGTGTCAACGCTTGTTGTTGATGTAGTAGTTGCTGTTGTTGAGGAGCTAGTATTGTCGGAAGGAGTAGTTTTTTCCTCTTTGAGGTCAACCACAGAGCCTGAGTTTGGATCTACTATAGTAATCTTTGAACTTTGTGGCTTTACAATTTCGACAGAACCAGATGGACGCTGTTGGGGGTAGTATTGAGGATAAGGGCTATATGGGTACCCATATGATGGAACCATCATGACAGGAGGATTAGCGTAAACATGAGATGCAGGAGGTGGATGCAACTTGTGTGCCTTGTGCTCAGGAATTCTCGTTGGGTGCTCTTTTTATAAAATTTTGATGATTGGTTTTGAGCGAATTGAAGATAAAGATTGTGTTCGTGTCAATATATAACGGAGAGTATTAATATCAAAATTAACAATTGTTAATATTACTTACGAGTTGTGGTATTGTGATCACCTGTTGCAGGAGGAGCACTCGATGTTCTTCCAATGGTTGCTGCTAAATCAACATTCGATATCGAGGGTAATTGTTGTTGCTGATGATGGTGAGGAGGGTGGTGGTGATGATGTGGTTGTTGCTGATGAGTAGATGGAACACTTGTTGTTGTTGATGGAATATTATTATTATTGGAGGTGATAATATTTGATGAAGCAACATCTGTTGGATTCGCCATTGTAGTAGTGCTGATGTTTGAATGTGTATGATGGGCAGAGCCTTCAGAAGTTGGAGGACGATGATGATGATGAAATGATGCTCCTCCTCTGCCTCTTCCTCCTCTACTACCTTGGCCTCCTCCTTTCTGATATTGGCTTCCGCCACCTCTTCCTCCTCCTCCATAGGAGGTGTTGCTCGAGCCTACGTCATTTGATGCAGGCTTACCGATATAGCTTCCGCTTCTTTGACCTCTATATCCACCTCGGCCTTCCCCAGAAGTATGAGAAGTAGATTTATTATATCCACCTGTATTACTTGCATAGGAAGAAGAGGATGACGATGCAGAAGTTTGATTATGGGGTTTTTTATGGGTTGATGATGTTTGTTGATTGTTAGACATTTTTTTCCACGCCAATTTTGAATCTTGCGAAAAAAGTTTTATTTAGCTTACGTGAATTGTTGTTGGGATATTACAACTTGGGAAGTCTCCTTCACTTCTCCGAGCAATGAACATCTTTCTTGAATATTTCATCATGCTAAACACAACTACAATGACAAGAAAACTAACGTTGTACTCTACTCATGAGAATCTTTCGAGATTTAGAGATAAAAAAAATGAATGGAAGCAGTTCCGAGACAAATTTGCTGAGCCTCGACCAACAATCAACATCATCGGGTTTACACACTGCGTTCAATGGAGGACAAAACACAGAAGAAAATGATCAAAATTCTGTAATGACTGGAAATGAAGACAATATGGACGTAGGAGGAGATGAAGAAAATGAAACTGGAGAAACTAGCAGTGATGAGGAAGAAGAAGAAGGATTTCAATTTCATGATTATCCGATCATTTCTCAATTACAAGGAGAGGAACAGAACATATTAAAATTATTAGATTATGGAATGTCATTTATTGAAAATCTAACAAAAGCCACAAAGGAAAACATTAATACGGAAAGATCAAAAGAAGAATTGAAAAAAACAATTACAGGATATTACGACACTCTGTTTAATTTAAAGAACAATCTTGCTAGGCATATACATTTAGCTTCACTCTACTCTTCATTAAATTATGAAGGATCCACGTATTCTGAGCGAAAGAAAATAGAAATTGAAAACAGAAAAGCCAAAATATTGAAAAATTCATCAATAGATCAAACGAAAGCACATTCAGACATTTTTAATGATGACATGTCACTTAGTACCCTTCAAAATTTAGACAATATTTCTCAATCTAACATTTCGATTCAAAGACAGGACAATTAAAGAACCAAAAAACTAAATTAATACCTAAATTATTGCCAGATGTGGCTTGATGAGAATATTGTTTGATAGTTCAAGGCCTATTCGATAGAAAGCATTAATTAATGCATTGAACAAGTTGCTGATCGTGCTGAATGAAACAACAAATGTTGAACAATTTCAAACACCTCTTCGAAACTTTACCCTAGTTCTTCGAAACTTTTTTCTAATTCCCTAACCTCTTAATTCCCATCAATGGCCAAACTTCGAAAGTGTACAATTTCTCTCTAAATTCAATCCAACTCCATTCGACGTCTTATCGTTTCAAGATATTTTTAATTCCTTTGTGACGAAAGCAAACCATGACTCGAACAGGTGATGAATGCTTTTGCATGACACAACGATAAAAAAACGTGACGCAAGAGCTTGTGTGGCATCGGTTTGCTGCTGAAAAGGTTCATTCCGATTGAAGCAACTTGTAACTATTACTCGAATTATCTCCCGTTCGCCATCTCTTCATTCAATTAATAATTATTAAACTCTCTACAAAACAATCCACCATCATCATTATCATCACCATTCAAATATGTTAGTCGCTGCTGCCTCCTCTCGTTCTCAAACTCCCAAACCGAATGGAGAATCTGGTGGAGATGACTTGTTCTCCACTCTTTCCTCATGGTCCTCCTCACTCCAAAAGACATTCCATCAAGTCCTCCTCACTCCAACCAACTCAACGACTTCCGACTTTGATTCAAACAGCAATCCCTCATCATCATCAACAACATCCTCCTCGAGTACCAACAGTAACAACCACATCAACAACAACAGTGGTAATCATCCTTCATCCTCATCATCAGCGCTCTCTACTGTCGTGTCATCATCCTCACCAACGAATCCCAACCACCACAAAAAACAAATGCTGAAAGAAAAACGCCCTCTAATGAGGAATCAGATTGATTTTTCAAGCGGAGAAGATGAAGAGTCCATGATTGGGTCAGCCTCATCATCATTGAAGAAGATATCCGGTTCTGAATCGATTGGAGATTGGTTCTCTTCGGTTCAAAATTCAATCACCAAACAATGGAATGAGTGGTCATCTGCGTCTTCCAACAACAACAACAACATTGGACAAAACTTGGATAATGATGATGGTCCTCTCGCAAAGGTAACTCACTCCTCCCGAAGCAAGTCCCCTTCCACCTCCTCTCCCAATGTAACTTCCAACAACAACAACGGTTTTATGGATTCTCTTTCTTCGACCTTTGCTTCCATTAAAACACAAACCAACGACAAGTGGACTCTATTGAGAGATCAATTCTTTGATAACAACAGTCAGAACGCTATTGATGAAAATGATAATTCATTTCTCGGAAGACTTTCCAAAGAGATTGATGGTATGATCACTCTCACGGCCAAACAACGCATGTATGGCTTTTTCATGTCTCTCGGTTTTGGTTTGTTATGTATTATAATTGCTCTTGGCTTTTTGCCATCCATCCTCTTTGCATCGGGAGCCTTTGCCTTCTTCTATACCTTTGGTAATTTGTTGTGCCTGGTTTCAACCTTCTTCTTGGTTGGTCCAGTCGCTCAAGTGAAGAACATGGCAAAGCCTGATCGAGCCATTCCATCTGCATTATTTATTGCTTCCATGGTTTTGACTTTGATTTGTGTGTTTGCAATGCCAATTGCATTGCTAATTATTTTACTTGTAATTATGCAGGCGATTGGGTTGGTGTGGTATGTCATTTCCTACATTCCATTTGCCCAACAAATTCTAGGCATGATATTCTCTTCGTTTATGAGAGTTTTCAACTAATAAAGAATAGTTTGTGACAATCAGTATATACTCGAGTATAGTTTATTGATCAGATAAATATTCTGCCTTGATTGACATGTGAATTTATTAATTGTATGCAAATATTAATTAAGCAAGACACCAACAATCAACATAATTTCCAAGACCGTAGCAATGCAAAAACAAACTATTTGAACAATGCAGTAACCTGTATTGTAGATGATACACCAAAATTGTTTCTGTTCGATGCGAACAGTAATTGATTTTAATTGTTAGAATTGATTAAGCTTTGAATTTCCCTTTCATCTCCTTTTTGAAGGTGATTTAAACAAACTCAACGCTCTACTGCTTCTTTTTCCACTCACAATTCATGACAACACCAGCAGCCTTGAACAGTTGATACACTGGACATGCTTTCTCTACTCGTGCCCTCAATTCTTGGATTCGATCATCTTCAGCTTCCGTATCCACTTCATACACCATGTCTACATGAGTGAAGTGGGCTGGAATTCCATTCACACCTCTCATTCCTCTCACATCTATTTTACCTTGCATTTTAGTGCATTCTATTGTTTTAATTTCCATTTTCATGCTTCTTGCGACATATCTGGCTGTAATTAATTCACAACCTGATAAGCTCGCTAATGAGAGTTCTAAAGGAGTTGGGCCACTCCCTTTACCACCCAAAGCCACTGGTTCGTCCATTATTATTTTAGCAGTTGGGCATGTATTAGCTGATGATTCAATCAAAGATCCTTCTTTAGAGATGGATTGAATGGAGAACATTTTGATGTATTTTGAAGCATCTTGATCTGAAGTTGGTGATGTCGTATGTTCAGAACGAGCAAAGCAGTTAGCAGTTGTGAACAATCGTTGAACAAATAACCCATTCCGAGCAAGTTGAACGGAAGAAAAAGCAGAACGAGAGAAAAGTTTAGAAGCACCGTGTTTGATCATTTTTTGTTGATTATGAACAAAAAAAAAAAGACAATTCACTTCTTGTTTGTTTGACCGTTCCAACAATTACAAAAGTGTGATATTTGGCCCCCTTGGGAATCGAACCCAAGACCTCTGTCTTACTAGGACAGCGCTACTGCCAACTGAGCTAGGAGGCCTAACATGGAATATTATACCGAATATTTAGAATGATTATTTTCAAGAAATCAAATCTTTTTCTTTCCTCACTTTCTCGCCCACAAACTTCGTTGAGTATGCTTTAGTAATTTTGTTGTTTGTCTGTGTTGTTGACAAGTTGATATTTTATTTGATTATGTTGTATTTGAATCCGAATTCAATATGGATTGATAAATTAAAAACAAATAGCTGCTTCTTCGTTTCTCCTGCTTAGTTGTCAAAATAATCCAATATCTCACGAGCAAGACGAAAGATATCATTGGACTGATGACTTTCAAGTCTCTCCAAAATATCAATTCCACCATGTTGTTCAATTTGTAAAAGGATGTCTCTGATTGATTGATCCTTCTCGAAGTAATGCTGTAGAATTGCTTTCAAACCCTCCAATCCGACCACAATGACCCGCATCTCACTGGAATGAAGCGCTTTAATTAATTGCTCAATACCCCCACTTTTCACAACGTATGCAATCTGTTCTACTGATCCACAATCACAAATATTGGATAATGCCCAAAAACCATCCTTTTGGACAGAGAAATCATCACCTTTAAGTTTCTCGATAACTTTTGTTACAATTCCGCCATCAATAAGTTGCTGAATTTGGGAAACATTACCAGCTGCAATATTCGAAATAACCCACATTGTTTCTTTTCTCAACGACTGTTTTGGATGGTCTAGTAAAGTTGGTAAAAATTTGACAAATTCTCCAGAATTTTCAGAGAGCACTGCTTGAGTCAGCTGGTCATCACCTATCATTTTCCAATTCATGTATGCAATCTTAATAATTTTTAGAAATCTTACCTGTTATAATATTTCCTAGTGTTCTGAGTGCAGGGGTTTGAATCGCTGCGAGAGAGGATTTTACATGCTTGATAATCTTTGGAATAAAGTCTTGGTCGACACAAGCTTGTAATCGTTCTATTGGACCATCGCTTGCGTAAAATGCAGCCCAACTGATTTGAGAGAGTTAAAAATGTTGATGACACAATAGGAATATTCGAGACAAAACTTACCAAGCATCAGTAAGAACCTCCTCGTCCGATTCATCAAGTAATTTGTCAATGGTTGGAAGGCATTGTTTCACATATTCAAAAGAAACAATAGGGGTTCCTCGCAAAAGGTTAGAAAGTGTCCAGGTTGCTTAATAGAATTATTTGTACCAGCACACAATTTCAAGAACTTACCATTTCGTTTGATAGATAGGCGATTCAAAGGTCTAACGATTTCCTCATGTAATAACGGTATTGCTCCTAATTCCAGAACAAGATCTCTCATAGCACATGAATCACCTGCGATATTTCCGAGTCCCCAAATTACCTGAGAACGTACTTCATCGTCCTCGATTGGGATTAGTTGGATGAATTTTGAAATAGCACCCATTTCGACTGCGTAGCGAGTGTGCACACTGGTGCTAGATGCCACATTTGTCATAGCCCATGCTGCTTCAAGCATCAAATCATAGAGTTGACGATCAGTGATTGTTCTTTTTCCTTGTACATGTTTATAGGTCTGCGAAAAAAGTTTTGGAACCTGTGACAAAAAGTTCACATTAAAATGTTTTTGAATCTCGTTAAAATCCAAAAATTGAGCAAAGTATGCCATGGCGCCTGATTGAATGACTTCATCGATGGGAGGATCTCTTTCTGTTGAAAGAAGTCTTCTAATCATAGTTGTTGCATTCATAACAGTTGGAAAGCTATTCCATTCCATATCTAAACAAGTTACCAACATGGGTAAATCTCTCAATGTTTTTCTATTGACAATCTTCCTTCTTACTCCATATGAAATTCTTTCGTGACGGCCTTGATCGTGCGCGTATTGTTTGAACAATGTGCCAAAATTGTTTTTGAAATCGGTATCATCTTTCGTAATAGTTTCCGACAACAATAATTTTCGAGTATTTTCAGAAATGAGTGATTGATTTGTTGTTGTTGTTGCTGTATCACTTTTGTTATTACTCTTGTTGTTATTCCAAAATAATGAGGAGATCAATGAATTTCCATCATCACTACTGTGATCCGATGACTTGGAAGAGAGCCTACAATGTGCTTGTTTAATAGATGAGAGAATTCTCTCTCTCAGTATTCTCATACGGAGCGTGAATTGATGATGGTTGTGATGTACCTTTTTGATTTTGGTATCGGAAGTCATGGCTAAGATCGAAATTGAATTTTTTCTTTTTAAGAGTGGAACCAATTTGTAATGAATGTCAAGTAATACAAAGAAGTGGGTTGAGATTCAAACTTCACTAACATTGATGGTTGGAGAATCTCACACTGTATACTGTTCAGTATTGACAGATCAGCAATGCAGTTTAGGTTTTATGGAAGTATTGAATCAAAGAACACAAATCATTTCTTCATGAGGTATCTCAAACAATTTTGATCATTTGTGAAATATCCAATTTTATGTAGCAATGAAATCCTATCCACACTAACAAGTGACTCTCAACAACAATTATGATTAACATTACTCTGATCTTGTTTCACTTCTATTAAGGTCATGTCCGTATTGAATTTGCAATTAAATTCAGCCACATGATACCAGAAAAAATTGGCATTCCAAAATCCAGAACACCATCCTGAAACTTTGTCTGAAACAAAATCTGCATATTTTGCTTGCTTTCCACATCGAACGCATCCACATATTCTCCATATTGACTATCATACGTTTCATCCACAAAGGTGTAATTACAGAAAGGCATAAAGGCTTCGGTCGTGTGAGGTCCCACAACGACATGATTGGATGGATCATTCACAATCTTTTCATGATCCTGTTGGAGAGGTCATCGCTTCGATGTGTTCTTCTAAAACCTCGGACGATTCCCAAACCAGTTTTTGAGTGTTTTCCAAATCACTGCCAAAATATCTCAAAATGATTCCATGTCGATCAAAGATGCTTAATAAGGTGCATATTTTGTGGGTTTTGATATCAAATTGAAGAGCATCAAGAAGGATCTTCTTTCTTTTTTCATTCTCTTGTTGTGAGAGATCGTTGGATGTGGATGCATTGCAAATTCTCTTCTTCATGTGTGTCAAGTAGACTGAAAAGTAAACATAATTGAGAGAGACCAATCGTCTCACAAATATGTCCTCATTGTCCCAATCATACTTTTTGCCATGAATAAAATCTTGCTTAATGAACGTTGAATGCTTTTCAGAAACCTTACAATCATCATTGTTCGGCTTGTTGGCAGGATGTGTTTCATCATCGGAGGAATCTTCTTCGTCAGCCTCCTCGGAGAATCCATAATGGCTTGGATAGATGGGAGGTTTTACCACTTGATAGCGATGATGAAGATTGGCACATTGAATGGGAATCATGGAAGAGACCAACACGTAAAAATTCATCCAAAATTTATCTTGACCAAAACATGATTCCAATTCTTGTTTGAACCATTCCATATGGATCATCTCTTCTTTTGGGAGTGGGTGATTGTCCTTTGTGGAGGTAAAAGATGAATCACAGTAGAACTTTTCTCAGAGGAGTGAGTGGATTTCGTCTTGTTTCTTTGTTTGGGAATTTCGATATCTTTCCCAGGATTATCATAATAGCTCGACATAGGATCGTCCTCGTAGACCAATACTTGTTTCTCGTCATAAAAGACTTTTATGAAATCTTTTTCGTTCAAACCACTGCGTGTTCGTTTCAATGTTTGGTTTAGTTTTTCAATGAACCATTCGGGAGGACCCAACTCGTGAAAGAATCTTGGAGACCATACTGTATTGGAAGTAGAGACATCATTCCACAGTTTACTCACGAGAGAGGCATTTCGAACGAGTTCCAAAGTGGACAAATAGGAAAAGATGACCGTAAGAGTGTCGAAGGAGAAGGAAATGAAGGGTGTTGTTTGTCCACCATCAGTTTTGGTTAATTTTGCGGAGCTTGGTGGCAAGCTCAAAGGGAGAGACGTTGTGGTGGTGTTGAGACATTTTTCTTGCGAAAGACGGTTTGGAGAAGATTTTGTAAAGTGTGAAATCGAATCGGAGAAATTTGATGCTAATTTAAAATTTCGCGACATTTAAATCGTCATCATTGTGCTATTATTTAAATTATTTAAAATTATTTCAACATTATAAATTATTTCATGTTCTCGATTGCTCGTAAATTCTCAATAAATGATTGCTGTTCTTTTTCGTTCATTCCCATCGATGGATTATTCACTAATAGTGTTCGCAGTGCTTCAAAATTTCCAATTTTTGAATTACATTTCAATATCACCACGCTGTTGTATCCAAATAAATAAAACGAAGAAAGTCCAATCAAAAAACTAGTAATCATTCGATATTTGTTGAATTGATGACTTGAATAAGATTTGGAAACATGGTTCCTGTATCTTCCGAGAAGTAAACTCATCGTTAAACCAGCCAAACCAGTTAATTGCAACATTCTGGCGTCACGTTTTGTTGTGTTCAATTTTTCCGAGTGTGAGTGGATGTGCTGGAATAATACTTCCCTTGACAGAGTCATTTTGTTCGCAAACTCGATTTGGAAAGTTGAAAACATGTTCATGGTCATTGGTCACAAACTCACCACCCCACAAAATATTCGGTGGGTTTAGATGAATTGTTTCTGGCAGTCTAGATATGCAAGACATTTTGAAATTCAAATTAAAGAAGAGATCTAAACATCAGCAATCGTCACCCAACAACCTCCAAAAGCAGGTCTAAGACGATGTCTCTTGTCATTTTTCCAAAAAAGAAAAAATTAAAAAATTGCGCTATTTGTAAATTCTCGTTAAAACTACATGTTTGGTGTTATTCGCAACCCATAGTCCCATACAAACGACAAAATCTCATAAATTTGAGTTTACACTTGACTCACTTCCATCTCCAACATAAAAAAACATCTTCACTCGATCAACACCACCACATCACAATAACCACCACAACAACAAAGATGCCATACTTTAAACCAGGACAACAATACTTCTTCTACAAGCCTTACATTTGGATGACCGGTTTAGCCTTTCTCAGTTTTGGATCCATTTCTTTGAACCGATGGCAAGCAGGACAACAAGGCAAATTGTTCCAAGACGTTAGACCTTCTCAAGAAGTGATCGATTATGAAAACAAGTACGTTTATCGTCCAGGAGAAAACCGAGATGCCGTGAATCAAGTTGATTTTGCTCCTTTGACTCACTCTAGTTGGTTAAAGAAGGAATAGATCTATTCCTATAAGGTCATCGTGGATCTCTTGATCATCATCCATATTAGCCTTTTTACGACTATTCATCCACTCCATATCTTCTTTTTGAACAAATAGTCGAGTTGTTAACGAACAACAACAACAAGACAATAAATCACTCTCTAACTGAAGTCATTACCTAAAAACAAATGTTGATGATTCTTAACGAGATTCTTTGGTTAGTTGGACCGAAATGGTGTTTCCGTTAAAAATTTGAGAGCGCCAAAAACTTGCCCGCTCTGTAAAAATTAAAAAACGTTACAGAATTAAAACTAAAAAAATGAGTGCAACACTCGCACGAAAACCACTGCAAGATATTTCCAATAAGGTTCATCAACATCGGAAGAATAGTGTCGTTCAAAGCATGGAAGATCGAAAGAAAAATTCCCAACTCTCTGCAAACAGAAAGTCGATGCTTGAGGGCGACGAACCTGTTGCCTTCAACACTCCAGGGTCATTCGGGTCGTTGGCTTCCGAACTGGAAGAATTATCAGATTTAAACGAGTTTTATGAAGATGTGTCCTTTGAATTGAATGAAAAGATGAGCAAATCATTAGAAAGGGAACTGGAAAAGAATGCTAAATTGGAACTGCAGTCAGAACGAGATCGAAAACAAATAACAGAGTTACTCTCCGAAAATAAGGCTTTGAATGCGACCATCGAACAATTAAAACAAAAAGCAGCCACCAAAACCGAATCAGAGTTGAGAAATCAATTGAAGGCCATGAGCGATAAAATAGGTAAACTTGAGAAGCGTCTCGAAGTTGAAACCCAACAGAAAGAAAAGCTTAATGCCATGCTAATCAAGAGAGAGAGCGAAAAAGCAAAAGCCAATTCTGTGATAGAGGACACAACAGCAAAGATAACCAAGAAGTTTCAGGAACAAATCAGCTTGAAGGATGAAAAGATTGAGAGGTTGACCAAAGATATCGAAAAAGAAAGGAAATCCAAGCAGGAGTGTGAGTTGAAACTTTCTGAAATTCAAAAACAGATTGATGATTTGAGGCTAAAATATACACACACAAGTGAAGAATTAGAAACGTCGAACAAACTTGTAGAGATCTTAGATGCAAAGTTGAAAATTTCTAATGACCGGTGCAAAGATTTGGAGGAGCAACGAAAGCAAGGCGAGCTTAAACGCGAAGAGGAAAGCTCAGAGCTTCTTGCATTGCGTGAAGAAATGAGCCATCTCTGTGAGTCAGTCCTTAAGGAAAAGCTTGAGTGTGAAAAGAAATCTCAAGAGATTTCAAAACTCTCGTCAACACAAGAAAAGCTGGAGACAGAAAACGACAAACTTTCTCAAAATATCCGAGCCTTAGAAGCAGAGAATACCGAGCTGAAAAATTTGGTTGAAAAACTTGAACATCAAATCGATGAGATGGGCAACGAAATTGATAATTCGACCAAGGAATTCCAAGAGATAAAAGACTCCTTTTCGAAACGAGTAGAGGAACTAGAGCAACAGTTGGCAATGAAAGAGGAGGAAGTGAGCGAAATGAGGCAAAAAGAGGAGAGAACAATGTTCCAATTGAAAGAATTGGACATATTTGTGGAGCGTACAAAAAAGAAGATCGAGAAGGAGAGAGAGAGAACAAAAGAGGCTGAAGAAAGAGCAAATTCAGAGGCAGCCAAGGCCATGCAAATGATTAATAGAAATAACTCATTGCTGAAGAAGTTAGATGCTCTCACTAAAAGCAATTATGAAATGGCTGATGAAATCAAAGATAAAGAAGATTTGCTGATACGTTTTAAGAACTACACGGAAGAGGTCGAGGCATCGTTAGCAAAGAAAGATTCTGAACTGGGAGAAGCAGTTCAAAGGTTGAATGTCACACATGAAGAATTGCAAAAGGAGAAAGTAAAATCGGAGAGAACATGGAAAGAATTGGAAGAGTCTGTTAAAATGCTTAACCAACTTCAAAATGAAAAGGAGAGTATGGAGAAAAAGAACAGTCATGCAAGGGAAGTTTTGGAAATGAAGCTTTCGAACAAAGTCTCCATGCTCGAGAAGAAGTGTGACTATCTTAGAAAGCTAAACGAAATGTCCACGCAACCAGAATCTGACCAGATTAATGAGTTGAAACTAGTAATTGAAAAAGTTACAAAAGAAAATGACAAGCTTTCTGAACGTGCCACCGATTTGGAAATTTCCATATCCACGAACGAATGCGAGATGTTGAAGCATTTGGAGAAAATTCGTCAACTTGAAGATCTATTGAACAATCAAGCAAATATGCAGTCCGCCTCATTGAAGCCTACCGATCTCAAGAAACGTCTTATCAGCGTCGAAAAGTCACTTGATGAAATTTTGATTGAGCTATCAATTGAAGGAATCACCATCAGCCAACTCTCACCTCGAGAAAAGGCAGTAATAATTTTAGAGAAATTTAATGACCTTAAGAAGGAATGTGCCTCATTGATAAGTGTTAGAGACCAACAGCAAGCTGAAGTGCAACGTTTAAAAGAATCGAAGGAAAAGACAGAGAAGCAAATGATGATGTTGAAGGACTCTCTCACCTCCGAGGTTTTGGAAAGAAACGAAGAATGTGTCAAGGATTTGCAAGAGAGTTGTGAAAATCTGTACAGAAAAATCAACTCGGTTCTCGAAGAGAAGGAATTCTCAAACTCATCAGAACACCATGTGGATACAAAACTTTTGGACGAGTTGTTAGAGCTTGTGATTTCCATTCAAGTGAACATGAAAAAGGTTAAAGTCCACTTCAACCAAGTGGACACTCTTCAAAGAGTGATTGAAACACAAGATATATTCAACAAGGATTTCGTTCTTTTGTGTGGAGAACTCGAGAACAGAGTTAGATCCCTCGTTGAAGAAAGAGACACCTTAATCACTGCACAACTTCAACAAAAGGATAAGGCTGTTTCTTCTGCAGTGAAGAAGAAGCTTGATAAGTTAATGTACAGACATGTAGTGGTTCAAACAGAGCCCTCTTCGGTTGAAGAACAAGAGATCCAAACTGTTTGCCACCTCGAAACGGATGCAGCAGAGAGAGAAAATCCCTCTGCAGATTCTCTCTATCAGGAGCATGAATCTCTTAAACAAAAGTATCAGAAATTATTAGGCACTTGTCACAAATACAAGAAGCTCATGCTCAAGTTTACTCAATTACATGCAAAGGAAAAGAATAGAGAAAATTTGAATCCAGAAGAACATCACCACGATCTTGAACCCATCAATTTATCAAACTACTCCAATCATCAAGAAGAACAAGCTTCTGAAAACAACCAAGAGCAAGTGCCATTGATTCATGCATCCCTTCACAAACCTCTTCCTTCCATGAAATCAATGTCACCCTCTCACTCTTCTCATGCTTTGGATCGTTCGATGGACACTGGTCGATCGAGCCCAGCTCATTCTGTCAATTCGGTTCGTTCCGTCTCCACCACCTTAAGTATGGCGAGTGAAAAAAGCAGTTCTCTCTCCTCTATTTCTGCAAAGATCAAAAAGAATGTTGCCACAGTCAAGGCAAATTCATATCTGTCGAGTCACATGATGATGAATAAGAGCAAGGTCAAATAAGATTGATCCTTGTGAAAAATCTCTCTTTGAAGTTTGAACGTGTCTTCTTTTTTGTATAGAATGAGATTTGATCTCATATAAAAAATGTATCCAATAATGAATGCAGGATTTGTCACAAGGCGCCGATCGGAATGGATCATGTTGGTAGTGATGACAATGTTTCTCATCATGAATCTTTTTCTTGATGGATCCAGCGTGATGGCCCAAGCAGTGTCCACTACTACGACAACTGCTCCGTCAAATCCTTTTCCGGTCGTGTTGTGGCATGGAATGGGAGATTCTTGTTGTTTTCCATTTGTATGTTTTAGAATTCGAAATTAAAAACAATTATTCAAAATTAATACGCCATGATGGATCACGAAACAGTCGATGGGAAAAATCGAATCTGCAATAAGATCGCAATTTAATAATTCGAATATTTACATTCATAGCATTCGAATTGGCTCCAATGATGCAGAAGATGTTGAAAATAGTTATCTCATGAATGTTAACAAACAAGTTCAAATAGTCTGTGACACCTTAAAGAAAGATCCAAACTTACAAAATGGATTTAATGCCATTGGATTCTCTCAAGGATCTCAATTTTTGAGAGGTAAGAATTGATTGGGATCACATTCCAGCACTCACACATTTTTGTGAAATGCTAATAATCATTAACAACAACCTTTATTTCTATTGATTGGGAATGATGCATAGCTTATGTTCAAAGATGTAATCAGCCAAAAGTTCATAATCTCATCTCCATTGGAGGTCAACATCAAGGCGTTTATGGACTTCCAAAATGTATTGGTGTCAATCATACACTGTGTGAATATACCAGAGAATTATTGGACATTGGAGTTTATTGGGAATGGATTCAAAATACTCTCGTTCAAGCAGAATATTGGCATGATCCATGGAATGAGGCGGAATTTATTGAGCGATGTATCTTTTTACCTGACATTAACAATTATAGAGCAGTGAAGAATGAGACGTACAAGGCAAATTTGAGTTCCTTGAACAAGTTTGTAATGGTCAAATTTTTATTGGATTCCTTTGTTCAGCCAATTGAATCTGAGCATTTTGGATTTTACAAGCCTGGTCAAGACAGGGAGGTTGTGAAATTGAGAGACTCACAACTCTATCAAGAGGATTGGTTGGGATTGAAGAAACTTGACATGGCAGGAAGATTAGATTTTTTGGAAGTTGAAGGAGATCACTTGAGATTTACACTTGAATGGTTTATAGAAAATATCGTTAACCCTTATTTGAAGTAACACAACATCATCACATGTAATTAGTATGAAAATTTTCATTCATTTGTAGTACATGTGTTAGATGAATTAATAAAAGGGAAAATTAGAACAATCCTTTGACTTCTCCAGTTTCGACGTCAATATCGATATCATAATAAGCTGGGCGAGTAGGAAGTCCAGGCATGGCAGAAATTTCACCACAGAATGGCACTAAAAGCCCAGCACCACTGTACAACCGAATGTTCTTGATTGGTAAAGTGAAACCGCTTGGTGCACCCTTCAACTTTTCGTCATGTGAGAAGCTGTATTGGGTCTTGGCAAAGCAAATGGTGTACTTTTCAGGAAGTGTTTCCAATTTTTCAATTTCCTTTTCAACATGTTCCATGTATTCAACATTGGCAGCTCCATAAATTTCTGAATATTTGGAAATGGTGAATATTTTTTAGCTGTGACCGACAATACTTGTAATAACACTTACCCTTGGCAATGGTTTCAATCTTTTCCTTAATGGAAATGTTGATATCATAGAGTGGTTTAAAGTTCATCTTGGATTTGTCCTTACAAACACGAACAATGGCTTCAGAAATACCGACTGCTCCCTTACCACCCTCAGAGAAGTGTCGTGAAGGCACACAATCGTCTGCGCCTGCCTCCTTAGCCAATCTCACAACTGTCTCAATTTCCTCTTGGGTATCACTGCTGAATTCGTTAATACAAACCACCACAGGAACACCATACTTCTTCATGTTGCCAATATGTCTTCTCAAGTTGGCAAAGCCAGTTTCGACGGCATGAACGTTTGGCTTGGTGACATCCTTCAACTCACATCCTCCATGGAATTTGAGAGCACGAATACTGGCAACAATGACAGCACATGATGGATTCAATCCAGAGACTCTACATTTGATATCAAAGAATTTCTCAGCACCAATGTCAGCACCGAAACCAGCTTCAGTTAAAACAAATCCTTCTTCTCCAACGAGTTTAAGAGCAACTTCGTCAGCAATAATTGAATTTTGACCAGCTGCAATGTTTGCAAATGGACCCGCATGTACCATGACAGGAGTACCCTCAATGGTTTGCATGAGAGTTGGCTTAATAGTGTCCTTCATCAAGACGGCCATTGCTCCAGCAACACCAATATCTTCAGCAGTGACAACATTACCATCCTTGTCATATGCAACAACAATCTTTCCAAGACGTTTTCTCATATCTTTCATGTCCTTGGATAAGGCCAAAATTGCCATACATTCGCTGGCCACAGCAATGTCGAATTGTGTTTCTCTTGTTCTTCCTTTTTCGTTTGGACCTTGACCAACGGTAATCTTTCTCAAGTATCTGTCGCTAATGTCCATCACTCTGTTGATTTTGATGGTGGCAGGATCAATGTTGAGACGAACAAGTTTTTCTCTTTCCTCTGGAGTCAACTTGTCAGGATCTTCTCTCTCAGCAATTCCGAACTTTTCCAATCGTTGGATCATGGAAGGAGCAAACTTTCTCTTTCCATCTTTGCCAGCAGGGCACAAGTGATCAAACAATTGATCAGTCTTTTGGTATGACTCATGGAATACACGAGTATCGACAGCGGCTGCCAACAAGTTATTGGCTGCAGTAATAGCATGTATATCTCCAGTCATGTGCAAGTTAAATTCTGATGATTTTGCCAAATATGAGAAAAATTATGAACAAATTATGTCGTTAGGTGTTTTGTGTGATCTGGAATATCTTACCTTCCATAGGGACCTATCAAAATATAAGATTTGCAACCATCATGTATGAATTTAACATTCGAAATAATGTCGGTCAACAAAGTGTAAATGAAATCCAACTTGATCATCATCATGATGTGAAACTTACAATTTGTGAATAACCACCACCTGCAGCGCCTCCCTTTATGCCAAACACGGGACCCTGAGAAGGCTGTCTCAAACAAGAAACGACCTTCTTGCCCAGATGAGCTCCCAAAGCCTGTGAGATACCCAAGCACGTACTGTGTGTTTGAGGTTTGTACGAGCATTCGAATAACAAGCATTGAATATATCGTGAAAACTTACGTTGATTTTCCTTCTCCGAGAGGTGTTGGATTTATTCCTGTAATCAGGATATAATTGCCCATTGGAGCATCTTGCAATCGGGCGAGCACCTTCTTGGCATCTAACTTTAGCCTTGTACTTGCCATAATACTCCAATTCTTCATCCACATGAATACCATAATTCTCAGCAATCTTACCAATGAATTCTGGTTTACAGTGTTGAGAGATTTCAATATCGCTTGGAGTTGGATGCAAGATCTGCTGGAGAGGTGTTCCCGTGGTGATGGTTGTGGTGCCTTGTGGTGAAGACATTTTTTTCAGATTTGCTTCCTTCTCTTGCACTGAGAGGGTTGGTGTGCCAGTTTCCGTAAAGAAGTTCTTCTCTGAATTCAATGATGGAGAGCTTGATGATTGAACCATTGAGAGTGTGGTTGTTGTTGAGAAGTTACTTTTGGTCGTTGTTGGAAGAGAATTATTACGGATAACGAGTGATGATGCGAGGAAAAAAAGATTGGATTTCGGAGGATCGGAATGAAAAGATGATAATACAGATTGTAAATGGTGATAATTGGAGAATAGAGATTTGAAATGAGTGTTTTTGCAACGTTTGAGCATTTTGATGATATTACAATAATTGTTTTTTTTAAATTTTAAACAATGGCCTTTGATCGAGTCCAAATTTGGGATTTATGAATGAACTGAGCTGTTATGATGCAGAGATAGACGCTTCATCCTATAAAATTGGTAAATCCTTCTTACAGAGTGGACATTCGAGTTTGTATTCTTTCCAACGCTCCAAACAAATGGTATGAAAAACGTGATTGCAAGGTGTGACCATGATATCTTTTGAGGCGGTCCATTCATGTGAATGGTTACTCTTTGTGGAATGATCGATGAGAGTCTCATTAGCTGAGTCAGATGCCACTCGATTTGGAATTTCAATTTCAGACATACAAATGACGCATTTGCATTCTCCTTCTTCGAGAACAGACATTGGAATTGGTCTGTGGTAATTATATTTGGGTGGAAGCATAAATCCAAATAGATGAGTAGTTAAGATGGAGAGACGGGGGTCAACAAGGTATTGAATTAACAATGCTGCAACTTGAACAAATAAATAAATTAGTAAGGTATAACAGAGAGTGATGTTAGTGGGAAATTCAAGGAAGTTCGAGGGTCTAGCTCCAAAATCTGGTCGTGACAAAAAGTCGCACATCAAGATTTGTTAAGCTCTCCTCCTCGTTCGATCAGAGTGAAATAATTACTTACATAAAATTGCTGAAGAAAAAAAGATCACGAGACTTGTTAGATAGAAAAAGTCAATAGATTTCCCCGTGTTATAAATTACATTGACGCATATTTGAGGGACAAGGAATGACATGATGAAAAATATCAAGTATTGGATTAGCTTGGGATGAACATGAGAGATGTAATATCTTGAAAAGAAATATAATTTTCAGTTCCACTCATTGAAATACTTACCCACCGAAGAGAATGGACATTGAAAATCCCCAAAAGAAAAAAGAATAATTTTCTCATGTGTACAGATGCACTAATGATATTTTCGTAGTGATTGGGGTGGTGTGACTTCCAAATGAATAACATGTACTGAATACTGGCTGTCAAATAAATAAAACTCATAAATGAGAAAGCAATTGCACTCGTAAAAACTTCATAGAAATTCAATAAAAACACTAATGATGCTGAAAACGTAATGAAGGAAAGAGTTGAGGTAAATCCAACAAATAAAATAGAAACTCTTGTCGCCGCTGATCTCGTTCTTGTAAATTTGATTTGTTTGAACAATCCAAAGATTAGAAATATACAGAGGATTGTTCCAATTTGAAGGAATGCATTAAGTTCAGAAGTGAAGCCGATATTGTCATGAAATGTTTGTGTGAACAGAGCAGTATAGTCACAGTTGACACTAGAAATTACTCCAGAAATGCTCCATTCAAATACTTGATTCACCAAGTTTTGTTTGTCTTGAACCATAAATTTTTCTGCAGAAATTTTTCCAACGCCTATCCCTCTATAAACACAACTTTCTTTTCTTGTTGATTTTTCACTGACATCGGATTGGCTACTATAGTGGTAGTAATGGTCATGTCTAATGCCTAAATCCTTCAAATCTCCAAGGTAATGTGTCACATAGGAGTAATATGCAAGTTGGGCTCCTGATTCTCCATGAAAGAGAAAAGTTTCATTCATGAGTGCTTGTTCCAGAAAGGTGGGCATCTTATAGAATAGAAATTTTTTTGGTTTTAAGATGAAATAAAATCTGTTGGTATAAATAGAGTATACGCCCTCCAGAAACAAGAGATTTTCTCGTTGTAGAAAATATCGTCCATCTCGTATCGTCACAGTACCATAGACAAAGTAGAACTCTTTCAAAATAGTTTTTTTAAATGAAAGATCCATCTTCAATGCGCCTCGTATGTGAACATTGTCTAACTTGTCGATTCCATCAGGTACATAATCGTTCATATTTACTGCAGAATTTGGATCTATCAAAACATTTTCCTCTCCAACGTCTATGTGGTTAATATAATCGTATATTGCATGTCCATACTTTGGTTGTTGCAATAATTTTCGAAGTATATATCTAGTAACAGTAGATTCTGATTGATAATTAATACGTTTTTTCATTGGTTGCTCATTAAATATTGGATAGAATCCGTCAATGGTTCTCCACTAAAACATCAATTTCATGAAGTATGAAATGTTGATTACCTACCGTTCCATTGGCGTGATAAGAATGATGTTTCTCCGAAAATACAGGAAATAATATTGGATTATTGTGAGCCGATTCAAATTCCGATTTTAAATTATATTTCACCTTTCTCTCCAAAGAGCGAATAATTTCATCATGATTATGTGGTGATGATGGAGTATCTCCTGCATGTTGAGCCGCTACCATCCACGAGGGCCCACTCAATATGTTAAATGTTAATAATATTGAAATTATGACTATACACAATAAAAGTACACAATTCGTTCGAAAAACGTGTTTCCGATTTTGATTGATCATGTCCAGCACATGATTCGGACTGAATAAATTAGTGATCATTAATAAATAATCTAAGAATATCTTGATGATGAGCTCATCATTGCAACCACTTGAATGATCATCATCAACTCTATCCACTCTCTTCATCGGAACTATATCATTGACTCTTCCATCACTGATCATCAGTACAGTTTTTGGAAAATATACATTTGTTGTTATTGTGTTAATCCAACCACTTTTCAAGGTTTGATTGTTAGATTTGAGATATTCTTCAGCGAGAGAGGTTCTCTTCATCGATCGGAATGTGTGAGAGAGGAGGACCAACACGAGAAATTTTTTCAATTTTTTCAAAAAAAAAAGAACAAAAAGGAATATTTCCAAAACTTTTGAATCAAAGTAAGACATGTATTGATGATTGAATTCCAAACATCTTGATAAAAGTATCAAGTCGCTGCATATGCAGAGTTTTGAAAAATCCATCCTATCACATTGAAACACCCGTCAAATGTCATCCAAATTCTTTTAAAAAAAATGTCTTCTTCCGAACTGATCGTCCCGTCTACACCCAGAGGTGCCAGTTCTGAATCATCACCACTACCAGGCTCATCATCAGCCTCTCAAACACCCGAAATTGTTGCTCTCCGAATCACCTATGAACTTCCAGAATCGTATCTCTCCGAACTTGAAACCAATCAATCTTTGTACGTGAGAGCCACTTATTGCCATCCTTCAGATACATCAGTCCAACAAATTAAAAAGACATTTATTTCATATTTATTAGCTAAACGATATCTTCCATCATCATTGAATCATGAACCAATAGATACATTGGTCGATCAATATCGATTGGCTGTCGGAAAGGAATTACTTGTTGATAAAAAAACATTGCAGGAAAATCGAGTGATGGAAAATGGAAAACCTTTGAGTGTGGTTTTGTGTCGAGTGATGGCACCAAGTCATGATGGTCAAGATCAATTTAATGATGAGGAAGTTATTAATGTGTCTGATTATGTGGAACGTGAAACTGTCAAGATCAAAAAGAAATATGTGGATGTCAAGTTGAGAATTCAAGAAAAAGTTGGTGATCAAGTGTTGACTTGTGACATTTCATGTAAGAACAATAAGAAGTTTGGTGTGATTAGCAAAATGTATTGTCAACATAGAAATTATAATCCTGATGATTTTGTGTTTGCCACAAGTGTGAATCATGTCTTGTTAAAGAATGAGAAATCATTGTCAAGCATGGGTATGAATGAGTCAGGAACGCTCTATGTCATTAATGTGTATCATAAGGATTTGGTATCTTTCAAATAGAAAAGATGTGTGAAACGTTATGTCCTTTTTTAATTGATCGAAAAATGTGTGACACACGCTTTTGTAATTTTACATATGAATAATTTTTTATGTACAATTTCGAGAAACGTTCATCTCTTTAACAGGTCTTGTTGATGAGCTCTTTGAGCATTTTTTTCATTTCATCTCTATTGAAAATATCAAGAACGATAATTTGTTTTTCAATTTGTTTTCTCTTTTCTTCACTTTTCACCTGATTAAGGAATTGTTTTGCAATGTAATCAATCACGAGATTTGAATATTCCTCAGAAACCATCCTTGGTTGTTCTGGTTCCTTCAAATCATCCTCTGTTAAGGGAACCTTCTTTTCATAGGGATCTGAAAATTTGAGACATGTCTCTGTCATGGCATTCATGGTTTCAGTGTCATTCATCAATTCTTGAATGGCTCTTCTTTGAAGTTCTAATTGTTGTTCCAAAGTTGTTAAATTAATCGACACACTCACACATCGATTGTCCAATTGTCTTCTCTCACCAATTGCCATTCCAACCGATGAAACATCCAATAAACGATCTCGAGTGAGTGATTGCCTTTCTAAAGTGGTAGAACATTCAGAAAGTGGTTGAGTTTTGATTGGTTCATTCAAATTTGGAGATTCTTGCAGTGAAGATTCTAAACAACATGTTGTTTCATTCTTTCGTTCCTTATTTTCGGAATGGTGTGTGATGGATGGTTGTTCAGATGGTGTTTCTGACACTAACTGTTCAATCACTGGAGACTCGACACGTGTATTTCTATCCTCATCATCATCTTCATCATTGTATTCCTTTTTCAATCGATTCAACAGCAATTTGGATGTTTTCAATTCACTGATTAATCTTGGTGATACATCAGAACCAATATTCTTGTTGGAGATGATGAATGATGAAGAAGAAACAATTGGTGGCGAAGTGGTGATTGGATTCGATGATGAAAGGTTAGTAATCTTGTTGTTGTTGGTCTTTTCCAATGATGAAATCTTTTGATTTCCAATCATGACTTGCTTCTTTAAAAGAATTTCTTCTGGAAGTGGATCCAATGGCACCATTTCTGAGCTTTGATTTTGTAAACTTGTGAAAAAACTATCTGAGAAGTCACAAAACACTAATTTTCTCTTGAGAGATTCCTTTTTCGTGAATACTAAAATAATGGGCACATTGGTGACTTCTGGCATGTTCACAGTCTTGTTAAAGAATTCCAATGAATCAATTAATTGATTTTTCAGAGTCAATAATCCATTATGTTTCAAACTTTGATGACGTGATAAGAACAAGGATGATGCAGAATCAATCAATGGCTTATACTTGGGTGGTTTCAATGTCTTCTTTTTCATTCTCTTCTTTTCTAATAAATCCACATGTTTCAAATTCACTTCAGTTCCTCTTGGAGATTTTAACACACTCACAAGTTTTTGTTCTTCATCATCTTCTTCAGGAGCCGATGCTTCACTACAAGTGCTCACCTCAATGGGACGTTCAACGGTTAAAATTTTGTCACTATTAATATTGAGAAGAGGACTTGCTGGAGTTTTAGAATCCACAGTGATGGAAATAGTCGATCCATATAATCCTAAAATATCATCCACCGAATATTGATTGTAACTTGTCAAGGATACAAAATATAAAATAGCAACACCACTGGGTTTGAGTTGTGAGTAAATGGTGTGTGAAATTGGTTCTGAACTGTTTTGAGAGGAGGATGCCAATGAGGATGAACATGCCAGAGAAGAGGATGCCGACGAGGACACTTGTTGAGAAGGCATTGCAGCAGGTGTTTGATTTGAAGAGGAGGAAGATACTGCATTATTATTACTACTACTGCTACTAGTAGGACTCTCTTGAGTTGAAACAGATTTCTTCTTTTTCTTTGGCTGATCTGTGTTTTCCTTCTTCTTGTTTTCATGAAGGAGATCGGGATACAATTTGGAAAGTAGAATTTTACGCCATTTCTTTCGGTCGGATCTCACTCCTGCGCTGTCAATCATGAATAGACTTCTGAATTGTTCACTCATGGAGATGAGTTCTTCTTTGTTTTCTTTGGTTTCTTTCTTTTTCATGGAAGAAGTTTCTGTCTTCTTTTTGTCTGAGAGTTTCAATTTAATTTCAGATTCATAGTATCCTCTGGTCATGTTCGAAGCCAATAAGAATTCTTTATCGAAATTAATTTCTGGATCGAGAATACCATTTTGAGCTCGTCTCAATGAATGTGCAATTTCCACACAATGATTAATGACATAATTAAAATTCTCAAAGTGTTGCCATTGTGGTTGTTTTGGAACTGTATTCACATGTCCAAATTTATCTAACACATTTCCAGAAATGACCGATCCAACTTGTGTATTTCCAAATAAAAATAACAATTCTGGTGACATTTTGTTGAAATAAATTATGGCATAAATGTTGTGTAAAATTGGTTCATTCTGCCACAGAGAATAAACGTCTTTCATCATCTTGTCATTACTCCACAACAATTCAGGTTTGACAATGGCCAATTGTAACAAACAACGATCATCCAATTCTTCATTATTTGTCTCTCCAGAATGGTGTGTTTCATCATTCTGGTTATGGTGGTGGAGACTCTTTGAAATGTCCTTCTTTTTCGGTTTGAGTAAGAGATCAATCAATTGCTCCGAAGTGGGTTGTTGCAATTCCAATTCCGAAAATAATTTCTTTTTCACACACACGATCAACAACAACCATGCAAACATGGAAGATAATAATTCTTCTCGATATTTCATGGATCGACTCGTCATGGATCCTTCTAATATTAAATTAGACATTTTAGCAAAAAGAGTCTTTCCAGAATTGGAACTTCCCATCAACAGCAAGTGGTGAAGTAATTCTTCTTTGTGAATGATGGGTTGAGTGGTTGTCGTGGATGTAGGTTGTTGATGAGTGTTTGATGATAATGAGGCATAATCAAAAGGATCTTCTTGATTGCGATGACTGCTGGATTGTCCCATTTTTTTTTGATGTTTTGACTTTTGACGTTTGTTGTGTTTCTTTGTTGTCCAAAGAGCACGAATCATCAAACATGGCAAAACCCAATTCATTCGTTTATAAATTATTGTTATAACAAATTTTTAAAAATTTGCACGAGTTCCTAGTTCAATGACTGAACAAGAATTCTGTTCAACATCAACAAGGAGCCAAAAATTTTCACCAACACATACATATGTAGAAGTGTGGCACTCATGTCAAAAGTTGTGAAGGTACCTCTTGTAATTAGAACAACTTGAGGACTCGTCCCGACATGAGTGACGGATTTTTCACTCCGTTCCGAAAAATCTTTTCACACTCTCTCCGGTCAAGGGCGCGGAAGAAAACCACACAGTGAGAAAAAATAGCCTCAAAGAGCATCTCGCTCGTATTCGCAGCAACATCATCTTCTTGTTTGCATCGAATCGGATTCTTTTCACATCTGTAGTATTATTATTTATCATTCTTGTGATCCAAATTCAAATTCAACAAATTTTTGAATTATACCAAATTCGGGACAATTGTGTTTTTAAAATGTTTCAATTCTATTCTCATCCTGGTCAACAACGACGAGGACTCTTTGTGGTTGTTCTTGTTGTTTTTTTATTCAGCACTTTGATGGATGTTTCACAACAACAATCTCAACCTTTTTGCATTTTCAAAACGTCAGATGGTCGAACGATTGATATAAATCGAGCAATGAAACAAGATTCAGATTATCATGTTTACAATGCAAAATTGAATTATGATTTTTATGTGAATTTGTGTAAGGATGCAAGTGTTGCATGTGATGGAAAGAATTATGCAGGAGTGGCGACTTATAAAAGAGGAACAGAATTGTTGTGTGGAACGTATATGGCTGGAAAATCAATTGCAGGTAAGTCGTAGAAGGTCATGATTGAAAAATGTCAAATGTCATGACCCTTAATCATTTCAACATTCCTATATATATTGTTCATTCAAATCATTCCTTCCATCCATTCAATAGAAAATTATCAAATTTCTCTCATTGACACCAACAAGCCAGAATTAGGTGTCATTGTTCAAGTGAATGGTGGTGAACGTTTCATGAACAAACAAGAAAACATGAAAATCACCATGAATTGCAAACCCAATGCCGATCCTGACAAAACTTTTACCTTTTTAGGAGAAGTTACCAAAGACTCAACCATTTCTTATGAATTCTCAATGGACACTCCACATTCATGCATTGTTGATGAACTTCCATTAGGAGGACTCGGATACTTTGGTTTGGCCATGTTAATTCTATTCATTCTCTTCATCTTGTATTTCATTATTGGATATTTCTTAAATACATTGGTTTTCAAAAAGAGTGAAGGATGGGGAATTTCACAACTTCCACAATTTGAATTTTGGAAGAATGCCATCATGTTGGCATGGGAAGGAATTTTATTCATTAAGGAAGGTATTCAATTGTTGATTTTCAAATACATTTTGAAGAGAACGGTTTATAATGCAATTTAGAGTGTGGTGTTCAATGTGTGGAATGTCAATGAATTCGAGAGAGAGAGAGAAAAGGAAATATAAATTGTTGAGTGTTTCATTCCTTCTTAGACCAATAGTGTGTGTTCTTACATCTGTGTGTGTGTGTGAACTCGTACTTGATTCAAGGTAGTGTCCATTCCAGTAGTAGTAGTAGTCGTAGTATGTGTGAGCATGAAGGAGAATTGGAGAAAATCTCCTTCAAGTGGAGGAATCGAACCTCCTTTCAAATTCTCCTTCCTCTTTACGCTGAGTGGTCATTAGAGTCTCAATTGAAAGCTCACAAACAGCAGCAGCAGCAGCAGCTGCCAATAACGTTTGGTGACAACAATGACATGATTCATGTCCATCCTCCTCATCCTCATCATCGCTCTCTATGAATCGAAACACTTAAAAAAAATGTCCTCTTCTTCCTCCGATGCTGCTTCTGCTGCTGCTGTGGTTGGCTCTTCCTCCTCTTTGTCCTCAACAACGTCCTCAACGACGTCCATTTCTCTCATTCATCATCCCATTGAATATGCTTTAGGAAAAATTGATCAACTCAATGATGGACTGAAAACGATCAAGCCTTTGACTTTGATGTTTTATACGGCAACGGCAATGGCTTCTGCATATTATGGAAAGAAACTTTGGGAGGCTTCAAAAGAACATCCGAATGGATTGTCGGGTCTGATTCTTGGAATGTTGTTAAAGACAATGAGAAAACTTCCGATGGTTGATTCCAGTATTCAATCCACGTTGGTGAAGATTTCAAAAGAAATTAAATTATCTTTTAAAAAAGGAATTGAAAATGAAGAAATTAATTATCAATTGCCTGTAGAGGGAATTCCCTATGAGGAATTATTATCACTTTTACAAAGAATGAGAGATGTTGATCGAAGAAAAGTTCAAGAAAAGAAGCTTTCTGGTGTCGTTTATATTGATGCCAAGGTTGACAATGAAGAAAAGCTCAATAAGGCTGAGGATAAGAATGAAGACCGTTCTTCAGATCCTTTAGCTTTTAGAAAGCATCATGAAGAGTTATTAGCTAAAACTTATAGTTATTTTATGCACACAAATCCATTACATGCAGATTGCTTTTTATACACTCGTAAAATGGAATCTGAAGTTATTAGAATGACAGCCTCTCTTATGAATGGTCCATTCAATAAGGAGACAGGCGAAGGCGTGGTTGGTGCTGTCACAAGTGGTGGAACGGAGAGTATTATTATGGCTTTGAAGGCATACAGAGATCAAGCAAGAGCAGAGAAGCCATGGATTAAGCATCCAGAGGTGATTGCTCCAAGAAGTGTTCACTGTGCATTCGAAAAAGGATGTCACTATTTAGGATTGAAGCTTCGATTGATCGATGTCGATTCGACTACATTTAAAGTTAAAATGGATCTAGTAAGACAAGCAATCAATTCAAATACCATTTTACTTGTTGGTTCTGCCCCATGTTTTAGTCAAGGTACTATCGATCCAATCGACGAATTGAATGATCTTGCAGTGAAACATGGAATTGGACTTCATGTCGATTGTTGTTTGGGTGGATTTGTTGTTCCCTTTGCCAAGAAATTGGGCTACGACATTGGAGTCAAAGAATTTGATTTTACTTTGCCTGGTGTGACCACCATGAGTGTTGACACTCACAAATTTGGAATGGCTCCAAAAGGAAGCAGTGTATTGTTGTTCAGAAGCAAAGACTTGAGAAAGTACATGTACTTTGTGACAACCGATTGGATGGGTGGTGTCTATGCCTCACCAACAATGTCAGGCAGTAGAAGCGGTGCTGTTGTTGCAGCTGCATGGGCCTCCATGATGCATATTGGTGAAAAGGGATATTTAGAAGCAAGCAGAAGAATTGTAAATACTGTCTTGCGAATCAAGAAGAGAATTAATGAAGAAATTCCAGAAGTTGAAGTATGTGGAGATCCAAGTACTGTGGTAATTGCAGTTCAAGCTAAGGCTTCCTACAGCAACATTAACATCTTCCAAGTAATGGACTTTTTGTCACACCGAGGCTGGTCTCTGAATGCTTTGCAATTCCCAAGCGCTTTCCATATTTGTATCACCTTAAATACTGCAACAGAGGAAAAAGCTGATGAATTCATTAAGGACCTCAAAGATGCTATTGCTCAAGTGAAGAACAATCCTGATAGCGTTAAAGGATCCGCACCAGTATATGGTCTTGCAGTGGCAATTCCTGACCGCTCTCTTATTGCAAGTATGGTGACAAACGTTGTGGATGCCATGTTGGATGTTTAAATTTTGAAATGTTAGGTGTTTACATGTTGAGATGATTTTGATCGAGAAATTAATTTATTAACGTAAAATATTGCTATTATTATTGAAGATCAGGTTATTTCAGTCATTACTGTAATGTCACCTTCACTCCAGAATGATCCGAAAGTGGAATAATTCTCTGTTGCTGCTCCATCGTATGAGTCCAATTTACAATTTCATAGCTCATTTCTTTGAAATTATCACTCACCAACACATGATCCAAACATAAATTACCACCAAAAGTCGAGGGATGTTTTGAAGTGTCGTTGTTGTTGTGGACTCCAAAAACGTCTTTAACTGGACCAATCTCCTTATTCAACAAATGCATCATTTCACCATACATTTCATCTCGAATACTGTCGATATTAAAATCTCCTGCAATGATGATTTTTGGAGGCGAGTTTTCGGAAGTTTTTTCACAATACGGTTTCACACACTCCTTAATAAATTGAACCATTTCTTGAATTTGGAGACGTCTCTTTTTTTCATCAAATGCTTCCATATGTGAATTAAATAAATGTAATAAATTTTGGTTATGGATGGTCTTGTTGTCTCGATTAATAGATTTTCGAACTCCATTTGATTTAGAATCATGATTCACATTCTCACGTGTCTCATGATTATTATGATTAAGTGTATTAGAATTATTCTTCTGTGAAATTGCATTCGTTCTTGAATTTGTGGTTGTAGAAGAAAGTGTTGTTGTTGTTGTTGTGCTTGAAGAGACATCCACCAATGCATACAACACACCCTTCGCAGTCACATACGATCTCCAAGTCGTATTCTTAAAGACATAATTTCTACAAGTCACCACTCGATATTTACTCACAATCATCAATCCAGAATCTAGACAACATGGAAATGGCGCCTTCGATTCCACCACCTGATAGTCATAAATTTTTTCAATTCCACTTTTCATTTCCTCATAGGGAGAGTGATCAAAGTGTAAAAAGGGCCACACATTTCCGAAACGATGTAATTCCTGAAAAAAGATAAAATCATATATTGGATGTTGGGAATCTTGTAATTGTTGTAAAAATCCTTTGACTCGCTCAGATTTATAGGGAGGATTTTCTCCAGGAAGGAGAGAATGAATGAGCCAAGTGTTGTAGGTCAAGAGTTGAAATTGCTTCTTCGTTGCTGTGGTGATGGTGGATGAATTTAACATTTTTCAAGCACAACAACAAGATTTTGGATATTTTCAAGAGAAGCTCGCGTTTCCGAAGAACACAGAAAGAACAATTCTTTGGTAGTGCGAAACTTTTTGATTCTTCAACTTGGCATTTGAAATTCAACCTTTGCAGAGATTAAAAAGGAAATCGTCAAACTTCTGGAACATGAAACAAAAAAAATGCAAGACTTGGCTCGACTGAATCACGATCCCACCTTATTGGATCAACACAACCAAGTGCAAATTCCAGAAGAACGTACATGGTTTGAACTGTATGATTCCTCCTCCGAGAATGTTCCCTTCAAAGCCTTGTTTGAGAGAATGGATCATCCAGTTCCTCTCGAAAGGCTTTTCCTAGTGGGCCTTTCAAAGGTTGCTGCTGCTTCTTCTTCGTTTCAAGAGTTACAACGGAGAGGTGTTTTTAATTCCAATTTGAAACGATTGGAACTCGTTTCCATGGCCATCTCCGACGAGAAGGATGCTCCATTCTTGTTGGGTCATCCTTCCGAGTGCGTAAAGAGCTCTTTACAAGAATTGAGAGTCGTGGGATGTGGCCTCTCGGATGAAGGCTTGAAAGAATTGTTGTTGATGCAGAAGAGTTCTCTCAAACAGTTTGAAAAGTTAGAGTTGTTGGATTTGAGTGAAAATCATCTCACGAGTGAAGGTGTTCGGAATGTATTGGCACAAGCTTCATTTCCTTCGTTAAAGTATCTCTTTTTGGAAGGGAACTCGATTCCAATGGAGGATGAGGAAGAGGTCGAATTGTATCGTTCTTCATTACGACAGTTGATTCCTTCCTTGGAGATTGTGTTGTTTCAAAAGAAGGATTATTCTCTGAATTTGGATCAGGTGTTTACGCAGCAATTATTTAAAAGTATTCATACTCTGGCGAGTTTGTTACAAGAAGATGAGTATTCATCGAGTAATACAAAGGATGGTGACAATGAGGAAGAGAGAAAAAAACAAGGCACCATTCGTCGAGCAGCATACATGTTCAAATTGGCAAATGTTTTAGAAAATCCAAGTATCCTATCTTTTGAATCCAAACAAGTGACCAATCTGTTTTTGATGGCAGCCATGTATGATTTTCCACCAGCTCAATATCACATGGGATGCATCTTTTTCAAGAATTATTGTGTGAATGACACCATTACCTATAATCAGATTGAAAGCAAATTCTTTCCAAAGAGTAATTATACTGCACGTAGATGGTTTGAAAAAGCAGCCGCTCATCGTCACCCATTAGCATTGCTCAAGCTAGCTCATTATCATGAATTTGGTGTTTCTGGAGTGGAACAAAGTGAGGAAAAAGCATTTGAGTTGACTCTTAAAGCAGCAGAGTCAGAGAATGAATGCTCTCAAGCATGGTTGCAACTAGGTGAAAAGTATTTGGGTGGTATTGGCACAAAACGAGACGTCTCAAAAGGAATGGAATATCTGACCAAGGCGGCAGAGAGTGAGAATGAAGAGGCAATGAAATTGTTGGCAACTATTTATCACAATGGATTGAAACAACAGCCAGAACAAGACGAAAAGTCACAACCACAAGAATCTTCACAGACTTTGATCGATGACGAAAAAGCATTATACTGGTTCACTAAAATGTGTGAACAAAATCCTGAAAACGCACAAGCTTTCTATATGGTTGGTTTGTATCATTTGGGAGCATTTGGAGAGATTGAAAATCAGGATTTACAAGAAGGAATTCATGCCCTCACCAGTGCTGCAAAACTAGGTCATGATCGAGCTTGTTATCAATTAGGTGGTTTTTGGATGCAAGTTCAGAATCCTGAAATGTCTTACTTTTGGTTTAGGGAAGGATCACGTCTTGGAAATGAAGCGTGTGAGGAAGCATTGAAACAATTTGAAGTCATTGACTCGCGAAATCCTGATCTCTAAGTTGTGACGTTTATTTGGTCACCAGTCCTCTATTGTGCATTACCTTCCTCTTGGTTTGTTATTGATTTTGGGAAGACGTAAATTCTCAGAGGAGGAATGCCTTGAATCTGTATCGGATGACGAAAGTGACCTCAAGTCCATGTCTGTGTCACATATTTGGGTGGTGTGAGTGACAAGATTTTGTTTGTTGGTTGAATTTTTGGTTTTGTTTGGAAGAACGCTTGCTGTGGTAGCATTCGATTTCTTTTTGAACATCTCCAATCGCTTCATTGGGTCTTTCATTTCTTCTCTTAATTGTTTTTGTTTTTTGATTTTTTGGACTCGGCTGTTTTTAGCAAATAAATCCTTTGCTGTTTCAATATTCTTGAAATGCCAAGTGTTTTTGATGGCTTCAAGATTGGAGTTTGCAATTTGAGCCGAAGATGATGATTTTTGAGAACTGGAAGTGCTCTGAATTGAGGTGTTTGTTTCGTCAAGATGAGAAGACTCGTGTGAATCATTGGCTTCATCTTCTTCAGCCATCCATCCACTTCTCGTCAATCGTTTTTCTGGTCTATTTACATTATTAAGAGTTGAGTTAGTGCTTTCTTGCGATAACACTTGTGACTTGTTCAAATTAGCGCTTCTATACAGTTCCTTAATAGATTCGTCACCTCCATGACTTGTTTTTGTATGTACATTGTAGTAATAGACATCGATTTTCTTTTTCGCTCTATTCTCGGGTATATTAATGGGAAGACAATCATTCATGATACTCGCAGGATATTCAATGTCATCCACAGCAGATTCCAATTCAAATATTTCATCTGCCTCAAATTGTCTTGCTTTCTTCAGAATTGACCTTACCCTGTATCCTTTCCAGACAGACTGAATTTTTGTAGCAGCCATGTGTCTCTTGTGTAGTGCACGTAGTATCCAATCGAGATTCTTTTTTCTTGTGATGTAACCTCTCCAGTTTCGTTGAATTTCGATGGCTGCCTTTTGTTCACATTCTCTTAGTCGCTTCTTTCTCCTTACTTGCCATGATCTGAACCATCGTTGGATAAGAATGGCAGCATTTAATCTCTTTAACTTTTCTTCATATTCTGTGTTTAGGGCAAAAACATTTTGGTGTTTTTTTGGGTTAAAATTGAAATGTTCCTCAAAGTGCTGTTTCTTTTGGTCTAATCTTGCATCATATTGAGATAATCTATTGTCGAGTCTTCGTGAAAATCTCATTTGTGCATCTTTAAAGTTTTTCTCTGTTACTTTTTCTGACGAAATACATTGATGGTAATTGCTGAATTGTGACCTTTCATTAATGTGTCGTGAACACATGTAATAGTACGTTGTTTTTGTGTTCCATTCGTTTGTTTTGAGAGACTGTAGGCTTCTCTGAGATTTATCTAAGGTAATCGCGTCTCTCATAAATTTGTATTGATTCTCTCTAAATATTGAACTATTAATGGATGGAACTGCTCTTTTGAGAGAGTGATTAATGAACGATACAACATGGCCTGTTAATCTTGGTGAGTAAAAAACAAAATGAGAGAATACATTCTGTCGGGCCAACGAGCTCACTACCTCTCCATCTAGGCTTGTCAAATTTGGCAGCAAAGCAATTGAAAGCTCCTTGTACAAAACGCCTCGAGCTATTGGGTTATCGTTCAATTTGAGTTCTTCAATATTTCTACAAAATCTCAGATGAAGTAGTTCATCAATTGATTGCAAATTATTAAATGATAGATTGATGTTTCGCAGCATAATACAACCTGAAAGTGGAGAAAGGTGCTCCAGTTTGTTTCCACTCAAATTAAGGTACTGTATCAAAGGAGAAAACAAAAATGAATTGGGCAAGGATGTCAACTGATTTGAGTTCAGATACAAGCTCTTTAGGAGAACGTGATGGAATGATGGTATGGAAGAAATTTTGTTTTGATACAAAATAACGTCCTCCAAAAGAAGGTTAAACATGAGAGCTTGGTCTATACTTTCAAGTTCATTATATCCAACATCAAGATAGCTCAAATTGTTAAATGCGTCTAAAATTTTTAAATCAATGAGCTTATTAATGTCTGCTCGAAGATATTGCAACTTCCTATTGTTCTGAATACCGGATAAATCTTGAATTTTGTTGTTGCATAAATTAATGCTTCTCAGCTGATTTGTGTTTTTTAGAGGCGTTATTGAAGAAATATTATTACCGAGAGCATATAATTCTTTCAACTTTGATACGCTCTCTCTTGGAATATCTATTGTGGACAGTCTGTTGTCATTCACCGAAAGTGTTTCTAGTGATGAAAGGCCACTTAAAGATGAGAGGCTTTGAAATAAATTAGTATCCAAAATGAGAGCTCTCACTTTTGGAAAGGCCGTAAATAAATTAATTTTTGCTGAAGAAATATCTTCTCCTCGAATATTGATATGTGTGACTTGTGAATTGTCCTTCTCAAAAGGCATAGAGTTGTCAATGACATCTTCATCCAAAATAATATTTGACTTGGTTATTTGAGCTGGTTTTAAATCTTGAGTCGATGAAATAGATGGAACAGGAGGAGGGTTGAAGAATTTTTGTACATGTCTTTTCCATAAACTTAGTCGCTCCAAGACAATCCACCCACTATTTTTCTTGGAGGTTTGTATTGCCTCAGTAATAATCTTAATAATATAGAGTCGTTTGTTTTCTTTGGCTTTAACAAGGTCTTTTTTCTTTTCTTCAAGTTGTCGTTGTAACTCCAGTTCTCTCTGTAATTTCAATGCTTCCTCTTCTTTTCTTTTTCTTTCCTCCTCTTGGCGCTTTTGCTCTTCTTCCTTTCTCTTTCTTTCTTCTTCCATCCTTCGTTTCCTTTCTTCCTCCTTTTTCTGTTTGTCAAGCTCAATTTTTCTCTTTCTCTCTTCAGATTTTTTAATGTTTTCGAGCCGTTGACGCTCTTTTTCTTGTTCTTCCTTAATTTTTTGTTCTTCTTTTTTCTTAATAATAAGTTCTTTCAGTCTTGCTTGCTTTTCTGCTTCTTCAAGCAGCTCTTGCTGTCTTTTTTGATTTGCAAGCTCAATCTTTTTCTGAATTTCCTGTTGATGTTCAAGCAGTTTTCGCTCTTGCTCTTCTAATTCCCTTTTTCGTTGCTCTTCTTCTCGTTTTCGTTCTTCTTCTTTTTTTCTTTTCTCTTCCAAGATTTTTCGTTTTTGCTCTTGGAGTTCTTTTTCAATTCTTTGCTCCTCTTCTATTCTCTTCCTATTTTCTTCCTCAAACTTTCTTTTTAATATTTCTGATTGCAAGAATTCCTGAGAAGCACTCTGTTCTCTGTTCAATTTGTTTGGTTTCTGGTATGTTTTAAAATGAAGTGTCTCTATAGAATCCCTACTGCTTGTTGGAGCGGTTTCAACTGTTCGGGGTGTCTCTATTTTTTCCAAAGATAGTGATTTGTTGAGTAATCTTGGCGTTTCAACACGTGTCATGGGTACATGTTGCACTTTATCTTTGATCTAACGCAACGAAATGTTTAAAAGTATGTACATTTTCCCTAATGAATAACCTACAGCTGTAACAATTGAATTTTTAAGCTCATTCACAGTTGAGAGATATTCTTCAACAAAATCATCTTGGTCCAACATCTTGTGGATTTCTTCAAAATCGTCATCCAGACCAATTGTTGCCTTGTCTTCTATGGCAGTGAGAAATGCATCTCCTTCTGGAATCACTGAAGGGTCTTGTCTCTTTTGTACAATGTTGTCAAACTCTTCCACATAACGCTGATAGTCGTCATCTTCCATAGAGTCTTTCAAGTATAAGAGAAAATATCGTCCAAAATTGTAATGAACATACCAATGACTGAAAGGTTGTCACTATTATTGTTCACCCACTGCTCCGAAAACTCAATCTCTTCATCATTCTGAATTTTATACGTTTCTAATAAATCTTTCAATAAAAAGTTGCTTGAGGCATCTTCATCCATCATCATCGGGTTATGTCGCAAAAACCCTTTATCAAACGATTCCGATGATGATCTTTCATTCATACCATTCAACATAAGCAATCCTCCGTCATGTAGCATATATTGTAAAAAAACAATCAAATTGTTTTTGATGATACAACGGTTGAGTTCAATTATTTTTTTTTGCGTTTGTAATTTAAGGCAAAAGTTTTTGGCGGGAGCTGGAAGTGTTCCATGTCACGGAGTTAGTTATCGATTCTTGAGATTTTCAAGAGTAAACCTTATTGGTAACTGTGATTAAGCATTTGGATTCATGGAAGCTCTCTTTATTTTGGCTGACTATTTCAAGTTTCTGTTTGTTTTTGCCAATACAGCACCTAAACCCACCATGCCCACAATAACCCCTCCAACACAAAGACATGTGCCAACAACCTTATTCAACAAGGATGGATTTCTTTGTCCATTCATTTTGTGTTGTTTTTGAATACCTCTGGAAGAAGAGTCGTGGAATGATCTTCTTGAATCGTCTGATTCACTTTTCCTTATTGGAAGGACCATCCGATGATTGGTTTGAATATTATCGAGTGCCTTCTGACAATATTTCTTAATGTCCGTCAAAGAGATTCGTTGAGCTCGTTTCTTCAACATTCCTTCAATCACCTCTTTCATTTCAAAGGAACACTTGCCTTTACGAACCAAATCCTTCAAAGTTTTTTTCACCTCTATAATTTTGCTTCATAAGAGGTCGTACAATATTTAAACTTTTCCTCAAGGGAATTCTTCTCGTTTGGATAACTCTTTTTTTCAAGCAACACCACCATGGTTACTCCCAAGGCATAAATATCAGACTCTTTTTCAACTCCGCGTTCAAGAGTTTCATCATCAATGTATCCAAGGGTCCCATTTTCAGCATATCTTGTTCTGTCTCCCATGGTCTCTTCCGATCGCGGGTCAATCCAAAATCTGACAGTACATAATAATTTTCTCCATTTTCTATTTCTTGAAATAAAATGTTTGAAGGAAGGTGTAATGGGGTGGAAGGGGTCCCCATTACATTATAATTTTGGAGTAGGTCTACTCCAAAAATCGTAACATGCATCAAGATCTACTAGAAAGGTGAACAATCTTGCCTTGAGACGATATATCACACCTTGTTCTGTTTTACATTCCTTTCCCTGATTCAATATCAATAATTCGGAAATAAATCGATCAAGCAGAGTATTGAATGGAATGGGTTTGTTGCTATATGCAAGCAGCATGGTGAGTGGAAACGAATATCTATATTGCAATGGCAGTTCAGTAATCCACGCTAAAAGAGGAAGCACACTCTTTCTGCTGCTTTTGCTAACAGAACCTGAATCACCTCCACCAATGAGGGTAATACACACGGCATCCGGTTCTTTCCAGCCTCTCACAACTCGTTCATATTCAATCGAGTCTATACAGTCATTAATTTCATCGATACTTGGTTGAACAGTGCAATGAGCTTTAAAATTTCTCAATCCAATCAA